ATAAACAAAACAACAACTTCGAGTTTTTCAGAACACGTAAAACTCCATCAAGAACCGACTAAACCCATCAAAAGAAACAGATTTCAACTACTCTCAAGCCCTGCAGCCGCGTGGTTGAGGAGATACAAGGAGTCAAACATCCTGAACGCGAGGCGTCCGAGTTCTAAAAACAAAAACGCACGGTCCACCGCCTATCGATAAGAAAAATACAAAAGAAGAGCTAACGTGGTTCACAAGCGAGTGGCTACCCCAACACCAGCGCAGCGCACGCGCAGCAATATTATCTTATGTCTCAACAACGCAACGTACAACAAGCTTATACTGAAGGAGATATAATCCTAGCGATCTCTGATATTACATCGAACCAGGTTTCAAGTGTAAAACGTGCTGCAGCAATCTACAACGTCCCCCGAACGACCGTACGCCGGCGACGCGCCGGACAACGCTCTCGACGCGACTGCGAGCCGAACTCAAAGCGCCTTACAAAACTAGAGGAGGAGGCAATTGTGCAGCGTGTACTTGAAGAGAGTTCACGTGGAATACCGCCCTCGAAGGCGCATGTACAGATATGGCGGATAGACTGCTAAGGGAGCGTGGTGGGAAGCCTACAGGCAAGAACTGGGTTGATAACTTCATCAAGCGTACACCAGAGCTGCAAATGCGATGGAGCCGTCCGTATGATCGCCAGCGAGCTGCCTGCGAAGACCCAGTGATTATCCGGCCATGGTTCAGCCTGGTTCAATCGGTAAAGGCGAAGTACGGTATTTTGGATGAAGACACCTGGAACTTTGATGAGTCTGGCTTCATGATGGGCAAGATATCCTCTCAGCTTGTTGTTACAGGCTCAGAGAAACCTGGGAAACAGAAGAAACTACAACCTGGCGATCGCGAGTGGGTTACCCTGGTACAAGGCGTCGCTGCGACGGGGCGTGTTATCCCACCTTTCCTCATCTTCGCGGGCAAGGTCCTTATCTCTACCTGGTACACTGATCTACCTCGCAACTGGGTTATTGACGTTTCTCCTACTGGCTGGATCAACAACGACCTCGCGCTGGCGTGGCTTAAGCACTTCGACGCCCATACGAAGGCGTCCTCTGCTGGGGCATATAGGCTACTTATTATCGACGGCCATGACAGCCGCTGCTCCATAGAATTCCAGGACTACTGCAAAGAGAACAATATTATCGCTCTCTGCATGCCACCTCACTCATCGCACCTCCTGCAGCCTCTTGACGTTGTCCCCTACTCGCTCTTGAAGCGCCACTACGGCGACGGGATCTCGCTCTTGGCACGCAGCCGCATCCACCATATTGACAAAGAAACCTTCCTACCAGCGTTTAAAGCAGCTTTTGAGAAGACGTTTACAGTAGAGAATATCCGCGCAGGGTTTCGAGGCGCTGGGTTAGTCCCATACGACCCTGACGTTGTGTTATCGAAGCTTGATGTGCAGCTGCGTACGCCAACGCCACCTGCACCAGGCACTATCGCCTGGGAGGCGCAAACACCGCGCAACGCCCGCGAGACAGAGGCGCAGTCAATGCTAATCCGAAATCGCATGCAAAACCATCAGGGGTCTCCAGCGAGTTCATTAGATGAGCAGGTCAAGCAGCTGAGTAAAGGCGCTCAGCAGATAGCTCATAATATGGTGTTGGTGCAGGAGGAAATGGGCCGCCTGCGAGACGCTGTTGACACGCTTACAAAGCGTAAGACCCGTAAAAGGCGGTATGTACGTGTAGAGGAGACTCTAACAGTTGGTAAGGTATCTAACCTAATTGCTGCAAAGGAGGGTGGTAGTCGTGAGGATGGCGAGACGCCTGCGAAGAGGGTGCGCGCAGAGAGGCGCTGCGGCCGTTGCAGCGAGATTGGGCATAATTCCCGCACCTGCAAGGTAGAGATAGAGGATGAAGATAGTAGTGATGCTTCTAAATAATAATATCCTATTGCGTATAGTACAGTAATTTGTTGTGGTGTTGCGCTATGTCGCCGCGCGTGCGCTGCGCTGGTGTTGGGGTGGCCACTCGCTTGTGGTGACCACTCGCTTGTGAACCACGTTAATTAGAGGAACACTAACACCACCCTCTACCAAAAACACCACAAAAAGTAGATCAAGCCTTATCAAGCCATCAAGCCGACAGCCTCTATTTTGTAGGCTTGCTCTTCAAGTCTCAGACTGCTTTCTTGACTTGATTATCGCCTCAAGCCACCAAGCCTACAAGCCAAGCCTATCAAGCCGGCTTGCTTGTTGCGGACTCTATACGCTTAAGCGTCCGGATTGTTAGAGGCGTGTTTAGCTCTGGTGGTGGTGGTGTTCCATCTATAGTAGCGTTGCTACTACTATCATTACTACTGCTACCAGTATCTTGGCAATCAGTATACCAATCAGCAAAATCTCTCTGTATATTATTCTTGACGCGCTTGATATCCAATAGATATAATCCTGAGTCCCGCCAGCCTTTTTGTATTGTACGGGACTTGAATGTGTAGGCGCGGATTGACTCGATAGCAGCCAAGAACTCAACCTTGTTGAAAGCTGTAGAGCCTGTTCGGGTTGCATAATCAACAGCCTGCGCGTGCCAGTGCTTGTACGGCTGGAAACAGCCTACATCAAGCGGTTGGAGAAAGTGAGATGTATGCGGAGGCAGGCGATAGGCAATAACCTTGTGATCCTCAAGGACTTCTAGAAACTCTTGGGTGCAGTGTGAATCCAATCCGTCGAACGAGAGCAGCCGATATACCCCTTGAATGTGCTTCTGGCTCTGTTGTACGAAGTGCTTTACCCACTCAACACTTAATTGATCGTTTGTGTAGCCACTGTCGCTGTGCGCAATAAGATAATTATCAGGTAAATCGGTGAAGTAGCGCTCAAGGAGTGCGTCGCCTTCAATAATAATCATTGGTGGGATACCATGCGTCTGAATCAGACTAGTAAAGGTGTCAAACCACTTGACAATGGAGTCTGAATCATGCGCAAGTGCGCGATTAAGATTAAGAGATCGCTGTCGTCGTACGTGAAGCTCAGGTTGCCGTTTGAGCCATTGTTTTGCCCATCGCGAGCTTGCAGTTGGTGGAGGACCAGGACCATCATGAGCTTGTTGAAGAAGATAATTGACACACGATACAATCATAGGCAGTTGTACACAAACGCCAAGTTCATCAAGACGTGCGATATAATCGTATAGTGCACGGTCTTGCGCCTTAGTAAGCTTGTACGTGCTAGAGGGATGCTCAGAGCGTGTTGGGCGGCTCTTTGATCGGGCGAGTAATCGCTGGTATAGGACGCCGTGCTCGCGCGCCAATTGCTTAAAATTAGGCTTTGGGATATCTTTAATACACTTCAAGATCTCCGAAATGCGATCATTGACTAAGATTTGCGATTGGGCCATTGTAGGGGCTATAAGAAGGGATTTGAGTAATGGAGTTGTGAAAAAATATCGTTGGGACGGTAATATTGTTGCAGTGAATGCAGTCAATCAAATTGTGTCTGCGCGAGGCAGTAATCAGAGTATATTGTGTGTGTTGTCTTGTCGTGCTGTGCTCTCAGAGGCAGCAGCAGGGTCTATTTTACATGACGTATCTATGATACAGCTGAGGTAAGAGGTGCTCAATAAAGTAAGGAAGCAGCACCAGACCACTAACACGTGATCTGCTTCTCCTCATAACCGTCACAAATATTGTATGGAGCGTCGGCACTCGCCTGCGGCGAGTGTCAGCGCAGCTGACTTAGCTTAGTAATAAGCTAAGCCTTGGCACGGTTAGTAGATGTCAAGCGTCAAGGTTGGGGAGAATCATGTCGTATTAGAGCTATCGGAAAGAAGTCTATATACGCAGTGGGAAGAGGGAGTGAAGGAGCTAGGCCGTAAAGATACTAGCGGGTAAATGGGTGGCTGCCTGGTTGCCTGGTTGCCTAAGGAGGAGCCAAGGGATAAGCCCTATGGCCGACACAACTCAATGTTGCGACTATAAGCTTCACAGCTTACGCGCTTAAAACAAGACCACTTTAGGTGCATCTTTGCGAATACGGGGTAAAACCGTGATTACGGTGTAAAAGTGACGGGGTAAACGCGTATTACCACCAACTCCACAAGGTGAGCTAGGGCCTCTTGGAAAGAAAAAGACAAAAAGGCTAGGTAAGCCTCCCTCCCTCCCATTCACACCACCACAACCACAACCATGCGCACCCTTTCCCCCATCCTCCTCCTCTCCCTCCTCCTCTCCCTCCTCCTCGGCACCACCTTAGCATCCCCCGAAAAACACGGCGAATGCCGCACTATAACTTTTGTGGTGGTTGGGATGACACCGATCAGAATACGTTCAAGAGTGGGATCATTGATTGCTTTCTCTCTAAGGATCAGAAAGATCAGACGGCTAGTCCGGTATTTGTACATGATAGATCAGTCCCTTGGCACGGATCCGGAATCTCAAAGACCCGATCCGATCACATGATCATCCGACGTCCAACATCAAGTCCATTTCCGCGACAACTTTAAATTGGGACTGTGCACCAGGGCACTCTACGAATTACGAGTTGTGCCATTGGGGGAAGTTTGGTTGCTATATCGGGGCCAAGGTGGTAAATATGGTTAACTCGAAGCCGACTGGGGATATTAGAAATAGTTATCCACCGGGCCATTGTGCGGGTGCGAATGAGTGTTACACTACGGTGGGTTTTGATTTTATTTTTAGAGCAATGTTGGGTGGCTGGATGAGTTGATGGATGGATTGATGGATGGATTGATGGATGAATGACGGGGTGTGTGTGCGAAGAGTGCTAATGTGTTTGTGTATTTAGGTCACATGCTGTCGTCCTCGTTAGTGGTGCCGCCGCCGCCGCCGCCCCAGGATTATTAGTCTCAGAAATAGCGGGAAGGGGGAGGGAGAACCGTTTTGTGTTAGGAGAGACGTCAGAGAGAGACGTCAGAGTCGGAGTCGGAGTTAAAAGTCGGAGTTGGTAGCTAGAACAATAACTATGACTACAAACCCCCCTCCCGCCCTCTCACTTTCTACCCCTGAAAAGCCCCCAACACCTCATCATTCCAACTCAAAAACTTCCCACTGAAACCCTGAATCGCCTCCCCCTCCGCAACCGCCAACCTCGCAATAACATGTCCCGGTTGCTCCGGCCTCAATAACCCACCATTCTCCTTCAGCCCACTGAACTTCTCCCTATCTTTGGCACTCATACTCGAAGCATGGACTTCGCGGATCTCCCGCTGCATCTCCGTGTCTACGACACCAGGGCGGATGGAGATGGTGGTGATGCTGGGTTCTTCGACGGAGAGCGTGGCGGCCAGGTGGTTTAGCACGGCTTTTCCGGCGCCGTAGCAGCCCCAGGATTGGTAGGTGGATGTTGAGGCGCCGGAGGAGGTGAGGATTATGCGGGGGGAGTGGGGGGAGGCGCGGAGGTGGGGGAGGGAGGATTGGATCTGTGCGTGGGTGGGTAGGTTAGCGGGGTGGAGGAGTGGAGAAGAAGTCAAATAAAATCACATGACCCAACCGATCGAAGAAAGGGAAGTACATATAAGGGACATGAGGAAAAAGAAAAAACACCCAAACTCACCAACCCAACAGCACTAAAAACATTAACATCAAACCCCCTCCTCCACTCTTCAACACTACTATCCCCCACCGGCTTCACCGGCTCCAAACTCCCATGGTTAATCACCACACTATCCAGTCTACCCCATTTACCCACGGCGGCCTCGACAGCGCGGCGCGCAAGCGTAGCGTCCGCCATGTTGCCTGCAAGAAGGGATACTTGCGAGGATCCGTATTGGGACTCTAGGGCTGAGAGGGGGGCCGTGGTGCGCGAGATTAGGACGACTTTGTGCGAGGCGGCAAGGAGGTGGTGCGCGATGGCTAGGCCGATGCCTGGTTGGGGAGGGGGGTTAGCGAGGGATGGAGGGAGGGTGGGGTGTTAGTGAGGGATAGAGGGAGGGTGGGGTAGGGGGTGAAGGGCATGGCACGTGAGTCTACATTCTATCATGTATGCAAGTATACACAACACATGAAAAGAGTACATGAACAAGTCTCCTCTAATCAACCAACCAACCAACCCCGAACCACTCACGCCGGTCGAGGTTGAAAAAGCCATCACATACCTCTCGACGCGCCGGTAAGTATAACAACCATTTCTTTTGACGACGAGGAACTCATTGTAGACGTTTTCGCTTTCCTTGTTTGCTTTCTTTGGGGGGGTTGGCGTCGTTTCCTTTGGGGCGTGTAAGTACAGGAATGCGGGATGTTTGTCAAAAAAAAAGTTGTGCACGAGATGGTGTAAGTAAGAGGGGTTACGTCATCTTAGTCAGCTCGCTCTGGAACTTTGGGTAAGTGGAACGAATGTCTATTAATCTCTAGCAAAAGCAAGAGTAACATCTCTCCTCGCAAACAAGCAACCGGCACCCTCAGAACCCTAACCTAATCACTTCGCCAACACCTAAATCATACTAACCCTTGCTTTAACTTAGTAGACTACCAAAAAGTCTCGAGACACTATACCTACACATCAAGTATTGAACTCATACTAGCTTCGCAATGTCGGCCTTTGGATTCCGGCGAGATGCAAAAGACATAGTACACACACAGAGAGAGGTAGTAGTCATATCATATCATATCATATCATATTCATGAATTGCATTCGTGTATTATCATCATCGTCATCATAGGCATGGGAATTCCTGCATAAGCATCATCATCATCATAATCCCTTTGCACGATGCATTTCCCTTTTCGCTCCATCACCCATCACCCCATCCATCACCCCCTCATTTCGCAGGTCTACCAGCCAGTGTATCAATAGGTGTAGGATTAGCAGGAGCCTGAGGTCTACCCGAAAGCGTATCAACCGTCTCCTTGAGCGCCATCCAAAACTCATGCTTGGGCCGTCTCCGATGCCACTCCGTCTCCTTCTTCTCCACCGTCTCCATGGGCGAGAAGAGTAGCTTGGATCCTTTAATACCGATGACGCTGACGGACATTGGGTCGTCGACGATTTGGTCAGGCTCCATGCCGGCGTACGTCTCAATGTGCTGCATGGCCTTTGTAGCGAAGCGGACGGCTCGGACACGGTCCATGGGCGAGGGTGTGGTTCCTTGTTGGAAGTGACCGGGGACACCGTGACGAGACTCAAACTTGCCGTTGGAGGCCTCTGCAATCATTTGTGCGATGATTTGCACAGAGTAGGTTTTTGAGGCCTTTTCATTGACTAGGATTACTTTACCGGACCGGGCAACGCCCTTGTCCTTGGAGAAGACGGCGCGGAGATGGTCGATGTCGCGGTCGAGCATCTTGAGGTTGATGCCTTCTTCGGGCGTGTACACGGCCAGAGCTCCGATACTGAGACCGGCCACGGTTGCGATGTAGCCAGACTCACCACCTTGGGTTTCGATGATGAATACTCGGCGACGGGATGCGGATGCGGATTGACGACAGGCGTCAGAGTACTGGATCAGCGCGTTCAAGCAAGTATCTGAGCCAATCGAGTACTCTGTGCCGGGAACGTTGTTGGAGATGGTAGCAGGAATGATGACCTATAACCTTGTTAGCAAACCACTCAACTATACCATGACAAGCAACTTACCATAGGGATCTTGAACGCCTTGTAGTACTCCCGCGCCTGTCTAAGTTCGGAAACAGCCGTGAAAGCCTCGAATCCACCAACGATGAACAAGGACTGGATGTTGTACTTCTTGAAGACGAAAGCAACAGTTTCAAGGTCCTCGCTGGGAAGACCACGGTTGGTTCCAATCTCTGATCCACCCTTGGAAGCCCAAGTCTCAGCGTCAACCCAGGCAATATCTCGCACAGCACCAACTGGCTCATCGGAATGATGGCGGATTATGCCAGGGAAACCGTTGTGGAGGGCAATTGGCTTGTGACCACGAGCAATGCAGTAGGCGACGGCAGCACGGGTCGCTGCGTTCATACCTCCAGCTGGAGCACCAACGTGGATGATACCGACCCGCATACGCTTTTCTTCGGGGAGAAGAAGCTCTGGCTGGTCAGCCGCTGTGGTGATCTTGTAGGCCTGGTACTGTTGCTCGAACTCGGTGTCGCGGAGCTGCATAGCCCTGTGGAAGTCCTTGTTTTCGATGGCAACAGCGACTTCTTTGGTCTGTGCAACAGCTTCAAGGAGTGGTCTTCGGACAATCTTGTTCTCTTGCACACAGATAACTGGGCTAGGAATATCAGGTGTAGCTTCCAGCACAGCCTTGACGGCCTCGGTGCCCTGAAGTGTCGAAAGCATACGGTCGTACGCGCAGGGTGTACCTCCACGCTGAACGTGTCCAAGCGTCGTCACTCGTGTGTCAAGCTTAGCGTCTTCCGAAAGAATATCCTTGACGTGTTGTGATGTGATCTTGTTGAGGTTGCGGTCGATAGCGCCCTCAGCAACAACGACAATGGTCTTTCGCTTGCCCATACTCCTGTGCTTCTTGATCTGACGGCACATTTCCTTTTGCCAACCTTCCGCAGGAGGGTTTTCAGGTGTGAAGACAAAGTCGGCTCCTGTTGCAACACCAGCACTGAGCGCAAGCCAACCACAGTGTCGGCCCATGACCTCGATGACGAATGCTCGCTGATGGCTTACGGCGGTGGTGTCGACCGAGTCGATGGCTTCGCAGATACGTCCGAGCGATGTGTAACATCCAATCGTGGCATCAGTCATGGAAAGATCGTTGTCGATTGAGCCGACCAAACCGACAATGTTGAGGTGCTTGAACGGTTCAATCTGCTCAGCGGTAAGCTCCTTTGCCTCGACCAGCTCGTTCAGCAGCTCCGGCCACTCTGCACGGAACCTGTCTGCACCTGTGAGCGAGCCGTCACCACCGCAGATGATGAGCGCGTCAATGCCCTTGACAATCATGTTCTTTGCGGCTCTTCGGCGACCTTCTCGCTGCATAAACTCCATGCATCGTGCTGTGCCGATGAGGGTACCTCCTTCCGACAGGAAACCTCGCACATCTTCCCACTTCATCTCCTTGATCATGTCTCCACCCTTTACCAGACCGTCGTAGCCTTCGTATATGGCAAACGCCTCGCAGTCGTTGTGAATGGCCATGCGGACTACGGCTCGTACTGCTCCGTTCATGCCGGGTGCGTCTCCTCCGCTAGTCATAACTCCAATGCGCCTCTTCTTGCCCTCGAGGGGCGGGGGAATCTCAGTCGGCGCCATGGTATTTTGGTATATGGGGGTATCAAGGGAATAGAAGGTGGAAGTGAAGGTGGTGAAGGTGGGAGTGTAGGGGTTGGGGGTACTCGCAGACATAAAGGGCCGAGAAGATATTTGGCCGTGGGTCAGTATGAGGTCAATGTGGATTCACCGGTGCCTGTCTAGCTGGGTGAAAACTATGGACGCCGAGAGAAGCGGGTCCCGACGTGTTGGGAAGCGTCAATGGTCGATGGTAGTTGGAGGGGTAGCTTTGCCGAGTCGTGGGCGAGATATCAGTAGCAATTAGAATTAGTTGGTAATTGGCAATTCTTGTTTTGTCTGCTCATGGGGCCAACAAGCCTATGTATTGTCCGGAGCAGGCGATAAGGTGTTGCTGTTTGTAGCAGGCAGCAGGGGTTGCCATATGACGTGGGTGCCCCAAGAGAAAAGCGCTCCCGGTCCGCGAAGTGGGGTCACACCACTCGCCGATCCTTCACGTGAGTCTACGGATCGCGTCGGGAACACGCCTGTTGCGACAACATATCGAACGACCTGAATATACGCCTTTACCTGGAAGAGATTTCTCCCAACAACAATGCCTGAAAGCCGAGAAGGCGAAAAGGTACACGTGCAGGGCGCATCGTACCACCACACCCCTAGCTTCTACCCCACGCTGCTTGACCGCGGACTTTGCGGCGAGACGTCAGTACATTATGCAAGGGCCTGGCGAATAGCAATATTCGCGCCCGTCCATGTCTTCATCTTACCACTGGTCGGCTACAGCCTCAGCTGACCGGATACAAGTTGAGGGGACCTCCGCGTGGCGGCTGACCGGACTTGAATAAACTTCTGCTAAGGTGATCAAACCCGTACAAAGGCTAGACACTGCTCATGGCCGACATAACGTGATGAACATTGGTATCACTCTAATTCCATGTCAATCATGCTCATTATGAACCCTTCGCCGCGTGAGCGGAACCAAAAATCGCAAAAGCTAATATTACGAATATGCTTCGCCCGTCTATCTTTACAAAGCACCAACATCCTGACCTTCTCTCGCCAGCGTCTCGAACACTCTCGGTGGCAACTTGTACTTGATCAGCCCAGCAAAGACCATCAAATCCTTGGCCTTTTGCAACAACTGGTCCGCTAGCACCTTGCGCATAGGATCATCGAATTGCCCAGACAACAGATGCTCACGGTGCCGTGAGCAGCAGCCAATGCACCAGAGAAGCACATTGCCGATGTTGCGAGAAATCTCCGCGGGATACTGGTTGAAGCTATTGGCAGTGGCGCGAATGTCGCTGACATTGCCTCCGGCCGACAGGGGAAGAATACGAAGGTTCTCGATTTGCTATGATAGGTTAGTAAAGAATTCGTGATGGGAATCGGAGTACTTACGCCTAGTGCTGTCATGTAGTCACCGGCCTCAATGATCTTCTTTGCGTTGTTGAGGTTGTACAATATACCGACTGTATCGCGGTTCATCTGGTTAACCTTCCTCCACCACAGACTGTTTGCGTCGTAGAGGGCAAGGACCTTCTGTGCGAGCTCGACTGGATCATCTGTTCCTAGCATGCTCAGGCTTGACGAAGTCAAATCAGAGCGCTGTTGTTGCAACTGCTGCGACTCGGCGGGTGTTAGGCGTGGCTTCAATGGTTCCAAACGCAGCGGCTCCTGGCCCAGTTCTACCGAAAGAGCCTCAGCAAGTGCGCGGTTCAGAATTGTAACAACGCTGTCATATTCGCCCGCCAAGTGACAGAGCAGGATAGCATCATTGATGCGGCCGTTGTCGTCGGCCATTCTTGCGGCTTCACTAGTAATAGTGTTGAGCAAGCCCGTTTCGCCGTCAAGTTTGAGCAACGGTACACGCTCCTGGATGAGACCCAAGGTGGTCTGGCCATTCGACTTGACGTCGCCCAGAAGTGTGGCGAATTCGCGTGTCTCGAGGACAAGCTCACGAAGGGCTTCATGGCAGAGCCCAGCTTGTTGTTTACCCGCTTCGCCCGGCAAGTCCGCATTCATGCAGATCAACACCAGGTACTCAGCCGCAGCATCAGCCCGAGCAGCACGGAAGTCGCTTGTGTAGTAGCCAACCACCCGTCCAAAGTTTAGCTGCGGTTGTTGCCTAGTAGTATATGTCAAGATTTCGCTGCCCGCGGTAGTCCAGTCTGATACCCGTAGGAGGCCGTAGTAGTCGAGCGCAACGGCAAAGTGTACCGCAGAGACGTAGTTGTGGGTATACAGGTAGTTGATGGCCGGCTCAAACAAGCCTGCAAGCGTAGCAAGATAGAAGTAAACTCCGTAACCGCCAGAGTCCTGTACGTCGTTCGTGAAATGTTTCTGGCCAATTTCTGCAATGGTCGTTCGAATCTCTTCCAAGCCGAAGACCTCACCAGCGTTCTCTTCGGCTCTGTTGCCCTCACGGGCCAAGTTGAATTGCAGCCAAACCCAGTCATCCATAGTCTCCTTGATAGGGTCCAGGTTACGCTTGCTCATATCACATCGACCGACAATCTTGTAGCAGGCCATTCGATAGGGGTCTTCTGGGGTCTTCAAGCGAGTCCTCTGGGCGTGTGTGTGGCCAACTTTTTGCTGCGTATCTGGGGTGAGCCTTCGATCCGGATCAGTGGCGTACTGTGTAATTGCCGATGCGAAGTTTCTGTCGGTGTTCTGGAAGAAGTTCCTCTTTTCTCGAACATACTCAGCAGCCTCGGCAAGTAGACCTCCTCTTAGCAAGTAGAAGATGATGATCCACGGGAACTCTTCACCGTTATCGCCTATTCTCTGGAAAAGCTCAGGCTCTGCACCCAGCTCCTTGAAAGCGGCCTTGGCTCGTACGAAGCCTCGAATCTTGTTCACCATGGAAGGTACACCGCCTACGAGCGCCTCTGCAGGATTCCTTCGCAAGACATCTTCTACCTGTTCCAGAAACTTGCTTTCGAGATACTTGCGAGAACCGTCTAGTATACGCTTGCGCATTCGTACGCTGGCAACGGAGTTTGGTTGATCGTCCAAATAATCCTTGGTGAAGCTTCGCTCTTTCGGCTGGTTTGAGCTTGGGTTCAAGGCTTCCACATCGTTCTTCTCGCCAGTGATGGAAATCAGTGCTCCGTAAGCGTTGATGAAGTGGTCTGAGTATTCGGTACCAGACACCTTCTCCACTTCGGAGAAGGCATGGAGCACCAGGAAGGGATCCTCGCGCAGTCTTGCCTCGTTGAGCCTCTTGACCTCGTTCATAAACTTCTCTTGCTTGTCGCGGGCGTAGCGGTCTTGAAGGCCAGCTTGACCGCCCATGACAGATTTGTCCGACGACTCTCGTCCACCCAACACGCTTTGAGAGAGGCCGAGAACGGGCGGTCCGGCAGCAGACGCTCCAAAAGTCGATCTGCCATTCACAGAGGCATTGTTCGGGCCCATAGAGCGGCCCTTTCGGTTTGTAGTGCGTCCAAACGCACCGCGAGCTGTGCTGCCGAATGCGCTTTGTGATGCGGTCAAGTCCTCACTCTGTCTGCCCAGGCCAAAGTGCTCGTAAATCTTCTGGCGCTGCTTGTCCCATTCGATCTGGACATTATCCTCCAGGAAGGTGTCGAAGTCGCGTTTTGACTGCTCCAGTCCTTCCTGGATGAGTGCCAGGGTGGATTGAGAGTGCAAATTGGTGATGTAGCTGTCCACGTCGTTGTCGTTGTCGAAGAGATTTTGTGCCTGGGTAGTTGCAGCCAGACCGCCCTGGGACGAGAATTGGTTTAGGTCGCGGAGGGTGCTACCCATCTTCACACCAGAAGCAGAGAGCAGGTAGTGCCTGGAAAGAATCAGTATAGATTTACATGTCATGTGCAACCAACTTACGCAGCGCGATCTTGTCCGCGATCCTGGACCTGGTCCGCAGAGGGACCACCCGAGCCCAGATTACGCACTTTGCGGGCAATGTCTCCAAGTCCCAACTGCAGCGACGGCAGCTCATCAAAGTTGCTGGTGCCATTTTCGCCAGCATTCCGCTTTCGCCCGCGCTCGAGTAGGTGATCAAAGTGCGCTGAGCGGCCGGTACCTGCGTTCGCCTGAGATAGCGACGCGCCCGGTTGCTGCTGTTGCTGAGGCTGTTGCTGTGTTGAGGTAAAGAAGGAGGATTGGCCAAGGCCGCTCGTTTGCTGCGCATTGTTGGTCGTGGCTTGCGACGTCGCGTTGTTGTTGGTGTTGAACAGCGAGAAGCTGTTCGTTTGCGGTTGCGTTTGCGGTTGCGTACCGGTAGCTGTGCCAGCGCCAGCGAAGAGCGAAGGTGTAGTTGTCGCAGTCGATTTCGCTCCGCCCAGTCCACCGAAGATGCCTCCACCGCCTGTCGCCTGTGTCGTGCCAGATTGCGCATTCGAACTACCTCCACTGGTATTGCTAAAGAGGCCCGGTGTAGTACCGCTGGATGTGCCTGTTGCCGCTCCGCCCAGCCCACTGAAGAGTCCCCCACTGCTTGTCGCTTGTGTCGTGCCAGATTGCGCGTTCGAACTACCTCCGCCGAGATTGCTAAATAGGCTCGGTGTAGTACCGCCGGATGTGCCTGTTGTCGTTGAAAACAGTCCTCCGCCCGAGGTGCCACTTGAGGCAGGCTGCGCACCTCCGAGACCACTGAAAATTGACATTGTGGTCGCGTTGGGTGGTGTTGTTGATGGTACCGAAAACAAACCTGGAGGAACAAGATCACCTCGTTCAAGCTGCGAAGCTCGGGCCAACCACATCCCAGTCAGGTACCGCTCAACACCAGGTTTGGTTAAAGGACTAGTACATTACTCATGTCAAATATTTTGATATCGTGTATTGGTCTTGTATAACAGAAATCTGCCCAAACGATTATACACACAATCAATCTACAATCAGGCTGAATATGCATCCCTTCCACATACGCTAGCAAACGGTTGATGGTAAGTATGCGCCATTCATAAGTCTAGCTACCATACAGTTTTCTTGAAACCATTCCACTGCTACTCTTTCATTCCAACTCATCACCATGGCCGATTACATGCCTGCTCTTCCTGCATTCCTGCCCCAGCAAGACGGATGGAGGCATAGGCCAGCCCAATATCGGCACAACCCTTGTATGCCCAAAGGATGGTACCAAGACGGGCGAAAACTCCACAACGTGAAAACAGAAAAGGCTTTCGTCTGGCCAAAAGATGGGAGAAATGGTTCAAAATGGGGTCGGCTCAAGGACGTACTCCAAAACAAAGGGCCGGATATCTTCGTCGCCTTTGGTGCTCACAAGGCAGACTGCGTGTCTAATCGCCCATCCCGAGCTCAATGGGCCGGTCATGTACACCTCGACGACCGCGGTACGACACTCGGTTTCAATCCGCAAAAGTTTGCTCCGTGGACCGGAAATGGTATGCTCGGCGGAAGAGACGCTGGCCTCAGTTACGACTTTCGAACGCGGAAACATGTGGAACCCAACACGGATATGTGGACAGATGCAATATGGCAGGCAGAGCCATACAAAAACAGAAAGTGGAATAATTATCCGGAAGCTGTCCGCATGTGGAACGGCCGCTGGGTCCAAGACATTCAATATCTACCGTTTCCTTTTGGTAGACATAATGGAGTTTTCTGTGGGTAATAATAGTTTTGAGAAAGATGGCATAGTAAATCAGGTTAGGTCAGGCAACTCTCATGGAGTGCCTCCCATATGGTTTCTTGCGTTTCATTTGCAGCAGCGACTTGCTTGCTGCGTCTTGCAGTTGGTACCAGAGCTGCATCATCGAGTAATTTTCCGCATTTAGCGCACGATGTTCCTTTGATAGTTTTATACGCAGCAATCATATCCTGTGGTGGTTAGCATACTTATATAGTCGTACTACCATGATGAGGTCCGTTGGCTTACCAATATATGCTTGAGGTCGTTTGCGTGTGGGCGTAACCCAAGACATCGCGTGATAGCCAAAAAGGGCTCCGTTGTCCCCAAACACTCTGCATTCAGTTTGTGTCGACCGTTTGCCTCGCGCTCGATGCCAACGTGAAACCTTAGCGTGACCGGCCCAGAAACGAAGCGTGTCTATCAGATCGGTGAGAAAAATGAGTCAGGAGAGGGGACGGTCAGCGTACAGATATGCTGGTATTGTCGTCGGTTGTCTCCAACTTGAGATTTGGGTGAGACTTGCGGAACTCGATGACGATACGCGAAATTTCCTCGTCCGTGAGAATCGCGCCTGCGTCCTCTACATGCTCACTCTTGGTCTTTGTCGACTTCTTTGCCTTTCGCTCTCTTTCCACCCACCCGTGAGAAGGTACAGAGACACTCTCTGTCAAGTCGGGGTTCCCCTTGAAGCTCTCCTTGGCGTGATTAAGAATATTCTGCATCTCAGTTTCACTCCATTGTTCCTTGAAGGCTGCGAGGCCTTTGCTAGAGGTTTCCAAGCCCTGGCTGTAGAGTTTCCACGTCATGGGACTTGGGCGACGATGAAGGGGTTCGATTATTTGTGGTATCGCCAGGCGTAGGTCGTTGATCTATAGACCGTCAGTCTCGAGGTCTTTCGTACGCGTAATGCAGTCCCTACTTGAGCCTGGCGCTGTTCCAATAATGCGAGCGCTGCTGTACATTGAGCTTCGTCCCAGCCTGCGCCGGGCTGTGCTGCTTGGTTAGCGACCGTCATAAGGATATGCGCGATTAAGGAAAAATGGCGACGCGGGGGTTGAGGTTTTGAAGGTTTTGCAGAAAGATAAAGTGAATGTGGAAGAGAAATGGTGGGTGAAGTGGGACCAAGATTACATTGAAGCCGTGGACCGTTCCACGGTTCCAAGACAATCGGCTTCCCCACAACTCAACGCGCTTTCACGTGCTCACGCTCTGAGGTAGACTTCACATTTGTTAACAATCCACAACCACTATGCGCGACTTCACATACGTAAAATCCATATCTCACAGATGAGACGAAAACTCATTGCCAGAAACCAAGTCTTTGAACGGTGGCTGAATTAATGAGCGCAAGTAATTCCGGTACGCTTGCAAGATACAAAAAGATACAAAATATTCACACCCCATTTACAACTTCGACTTCTCCCTGAAAACCTTCTCTTGAGGTCCCAAAAGTGGATCGTATACATTCAATCCAAGAGTCTCATGTGGAACAGGTGCAGTATGCATGCTCAACCCCCTCGTATCAAGCATCGAAGGATTCAAGTCCGCAATGCTCGAAGCACCAATCAAGCGCATATTCATCTCCATTTCGTCCTTGAGCAGCTGCATAGCGCGGTCAACACCAGGTAAGCCGTACGCAGACATTGCGTATAGGAAAGGTCGACCAATGCCCACGCCCTTGGCACCCAGTGCTACAGCCTTGATAATGTCTGTTGCTCGTCGTACACCGCCGTCAATGTAGACCTCGATGCGATCTTGCCAGCCGCGTGCGAGAAGGACGGGCATGACTTCAGCCAGGACTTCTACAGCAGAGCAGGCAAAGTCGAGCTGACGACCGCCATGGTTCGAGAGTACTACGCCGTCCACGCCAACTTCGACGGCGCGGATGACGTCCTCGATACATTGCAGGCCCTTGAGGATGATGGGCATCTTTGTGATGCTCTTAAACCAAGGGATGTCCTTCCAGCTAAGGCTCGGATCAATAAAGGACGAGATGGCTCGCGTGGCGCCTTGGCTGCGGTCCACGTTGTCTCCGCCAGTGCTCTGTACGTTGCTGCCTACATCGTGGAATTTGCTGCGCATGTCCTTTTCGCGACGACCGAGCTGCGGCGCATCGACCGTGATGAAGAGGCCCTTGCAGCCGCGCTTCTCGGCATGCTGCACAATTCGCTTTGTGACTTCTCGGTCCTTGTTCACGTATAGCTGCAGCCATTGTACTTGGCCGTCTTTTGCCTCGTCGACAATCTCGTCGAAGGAGCAGGACGCCAGTGTTGGGATCATCTGGATCACGTTGTGCTTGTGTGCGCCGCGTGTGAGGATGACTTCTCCCTCTGGGTTGCCGAGCTTTCCTAATGCTGTCGCCGTGACATAGAATGGTATATCGCACTTTGTACCGAGCATCGTGGTGGACATGTCGACTTTCTCCACGTCGACGAGAACGCGTGGTCGGAACCAGATCTTGTGGAATGCGCTGTGGTTTTCTCGTAATGTCTGTCCGAGTGTCAGCCTACTATACGGGTAAGCAATGGTCTGGAGGACTCACGATCTCGTCGTCGGCACCGCTCGAGTAGTATGCCCATGCCGTCTTCTTCATGACCTTGCGCGCCACGGCTTCAAAGTCCATGAGGTTGTAGCATTGCTCGAGGATAGGCATGCGCTCGATGCGCTTCTGTCGCTCTTTCTCATCAGGGTCAACTTCCTTCTCCTCTTCCTGCACCGTGTTCATGTCCACCTCGCCCAGGTGCTTCGACTTGTCCAGATACTTGTCGAGCGTGTCGGGTGGGTGAATAGGCTCGTATGCTTCCGTCGCATCTTTGCCGGCATATTTGAGGATGATTTTGGAACCGCCCGGGTGCTCAGGTAGGAACTCAGTCACGTCGTATGCGCGGCCATGGACAATGACCCAGCAAGACTCGACATTGCTGTGCTCGGCGACCTGCTCGCCCGTGAGCTTGACCTTCTGGGTATCATTGCTAGCGCGATTCATGGCGGCGGTCAACGTACAAACAACAACAACAACAACAACAGCGCAAGATCAATGGGATGGGACAAGGTTGGTACGGAATGTTAATTGTGCTGTAATCAACAACTATGGATAGGCTAGAAAATATATGGGGTCGACGATTTGGGTTATTTCCAGGCACTAAGAGGCTGGGGTAGCGGAAGGACCAGGTTGGTGACGGCAAATCGACATGCTCGGTCTCTTCGGTACATTCGTCCCCGCTCGTCGGAGAAGTGCATGCCCCAAGACGGCCGGGGATAAGGGTTGTCGGATTGAGTAATCCGCGTCGGGTCGGAGACGTATACATAAGGCTTGCCAGTGTCTTGGTGCATGTACTGTACGATTACTGTTCTGTACCCCAAAACCAGGTGAGATGAGGTCAGGCGGGGAAAACACAGACACAGCAGCACCTTGACAGACACAGACTGGCTGGCTGTGCATGACGTGCATGGTTGCAGCGATTTGATGGCGCAACATGTGTAATCAACAAAGTCGCATCCTAACCCGTTTGCAAAGCCCGTTTTCACGATCACGATGGCAGTTTGATTTCCCCATCATCAGCGATTTCCTACCGCTTTTGATTCACATTGGCCCGCGGCGTCCATCACATGGCTCCTCTAGCCAAGCCAGTGGCTGCAAGCGCCAAACGCAGCGGGCTGTGTCACTTGGGTGACTGACTCTCTCGTGCCTAAACTTTCACAGTGACAGTGACAGCGAGAGTGAGTGGGCTCTACGTCAATGTCGTCGTCTTGAACTGCACGCCATGCCACTTGTCTACAGCAGCCCGCCATCAACGCACTTTCTCACCCACGCCCGCGCATAGCCAGCAAGAGTGACGGTCCAACCCCACAACGACCGTCTCACCCAACGAACCCCTGCACTAAAGTCGGCCGTCCGTCAACGCGTCCACGCCGAAAGTCCTGGACCAGCGACGACGACACCTTCGCAAGCCATGGCCAACAGTCTCGAGGCCAAGATCGTGGTGCTCGGAAGTCAAGGTGTGGGCAAGACGTCGCTCGTGCACCGCTACGTCAAGAATGCCTTCACGCCGCCCACGACGCAGTCGACCGTCGGCGCATCTTTTCTAACCAAAAAGGTAACTGACATCGACACGTCGACCGTGGTTCGCCTGCAGATATGGGACACGGCTGGCCAGGAACGCTTCCGCTCCATATCAAAGTTATATTACAGAGGTACGGCCCTCAGCTTCTTCTTCTTCTTCTTCTTCTTCTTCTTCTTCTTCTTCTTCTTCTTCTTCTTCTTCCCTTTTCCAACCGCTCCTGGTAGCTGGCCTGAGACAGGCGACCACTGAGTGACCCCCCCGCTCAAGTGCCGAGGTCACCACGTTACCCTCGATCCCTCACCATAGAGCTAACCCCGTCTTCGATAGGCGCAAATGCTGCGGTACTGTGCTATGACATCACCGATCCGCAATCCTTTGACGAAATGGGCCGCTGGTTCAAGGAGCTCAAAGCGAACCTCGGAGACGACATCATCCTCCACGTCGTAGGCACAAAATCCGACGTTGTAGCCCAAGACCCCTCGAAGCGAAAAGTGCCGTTTGAACGCTGCATCGAATACGTAGCCGAGAACCTGTATCCCGCACAACAAAACGGACAAGCACATAATCCCCACTCTACCACCACCGGCTGGGGCTCTCTGCCCGCTGCCTTTCACACGGGTGGCATGGCGTCGCCGCAGAGTAATCGGTCGAGTGGGTTTTGGGGCCAGGATCTCGGCTGGGACTGCTGTCATGAAATCAGCGCAAAGGATGGTGAAGGTGTAGACGAGGTGTTTCGCGTTATCACGCGCAAACTGGTTGAGCAGCAGCAGAAGAAATTCGAAGCCGAGCACCGACAACTTGTCATGGCGGGCGTTACACCAGCCATGGATAACAATGGCAATGTGACGGGCTACTTCGACTACCCGGCCACTGGCAACGGTAGCTTCCGCGTCGGCGCTGGTGATAAGAGGAGGAGCTGGTTGGGGTTTCCGACTACACCTGGTGCTCCTGTTCACCACCACCACCAACAAGACTGGGAGGAAGATATTAGTCGGGCGCAGCAGAACAAGAGTGGGAGGTGTTGCTGAACACAGCCTAATACTCGGACTTTATGTCTGTTGCGTTTTTTCTCGGGCTGCGGCCAGACTGCCCATCTCTGCTTCTTCACTCCTAGTGAGGCCGTTATCAGGATTAAGATTCCGTTCGAGATACCCTCTTTTTCTTTTCTTTCCTGTTCTCTTTTCCCTTTACACGACTTTAGTCACGGCAGGCTCTTTTTTTCTTCCAACTGAACAGTCACAGGCAAGCAGTCTCCGAGCATGCATTAGACTGGCTTCCTTCCATTTTCTTATGTGCTTCTTTCTTTGTAGCGTCTCAGCGTAGCATTTGCCAGTTTTTTTCTTTTTTCTTTCACGAGTTTAGTAGCGTTTGCATGTTTTCTGGTTCAAGGCTTTTCTTACTTATGAGTGTGGTGTCGAACACTTTTTTTTTATGAGTTTAGCTGGAAACTACATTTCTTCATGTCTGTAATGTCAAATCACGTATGGCTGATGCGGTTCAAGGGGTTGTGAATTAATGGTCTTGGTGTCCATGTTTGTCTATGTGTGATGTATGAATCGGCCGTATATCATGATATGAAGCAAATATGCTCAGTCTAAACTCCGATAAGTAGAGGTATATCCCTTAGTCTTTAAAACAACAATCTCGCACAGCGCCACTCCATCATCTTCATACATCCTTCTCCCCCGCAAAAACCTTAACCCCAAACTTCCACACCTCATCCACCACAACCCTCCTCTCCCCCTCCGCCCCATCCCGCAAATCCAGCACCACCAAATCCGCATCCGCGCCCTCCCTCAACGACCCCTTGACACCCTGCAACCCCAACATCCTCGCCGGCGTCTCGGTAACCGCCTTGATAGCCTCCGGTACACTCGCGCCCGTCCAATTCAAAAAGTTCGTCACACAATCCACAAGCTGTATACTACTTCCTGCAATCTTGCCGTTCTCCTCCAGCGTAAGCAGGGGACCTTGCTTAACAATGCGCGACCCGTTTGTCCAGTCATACGTGCCATCTGGCATACCCGCCAGACGCATAGCATCGGTGACGAGGATGAGGCCGTCGGGGTGGGCGTTGTATGCGATTTTGATGGATGTGGGGTGTAGATGGATGCCATCTGCTATGATACCGAAGAAGGGTTTCTGTATCGTGGACGACGGGGTACCTAGTAGACCGAAGATACCGGGGTTACGGTGGTGTAGCGGTCGCATGGCGTTGAAGAGGTGGGTTATCATGCTTGCGCCGGAGCGGATGCTGGCCTTTGCTTCTTCGTAGGTGGCTTCCGAGTGGCCGATTGAGACGGCGATGCCGCGGGCGGCGAGGGGGGGGATGGTGGCTAGGGCGCCGGGGAGCTCGGGGGCGAGGGTGATGAGGGAGATGGGCGAGGGGGAGTGCAGGTTCGAGGGGCCGTAGCAGGCTTCCAGGGAGGAGATGCCGTGCGTGGGTTCGAGGAGGACGGTGGTGTTATGGATGCCGTTTTTGGTGGGGCTGAGGAAGGGGCCTTCGCAGTGGGCGCCGAGGGACTCGGAGCCGTAGGTTGCATCTCGGGTGGCGCCTGAGGGGCCTAGGAAGGGGAGGGCGGTTTGGTATACGGAGGGTAGTTGGGAGGTGAGGGTTGGTAGGTAGGATGTTACTCCTGTTGCTACCAGACTTCGGTTCACTCGGTGGACCCCTTTGACGTATGCTGATGGGCCTTCTTCTGGGATGACGGAGAAGTCGAAGCCATAGGCGCCGTTGAGTTGGGTGTCGATGAAACCGGGTGAGAGGATGCGGCCGCCTAGGTCGACAATCTCTTCGGGGGCGGTGCGGTGTTCGTAGAGTATTTCTTGTCCGTTCAGTATCTTACCGCTGGTACTGCTCACCCAGAGATCTTCGTTGACCAAAGCATCGCCTTTTACCAGCAAGCAGTTGGTGAACTTGATGACGCCAGAGGAGTTTTGTTGATGCGCAGGAGCATCGCGGATCGGAACAATTGAAGGCATCCTGGGGGGGTGGAGGTACAAGATGACAACTGGGAACAAGACTTGACAAACAAGATAAGATGAACGCAGACTTGAGAATATGAAGACGTCCGGAAATGGAAGGAACGACTGGTCATGTACGAATGAGCAGATTCAACCACTCTCGTGATGAGCTACATCTTACCTATCCACTGCTATCGCGAACCGATGTCAACGTCGTCTTTTCGCCGACGATGCCCCTCCATCGCCAGCGGGCAAAGTTACCCCTCGTGGACCTGTTTTTTCGCCGTCATGTTGCACGCTGCGGGTTTGCACATGATGAGTGGATACTACAAGTGAGGTGACACAGCGATGACAGCATCACAACAGTCCCGCTCCGGATGCATCACGGAGCAATGTGAGGTGGCATCAAGGTGGATGTGACTATCAGATAGCGGAGAAAAGGATGGTGTAACGATGCGGGTTCAGGTTGCGATAGCGTCTCGCTAAGCATCAAACCCCGGCTCGAGGCGGCGTGAATGCTACGGTGCCATCTTCCCCCATCTTTCATCCACCATACCCATCTGCGAGTCATATCCGACTTCGGTGTACGCCCGAGACCTCACGTCGCATCCCGAAAAGTTCGACGCGTCGCGACGAGCCACTGCCATCATGGGGGGCAAGGCCGAGAAGATGGACCCGGTATGGGACGATCTCGATAGGTGAGCCATGGCATCCATCTCCAACTTCTCCAAACCAATGCGCAATGTCTTCCAGGGTTCAACTAACGCGCCCCCGTGATGCAGGACTATGGTGGGTCGCTTCCGCACAAAAAGTGTCGCGGCAGGATTCGCTAACGAGGGTTCGTTGTAGGGCCAACTGTTCATGATGGGCTTCGATGGCACGTCGGTTACTCCGCACATCCGCACGCTGATCGAGCAACACCACGTTGGCTGCATACTGCTCACTGCCAAGAATTTAAAATGTGAAAACAACCACGTGCTCAATCCGTGACCACTTCGGACTTCCGAATCCACTTACTAACCTGCTTGCAGCCGCCGAAGACACGACCAAGCTCATTTATGAGTTGCAGAAGATTGCTCATGACGCCGGCCATCCGGTTCCGCTGGCGATTGGCATCGACCAGGAGAACGGCGGGGTGAATAGTCTTTTCGATGACATCTATATTCGACAGTACCCTAGCAATATGGGCATGGCGGCAACAGGCTCGACCGACCTAGCATTCGAAGTAGCAAAGTCGACTGCGCAAGAGATTGCTGCCTGTGGTATCAACTGGATTTTCGGCCCGTGTTTGGATGTACTCACCAATGCAAGAAACCAGCCACTAGGCGTGAGAACGGCTGGCGATGACCCCCAGGAAGTATCTGCCTTTGGTGTCGCGTTCATGCAGGGCTACAAAGATGCCGGAGTGGTGACTTTGGGTAAACACTTCCCTTCCTATGGCAACTTAGAGTTTCTGGGCTCAACACTTGATGTGCCCATCATCACAGAGTCTCTGGAGCAATTGAGTCTAAGCGCTCTGATTCCCTTCAAGAGGGCCATCGAAAAGGGTCTCGACTCGATGATGGTCGGCGGATGTGCCATGTCATCAGCTGGATTGAACGCCATGCATGCTTGTCTGTCCGAGCAGGTTGTTGACGAACTACTTCGAAAAGACCTAAACTTTGACGGTGTGGTCGTTTCCGAGTGTCTGGAGATGGATGCGCTAAGTCACAACATTGGCGTAGGCGGCGGCACAGTGATGGCTGTGAATGCTGGTTGCGATGTGGTGCTCCTTTGCCGTTCCTTTTCACTACAACAAGAAGGACTGAAAGGCCTCAAGACCGGCATCGAAGGTGAAATGGTGTCCAAAGAGCGCATCTTCAACTCACTTAGGCGCGTGCTAGCCATGAAGAAGAAGTGTACGTCTTGGGAGAAGGCATTAAATCCTCCTGGAATCAACTACCTCGAAAAGCTACAGCCTTCCCATACTGCCCTGTCAACAAAAGCATACAACAGCTCCATCACAGTGGTGCGCGATAAGAATAGGCTTCTGCCGCTGACCAACATACTCGAAAGTGAAGAGGAGCTTCTTCTACTGACGCCCTTGGTCAAGCCCCTGGCTGCATCAGCTGCATCGCGAGCAATATCCGACGCTGCTAATGGAGCCGCCAGTCACTCACCAGAACCAGCCTCTTGGGACCGAAGTTCGTCCGTCATGAGTGGAGAGCGAGTCTTTAGGGAGCTGGGTCGATCTCTAGCTAGACAGCGCAATGGGCGGTTACTGCATACATCATACACGGCGAATGGTGTTCGACCTGTCCACGAGAGTCTCATCAGCAGAGCGAGTGCGATTATTGTTCTCACAGCAGACGCCAACCGGAATCTCTACCAGCACGGCTTTACCAAGCATGTCTCCATGATATGCAATACGCAATACACAACGGGTGGTGAGAGACGTGAGAAGCCTCTGATTGTTGTTGCGGTCAGCTCACCATACGATTTTGCCATGGACACCAGCATCGGGACCTACATATGCACATACGACTTTACGGAAACTGCACTGAATTCCTTGGTAAGAGTACTATATGGGGAAATGTCGCCTTCGGGGACTTTGCCTGGCACCATCAGTAAGAGCCAGAAATTACATCCCTCGAAACAACACTGGCTGGTCGAGATCTTCAACGAAGAAAGAGATGGAGCTGCTCTAGACACCCTAGTCACAGCTGTTGTAGAGAGCACATCGCCGAACCAAAGATCAGAGTTGTCAAGTGCGACGTCCAGTTCATTCATTCTACATCACCCGGAAGTGGAAGAGTCACATTTCGTCGTCAGGAACAGCAGCACGCAAGCACTTTATGGCTTCTGCTCAACATACTTCTTCAAGGCTACTGGTACTGGTGTTATCGGAGCACTTTTCGTGGATCCAGCGAGGAGAAAGCTCTCCATCGGTCATTCTCTGCATAACCGGGCGATTCGGACTCTCCTGCAGAAAGAAGGCGTCAAACGCTTCCAGTTGGGCTCTCGTCTTCCAAGCATGTATCTCGGTATCCCGACCGGACACGGCAACGAGCGGAAACGTTTGCGGTCATGGTTTGCTCAGCTGGGCTGGGGAGCTGCACTCTCCCGTCCGGTTTGCAACATGGTAGCGCGTAATCTGCAGACGTGGTCTCCACCCCCTGGAATGGCCAAGAGCCTGGCAAGTGCAGGTGCACAGTTTGACCTCGTATACGGATGGGATTACGCAGGACCGATACTTGACCACATCAAGACCAGCAATCGCCAAGGTCTGGCAGAGGTGTACAAGCTGGCGCTTACCGATCCAACGGCTTGTGGAATCATACGGGCGAAGCGGCCAGAGGATGGGGCGTTGGTGGGTACAGTCGTCCTATACAACAACCACTCACGTCTGGCCGAGTACATACCTCCGCTGAAGGATTTGAATGAGGCAGCCGGAGGTATCTCCTCGCCTGTCATCTCGCCTGGTGTTGGCGAGTACTCGACACTACTGCAGGGGTTGATCCTCCTCGGCATGCGGCAGATTAAGCAGCTAGGGTGCAATGCCTGCTTGCTAGATTATGTAAGTACCCGTAGGGCTGTATCACAACCACATACTAATACAGCCAGATGGATGGCGATGGCAACTTTGACGGCTTCTCAGCCATGGGCTTCGACGTCATGCACAATTTTGAGGAAGTGAGCTGTGACGCGGCCACGTGGACCATGATTCCACCGGCTTGATCTTGATGCAGCATTTTGCTTGGTGTTTTAGGAGTTTATTGACCCCTATGTAGTAATGTGTCGTCTGTTTGGATGGAACTGGCGTTGAGTTGGCGTCTGGTGGTAGCGATCTGATGTCATCATAGAAGCGTAGCCGGCACCTTGATAGGGTCGGATAATTTGTACGAAAGCAACTCGCGGGCTCCCCGTGCGTATGCAAGCAGCTTTGTTTAGATGTATGCGTGTCGCAGAGCACATGCTTTCCAAGTCCTTGTCCAGTTTCCCAGGATGTGTCGAGCTGGCTACTCCTTTCCAGGCGTGGGCCTCGGCTTATCCTGCCGGACGGGCATGGGATATACGAGCTTAGCTTCAGTTGAAAGCGAACTACTGCACACGTCGGCCGATGGGCTGGAATGGGACTTCTAGAAAAAAGTAATGACGGTTCGTCTCTTTGCTGCATAGGGCTGACATGTTGATCGAGGACGTCGGATTAGAGGTGCTTGTCGACTTATTTTTAACAGCACCTGAGCGGGTCCCTCGTCCGCAGGCTGAGCCAGAGCCGCCACTGGTGTGATGGCGCATGTTGATCGCGGTTCGGCTTATGTTGCGCTTGGGCAAGCCCTACCGAGCATGTCCTCGTACTCGCACGGAGTCGTTGTGGAAGGACTGTAGATCTCTATATACAGTCATGTTTTGATGACTGCGGTTGGCATTCGGGCTTACACCAAGCTTATCGGACATGGTTTTGGCCTAGGGAGCCCCACCGGCAAGGCGGGACCCTTGGTGCAGCCCATCCGAGCTTGGTCAGTGCATGTGATGGTTGTTGTCGCACAGCTTCAGCAGTCGGCGCAGTCGCCAGCTACAGCGTTATTGCTTGGTGCCCTCTCCGTCTGAGTCGCCGTCGTTGTCCGTCGCCTGTCGTCCATGGTCCGTCACCCGTCGCTCGTGGTGTCGTGTATGCAGTTGTTGTCGTTGGCCGCCGCCCGTCACCAAAGTGCGTCAGCCGCATCGTCCGTCCGCATCTGATCCGCGAGCTCGTCGGCCGCATCTCTCCACCACCACCAACCCCAGAGAGTCCGGCAAGCCGTCGCCGAAGCACGACAATCCGCCGCTCACGTGCTTGCCACTTCACGCCCACCCGCGACTGCTCATCAAGCCGCTCACTGCTGGTCTGTGTCGCGCGCATGCGCCGAATCGACACCGAGCCCGTTGAAGACCACGGCAAGGCCGTCTTAAGCCATGGAGCACTTTGACACCAGCACCATGTCGTACATGCCAATGCCACTACCTCTGCAGACGGTTACTGGGCCTGACCAGCAAATCGCCATGCCCATGGTGCCTATGGACCAGTATGACCAGCGTTCGACGTTTGATGCCGAGACGTTTATCGGGTAAGTCCCCAGAAGCGATACCTGCCGCCGTTGCTGAAGATGCCCCCAGAAGCGAGGATGCCTATTCCACATACCACCTCCAGCAACTACCACCACAACTCAAGCGCTATCCCAGTGCCTACGAGGACCCCTTCTCAGACGTCCAGAGCGGCTACGAGCAGTCCATTCACCCACACGAGCCCAATGGCGTGCCAGAGAGCCCCAGCATCGAGAGCAATAACAAGCTCCTCAGCTTCTCTCTCCCCGTCATGCCCTACACCATCCTCACATACACCATGCAACGAGTCTCCATCTCCATGTCCGCCCAGCTTCATGGCATGTTCTTCCTGGCTGAGTCGCCTTGGGCCACTGCAGCAGACGTCCAGGCGCCATCCGAGTTGACTTGCTACAGGCGCAACCTCTTCCAAATCACCGGCACCATCACTCTCCCTAGGAACTTGCAGTTTCTCATGACCGAACAGGGAGACCAAATACCAATCTTGGGCCAGGAACTCACCATATCTGCAACCGAGTCGCTTGAAGGCAACCCGGTCAAGATAATATCAGTCCCCTGGAAAACACCCGCCACCAGCACTGCGCCTGTAGAAGACAAGACGGAAAAGGAACCCCCGACGTACCCACTCGATCTCTCAGCAGGCCAAGACATGGATTCAGAATACGTCAGCTTTCCCATCAGCTGGAAGCGACTACAGTTCCGAATAGCAACTGCCAACAACGGACGGCGGAAAGAACTGCAACAGCACTTTGTGGTACGACTAAAAGTGGTAGCAACACTAGCTAGCGGCGTCAAAGTACCCATATGCGAGATCCAATCCGGCGCTATCATTGTGCGCGGCAGAAGTCCGCGCAATTTCCAGGCGCGCAAGGACATGCCGATTAGCGGAGGAACAGCAGCACGAAAGGTGCACACACCACAGCAATCTAGTCGAACGCCAACGGGTGACACGAACCAAAACACACCCAAGCAGACGCAAGCCCAGCCCGCACCGCCCTCGAAACCGGCGGATTTGTTGCAGATGCCCTTTGACTTTAGCGCAACCGATATTCCACCATCACCTGACTTTGCCTGGAAAGTTCCCGCCGGCGCCATGACTGCCATACCCGCAGACCCGCCTTCGTCTCAAATGCACCACGCCACACCGTACGCGCAGTCAACACCCGAAGTCCCTAGGGGTGTCCTCCCCAAGCGCGCGTCAATAGCGCCCGTCTCCCTCTCCCTCACAGACGACGAACCACCCAAAGCACCTTCTCCCAACGAGCAGCACAGAAAACGCGCAACGCCAGTACGGCCACCTTCCTTCTCCATCGGCGTGGTCAATAGTCCGGATGAAAGCGCAGATTTACTGTACGAGTATTTCCCGCTTGGTCTCGATGACTGGATGCCGCCTGTTGATGCGGTTTATCGGCCGCATGTTGTTCATCATATTACGCCGCTGCCGCAGGATTCCAAGATTGATGCTGGGAGGACGAGGTCGAAGCGGTATTTTTCGGATGCTTGGTGAGTGAGGGGTGTGTGGTAAGCGTTGTGTGATGTGATGTGATACCCCTTGTCATGGGAGCGGCGTTGGCTGCAATGCTTGATGAGACGGCTGAGTGGGTGGTGGAGGCTGGAGAGTGGTTCATACACTTTCTTCCTGTTTGTTGCCTTGGGGAGGAGCCAAGTAGACGTTTCCACTGCGACTTGTCCCAGGGATGATGACGGTCAAGTCGGGTCTGTCGTCGTCGTCGTCGTCGTATCGCTCCTCGTAAGTAGTCGATCGAGCAAGACAAGGACGATTCGAATTCGAATTCGAAACATGGCAGCAGCCGTTACATTTTGGGGGTTCTTCAGGATACCGAGATGCAACGGCCGAAGAAGAAGGCGAAAGCCGCGGTTCATGCAGGGGAGTAGAGTCGGGTGGGCAAGCGAGCTGAGCTGAGCTGGCTTTCATATGTATAGCCGAGGCGAAGTCTCTCTCTCTCTCTCTCTCTCTCTCTCTTAGTCCAGTCAGCAATAAGATTAAGATTAAGATTAAGATTAAGATTAACAAAGGAGGCAAGGTTACGTTACGGCAATGAGAACGGGAATAGGTGATGTGTCGATCAGTTGGGTTGGCTTCGGTACGGTTCGGTTCGGTTCACTTCGGTAACTGCAAGAGCGTTTTCAACGAATGGGATGATATTTCCTTTTTATCTTTTCCACTTTCATACGTATACGGGTCTTGAAGGCGAAGGAAAAGCTAGATTTTACAATTATACCACGTTTTTATTTTTGGGACTGGAGTTTGGCGTTGATTGTGGTAGTGGCAGTCAGTACTCATGCTTTTATGCACAGTTTAAGGTTTCCATGTTCGCATCTCACGTCCAGTATATATGAAATTACGTTGATAACTAGTCTTGGGCATCACAATCTCGCTCGTTTGTTTGTTTGTCTGTTTGTCCGTGGGTTGTTTGTGAGGTTGCAAGGCCTAGTTAGTTGACGCTGACATGCGTCTGGTTGTCTCGTGTCGTCTTGTTTTACGTAGTCTATCCATCTGCCTTTTATGCGTCCTACCTTTTTGTCCGTGTCCGTTTGTCACCTAATGGTTGGCTTGAGTATGGTTATGGTTACAGGGTTACGTGGTCCGTAGTCTATAGTCGATGTCAAGTTGATAAGTACTACCCATTGCTTCCTTGTCCTCTCTCTCTCCTTCTATGGTACTCAGACGATTGTAAACTCCCCTAATACTGCATCTTTATATTAATGTGAACATTTTCCTTCTTTCTTTTTTACAAAGAACAAGTAAGATGCCGCATAAGTATTCTTCTGTTAATTCCTCTTTCGCTTTCGGTTTGGTTTGATTTGGTTTGGCTTCGGTGTCCATTCGGTCGTAAGCACAACAACCACACCCACTTCTTACGTATCGTTTTTCCCCGCATTTCTTTCGGTGTATCGAGCTGTATTGAGTCGGCTGTGGTGCTGATCGTGCGTGGTGTTACATTCGGTTTTGCTGCTGTTGGTAATGTGCATGTGCATGTGGTAGTTTACCTGTTTAGTGGTTAAATTGACAGCATTTTATCACGCGTCAGGGGTCGGGGTCTGGGACCAAGTACCGCTGATCTAATTGCTCGGCGGCTTCGGCGGCGGCGGCGGTGGTGATCTAGATGTTCGGTCGTGGTGGTGGTGGTGACATGTTACAGTAGCATTGCATCGTGTGCGTTGCCGTTGTGTGATGATGGACGAGATGATTTTCCATGTTTGTCGATGAACGGCGGTAAGCAGGAAAAAGGGAAAGAGAGAGGATTTGCTGGTTAGATGGGGGCGGTATACCGGTCTTCACGAGTTAGGGTTCATGATCTAGGAGTAAATGCATGTTGTGAAAGAGAAGATACACAGTTTAGACAAGTCATAGTAACGTAAAACTAAACGGACGACAGAATAATCCACGTAATACACCTTTTGTTGGTTGGCTTTGCACTAAGTGCGTAAAGGGAAATAACGATAACTAGGAATGCATTCTGTTCGGTGGTTCTAATTGATATCTACGAACATAGGTGCTACGAAGGTATACCTAAGCTCTTGCGCAAGGTGGGCCGAAGTCGGGCCGAAGTGTCCAGCAGCCGACGTCTCTACCGATACTCACGATCCGACACCTTTTGTTATTCTTTATAATCCACCTACCTACCTACCTAGCTACAACAAAAACACTATTTAGATCGAGATTAACCAAGATAAATCCAGCCCAGGACTACTGCGGGATATAATATCAATACACCACATAGTCTGATTAGCTAGATAGAAACTACCACCAACCACCAACTATCACTTTCCCTCGCCTCGGTACCTGCATCACCATCACCATCGCCATCTACCTCCCCTACTCTCTACATCCTACTCACATAGCCTAGCTGTAACCTTAGCCGCACGTAATCAGCATCCCTTTAGCCAAGTATCCACCTACACTACCCACACTATCCACCTACGCTACATACAGTAAGCACCTTAATCCAAGCTAACACGGAGCAACACGGAATACCACCCCCCTCTCACCCACCCAATCCAGCCTAGTCTAGCCTAGTCTACCTCCCACTTGCTCGCTCGCTACTGTAACACGCCACCCCAAAAGTCTTGGTATTTGGAGGTACCTAAGAAACTTGGAGAGATTTGGAGACTAGACGGAGAAGGCGAGGCGAGGCGAGGCGAGGCGAAGCGAGGCGGGATGGCAGGTAGGGTAGGCAGGTAGGTAGGTACTACAGTTTCATCATCGTGTTACCAATGAGTGTAGTGTTTGGTGCTTGTTTCTTCTCGGCGTTTGCCATCGTTGTTGTATCAAGGAATTTTCCGCGTATGTTAGCGTGCTAGCGTTACTGTGTTTGAGGGATGAAACGTGGGGGTTTTGATTGCACGGTGAACATGGATGAATGAATGAATGAATGGATGGATGGATGGATGGATGGATCGTGATGGTTTTCTTATTATTCATGCGGAAAAAGTGTGTGTGTGTGTGTGTGTGTGTGTGTGGAAGGAGGAAGTTTCCCCCATATGCATACCGCCATCTCTCATGTATCTAAAGTTGAACCGCGGAAAACTTCGCTAATGCATATATACAAAAAAACCAAACCAAGAAAAAATTGTGGGGGTTATTCGTCGAAGAAAGAAGAAAAAGAACAACACCATTTCTATGACTGCCCCTCTAGACAGCACACAGCAACCGCCGCCCCATAAATCGCCGATTCAACCGCAATTTCCAGAGAAATCGTCTTTGAATCCGCCCCGGAAGCAGCCGTCAGTTCGTGAAGATGCGACTGGCATAATTCGCGGAAAAAAGGATATTTCTCAATAACTGACCCGTTGCATCCGATGCTCATCCGACCAGCGGACGCGGGGGTCAGACCTTCGGATTTCGTTCGAAGAGCCCATAACGCATGGATGCCTGTAGCGAGAAAGGCGGCTGCACGGTGCGAGACGAGCTGCGAGACCTGGCGGACAAACTGAATGTCGTTGTATGTCGGCGGTTTGCTGAGAGCATGTTTGGATTGAAAAAGAGCCGTGGCGTTGGCTAGGTATTTGGAATTATCCATTTCCATGGCGGCGATGGTGCCGGTGTCCAGGGTATAAGGTTCGGCTAGTTGGTCGGGAACCTCGCCGCTGAACAAGCCGGCTGTTCGGACGGCTTCGACGATGATTAAGCGCACGATTTCTCCCATGTAGCGGCCGCTGATCATGTGCTCAAAGGGCTGGAAGTCCGGGCGGAGATGCGCGTTGTTTAGCTGTTCGTCCCATCGAGTCGTGGGGAAGATGTCTTTGCCAAACATGCTGCACTCGGTGTTGACGAGCACGTGGGTGGCTTCGTCTAGCCATTGCTGGGGGTAGCCTTGGTACTTTGTACTTGCGAGTGATGATACGGGTAAATGCACGGAGATGTTGAAGCCTGTTCCTAGGATGACTGCGAAGCGTGTTGATGGGTCTTCGTAGGCACGTGATAATAAAGTCGCAGACGAGTCGTTGACGATGGAATCCATGTGTACGGGGAGGTTCTGTGACATGTTAGTGCATGTCTAGTGTTTTACAGACACTAACAAAACGTACCCTCTTTCTGCATGGCGCCATGATCAACTCACTTAGATCTTGGCCCAGCAACCCCTCAGTTGCGCGAAACCCCTTGCCCATGTCTAGCAAGTTGGCACTGCGGCTGGATGTTTGTCTAGAAACAGTCAGTCGTGTAATAGAAACATGAACATGACACTTACTGTACAGGAAATGACCACGCCAAGCCCATGGGAAAACTCCGAGTGCTGGTTGAGCTCTGCAATTGCGGATCTGCGAGGGCGTGCTGTATCTTTTCGGCCATCCATTCGAAGAAATCGTTTCCACGTCGTTGCCGAACAGTTTCATCAATCTTGTAGCTCTTCATGACAATGATGCGCATGTTCTTAGCACCGGGCTGTCTTCCGTTCAACTCCACAAGCGCAATGCGGAACGTGGAACCGCCGACATCGAGAGCCAGGTAGGTACCTTTCTCACATCCAGAAGGCAGCTTGTGGTTGTAAGACGGCAGCATACAAATGTCGCTGGCTTGCAATTTTGGGGCGAATTGTGCCTGCAACTTTGCGGACATGTCCAGGAGTTTTGAAGCTTCCAGTGGTTCTTCTAGCAGTCGCTGGATTTCGCGCAAGAGGTCGTCCATGGTCCGGTCATATGTGCGGACTGCATCTCGTGTGCGTTTCCGTGGGGTAAGTTTGGGAAGCACCGAGTGCAGCATCGATGGCAACATGGTGATTCTTTCCAGAGCAGCAAGGAGTCCTTGCCAAAAGTCAATCATGAGCTGTTTGTATGTGCAATTTTTGGAGTCGCCGGTTGTTGTTAGGCAGGCGTCACGGGAGCCGTGTGAGTCCGTGGCAAGAGCGGCGCGGCGAGTTTTGAGGCGTCTGGGCATCAGAAATGGCATCAAAACACACTCGCTGGGTGAAAGATGACGACGAAGTCGGCCAGAGCGAAAGGAAAAGTAGTTTGTCGGCGTTATATCAAACAAGCATTAATCAGCAAGGTTGTGTTGGAAGCCAGCGGATCTGGTAATGCACGGAGACAAGATGTGGGCCAGTGACATTAGCAAAGCGATGTCGCAAAAGCTCTCAAGCATGGTTGTACGGGCTTGTCAGAAGATTAAAGACGTCGTATCCGCTAGAGGACGCAGGAAGAGACTGCTCCGCGACTGGCGTAGGAGGCCGCGGCTTGGAGACGGCAGAAGAGGCAGGTAAGGGTGGGAGGGTCAAGGGAGAGGTTTAGCCGTAGACGCCAGGTGTAGTGTCCGGGAGCAGGACGGCGTTTCGCTGGCGCCAGGCACGCTCGATGGACAGGCGAGTTTTGGCGTTGCTGTCATGGCGAGCGTTGGTGGGGTTTCGTAGGAAGTCTCCTCCTTACGGCCATTGCTACCGTTACAGTCGGCGAGGCCCGCTAGCCTGCATTGGGACCGCAAATCTAGCCGTACGCGTAGGCGATAGGACTCTGGTCGACGGCTATGGCGCTGCGTGCCTCATCCAGATTGCAGCCTTCATGCGACAGTGGCGATCATTGCACACTCACAACGACCTTTATGTTTGCGTGTAACCAGCCGTCGTGGAAGACGAGACGACACGAAGATTATGTCGAGTGGGGACGAGCACGTGCTCAGATCGCCGTCTATATTTAGCACTCAGTACCACCAACTCTGCGCCGCCCCGAACCGCTTTCCGACGTCACTGGTGCTATACACGTGGTATACCATGACATCTTAAGAAGGAAGTTTGGCTTAGTGCTGACCAAGCGTCTCGAGCTACTTGCGCAACGGCCACTGGAGCATCTCGGGAAATTGCCTAACAACACATACCCCGCTGTACTACAATGGTGTGCCCACCCTCGTGGAGCCAGATGGGACGCCTTTGCCGCAAGTAGTTGTTCGGTACTTAGTACCGCGGTTAGACATGGCGGCCGAGAACGAGTAAAAGATGTCTTCAGGTGGCCTGTGCGTGGCAATGCTCATGTGTCTGATCCAACATGGCTCATTATAATTACACGACATGGTGCGACCTTGCAGTCTGGAGGTGGCCATAGGTGGCCTGGTGCTTGAATACAGATATCTGGGGTGTGACCCTCGGACCTCTAGCTCTTGAGGTGCAGATTTGTGCCGCTATATCCTGAGTCTGATAAGGCAGTCAGATGCTGACCGCCTTTGAACTGACCACTAACGTTAGGGTTTGCCACTAGAGAGATGATTGCATGTTGTTGGTCGCCGAGATGAGTGCTCCATTCTATGCAACATGTACGCATATCTAGTGATCGACACACATTTACAAAAAGCAAGTTGAAAAGATTGGTAAATTATACTATTCAGGATCTGTCCGTGTCGACCGCGCGCATTTTGCCTTCCAATGCTATGCCCACAGTAAATGTGCTATCATGCAGAGACTTGTGAATGGCACTAAAGCTAGAGTTACCAGCAACAAGAATCATAACTCTGCCAAGCCATGTACAGTGAAATCACGCCATGCAACTCCAATCGAGGTATCATAAAGAAGCACCGAACACCCCCAACCTTGACCCTTGTATCCCAATCGTAAAATTCTCTGGTATGGATTATACCTTTTCCGCCGTGTCATTCGAATGATTACGTATGTGAGCCTTTGGAGTCACATCCGCAAGCGACTCGTCTGTGAACTCAAGATCCTTCTCGACGGCAACAGTATCCTCGACTTTCCAGAGAATAACGGGAAGGGCGATGATCAAGCTTCCCGCAAGAAGCCCCCAGTTGGTCGCGAACATGGTCATGTAGCTGATTTTAATATCATCCAAACGCCAGGTAATAGCGCCACCGGCAGACTGGATTCCCTTGTAGAAGCCAGCAAAGTTTGCGAGCTTTCGGCTGTTGTTGGTCAAAGCACCCATGAACCTGTTCTGTGTTAGCAACAACCGTATCGAGTAATTTGCTTCAAACATACCAGTAGACCGAGGTTTGCCAAGCGGCATCGGAGAATCCGTAGAACATGTAGAGAACAAAAGGACCAGCGTAACCGGGGTCAGACCAATCCTTCTTCTCGTTGTTCTCGTTTTCGGCCCAGGCACGGTCGTATGTCTTCTGGAACATGTAGCCGAACCCCCAGATGATCATAATGGTCCCGAAGAGCGCACCCCATGCCATCTTGGCACGCGTGGTTCGGCGGACGCCCTTGATGTCAAGGGCATAACCAAAGATGTAAGCGCCAACAATTTGCATGATGTAGTAGACAACGCCATTGAGGGCTCGCGTGCGGACATTAAAGTACGCAGCGTTGATCTCGGTGAAGTGGTACGTGTAGAACCAGTTGGAGGCCAAAAACATGGGAAACAACAAGATGATGTACGCGTCGGTGAAGAAGGTCTGCCAGAGACCAACAATCTCCGACTTCCACGAGGGGTGCTTCATCACGATGACCTTTGACCCATCAGCACGGATGACATCTTTGGCGTCAACCATGATCCAGGCGAGGGCGGCGCCGATGATGGTCAGAACAAGGAAGCCTACGTAAGTACCGTCGTTGACGGTACCGGCAGTCTTAGTGTGAATGTTCTGGCCTAGCGGAATCTAGAACAGGTCAGCAACGGGAAAATAAAACAAGAGTCCGTGTTGCACAAGGGGTCACATACCAAGCTGCCAATAACGGCACCCAGATTGAAGATCATCCAAAACCACGAAATGTAGCGACCCTTTGAAGCCTCTGGAGGATAGGACATCATAATGGCTCCCTGGGCACACCAGAGCAGACCAGCGCACACACCGAGCAATGCACCGGCAAAAGTAGTAAATCCTAGGTTCTGGGTGTGGTTGTAGCAGAGATAAGAAGCCACATATACGGAGTAGCCAACACCGCCAAAAGACAAAGCAGTGCGGATTCCGAGCTTGTTGGTAAAGGTTCCTGCGAAGAAACCGACAACAGCAAAAGTCGAGTACAAAGCCGTGTTGGCCCGGTTGTTGGCGGTCGGGTCAAGCTGGCCTCCGCCGCCCATGCCGTTCAGAGCGTTGAACATGCCTGGGCACATGAAGCAGACGAAGGAGACGATGACGAGCTGAATGGGTGGCGAGGCAAACCATGGCAGCTTGAAGCCGGCGACGGTGATGCGCCGGTACATCCATGACTTTGGGAGATCGAGCGTGTTGCTGTCCGTCAGCGAATGCTCGGGTGAGCTGACGGCGTGCGGAAGCGCGTCTTTTTCGCTCGTGGCCATGGTGGTGGACGCAATGGAATAGTCAAGGTTGGGTGTAGTGCTCAGTAGGCTGGTGTCGGCGAGTCTAAAGGAGGGTGCCGAAATTGGGCCTTGCGACGGACCAAGGCGGTCAGTTACTCAAAAGACGTCGCGGAAAGGCGTCAAGGGCAGGGCGCAATAAAGATACGAAATGCTCAAAGCCCAGGCCTCTAACCGCGGGCTATAATTAAAGTGGTGGTGCGTGGTAAAAGCGAGGGGCAGCTCGTTTTAAGCATCTGTCAGCTAGGGTTTGACACGGCCCATTCACAGCCAAATCTCCACAGCCTACCTGCATCGGGGTAGACGAGCCAGGCAATAGCACGCGACAACCCTTTGCCTTGGTGAGGATAAGATACACGCCCCCAAATGGGAGCGGTCGTGTGCAAGGCGTTAGTATTGGTGGTGGTCAAACGCCAACCATGAGCCGTGTCTGCGCGACCCCCCAGCCCCGAGCTGCAGCCTGTAAGTAGGCCTTACTGTACCAAGAGGCCAGGGTGACAGCAGGCCAGCGCCCGCTACAGCTGACCGACTGGGGACGTAATCGGTTCTCGGGACGCATATCGAGCGTTGGGGTGGACTGGGCGGGGCGACGGAGCCCTGCTTATCGGCCGTGCATGGATCCTATTCCCACACGCTTGGGTACTGAATCGCGACACTGACGACTGGACGATGCTAGACCAAAGGGCCCGCGAAAGATCAACTAGACCGCATCCGATGCGGCCACACATATGCATACGGGAGCGGCTGTTGATGTCCTGGTTGCAACGCTCTCCCCCGCCACACATGTAACATCGTCACGCCCACATGCTCCACCAGCTCGCGGCCTTATCAACACTTCACTATCTACCACTGCGGCTTAGCATCGGAGCCATGTCCGATAGAACCCATTGCTATCTATCGTGAGTTTTTGGAAGGGATGGACGTCACGCATGCTCGCGTTACATGGCCATGCCACGATGCCTTCTCCTCGGCCTCTTCCGCAGATAGGCACGGTGTAACACTGCCTGGCCGTCCATCATATGACGCACCCCGAACGCAACGTGCTGCCATGTGCTGGACGAGAAGGCCTCTACCCCACCGAGGTGATCAGAAATCGTTTCCAATCCGGCAACTTTGGCCGCTTGCAAGTCAATTTCTGACAAAGGGAACCTGCAATCACACCTTGACCGGCAGTGACGCGGTGGTGTGAATCTCCCGATGCTGTGATAGAAATCGTTCGGGAGCCGCTGCAAAACTCGCCCCATATTCCCCTCATCCAAACGCTCTGCAAGTGACACACCAGTACACAATCCTCAAGTAACACAACACCAGCACACATCATGTACGAAAATGCAGTCCATCAACGTCTGAAACTTGGCTTACCGCATCCAGGCGGCTAATCATCAGAGACGATCCGCAAGCGGCATCCAAATATATTGCAGACTATGTTATTGGTCAGCCTCGTTCTACCTTGCGTCCTTGCATAGTCAGCTAACGCCTCAGCATAGAGCGCATCAAGACCTTCAACCCTACTGAGGAGAGACCCTTTGTTCTCGGCTTGCCAACGGGAAGCAGTCCCGTACTGATCTACGAACATCTCGTTCAACGCCACAAGGCTGGCGAAATTTCGTTTCGAAATGTGATTACCTTTAACATGGTATGATATTGTGCCCCTGTTGCAATGTTTCACAGCAAGTGGGCTGACCAGACTAGGATGAGTATGTTGGCATCCCACGTGATCACCCGGAGAGCTACCACAGCTTCATGTACAAGCACTTCTTCTCCCATGTCGACGTGAAGCCAGACAACATCAACATCCTCAACGGAAACGCACCCGATCTGGAAGCTGAATGTCAGGATTATGAAGACAAGATCCAGCGTGCTGGTGGCGTCGAACTCTTTCTTGGCGGCATCGGACCTGATGGGCACATTGCCTTCAACGAGCCAGGCTCCAGTTTAAAGTCCCGCACGCGCGTAAAGACGCTTGCATATGATACGATCCTGGCCAATTCGAGGTTCTTCGGAAATAACCTGGACCAAGTGCCTCGCATGGCATTGACGGTTGGGGTCCAAACAGTACTCGACGTAAGTGCACAGCCACCCATGGGTGTACAGCAGGTGCTCACATGTTTCAGGCACGCGAAGTTGTCATCATCATCACCGGCGCACACAAAGCATTGGCTCTCCAGCGCTGCATCGAGGGCGGTGTGAATCACATGTGGACGCTCTCTTGTCTGCAGATGCACCCGCACCCCCTGATCGTCGTCGACGAAGACGCCACCTTGGAACTGCAGGTCAAGACAGTCAAGGTATTTCGATCAATGACCCGTACCCAACATCCGAGACTAACAGCCATAGTACTTCAAGAGCATCGAAATGGTAGGGAACGAGCTAGGGATGCGCCAGAAGCTTCCCAGAAAGCGTGACTCGCTCGTGGACGAGGGTACCTTGCTAGCCCCCGAGTCCCAGAATAACGGTATCAGGTTGACTGTGCCGCAATTCGATGTTTCTCGTTCAGCAAGCCCAGTCCTGGAGCCAATGAGCGCTCGCTTGTCGGACGAAGACGTCAGCGCATTGCGTTCCGTGGAATTGGATGAAATCGCAGATCAACCCTCGGTCCGAATGAGCGCTCGCGTCGTGGGCTGAGTTGAACAAGCTTGTTAGGACTTGCTGTGCAGAAGTTAGCAAGAGAGTGCAACTTCATCTTCATTTCTTTAGAGGCCCCTGGGCCGGTTTCCAGGTTATCAAGGCATCGTTCGCTTTAGCATTAGACTGTGGGGGATAGGGGGATACAAACAGGCTGAGTTGACCCGTTGACACATACACACACACACACACACATGTTAGATAAGCAGCCGTTTATGTTTTCTTTTTTTTAACCTGTCATCATAGAACCGCATTCGCATTAGCATTGGAAAGCGTTTACGGTATCATTCGAGGCTGCGCTGTGTTTGGAGTGGTGTATATAGTGGTTGACACAAACGTAGGCAAAAGATGTCATTCCGTGTTCACGTATTCAATCTCGTGTAAAGTGAACAAGTTGAGCTCTGATCACCGGCTGACAGAAGAAACATATTTAGAACCGTTCGTCGATGGAAATTGTAGGCGGTTGATCGCGGGACGGCTCTAGTGAAGGTCGGCGACGGGAAGGCGCGCGTCATCCCGGTCGAGATCATCTCATGCCAAAAATACCGCCGCACACTCCACGCGAGCGTCGACGCGCTTGACCATGTCGTTTGTGGTTGAGTAAGTAAAAGTGCATGCAATTGATACAACAACCGCTGACCCCGCGATAGCCAAGTGCGCCGCATAGACAGCCAGCTCGACCGGCTGCAGCTGTCGTCGACGAGAACCGGAAGCTTCTCCATCACGGCTGAGGAAGCCCATGACCCCACCAAGACTACCCGCATTGCCCATCTACAGAACCTCATCAAGTCGCTCTCCACGACCACCTCAACAAAACACAGTCTTGTACCTGTAGCGAGAATATCAGAGACGCTACAGCGCGCCAACATTGCCAGCACCTGGGAGGATGCGAGCTATGAGCACGAGTTGGAATGGCTGCTGGTCAGCAAGGCGACGACACAGGTCTATGGCCAGATTCTGAACACAATCTTGGAACAGACGATTCCTCTCGAGGACGACTTGTGGTATTGGGACGATATTCTCTCCACGTATCATTTTGCCGGATTGTATTCGATACAAACATCACCGGTCCGGGTGTGGAAGTGGTCGCAGGAGATATACCACGATGTGCGCTCAAGAGGCGGCCAACTAGCTGTTGGATGGAGCCAGTTCTACGGCCTAGTCAAGGATGCAGTGCAAGAGCGGAGTATCGCAAATATACAGCGGAGGGTAGTAAGTCCGCTCGCACTCGTACGGAACGAAGGCAGGAGAAAGCGAGCAGCCCTGCGCAAGATACGACTGGTCAATGCAAATGCGCTTGGCGTGCTGCTAGGTGAAGGTCTGGGCAACGAGAGGTATGTCACAAGTAGGTCTAAGAAACCACTGATGACTAACAATTCTAGTGTACACGATGACGGGACACAGTCACCCACGCTACTTGGCACACAAAGGTGGAAGAGCGTCATGTCCAAAAACATTGCCCTCATGGACGCCGTCATCCAAAGTGTGAATGCTGCGGAGCTTTCTGTCGATAAGTTTGACGATTCGGTTGCAGCCATTACACAGGACGATGACTTCTACTCACTATATGAACCTTCTGGCGAACAAACCGCAAACTCAGTGAACCCCGCAGACGTAGCAGAGCGTCTTCAATATCTACTCCACACTGCTTTGCCTAGCTATACGGCAAACTTCAACGCTTCCGTCAAGGAGAATGGACGTCCTTCTCGTCTCATCCGCTATTGGCTCCCTGCAACTGCACTCCTCGTCTCTTCAACCACCATTTTGCGCATCTTTGTCAACCGAAAGGAAGAGATTGCAGCATGGATCCGGGAATTCGGGCAGACTGTCATTGACTTTTGGGCCAACTGGGTGGTGGAACCTACGATGAGAATAATTGGAACCATCCGCCACAACGAGGATAGCGAAGTGTCGATTATGAGCAAACGCAGCTTGGAGTCTGACCGCGCAAGCCTTGAGCGCATGGTGGTGGATTTCGCCATCAAGAACCCCGACGGCCCAGCGTTGAATGAGACACAGATTGCCGATATCAAAGCAAAAGTCCGCGAGGGCGATCTGACTACTGTCTTGAGATCGTACGAAAAGGACATCCAGAGCCCGGTCAAGGGAGCCATTGTGGGCAACTTGGCCAGTGCACTTCTTATCCAGGTTCAGAAGACCAAAGTCGACGTTGAAGTCGCTATGAGCGGTATTGACAGCATCCTCAAGAGTCAGGAGCTTCTCTTTGGCTTTATCGGTCTCACACCCGGTGTGCTCGTAAGCATCGGCGCCTACCAATGGCTTCGAGGCGTCTTCAGCAGTCGCAAAGGCGTACAGCAGTGGGCAAGGCAAGGTCGCATGCTGCTCATTCTCCGCAACATTGATCGTATCCTGACTGGCGCAACACCTACGGAAGACGGTGAGATTTCGTACAAGGACCATGGACTACTACTCTGCGAGGTGCATCTTTTGCGCCAAGCAGCGAGCGGTATCCTACCGCGACGCATATTCCAAGACTTCCTGGTAGAGATTGATGAGCTCGTCGATGTACGGAGCGGGCTGCAGAGGCAGCAAAAGGTGGTGGAGCGCATCCGGTGGGCGTACTCGAAATGGTTCACTTGAGGGCATCGTGGCGGGGATGACCCCAGCCGCGCGGCCGCTTCATGGTCAGCGTATATAGCCAGCCCAATGCATTATACACCCGCCTCATGATGGACCATGTTTCGCATGCGTGATTTGAGCGACGATAGCCGCGTCAGGCCAAACGTGTAAGTTGCCACCGAGCTGGCTGTTGTCGTCACTTGTCGCGGACGACAGTGACGGCTGCTGAGCCCGTGCGGACGATTAGCGCCAACGTCCAACGCTGGCACCTGTGAACGCTTCCCTCCAACGCCGTCTTGCTGTGCTGCCTTGCTGTTACCCACACAGCATCTCAGTCCCCACCACGACCCCATACTCGACGTCCTGCTGCAAAGTCGACCAAATCCCAAGCCTCACATTCCGCCATCGCAAACCGACCGCTCCTCGTAAACAGGCCCAAACCGGCGGGTTGCCAACTTCCAACCCACTCTCGATACCGCATAACCGCCACGTTTGCTCAACATGGCAGGCTCCAGGAATTATGACTTTCTCGTAAGCTAAGCCTCTGTATTTCCCTTGTTTGCGCCCACCCACCCTACCGTCATACATATGCGCTGGACTCTGGGGTTGTTCCTCCCCCTCCACCGCTTAGTACGTAACTATACAAAGAACGGCACTAACAAGTAGCTTTCCCCGCCGCGCAGATCAAACTGCTCCTCATAGGCGACTCGGGCGTAGGCAAGTCGTGCTGCCTGCTGCGCTTCAGCGAAGACTCGTTTACGCCCTCGTTCATCACCACCATTGGCATCGACTTCAAGATCCGCACTATTGAGCTCGACGGCAAGCGCGTGAAGCTGCAGATATGGGATACCGCGGGTCAAGAGCGCTTCCGGACTATTACCACGGCGTATTACCGGGGCGCCATGGGTATCCTGCTCGTGTACGATGTCACGGATGAGAGGAGCTTCACCAGTACGTTCTCAGAAGTTACGGTTTACTTTTCTTTGACTGGCTGACTAACACTCTACAGACATACGCACATGGTTCTCAAACGTCGAACAACACGCCACCGAAGGCGTCAACAAGATCCTCATCGGCAACAAGTGCGACTGGGAGGAGAAGCGCGCCGTCTCGACCGAACAGGGCCAGGCCCTCGCTGACGAACTCGGTATCCCCTTTCTCGAAGTCTCGGCTAAGAGCAACATCAACGTTGACAAGGCGTTCTACAGCTTGGCCAGCGATATCAAGAAGAGGCTTATTGATACCGCGAGGACGGACCAGACAGCTGCTCCTAAAGTCGACGTCGGTGGGCCTGACAGCGGGAACGCGGGTATGGGCGGGAAATGCTGTTAGAAAGGTGGATGGACGGACGAGTGAGTCATGGGGAAAGAGAGGGTGGGAGGAGGGTGGTTGCTAGCTAGCTTAATGGGGGAAAGAAGCGGTGTCTGGTCACGTGTACGAAGGTGGCAGATATGATGTTGCTTGTTCTGGCCATGCGAGGGGTTGAAAGGTGGGTGGATGGTTTAGTTGGCTAATATCCTGGCCACTATCTGTGTGAGAGACAGACAGAAAGAGATTTTCATGACCATGATACATACGATGGATAAGTTTCGCCACTCCGAGCGAGAGTCTCGTTGGGTTATCATGACTACTACTACTACTACTACTACTAGTACTACTACTTTTTCCTGCGAGTTTCTTCTTAGGCGTTTCTTTTTGGTTGTTAAAGAGAATGGAGGGAGTTTTTCTTTCTTTCTTAGTTCATTATTATAGTACATTACACGTTTTTTTAGTAATGACAATACAACGTCAATATCTTGTGTATGGCAATCTTGATGCGGGAAGTTATGGGGGGATGATATGGTTTTATGAAGCTTGATTCTTTATTCTTAGAACCTGATCCTAGGGGGGGGGGGGGTGCGATGCGATGCGACATGCTTACCCAGTCTATATGTTGAATATTTGTAAACACATGAAAAAGATGGAAAGATGGTGACTAGTAGAACAAGTTGTCGAAATGGTTCCCCCGCCACTGTTTATTATGACCATAAGGAATACCCGCATGGCTGCAAAAGAAAGGAATGTAATGAATGCTAGGTGATATACACATGGACTGGCGAGTTCTGTAGGATGGAGGAATGAGGGGGCAGATATGGTTTTATACGAAAGGGGGGGGGGAGGAAGGAAGTGAAATAAAAGGATGAAGATACGTAGAGATAAACTTCTAGTGTTAGAATCATAGCTTGCCCACATTCTTACACTCACATTCACAAACATTACATCGTCAACAAAAAATATACTGCGAAGTATTAATATTATTCTATTACATTTACTTCTAACGTTTTCACCCATCCACTGCAACCAACAGACATCCCCTCGCCCCCTTCTGTAATGACTTACTACGCGGTATAGATTCCAAATCAACCAACAACCACGTTAAACTGGTCTTTGTACTCCTCGCTGTCCTGGGCGCAATCAAGGATACCAATGATATTAGACCAGCACTTAGTCGGAACGACGATATCATGGCGACCGGTAAGAGACGGGCTATCGCACATCACGTCAGCAAAAAGCCATATAACCATCCGTTTTGAAATAGGTATGCAACTTACTTGGGAGGAACCTGGTGCCAAAGTGTAACATTGTACCCGGTCGGATTCGCCGGCGTCTGCCCATCATCCGTCTTTGTCAGCAAGAAGAAGTACTGGAAGTTTTCCTCGGACGGGCCTTCGTCCCACGTGCACGGGCCGGCCATTGCGGGGATGCCGGCGAATTGGCGTTGGTCCCGTCGCAGGTTGCAGTAGATGCGTGGGCTGACTTCTGTGCTAAGGGTGAAGTTGACGCGCGTGGGGCCGTCGACGTCGCTTTGGAATTTGTAGTCACTGATGGTGAAGTCTAGGGAGGAGGTTGCTGCGAGGGCGGAGGCGAAGAGGGCGGTGAGGGTGAGGGAACGCATGGTTGCTGTTGGTGGTGGGGGTGGTGGGTGGAGGTGAGGTGGTGTTATTGAATCGAGTAGCTGAGGTCGCTGAGTGATGGAGTTTGTAGATGGGGAATATCGGCTTGGTATATTTATACGGCCGTTTTTTTTGTTGGACATGTCGTCCCGGGTTTACATCGGTGTAACTTCGCTGACAGACATGTTCGGTGGGCTATACTTGGTTGCGGTCATACTTTCGTTCCTCGTCTGTAGCAGATCTGCCTTTTTAGGATTATTGTATTACGTATCAGCTTCACTCAGCCAACCATTGTGTTTTGATGGGGTGTGAATTCGTCCTCGAAATACGATAATCCCGTATCCACATCACTCTATCGATCATCATGTTCAAGTAGCCATAGAAGCTTCCACACCGCTTCCTCGTCGTTCCCTGCAGTTGCATCGAGATCACACTAAGAAAGTGCCTGACTAGCATGGCCAGACCGAATGGACTTTTGGTAACTAACATGCACGGATTTGTTGAATAGCCATGCATGCGGCCATACCTCGTACTCATCGCTTGCTCTCTCGGGTATCTCGGCATGCAGTAAGGATATTGGTAGCCGCGGAGATGTTCTTCCAAGTATAAACATGTCTATATATAACTGGTGACAGAGGCCGTCCAGAGGGTTCTGGTAGCGAATACGTGGCAGATCGGCATCGAGATTACTACAGCCAAGATTGCCGATCACATCACGGTCCCTTCGGTGGCTGCTACTTTCTTGGTCCGTTCTAGCCCAGACTGACCCCAAAATAAACACACAGACTATTCTTTCTCTCTAAGATGATTGTGTGGATCTCTTCATGGAGAAGAGGATAGCCTGCATACTCAACTTGAGATCTGTTTGGTCTAGAATAGACGCAGCAGCAGGAGTGCTTGTAACACTCGCAGCGGCGTGTACGTCTTAGAGCCACATTGACACGCCTTTTCTTAGAAAGCACACTCGTATCAGAACATGGAACTGGGGATCAGAGCTTCAAGTCTTTGCATGAGCGGTGAGAATGCGGGATATGGAGGATACGCGCATCAGGATACAACCGTTGCAGGGTATAGGAGCCCCGCTAATACACTGACATACACAGTAATATGACTCTAGCTTAAGATGAAACTGAGAGTTGATAGTTCCTACGTACTTAAAAGAAAGCACACCAACCAATATACATAGCCGCCAAATTCTGCGGATCTCTCGCCATAGCAATCAATGCATCCACATAACCCTCCACACTCAACGGCACACTCTCACCCTTGAGAAAGCCATTAACTTTCGTGCGCGTAATATCCAGCACCTCCTGCGGCGTATCCGGCACGCCCACAATCTTCTTCCTGCGCTTACCGCCAAGGAAATCCGCAGTGGGATCGTGAACAAACGTCTCCAGGATAGTAATCAGCGTATCCTCGTGTTGACGAAGAAGTTTGTATGTGAGCTCTGCTGCTTTGCGGAAGGGCCCTTCTACGCCCTGGGGACCCATTGCGTCTACCATGTTGTGTGTGAGGCGGAAAGGGACGAGTTCTGGCTTCTCAAAGGTGAGACCCTTGTCGAAGAGGCAGTTGAAGTCTACGTGGAAGGTACCGCCGTCGCCTTGTTCGAGGAGGACGTTTTCGCCGTGGCGGTCGCCGAGGCCGAGGACGTGGCCGACGATGCTCATTACGGCACAGGAGCGGGTGTAACGGAGGCGGGCCGCAAACCAGGCTTCTGGCTCGGGGAAGGTTTCGACGAACCATTCGTGTAGGACGGGGATGAAGCGGGAGAGGATACGTTCGGTGAAGATTGAGATTTTGGAGGGTGATGATGAGGCTTCGTTGAGGAGCAAGCGGATTTCGCTGTAGTCGATTGGTATGGCGCGTTGGCGGTAGAAGCGGATGATGATGTCGCGCATAGGCTTGAGCCCTTCGACCCATTCGATTGCGCCGCATTCTTCGTTGAGGGGGGTGACAGCGTAGGTTTTGATGTAGAGGCGGCGTTTGCTGGACTCTACGTCCTTTTGGAGAGCTCGATTGATCATGGCGTTGAATTCCATGAGACGCTGGTCCTTGCGCAGGTCGTCTTTTGGCTTGCAGAGGAGGCCGTAGGAGCGTCCATCTGAACCGCGTAAATTCAGTTTCCGCGGCCGTTGTAGTGATGTCAGAACTAGCACGTCGTCGTCGAATGACTGGATGGAAATGGCATCTGCTGGGAAGGGGTTGTGACGGCGAATCGTCTGACTATCGTTGCCGGCTGGAAGGTTGGGAAGCAGATTTGCTTCAATAGGAACAACCAACGGCGTAGGTGCAAGCTTGTGGTTGAATCCCAAGTCTCTTGATAAGCTCACACGAGCAACCCGCGACTCAATCGGAGCATCGCAAGCCGCTAGCAGCGCATCCGTAAGTCGCTGCCCTTGGATAATGAGGGTCTTGAGGTCAAGCGAAGCTCCCTTGCGCTTAGATGCATCCTTTTCCTTGTTAGCTGATTCAGGGATGTGTCAGTCGACAACTTACGCGTAGTCTTTGCAGAACTGCAGCACCTCGAGCTCGGCGGTCATCCTGCGTCGAATGTAGGACAGCCAACAAGGCCCACAGCGCCTGCTGCGGATACGAAGATGCAACTTTAAGGATGATGGTCTGAAGTGCATCCCAAACGTTCTTATTCGGATGGCTGATGCGTGTGATGATCTGAGGGAAGGCAGTATACCATGCAAAAGCAGGCATCCGCTCTCCAGCATAGCGCTTGAGGTACTTGTTGATGGTATCAAGGTAGTTGAGCCGATGATCATGAAATTCCTTGTTAGTTTTCGGGTATTGCATGACTTCCATACCCATGTCCAGCCAAAGCGTAAGTATTTTTGGCAAAGTTTGGTAGTAGTACTTTGTTCCGTAGACGGTAGACCGGACAAAGTTTTCAATGACGAGCTTGATCAAACTGCCTGCCAAGTACTCCGCGCTCTGCTTTGCTAGCGGCTGCTGCTTCTCCGACTCTAGCAACTTGAGATACCATCTGCCCAAGTAATAGTGACCCTTGTCCCATCTGGGATAGGTTTGTACACCAATCACATACTCTTCCTTTAACGAGACTGACTGTGTTTGACCAGCACGATCAAGCCATTTCGCAAGCAACAGTTGGGCGTGACACTTGACCTTGCTCATTGAATGTTCCTCCCCTCTGCCAGTTGTGGTTACAGAGACATTGATGGGTATAGTTTCGTCGATTTCGAATGCGTTGCTGTCGATTGCACCGCGGAGGTTTTGAATAGCCTTGCGATGGTGACCATCTTTCCAAAGCAGTTTTGAGTACTCGATCTTGGATGCATTGTCTCCTAAGCGCTCGGCATGGAGTACGGAATTGAAGGCAGTCGTCATGAAGTCACCCTTGCGAGCAAGTCTTCCTGTTGTAAGCCATGCGGATGCGATATCAAGGTTGGTGAATTCGATGCTGTTTCAGTCAGTAATGAAGACGTGTAGCACTTGATGCGTCTTACCGAGACAGTGTCATGGCTGCCCGACGCACTCCCAGGAGATATTGCTTGTCTGAGGTGTATGCTCCGATGATGTCCAACCGCCGGTCCAAGTTCTCCAGGATGACTTCTCGATTCATCATTTCCCCTGCACTCATCCCACTTACAGCTTCAATGTCATACAGTGCATGCAACTTGACTAGAACTTCATGTGAAGCATGTACCGAAGTCGTCGTTGAGGGGGACAAACTCTTTGCTAGAAGCTGACGTAGCTTTATAATACCACCCTGGAACTCGGCACTGTTGTTACGACGCAGCGCCAGCAGCACTAAACCTACACCGACATTGAAGTCCATAAAGGCATTGGAGTGTGCATTAGAATTACCCAGAAGTCGCTCAAGCTTTTCCCACTTTCCCACTGACCAGGCAGCTTCTGCTGCAAATGGCAGGGTTTCGTTCGAAAGTGTGTTGGAGGCATGGAAGCCATCTACGTAGTTGAGAAGTGAATCTGATTTGCATTAGCCAGCTCTACACAATACCCATATAATGCTTACCGTATTGACCGGACTCCTTCAAGCAAGTCAACAGGTTGATTTGAGTTTCAACATCGTTTGGTCTCTCGGTAAGAGCAAGCTCATACCAACTTTGGGCTGCCGTCCATCGCCCAGCTTTACGATCTTCGATAATCTGCTGCTCTGGGTTGAGCACTTTGAGATGTGCTGAAATACCTTCGATGCAATCAGGCTCATCGATATGCGCGTAGATCATTTGTAGATGTTGTAGGAGGTCGTCTTTTTCGGCAAAAGGCTGATTTAACTCTGCCTTCATGTCTCGCTGTTGCCGGTAGTATTCTTCCCAATGGAAAAGAGCGCGTGCGTAGGAGCCGCACTCAACTGCTCGTCGCGAAATGATCTCCGCGGGAATAAGCTGGAGTATACCTTCGACGCGACTGATCTGCTTGATGGCATTCATTTCTTCATCCTCTGATATGCCACGACCCGTTTTCCCTGCCATGATCCGTGCTTCTGAATGAGATTTCTTCTTTTCTTGTAGCCATAACGACAGGTATTCGAGTGTTTGGAAAACGTTCTACAGGCAATTAGTAGAATTCATGTGAAGTTTGACTTGGTCTTACCTCGCTACATTGCTTGATGACGGAAGCTTCGTGTTGCTCTGCGGAACGTAAATCGGCTTGCAACACTTGCAGAAGCTCTCGTCCAACGTTCATCATATTTTCATCGTGATCGGACACGATGACGTTCAACGCGGCAAACGGTAGGATGAAGGTGGCAATGGACAAATCATATCCTTTGATGATTCTGGCAAGAACCGGAAAGATCATCTCAGCATTGACGCCCTGCCCTTTTCGCAGCAGGTCGTACACAAAGGTTTGGAGCCAGGTTCCGTGACTGAGTTTCAAGTTGAAAATTGGGTAGCTGGGACCCTCATACTGCAACGTGGGATTCTGATTGACAGAGTATTTGGAGTCCAGGAAGGGAGTGAGCACGGTGCGGACTGCCTCTGGAATATCGTTCCAGCGCTGTGCCTCCGTGCTTGCCTGCGATGATCGGGGTTTTGTTCCACGAAGCGCACTGAACCCGCAATGTTTCAACATCTCCTGCATGACATAGGCAATCCATCCTTGTGCTTTCGCATTTGTAGTGGAGAGGAAGACCTTTACGAGGACTTGTTCGAGAAGCAGCGCCACAAAGTCAATGTCTTCGTCCCTTCGTGAAAAGTTCGATAGCATCAACACACGCTTCTTTTCGCGAACTGTTTCCACTCGGTATGGATCCAGCCCACCGATGATACCAAGGCATTGCGCACAGAGAATAGTAATGTCGGAGTGGTCTTCTGAGAAGCGAACACTGGCATCGAGGAGGGACCGAGTCAATGCTGCAAGTACAGGAAGAGGTTTCTGGCCAACCACGGACTGGTGTAGTTCTTGCTGGTTGGCATCCAGGAATGGCACAAGCTCTCGTAGTGCCTGACGTACCACGACCGAGTTCTGATCCTTGCATCGTATACTAAACGCATGAAAGACCTTGATAATCTCTACCATGTCTTTGAACCTTACCAGTTCGCCCTCTATCTTGGACAGCATCGGTATGCCTGCTAGTGAGGGAAGATATTCCACTCTTGCTCGAAGCTGTGGGTTGTATTTCTGGATGATGTTACCGATGGTCTTGTGAGCTTTCAATTGGGTATCTTCAGAGAACAACGACCAATGCTGTACGATGAGCGCAAAGGTTTGATCGACGACAAGCATGGTTTCGTCACCATCCAGCGCCGATAGAAAAGCACACCAAACCGTGAATGTGTCGTCGCAGAGATCCTTATCTGCCATTGCTGACTGAAGACAAGCGCGAATCTGCGGCAAAGCCCCGTTTACGCTCCATTGCGCCAGGCTGATCAAATCACCGATAGCAGCTATGCATCTCTTCCGGTCTGGAGTCGTATGTGGTATGCCTTTCCCGGTGATACTTGGTGTCTCGATGACGTTTGAGAAATATGCGATGATTCCCAGGATATGTGTCTCGCAAAAGGCATCCAGAACCTTTGTCTTTGATGTCGACTTGCGCTGGCCTGACTTTGTATCTGGGGCAAGCATTGCCAACGTAGTGAATCCGCTGTAGAATGGTTTCTTCCTAATTCCCTCTTGATCAGCAGCCAGCATGAGAATCTCAATAGCAATGCCAGTGATGTCGAGTGCGACCCAGGCTTCAAGCCTGTTGTTGCTACCGTCTCGGATAGCTGGTTCGATGGCCGCCAGTGTTTCCATTGCATTTTGTTCAACGTCAGGAACAGGTTGCGATAGGAGTAGAGCGAGAATTTTGGCAAGACTGGCTCTTGGATGTGTCAAGACGTCAATGACAGAAGCTTTTCGTGCCTGGGCAATCTTTTCGATAATGTCCCTTCTTTTCCCCAATACAAGATGTGGAAGTGTGTCCGCTTGAGTTTGTACCAGCAGCTGACGAACACTTTGCTCGGTTAGATCCGCCAACTGCTGTGCTTTTTGGGGCTTGTTGACGATATCTTTGATAACTGAGAAGCCGATAACCTTCCAGTATGGGCTCAAGAGCTGTGTAGTGTCCATGGAGAATCCTTTGGCGACAGCCTCAAGTTCGCGATATGCCATGCCACAAACCAGGGCATTGGAGTGACCCAGGTATTCGATGAGGTGGTGCAGTATGATGGGAAGCTCTAGCTCACCGCACGTCTGAGCGGTTCTTCCATACGCCATGATGAGTGTTTCATGGTCAGACAGGACATCGCGCTTCGCTAGGGCATCCAGAAACTCAATGGTGAACCTCCGGTTCTTTCCTCGCGTACTTCTTGGTATGTCTTCTCGCAGAAAGACCATCAAGGAATTTGTCGCGGCGAGCTTGAGTTCTCGTAGGGACCTGCTCAGACATGCGAGTAACCACTGTCCTAACTCGCACATTTCCAGATCCAAATAGTCGGGATCCGAGATGTGGTTATAGACACGGCCGATAGCAACCGCCATAAGAACCCGTGATTGCGATGACGCTTGGAATGCCGGTTCTCGGGTGATTGCGAGCATGGCGGCAATAGCTTCTTTCCAGTCCTCTCCGTCACTCTGTTCGTTCCAGTACTTTGCCACATCTTTCTGCGTGCTTGTATCGCACAAGGTACAGTTCAGAGTATTCAACACCGTTGAACGGGCTTGCAATGGCTCTAGACAGCGGGACCCGGCACATGCAATCTTGGAAAATGCAGACATGATGTCCATTTGTCGAATCTCGAGTTGTTGCTCGTCTTTTGGCATCGAAGAGTATCTTGCTTGGATAATATTGTGAAGGTTGGACAAGTTGGGTATAGGTGAGTCTTGGGTACTACCATTCAACAATATAACGAGTCTCTCGTAGGTGGAGCGATTGATGTCTTCTGAGGCGTCTGGAAATGTCTTTCGTCGCTTGGTAGGTCGATCTTCGGTGATTACGTTCAACGAGCAAAACGTCTTTACCAGCGGCGTTGATTGTTCGGAAAGTTCAAAGTCTGAAAAGCTTGCTGATTCGTTTTCGCAAAGTTCTTTGCGCAAGTCGGCAACGTGATTAGGCCAAGGACCTGGCCCTGTCCAGAGACAGAGAGCCAACTAGAGGCGTTAGCTTGGGTATATACTATGTCGTTCGAGCCTACCTGTAAATCTTTGTGGAAACTGGAGAAATGATCTACGTCTTGACATGTCCTAGCAACAGATTTCTCAACATCTTGTAAGATGAAGTTTACATTTGTATCTTGACGACGTCGTGATGTCGAGGCGTTTGTGGATGAAGAACTGACGATACCGCATAGGCGGTTGAAGATGGATGCGAGTCGAACTTGGTTGCCTTCTGATGCTGGTGGTGTTGACAGGTTATCAAGAAGTTCATCGAGACTGCTAGTCAATGCCTGGGCAGTCTTCAACGACGTAGACGGTCGGTCTCCATGTGGGACTAGATGAAATAGCGATGTTTCCAGTAGCTGCAGGTATAAAAGCATAATCTCATCATAGAGCGGCCGCTTCTCCGAGGTTGTCGTCCAGCGTCGGAAATGCTGCCATAATGCTTGGATGCTGTCTACAACCCAAGGTAAATGATGGGTTAGAATAGAGCTTGACGCCTTTTCCTTGGGTTGTATGATATTGACCAATGCAAGAAGCAGGCTGAAGCCGACATGAATGGATCCAACTTGCGATGTGATACTCCGTTGTAGGTCATGAGGTAGAGCAACCCATTGCTGGCTTTCGGGCCAAAACTCGCTAATACTGCTCGATGATGGTAAAGCTAGATTGAATGATGATGATGAAGCCAGGTCATTCACAGCTTCTAGCTCTGTAAGTATGCCTTGGATAGATTAGCAGGAGCCGGATGGAATGCGGAGATTCGATTACATTGCACACTAGACTTGTAGAGCTGCAGTACTGTCGCAGCCGGTCGCCATAAAGCGGATGTTCGAGATAGCACGGTGAGGCAGAGACCAAGGAGCTTTCGCACATGTTGGTGAACAGGTTGCAGTGTTGCCTGCGTCAACAAGCCAAGTAGCTTCGGATACAGCCACAGCACAAGAGGAGGATGAGGAACACTCTCATCATCACTTTGCTTTGCGCTCAACAACAGATGCGGCTTCTGCTGTAGGATAAAGGTAAGTGCAGCAATGCTGTCAATACCTTGTTGCCTTTGCTGGTCCTGGGCAAACGGGTCATGTTTGAATAGTCCCTCAAGGCCCGCCTCGGCAATGACACATATAAGTGCAACGAGCTGTGGATCGGGTTCATCGGTATTTGGATGTTGCAGGAATTCTTTTACCAGCTCCCCGAAACTGACTTTGGTTGCTTCATCTTGCCGTGCGTGGACATTGGAAGCATTGTGGACAATTTGAGCCGCAATGGTCGATGGTGGAGGAACAGCATTATTTATTATTGGTGGAGCCATTCGCTGGGAGCTCCCGCCTTTGCGGGCCATGTTTGAAGTTACCGATGTGGCATCGCGATTGGGAAGGAGAGAAGAGGGATTGGCTGTGCCAGGTAGCAGGTTGTTTAGTATGGCGAGTAAAGCGGCGTGTGCTGTGATGGAATCGGATGCCGCTGCCTGATCGTCCTGTAATCGTTACCACGTAGCTTTTCGAAAGAGGACAAGGTGCATCAGATGTGTAAGGTGCACTACGTAAAAGACGTGGGTGGATCAACAACGGGCGCGTCAGACACTTTTCTAGTGCTTCACGTAGTCACGGGACCCTACTAAACCCTGGCTCGGGAATGAGCGCTGTTGTTCCGCACCTGGACATGCGACAACAACACCTCTCCGACCTGCGACTGCTACACACACAATCAAGCGGCGCATGCTTAAACCGTAACCATGCCAGGCCCTTTCTCCTCCAAATCCTTCAGCGCCACCCTCCCCAACTCGCTCGCCGCACGCTACCGCAAATCGCTCCAAAAGCATCCCTTCCTCCTCTTCGGCCTACCCTTCCTTTCCACAATCGTCCTGGGCTCCTTCATGTTGACACCCGCCACGGCGCTGCGCTACGAGCGATACGACCGCAAGAACCAGCAGATTACACAGGAGCAGGCCATGGGCTTGAGGGGAGAGCGCAGAAAGGTCAACATGAAGGATGAGTATTATGTACGTGTTGTAGGTTTTTATGGGCGTGGGGATTTAGCTGACGGTATCACAGCGGTTGCAAGCAAAGGATCTCGAGGATTGGGAGCAACGGCGTGTTAAGCGTCTACCAGGCGAGCCGGATGGTACGCTTGTATGATTTTGTGATTGGCGATAAAGCATTGGGTATGGCGTTTAGGTGCTTCACTCTGGGGAGAACATGTTATTATAGGAATGAACAGGAATCATAATATTGAGATAAACTCTGAGAACGCGCAGCATGGTCAGCCTTTCCGCATACACGCGATCGTCTGCAACGTCAAAAGCGTACTCACAACTAGTAAAAAAACATGTCTAAGCAAAAATGAATTTTGAAAACAAGGGAATACACTGCAACCAGAAATCATCTTCTAGGAAGGCGCGGCATGGTCGAGCCTTCCGTCTACACCTGCGCATCGAACAACACGGAAGCAGTCACTACCCAGGCAGCAAAAAAGACACATAGTCCGGGCAAAAAAAATCAACACATAAACCCCCCTTAACCTTTCCTCTCAAAGTACCCCAGGAACAATCCTACCTACCCTCCTCCACCTACCTCCGCCATCTCTTCCCCCAGCACCCCACCAAAAACCCCGTCCACCTAACCTAAGCAAAAAAGACACCCCCAAACCACCAAAAAGCTGGACAAGAAAAGCAAAAAAAGAATATTGACAAGTGGGGGATTCGAACCCCCGCGGGCTACGCCCATGAGAATGCGTCGGGAAGAACCCGATAAGCTTGCGCTTGAGTCACACGCCATAACCACTATTATTTGTTAGAACTGATGTTGAAGCTGGGAAGGCGGCTAATGCTTACCTCGGCCAACTTGTCGTTGTTGATGTAAAAAAGACAAATTAGTTAATAATTATACGCGGGTGCAAAAGCTGTTGAGCGAGCTTGGAAATGGATGGTTCTGTGCCCGGCGTGGTGGGGTGGGTATTGCTGGGAGAGGGGAATTTTTTTCAAAACTACCCCACTATACCTACACTACATACACTGAACTGCGATACCGGCGGTATCGACATACCAGGACCAGAGATTGCAGCGCTAGGTTCAAATACGGGTTGGTTCAGTTCGCTTCGTGTGCCGCTTCGAAGGGGCTTTCTTTCTTCTCAGTTTGGGTTTTTCTGTGGAGCTACATTATTGGTGTTCTATTTTCAGGCCATTGCGCCGACAAAACCACGCAGTTGAAGAGTTGCGCTACTGGAAATTACGATTGGTTTACATATATGTGCCAGTGATTGCTGTTATTGATAGCTTCCGGATTTTAGGTTAGATAGAGAATGAAAGAGAGCACTCCATAATATGTGTGAAGTACTCGTGTATATCTACTAATCCCTATACAAACTTTGCAGAAAACGCAAAGTTCCCGTCTGCGAAATGAGTTCAGTCACACACACTCAACAAACACAAACAAGACGATCCATAATTTATACATTTATACATTCCTCAACTTCTTCTAGTTCTAAAGAAGAAGACTAAGTTGTTATGTCTACTTTCATTGCTTGCCCGTGGCGATATGCGCCAACCAACATAGGCCTCAACAAAAGGCAGGCAGGCAGGCTCGAAATTCCTACACCCCCACCATCCTCCTCGCCCGTTACAAAGAAAATGGGGTGGGTGGCTGACCGGCCGGCTATTCATAGCGTATGTAATATGATGACGATGACTAAAAAGAGAAGAAAAAGGAAACAGGTATATGCTAGACATGCGTGGATGACAATGGAGAAGAGACTCGTGAGTCGGTAAAGAAAAGAAAAAAAGCGCCATAAACACCAAACAGGTTTCTATGTACCCATGCCTGTGAAAAAAAAAATGATATTGATGAAAAACACCACGCTTGGAAAAAGGGCAGCAGGCCTGCTCGCTCGCTCGCTTCGGCCTTGGAAGGGACATGCAAGAATGACGTTCTATCTCAAAATATACATGGATTTTGTTCATTTGAACATCCATTGGCAATGACAGGCATCCGGAGGATCACTACGCCGTTGTATGCCGGGAGAATTTTGGCGCTTGCTTCTGCTGCCAGACGGTAGGGCTTCGGTGGCCTGGGCGGCAAAATACTCCTGATAGCTCGGATCAGACTCTTGTAGCCATATCCTGATCGGACTGTCGTTTGGACTGGGTGCTGGCGTGATTTCTCCATTGTCGAGCAGAAGCATCTGTTGGCAATACGGTTGGGGCGAATTGGGGAGACGACGCTCTTCCACCTTGACAATCCGAGGATAAGGTGGCATGCGAGGGGGCGAGGAGGCGTCTGGAGATGAATCTCGTCCTGCAATTGGGATGGCAGGAATCAATGGCGCTGATGAAGCCGTCGCGGTTACAGCTGCAGGCTGTGTAGAAGCCGAGAGTGAAGAACTGCTTGTTGGCACCACCGCCGCCGCAACCGTTACGGCAGATGTACCGCTTGGTTCGGCCGATGGTGTAGGGGTGGGCCAGTTAGTTGGAAAAGACGTAAAAGAGGCTGCCGTCGAGTTGTCCTCGGAGTATATGTAACCCTCGACGTAGGTACTATTCCAGTAACAAAACCAAGGGTAATCACCAGGTTTGACCTGGAAACGCTGTCGATATTTTACATCTTCCCGTTTTGTGAGTCCGGCTCCAAGATTGAGTTCCTCGGGTGGTAGGATTACCAGTTTGTCGTACCGGGCAGAGAAGTGGTATGCTGGACCGTAAGCTCTGTAGTCCAGGTCTAGCACGAGCTCCATCGGCTTCATATCGAGAACAGGACTCTGAAGTCCATACAGAATGGACTTGTTAGGCACCGAGGGACCGCCACTCATTGAAGCGACCTGCAATGTCTCGTCGCCAATGACGGTATCATTGATAGTTATGACGAGCGGGGCGAAAGTCATCTTGCATGACCAGGCAGAGTATTGACTTGCTTGCGTCAAGCATCCCGGGTTGCTTTCTTGTGGTATGCCGAGCGGAAGTGCGTATGAACCTGTAGGCAAAGGCGTAAGTCCGGCTGGGGCTGAAATGGGAACAGCATCGAAAAGTGATCCGTTTTGGCCAATGACCTGGGGTTGTCTAGATGGGTCAGTGGGTGTAATAAAATCGGGTCTTTGCACTTACGCTTCGTCAGAAGGACCCGCGGGCCGTTGCGGGCTAGGATCATTGTTCTTCTTATTTGCGACAAAAGTACCGACGGCTGCTCCGAGAGCAATGGTGAAGACTAGTGTTATGAGGAGAATGATAAGGGCCAATCCCACAGGGACCTTGCCGAATAACTTCCTCTTTCGCCAGTTGATCTTTTCTTCGGTTGGCTCTGCCTTTTCCGAAAAGTGATTCTCACTCGCCAGTAGTGAGGCAGACGATGATTCAGAAGCCTCGGCTGGAACAGTACCACTCGAAGCAGAGGTAGAGTTGGCGGGCGCCAAATTGCCCGTCTGAGTTTCTGGTCTTTGTGGCGGTAACCGGGCGGGTGTAACGGATGGCAGTAGAGGGGCAACGGGTAACGCGGATGTCGAGGACGAGCTTTCACCTAGCGGCGAAGTTGGCGAGGCGGGAGTGTTGAAAGGATCTTCTGGGTCGACTTGGAGGGGTGCTGGGACAATGCGCGACGCGCTTGCTTCTGCCGCCAAAGACGCCTTGGTGGGGCCCTCCTCTGGAAAACGCGAGTAGGGTGGAAGCTGCTCAGTGTGGCCGTCTGGTCCAATAATATCCTGCTCTTCGCCGTCCGGTCCGAGCACTCTGCGGTAGCCATTGTCTAGACCCGGGAATCCCACGGGAATAGACGACTGGACCTGGGGCACGGGTGGCTGGGCTGGCGGCTCTTCTGGTGACTCTTCGTCCACAATGCCGCTTTGCGAGTACATGGCGTACGGATGTGTCGGGCGCTGCAGAGACATGGACCGGTGTGGCTGTCGCTCGGTTGAACTCGTCGCCACGCTCAGCGGCCGTGCCATTGAAAGCTGCGGGTACATGCCATAGGGGTGGCTCGGGCCAGTTTCGAACGGGTTTTCTGAATTGCTCGTCGTCGCAAACGAAGACGTGGAGCTCACAGAGTCGCGATGTCCCAGCGGCGAATGGTGGCTGGGCCCCCTGTTGAGCGGTTGTCGACTATCCTGTGGTATCGGGTCCCGTACCTTGGCGGTACTATTTCGCGTCGCAGTCCTCCGGAGATCCGTCTTGTCGTGGTGTTTTGACGTCGAAGTTTGCCGCTGCGGTATCGATATCCGGTCGTGGTTCTGGCGGTCGCTGTTCCACGCTTCGCTGGTGTTTGTCGGGCGGAAGCCATCTGATACCGAGGGCATAAAGTCGTCCTCGTCGGGGTCGATTTCGTGGTTGTCGTCAAAGACATCAGGACTGGCGGGCCGTCGCGATGCCTCGTTATCGCTGCTGCGTCTGTCCATGGCGCCTCACGGTCCCTGAGAGGCTCAAAGGCCCTGTGCCCCCCTGTCAGATGTCCCCTACAAGCTCTCTAGGCGTTTTTTCGAGCAATGAATCAATAGAATGCGCGCGGCGTAGCGATCGATAGTGTGTGGGTAGCGAGTGTGCGGCGGTTTGGCGAGTGTCGTGTCGTGATGTTGCGTGTGTGGAGCGAGGGCGCATCAGGTTTGGAGGCAGACGTCTGAGACGGCACACTAGTGCCAATGTGGCGTTTCAGCACGAACACCCGTGAACCGGAGCAGCTTGCAATCGAAACCACTGCCAGCTGTCTTTGGCCGTCTTCCTTGCACGCTCGCTCTATTCAAATCTTTCCGTGGGCTGCTGATGTGGGCAGTGTGTTGGTGTGTTGGTGTGTTGCCGGTCTTGTCCTTGATAAAGAATCCCCCTCTTGCCTTCCAAGGTTAATATCGAGCTGCTCTAGCACATAGCATCCTGCCCTCTATCCAAACTACGTGCGAACTGCCACCAATCAAGACCATGTATCCCGCTTGCACATTGGTGTCTGTGCATGGCTCCGTCACAAGCTCCATAGTTGATCCAACGACTCCAGGGCTGACTGAAGACGCTAGCCATGCTCGACACAGTGCTCCGACACCCGCATACTCTGCTGTGTTCTACTCACCTCTAGCCTTGCCACTCATGACACAATGGAAAGTGCGCATCGTGCATGTAAAAGCACACATGCGTCATGTTGTGGTTCCAGTCGCACCTCACGTGAGAGGCGACAGTTTGTGAACTAGAGCGCCCCATCCGCATGTACGGTAGATGAAGCCGTCTTGTATCTGCACCGCCCCAGCCCCTTCGATTGGAGACGGCCGCGGCGGCTATCAAACAAGCGCATTTGTCATCCGAGTGTTGACGTGATTGGAAGACGAGTGCTACTTGGAAACCAACATCCTAGACGTATTAGCAGTGAATATCGCGTCAAAACAGTCTCGGCTTTGAGGCTGATGATGCCTTCTGGAAGAATCTACATGCTACCTGACCCAAACAGCCTCATTTCGAGCTGTGTAAGACCAAGCATAGAGTCGGGAGCCACAAGTGGTGACATGTAGAATTGACAGTCTTCCCATTGTTGCCGACCTGTAAGGCGTATCCTAGTGGTACCGAGTAAACTATGTGCATCATTCGTCAGGCACCACAGACACCGAGTACAGCCACACTGTAAGCCTGCATCAAGTTCCCTACTTCAGAATAGGTCGTGGACAGTAGGACGAGGCCGGAAGCATTCAACAACTGCGAGTGTAACCCTGGTGACATCACACTAAATCAAGCCGATACATTCGGAGTCGTAAGATAGTAATCTCTCTAGAGGTGACGGTCTTTCGACGGCGGTTGCTAGGGCCACAGCGGATAAGCTGATAGTTGCTGTTCCTGACAACCCCTAGTCGGTACTGCGGGCGGTAAATCCCTGCATGCCAAGCGCGTCCACATTTGTCGAGTAAATGTCGATACTGCGCCTCCATGATACTCAAGGCAGTCGTGGTGCAGAAAGACAACTGCAAAGTACTTGCTTCTGCCAAGTTGATGTGGTGTGGAGATGTGAACTGCATGATTTCTTTTGCTTCCCCGCTATGGCGTCCTCACGTACGTGTTCGTGTTCGTGCTCGCAGCGGGACCCTGAAATTGTAGTAAAAATCCCACGACAACAATGCGAGGGCGTGGATCCTTAGCATTGTTGAGCGTAGAGTGCACAAATCCCGTTAATACCTCCTGATCAAGCCTTGCATCCACCTCAAGCTAGCATAACCGCAAAGCACTGCCGCTACTGGCTGGGTCTGACCTTGCCATTGTCGCGAAGGATCTACTCGACGAGTACTTAAACCGGCGGTGTGAAGTCTCCCCTCCCGTCAACACAAACCCTTTCTTCCTGCTCTCCCTACAACACTACACACTACCGCAACTATGGCTACTCGTCCCTCCAACATTGGTATCAAGGCCATTGAGCTCTACTTCCCCAGCCAGGTATGTACAAAACCCTATTGCTGCCGCCGCTGTCGGCTTGCAGACGCCATGCGCCCCTTTTTAAACGCCTCCTAACAAGACTTCCATAGTGCGTTGACCAGTCCGAACTTGAAAAGTTCGATGGCGTCTCTCAAGGCAAATACACGATTGGTCTCGGCCAGACCAAGATGTCGTTTTGCGACGACCGTGAGGGTGAGTTGCCTCCCCGCTCCTGTGAGCACATTATCGTGAGAGGAAACTGACGCGATCCGAATGCAGACATTTACTCCCTCGCCCTGACCACCGTCTCCTCGCTGTTTAAGAAATACAATGTCGACCCCAAGAGCATTGGTCGTCTTGAAGTCGGTACCGAGACGCTGCTTGACAAGTCCAAGTCGGTCAAGTCTGTCCTGATGCAACTTTTCGAGGAATCCGGCAACTACAACATTGAGGGTGTTGACACTGTAAACGCATGCTACGGTGGAACCAACGCTCTCTTCAACTCGGTCAACTGGATGGAGTCCTCCGGCTGGGACGGCCGTGACGCCGTCGTCGTCGCTGGTGACATTGCACTATACAAGAAGGGCAACGCTCGCCCGACGGGCGGAGCTGGATGTGTAGCCATGCTCATCGGTCCCAACGCTCCTATCGTCATGGATGCTGGCCAGCGCGGTTCCTACATCAGGCACGCGTACGACTTTTACAAGCCCGACCTTACCAGCGAGTACCCCATTGTCGATGGCCACTTCTCCATCCGCTGCTACACCGAGGCTGTTGATGCTTGCTACAAGGCCTACAACGAGCGTGAGAAGACGCTCAAGGCACAACAAAATGGACACGCCGTCCACCAGGATGTCGAGACACCGCTCGACCGCTTTGACTACATGGCTTTCCACGCCCCCACCTGCAAGCTTGTCGCCAAGTCATATGCGCGTCTGCTCTACAACGACTACCTTGTCAACCCTACCAACCCCATTTTTGCCGAGGTTCCCGCCGAGCTCCGCGACCTCGACTACGCCACTTCCGTCACCGACAAGACAGTCGAGAAGGTCTTCATGGGTCTCGCCAAGAAGCGCTTCGCGTCCCGTGTCCAGGCTAGCATCCAGGTCCCCACCCAGTGCGGTAACATGTACTGCGGCAGTGTCTACGGTAGCTTGTGCAGTTTGATTGCCAACATCAGCAGCCAGGATCTGCAGGGCAAGCGCATCGGCATGTTCAGCTACGGAAGTGGTCTGGCCTCGTCGCTGTTCTCCTTCACCGTCAAGGGCGACACCGAGAACATTGCCAAGCAGCTCGATATCCAGAACCGTCTCGAGCAGAGGCGTGTAGTTGCACCAGAGGTTTACGACGAGGTGAGTATTCTTGCCCCTTTTTCATCGAATGACACTAACAGACGTAGATGTGCAACCTCCGTGAGCAAGCTCACTTGCAAAAGGACTACACCCCCAAGGGAAGCGCCGAGACCATCCTCCCCGGCACTTACTACCTCACCGGTGTTGACAGCATGTTCCGCCGTTCTTACGAGATCAAGCAGTAGAGTGGCTGCCTCGATATACAGCACGACAACTTCGCTTCTTCCTTTGCATGCATTCTGAGCATTTGCAGGAGTCATCTTCATGATTCAGATCAAACTCAAAAAGGGAGCTGCATTATCCTCTTCTCGGCGTATTGGGCTGGTTTGCCCTCTTAGTAGACGGCGAGTCGTGACATGGTATCACGAACATTACGATGGATTGGTGGAATGGGAAGGGTTTGACATGTATATTGTCGAGATGTGAAATCGCTCGACCCTTTTAATATGCTTCCAACTTTGGAGCAACATCACTTTCGATAGACTAATGCTATGTTTGTAAATTATTCGCCGTTTTGAGATGATGTTTGGTTTCTCATGTCTTTTTATCGCCTTACTGTTCTTGTTGTAGCATCGCGCAGGTTGAACCTCGGCTCAATCTTCAAACCTCCGCATGCCATTACCGCCCCGCCCACAAACTCGAGGTTTACCGTAGCATCCGTGCTTCAATCTCTTATTTGAGCACAGCACTTCCTTCTTAGCTTTGTGCGCTCACCACATACATTCACGCTATCAATATGGGCAAAGATCTAGGTCCCGGTGTCGGTTTCGAGTACCCTCCATTTGAGGTGAAATGGCTGAAGCGCGATCTTTTACTTTTCGCAAACACCATTGGAGCTACGTATCCCGACGAGCTGCACTTTCTCTACGTAAGTCCCTAAAATCAGGTACCCAGAACATCCAATGCGACACAACCCTCACAAAAAAAAATCCCCCGTCCATCTCTAACACCTCCCTCCCAGGAACTCCACCCAGACTTCGCCGCCTTCCCAACCTACCCCGTCATCCTCCCCTTCAAGCACACGGACCAAGAAGTCATCGACTTCTACGCGCGCAGCAACTCAACACCTATTGAAGGCGTGCCCAAATTCGACACCAAGCACGTCCTCGACGGCGAGCGCAAGCTGCAATTCTTCAAGCCGCTGCCGGTATCAAGCCAAGGGCGGAGGTTTGAGATACGCAGCAAGGTGCTCGGAGTGTACGACAAGGGGAAGCCAGGAACGGTTGTTGAGACGGAGCAGTGTCTCGTTGATGCTGAGAGTGGGGAGGTTTATACGAGGGCTGTGGGGAGTGGGTTTTATGTTGGGCAAGGGGGGTGGGGTGGTCCGAAGGGTACGTATGCGACTTGTTCTGCTTTCGCTTTCGATGGAGTGAGTGGTTTATACTATACTTATGCTAATACGGATGGATACAACAGGTCCTAAAGTTCCAAACTTCCCCCCTCCAGACCGCAAACCAGACCACACACACATCCACCAAACCAACATGGAAACAGCGCATCTGTACCGCCTAAATGGCGACTACAACCCCCTCCATGCGGACCCAGAGCCCGGCAAGAAAATGGGCTTCGGTGGCCCCATCATCCACGGCCTCTTCTCCTGGAACATGGCTGCGCACGCGGTGCTAAAGACCTTTGGCGGGAGCAAGCCTGAGAACCTAAAGGAGTTCCAGGCAAGATTTGCGGCGCCGGTTAAACCGGGTGATAAGCTGATTGTGGAGATGTGGAGGACGGGGGATAAGGATGATGGTGGGTTTGAGGAGGTGCGGTTTGTGGTTCGGGTTGAGGGGGGGAAGGTTGTGCTTACGAATGGGAGGGCGGTGGTTAGGTGTGTGGATGGGAAGGCGAAGTTGTAGATAGTGGTATAGTATCTAGGTAGCTATATATTCGACATAACCCTACTCGAGCTTTTTATGTTGGGTTGAATACATCATCGCGTGTTACTATGTACTTAGATGTTCAGACCAGATAGGCTAGATCCTCCGCAAACTCCATTTTACAGCCCGCGTTTTTACAATCATATCAATCCATCTGATAAGATGAACCCGCAGCTGACAAACCACGTGACACATGCAGGGGCAGTCGCAGCCAAACCAAGCACGCTCTAGCGACCGAAACATGAAGCATACCACGCAACAAAAAAAGCGCCAAATGTACTTAACAACGTTTAACGGGCGGCTTCCTGAAACACGTTTGAGGACATGCCGGTGGGTGGGTCGTCGTCGGTTCACGATGACTTGGGGTTGGAATTTCCTTGGGTCCTGAACCTTTTGGTTTCTTCACGTTCTCTCTTTTCGCGATAAAGTGTAGTCTGGGCAATTTCTACCAAGCGATTTCTATTTTTTTTTCTGGGTTTGGGCTTTGCTGGGGCAAGGCAGGGCAAGGCAAGGGAAGAGTGATTTGAGTTGGTGTAGCGAGGGGATATCGACGGAGGTATCATTGTCTAGGGCGAATACAACATCAAGAGAGGAGAAAAAAGGACTATTTACCATATTCACCAGCTCAACTCGACCTCACCTCAACAAACGCCATCCACACCGCCCACAACAACAATGTTCCTCCCCCTCCCCACCACCCTCCTCACAACCATCACATCCATCCTCCTCCTCACCCCCCCAACAACGCCCTACAAACCCCTCTCCCCCTCCTTCCTCCGCGCCATCCCCTCCCCAGCCCACACCCTCGACGCCCACAACAGCACACTCCTCTCCCCTCTCCTCATCCCCCGCGTCCCCGGCACGCCCGGCCAAACCACCGCCCAAAACCACCTCTCCACCTTCTTCCGCACCCACCTCCCCACCTGGACCCTAACCTGGCAAAACAGCACGAGCACAACGCCCCTCTCAGCCGGCGCGCAAGTCCCCTTTGCGAACCTAATCGCGAGAAGGGAGCCACCGTGGGTTAGCGAGGGCCAGGCGAATTATCTGACGCTCGCGGCACATTATGATAGCAAGTTTTTTGCTGCGGACGAGGGGACTTTTGTGGGCGCTACGGATAGCGCGGCGCCGTGTGCGATGTTGCTGCATATAGCAAGAGTGCTGGAACCGCATTTAGCGCGCATGTACGAGGAGATGAGTGCACTGGGCGAGGGCGGGGAGGTGGATATGGATATGGGTGTTCAGATGTTGTTTTTGGATGGGGAGGAGGCGTGGGGCGAGTGGAGTGGGGAGGATAGTTTGTATGGGTCTAGGTACGTCAATTCTCTCTTTCTTTTTTTCTCATCGTTGTTCGGTGGTTTGGAGGCGAGGGGGGGGTTTTTTTTTGCTGGAGAGACGAGGCGATGACATGATGAAGGAAGACATGGCTAACACCATATAAACCAACAGAGCCCTAGCAACACACTGGCAATCCCACCCAAACCCCCTACCCCAAACCTCCAAATTCTACAAAAACCAAACCCCCTTATCCCAAATATCCCTCTTCCTCCTCCTCGACCTGCTCGGCTCCGCCAACCCTACCGTCCCATCCTACTACCCCACAACACACTGGGCCTACCTCCACCTGTCCCGTCTCGAAACCCGCCTGCGTTCCCTAAACCTCCTAGAATCCAACCCCCCAACCCCGTTCTTACCAGATGTGAATATGACAATGGGTACAAACGGGGTGGAAGACGATCATTTACCTTTTCTGCAGAGGGGCGTGGAGGTGCTGCATGTGATTCCGAATCCGTTCCCGGAGGTGTGGCATACGGTTAGGGATGATGGGGGACATTTGGATGGGCGGACGGTGAGGGATTGGGCGAGGATTTTGGGGGCGTTTGCGTTGGAGTGGTTGGATATGATGGAGGTGTGGGATGAGCCTGAGTGACGAAAAGAGAATGAGGATGAGAGGATATTGGTGGTTAAACATTTTTTCAAAAACGAGTGCAGTGGAGAAAACATGTAAGAATAGGTTAGACATTTATGAAAGATGAATATGAACATTGACGCAATTGATTCAGCTCAAGTCCATTAAACAAAAGTAAAAGCAAGATCAATCACTTTCAACCACACGTAACTTGAAGAATTCATATACTTGTCATGTCTTGTATTCCAGGCGGCACGTTATGTACAAAAGACCCGGACCGCAACCCATACCATCCTGCTTCATATCTCGCTTCCATGACGATGCGTATGATGGGAGTTTGAATGCCTGGCGTGCAAAACGTTACAACGTACACGCACTCAAGCAAACATGATAATGATGATAATGGACAAAAGTTACCAATAATAAACGCCCACGATTAAAAAAAAAGATAAAACACGCAATGCACCAGCGCAATGCATACCCATACCCCGGCAAAGCAAATGTTGTGCGTGTACTGTAGTGTAGGGCTTCTCAGTACCTAAAAACTCAATCTGTGGAATCTTGGAATCGTAATGGATGACTAAGGTCATCCGACAAACCAAAAACTACGGCTGTAGTCTCGGGCCATTCGTGACATTGCTGAAAGCAGCCGTCGATAAGGTGCATTAGTAAGGAGCTTGAACGCAGTCCAAGTTGTGGGCGAGGGGTAAGCTCTGGGTATCCAAGAAAAGACTCGTGAATGCTACCGCCATGTACTGATAAAGATGGACAAAGCAGAAACTTTTATCAGGGTCGTCACTTGGAGAGCTCTTGTGGGACCCCGGAGGTAGAAGGGCGGGTTGCGCCTATGATGAATGCTTCATCATACATCGAATTGGCCGTGGTTGAACACATCGTGTTCGTTACTGGGGACAACGCCGGACATTCTATCTCCGCGTCCTGCAGGTCGGTCCCAGTTGACATCGTCCGTGTCGTCTTCGTCCATGCGCTCTAGAGCATCGCTTCTTCGTCTGTCGTTGCCAAATTGTTGCTCCATGGTGCTCTGGTCGGTAAAGGTGAAGCCGGCAAAGTTTGCTTGCATGGTCGGCGATAGGGGCGTGGACGCGGGGTTGACACCTGATGCTAGAGCGGCAGCCCGCGCGTTCAAGGAACCAGCTCCGTTCAGAGCGTTGGTGAACTCCGGATCAAAGTTGGACACATCAAGCTCTCCCTTGAGTTTGGGCTTGAACGGCGGTACAACGTTCTTCTTGCCAAGAGCATCCCAGTCGATATCCGCAAAGAAGGGGTGGGCCTTGAGCTCCTCGGCATCGCGTGTTGCACCAAGCCTGTGCTTGGGGTTCCTGTTGAGAAGTCCCTTGACGAAATTCCTACCTTCCGTGCTGAGGGCGTCCCGAGGAAACCTGACCTTGCCAAACGCAATGTTCTTGTACATTTGCTGGGTGTCCTCGGCATAGAATGGACTCCAACCGCAGCACATCTCAAAAACTAGCACACCGAGAGACCAGAAATCAACCATCTTGGTGTAGCCGTGCTCGTCCAGAAGCACCTCTGGTGCAAGGTACTCGGTTGTACCACAGAAGGTGTTTGTGGTAGCGTTCTCGGTAAGGTTGGCCTTGGACAACCCGAAATCGCACAGGGCGATGTGGCCGTTGGCATCCAGAAGAATGTTCTCGGGCTTTAAATCTCGGTACACAATGTTGTGTTCGTGGAGATGTTGAAGCGCAAGAATGAGCTCAGCAATGTAAAACTTGGCACGAGCTTCCTGGAAACGACCTTCTCTTTGAAGATGCCAGAAGAGCTCACCTCCCGACATGTAGTCTGTGACAAAGTAGAGGTCCGAGGGCGTCTGGAAGGAGAACTTGAGGCCAACAATGAATGCCGAGTCAGCCATGGCAGTCCGGACGAGAATGTTACGTTCTCCAAGTGTGTGCGCCACCTCCTTCTTCTGTACAATGACCTTCTTGGACAGTACTTTCATGGCGTAGATTCGGCGAGTATCGCGCTTGCGTACTTGGAAGACTTGCCCAAATGTACCCTTTCCGATGAGCTTTAAAATCTCAAAGTCTTCAGGTCCGTAATGCTTCTTCTCGACTTTTTGGAAACTGAGCTTGAGATGGATCTCACCAGTGACGATACCTCCCTCACCCTCTCGCGGCTCCAGAGGGAACCAGCCATCATACGGCTCGCTATATTCGACGAGGTTGGGGCAGAAGCGGACGTGGCCGAGGAAGGCCTCACCGTTTGAGCGGTCGTACACGGATACGTCGACTTCAGCATGGTCACCGACAACATCACTAGAGCCGGTTAGTCTGGTGTGGCGACCAAGGAAAAAGCAAGCAACTTACAAGATGGCCTCATGCTCCCACTTGGGGCAAGTGACTTCCTCGAGAGAACCGTTTTCCCTGGGATCCGAGCTGTGGCCGCTGTTGCTACTCTGCCGACTCTTCATTGGAATAGCCATGGGCGTTCCCATTTGGCTCTCCGCGCGCTTCATCTGCATGCCAGGACGGCCCTTCTTTGACTCGTCGTGCCTAGGACCATCCGAAATGTATTCGGCCCATTGGAACTGGCAGACAACATATGGATCTGTGCTGGGACGGAGCCCCCTTCCTTCGGATATTGTGACTTGGAGTTTGCCTTTGGGGGCTACAACTGGGGCCGTCTTGCTCTCCTTGGACTGGTCTGAGGCGTTCGAAGTCCGCGATAGATTCGAGGGCAAGGGCTTGGTTTCTTGCGAACGTGTGCGAGGAGTCTGAGGCGGAGTTGCCTGTTGCAGGGCGGCGAAATCGCCTTGAGTCAGCTTCTCCGTGTCACCAGTCAACTGCGAGGCTGAGGGAGTTCGGGAAGAGGCACTGGGAGTGGGGCTGGGCAGCATCTTGGGGTGGGACTGTGACTCTGGCTCTTTTTCTCGGACTTCGGACGATGCAGGCTCAGGGTTGCTCTGTGCAGAGGAAGTGACGGGTGCGGGGGAGGGGTCGGCCATAAGTGAAGACTTCCTCGAGGGCATAAGAGAATCACGAACCTGGCCAAAGTAACTGTGCAGAATACCCGGCAGTCGCTTGTCCGTCGGGTCGGGCTTGGGTGTCGTGGCACCCGGTGGCGTGGAACTGGTGGAGCCGATCTGGTCGTGTCCGTCATCGTTGCTGTCATTTGTGGCTCTGTGCGGCGTCAGTAGGGTAGAGGAGGGCATCGTGGCAGCTTTGGCAGCGGCAAAGCAGGAACTGGCGGTGAGAGAGTGCTGCCGTCAGCAGTCGGTGGTGGTGAGGTAAGGTGAGGGCTGGGGGGAAGCAGAAGAAATAGTGTGCAACGCTGGTTGACACATGGGCATGGTTGGCACATCGCCCAGGTGCATACGACCACATCACGTCAAAAAGGGCGGCTAGCGGGTGGTGCAGGATGGGAGACTCTTATAGCCGACCTGTTCCACTTACCGTGTCATTGCTTGCCGCAGCAGGTCGGCAGCGCCAGAAGAGGTGCCAGTTGTGTGCGAGGCCATGATGGGGGACTGGCGGGGTGAGGGCGCAGTGCCGACGTTGAGCGTGGAGAGAGTGGGAACGAGACTGCTCGACTTGTTCCGAAGATGATGGCGGGGTTGCAGCGTCTTGGTCGAACTGTCCGAGTTGCGCGAGACTAATCCGGGACGTTGATGCTGAAGGGCATGGACCGCGGGGGTTTTGGAAGCAATTTTGGGCTGACGACTTGGGCTGCTGGACAGGGAGTCGCTTTCGGGAAGCGACGTCGATAGTGACAGCGAACTGGTTGGAGCCCGGTGCGCAGGTGGGCGTGAAGTCATAATAATCAGCGGAAGCTGGGCTGCTGCTCCGAGCGGCCTTAGGCCCAAACAAGCGCGTTGCAACGAATGCGAAAACTCTGCGTTGGTACTTTAACGGGGCCAGGGCAGGGTAATCCGACTTCTTCCACAGGCTTGAGCCACGCGGCGGTGTAGGGCGGTAATTGGGCGGGAGTGCGGACGGCGGGCAGGGCAGTGGGCAGTGTCGTGGACGAGGCTATCAGGGTACAGCAGCGAGGTAAGATTGGGATTAAGACGCGGGCTGCACTGCTGGATTGAGACTTTGTTGATAATTGATAGCAGCGTCACGGTTGGGACAAGATAGGCAGGCGCCGTGTAGCTCACGCGGTTACTTGTAGGCAATCGGCGCACCCTTTACTACTGCTGGTGGCAGACAGGGAGCATCCCATCCATGGTTACCAGTAGACGACCTGCACGCCCTTGGTTCAGCAGTCCGCTTCCCTTTCACCGCCACTGTCTTGTCATCTGGCTCGGCGAGCGACATGGTGCAAGTCAGCGTCTACCAGGTGCAGCGCGCGCTGACGTCGGCCTCCACAGTTGCTGCTGCTTCAACCGGCCGGGAGCTGATAGAGTGCCTGGCTGCGAGGCCAATCGCGCACCAAAGACGTCCGTGTCGGGTGGAGCACGAATATCCTCAGATTTCTGCTCAAGCCATGTCCTGCATCAAGCTCCGGGTCTGTTGTTTGAGGAAAAGGCGCAGCGCTCCACACGGCCATGCACATCCAGGGAGAAAGCCCATGTGCCGCCGCCGCCGCCGCCGCCCGATACTACCCTATGACATTGATGCTAGCCCTGGGACATGAAGCTGCTAAGATAGTGCCATAGTAGCCGGGAACTGCTATCTGTTAGCACATATAGTGACGTGCGCACGTGATCACGGCAACCACAGCTGCCTGTGACGTGCAGGCATCAAGGCCCGTTGTCGTTGTCGGTCGATCCTCTCGCCATTACTTTCCCCGCCGTGCGCTTGTGTTTGGCTCATTACCGAAGTGCGGTTACACAACCGTAGACAGTCAAGTGTTGGCAACCATGGGTGAACTGCCCAGGCTGACCGAAGCCTTCGGCCAAACAGCCGGGCCGTGCGTGGATGCATGATTGTATTTCTTAACTTGTCGCTACGCGCCATACACAAAGGCACGCTCAACGACAACACCAACTGCGCATTCCACCACCACCATGTCCGACCGCGAGTTTGGCGCTAACGATGACTTGTCGCTACCAAAGGGTGCGCCTTCTCCCCGCTGCGCCCATGAAACTCGCACAAACACTAACGCGCCCCAGCGACCGTACAAAAGATTGTCCAAGACATCCTGGCCAGCGAGCCTGGCATGACATTTGCAAAAGACTCGCGCGACCTCCTAATCGAATGCTGCGTCGAGTTTATTACCCTCATCTCATCCGAAGCAAACGAGATTGCGGAAAAGGACGCGAAGAAGACGATTGCATGCGAGCACGTCAAGGCTGCGCTCGAGGAGCTCGACTTTGGCGACTACGTCCCCGCTATCCTTGAGGTCGCCCAGGACTACAAGAAGCAACAGCAGGCACGTCCGCCATCATATAATTATACGCGACTACTAGCTAACCTAACCTAGAACCGCGAGAAGAAGCAGACAAAGATCGAGCAGAGCGGCATGACCGAGGAGCAACTCATCGCAGCTCAGGAAGAGCTTTTCAAGACGGCCACCAACAAGTTCAACGCGCCACCAGCGTGAGAATCTCATAAACGACATGTACGAATAACGGGTTCAGTTGCGCGGCGTTCAGCGGGCATCCGGCATCGCGGAATGAGGTCAGGCGTTTGGGTTAGACATGGGTTCGGGACGGCGTGTGCCATGTTTCAAGCATAGGGCTAGGCGTTAATCAAGGGAACCATGGGGGCGCACCATGTTATAGCGCGAGACGAGCACCATTTGCGATTTCACGCGCACTTAATTCTTGACCTGATCAATGCTTCCTTTGACCTAAAGCGTGAACTGTGAATTGCGCCGTGTTTCACTACCCAATGACGTCGGGGCGCGTGGGCCACCCAAGAACCCCGCGGACCCTGGAAAGTAGCCGCATCCCACACGTGCACCGCCATCTGCCTATCTCCCGAACAACTACTACACCATCCCACACCTCGACGCTCCAATAATAATCCTCAACTACACATCATGTCGGGTCTAGAAAATGCCCTCTTCAACCTCAAGGTCAGTCCACCACGCCGCCGCTTATCCATCACCACACTCACACGCAGTAGTTCACCGCCAAGTCGCTGAACAGGCAGGCGCTCAAGGCCGGCAAGGAAGAACAAGCCGAGAAGACGAAGCTAGAAAAGGTGCGCATATTCCACTCACCCGTAGCGCGATACTAACACTCGTACGACACAGGCTATGAAGCAAGGCCACAACGACATCGCCCGCATCTACGCCGGAAACGCCATCCGGAAGCAAAACGAAAAGCTAAACCTCCTCCAACTCGCCTCACGCGTCGACGCCATTGCCGGCCGCGTACAAACCGCCGTCACGATGCGCCAGATCACGGGCAACATGATGAAAGTGAATCGCAGTTTGGACGTGGCTATGAAGTCTATGAGTCCTGAGCGGGTAAGGCCTCCTCCACCCAGTTCTCTACAAAAACCTCCACTTGTATTAACACACATCTTGTAGATTGCATCCGTAATGGTAGATTTCGAGAAACAATTCGAAAACGTAGACTCGGCAACGGAATTATACCAGGACATTACCTCCTCTGCCACGGCTGTTGGTACCCCCCAGGAAGACGTGGATCGCTTGATGGCGCAGGCGGCGGATAAGGCGGGCGTAGATTTGCAGCAGGATCTTCAGGCTGCTACACCGGCGAAGACAAAGGTTGGGCCGACGGAGCAAGAGGAGGAGGCGTTTACGGAGAGGTTGCGGGCGCTGAGGAATTGAGATATTTGAGAGGTGGTTTGATCGGATGAGAGAGAGAGAGAGAGAGAGAGGCTGGGTGTTTTGGCGTTGAGGTGTTTTGACTTCTTCAATGGGGGATATTTATGCTGGGGGAAGGATGCAGAGGATGCTTGTTATCTGCTCTGTTGGGTTGGTTGAATGAATCGATATCTATCACGTTATGACTGCTCGTTCTTTGTTTCGTTCCAGAAGCGCGTTTTCTACTCCCTGTTTACGCTACCTTGAAGGATTGTTCTAGTAAAAATAGCAGCATCAATGTACTCAGTGTATCGGCCACCATTTCGAAATCAGATTGTTACCCAGTTTGTGAAGTAGATTTCATTCACGGTAGGTGGGTGACCCAGGACCCCGATTATAGGCAGTATCTCATCAAACTCTCGATAAAACATAACGGGGGAAGTATTTATTAACTTTTGTTTTGTAGGTTCTGCGAGGATATGGATAACACATATATAATACACGATTCAGCTAGTCTACGCAACGCGAACGAATCCAAGAATTTCTCCGTGAAGAACTTCGTCATGGCAACTTTCTTCCACAGGGAACATAAAGGGGGTGGTAGAGGCTAGTATTAGGATAGTAAACTGCGTTAGCAAGTACAATATATAAGAGCTTGTCACCTAATACTAGTTATTGTTGAGAATATCTGAGTTCAGTCCAGGGTAGAAGGTGCTTGGGAGTCACATGATATGCTGGTGTGGCAGGCACTGCCCGGTGGGCAATAGCACCCACAACAACAGAGTGAGACTGCGACACTCAAGATGATAGTCAAGACAATACGTTGCAGCCACCCCGCCTTGTCCCTCCTCCCACTCGGTTATCCATAGTAGTCATACTACTAGAGGGACCTTGTTCCAATAGTTATTAGTAATGTCTGTATGGTTAGCAAAAGAATATTGGGATAGGGTAGATTAGCTTACGGTAGAGGTAGGTCTAATAAGGCATTCGCTGATTAGTTGTTTTGGATATTTTGTAGTCTTGAAACAATCACTGTAGGCGTAGAGGATGTGTGAGATCTTTTTACTTATATGGCTGCATAAAATAGTTATAGGAGACAAATGTATCTTAGGGTTGGCTTGTAACGCAGATTACACACAAATATCACAAATAAAAAATCACGTCTTTCGCTCAAACAATCTGGAATATCATACGGACTTTACAAATTTCCACCGAACTCCGTATATCATGTACGAAAGCGGATTAGCGCAAGAGTAAGTTGAGTACCTTGGTAACCCAATTCAGCAACGTCTGGTCTTGGGTTGATGAAGCTTGTGGTCGTGTGTGATGTCTTGTGTTACTTGAAAGACGCCGTTCTGGGGGTTCTTGGGGAGGTATTGGTGGTGTGGTTTGGCCATTACATTGCTTAGGTTACAATACCCCAAAGCCAACTTTTGTCACGCGACAGCTCGAGACGAGTGGATAGATTGGGTTGACTGAATTTTGTCGCTGGGTATGTTGATTTTATAGGTAGCTTTTCTGTTTTGACTGTTTTTAGAATTGATGGCTTGATATTGACTTTGTGCAGGTGGAAACGGTATGGGGCTCTGGAGCGAATTAAACTGGAAACTGCGAAAGTAGTCTGGCTAGGCACAGACCTGGGGAAATGGTATAGTGTTGTCTTTTCAGAAACAGATATGCATGGTTAAGAAAAAGAGCAAGCCTGGATATTCTCAAAAGGCTGTCAGGAGACTCTCATCCAAGAGATATCGGTCGTACCTTGAAGCAATCAATCCAGTAGGACTCCCAGAGATTCATGAAGAGACGGAAGATTGGCTGGGACATCAGATCATCGACGAAGGAATCAAGACAGCTAGGAGCTCCCCGAAGATGCGGGAAACATGACACATTCCGGTATCGTTGCTGGTCGTATCTAAAACGTGGGGCCACGACCACGACTACGGTGGAGACGGGTGGGTGCGCGGGTGAGTAAAACAAAGCACCAGCGGTGTTGCTAGGGGAAGGTGCAACTGACAAAAGACAGCCACATATAACCCCGCGTATCCAAGGCTTCCTCCTATGGCACTGCGGCCGTTACGATTGCGTAAGCCAAAGGTGTTGCAGTGGTTAACAGCCGAAGCGATGTTGCCAAGCCTGTAGTCGGCCTTGACGCCGCAATTAAGCACAGATCCCCACACTATCCAGCCGTTGCTCAGTTTCTACAGCCGAGCCTCTTTTCCAACTTGGTTTTGCAAGGAGATGGGCCCGTTGCTATCACGCTCGCTGTCACACTGCTCGCCCGATTCATCTCGAGTTCCAGACTCTCCACAAGTATTGTCTAGGTACCATGTCGCCAGCCGTCTTCTCGACCAGATTCTTCCCTTGCATACACAACAACAGTTAAGCGGCCCTCGGCTTCAAGCATACCAAGGCCTCTTATCACGTCTTGGCATGGCTCGTGTGCTTCTCCGCTCTGCGCAACGCCGCCATTGGCGAACACTGCGTTGGCCTTGTACCACTTGTCTACATGTAGCAGGTCGCAATGAACTCAGCCTGCGAACTTCCAATGTAAGCTGCAGGGCATGCTTACGCAGACGTCAGTAGGAGCGACTTTCCCGGTCCCTGGACCCGGACTTGGTGCAACTTGTGGGCACAGCAGCATCGAGATGGGCTAAGAGGATGTATAAATTGCGCAACATGGCCGGCAAACCGAGAGGAACTGCTTCCTCCACAGCTCATTCAAGGCAAAAATCACAATGGCTGGTTTCAAGTCAAAGTCTATTGCTGCTCTTGCAGCATGTGTCGCAGCAGTTGATGCGGCGGCTCTTCAGCCTCGCCAGTACAAGACGCTCGTCAACTCGGTATGATGGTCTACTGACTGTCCTACCTTCTCGTCTAACGTACAACAGCAATCTCTCCGCGACGCTCTCCACATTGACAACTTGTTCGCCAAGGCTGAGATCCTCCAAGAGATCGCATACAGCACGCCAGGCAAGAACCGTGTCATCGGAAGTCAGGGCCACGAAGACACTGTAGAGTACATCAAAGGGCAACTCGAAGCTTTCCCTGATTACTACAATGTCTACACCCAGGACGTACCGCTTAACATCGGTACCAACGCCACGCTCATGGCAAACAACAAGACCATTGAAGCTTTTGCTGTTACCCTGGCTCCTGGCGGTAACGTAACTGGTCCGCTAGTTGCTATTCCCAACCTTGGTTGTGAGGAGGTATGTTTGCTTTCCCACACTGCTTGAAGAATCCTAACATCGCAAAGGCCGACTTCCCCGAGTCTCTTGCAGGCTGTGTTGCTCTCATTAAGCGTGGCACCTGCTCCTACGGCGAAAAAGTCGAGATTGCAGCTGCCAAAGGCGCAGTTGGTGTTGTAGCATGGAACAATGCCGAAGGCACCCTTGAGGGCTATTCACTCCAAGTCCTGTTTCCAAAGGGCGAGGTCGTTCCCACCGCCGGTATCACCATGGGCCAAGGAGAGGCTTTGCTCGCACAGATCCAGGCTGGCGTCAACATCACAGTCGACATGATGACCGATGCCAAGATCTACAACACCCGCAATGTCATCGCCGAAACAAAGGCTGGTGACCACGACAACGTCATCCATGTTAGCGGCCACTCCGACTCTGTCACCGCTGGCCCCGGTATCAACGACAACGGTTCTGGATCCATGTCTATCCTTGAGATTGCCATTCAGCTCACAAACTTCACTGTCAACAACGCTGTTCGCTTCAGTTGGTGGACTGCTGAAGAAGCTGGCCTCCTAGGGGCCGAATACTACGTCCACGAGCTCCCTCAAGACGAGCGAGACAAGATACGTTTGATGCTAGATTATGATATGATGGCTTCGCCAAATTTTGCTATCCAAATCTACGACGGCGACGGTTCAGCCTTCAACCTGACCGGCCCCAGCGGCTCCGCAGAAGCTGAGCACGAAGTCGCCGCCTACTTCGACAGCATCGGCCTCAACCACACTGAGATAGAATTCGACGGCCGCTCAGACTACGGTCCCTTCCTGGAAGCCGGTATCGCGGCTGGTGGCATCGCTGGCGGCGCCGAGGGCATCAAGACGGAAGAGGAGGCTGAGATGTTCGGTGGTGGCGCGGGTGTTCCTTACGATGTCAACTACCACGAGGACGGCGACACGGTTAACAACCTTAACCTAGATGCGTGGATCGAGTTTACAAGGGCGATTGCGCATATGACGGCTACGTATGCGGTTTCTTGGGATGGGATTCCGCCGAGGAATGCGACGGCTGCGAGGAAGAGGTCGGAGATGTATGGGAGGTATAAGAAGGAGTTTAGGAAGACGGAGAGGTGGCAGAGGTGGGTGTAGATGGGCGCTTTTCTTTCTTTTTTTTTGAGAGGAGAGAGGGCGTGGTATATAAACCTTAACTTAATACTATAATTAAGTAGTCATCAGTCAAAAGGCCGTTAGACGATTTATATGGGTGACATCAAATAGTGAACAGTTTGGGTAAGCGCTTGATAGCCCGTATCTGACGTCTACAGCGGCCTTTGTACACCACTATGTCAAGTATCTTACGTGACCCATGCGATTATACATCGTACATCATGACATAGACTACACACGACCAAAGAACACGACACATGAATAACCACCGAGATTGCATTTTAAATAAGCCCATTACACAAGAAACCTAACAACCTCATCCACCCTATCTTGGTACTATCTACCACATCACTCATCATCATCATCGTCGTCGTCGACTACAGGAACAGGGTCCGTCTTAGCAGTAGTCTTGACTTTCCGGTCCTTCTCCGCGCCACTCGGCTTAGTAGCCTTGGGCTTTGCGTCCTCCTCTTCGTCGTCGTCGTCGTCCTCTTCTTCAGGCGGCGCAGCAACAGCAGCATCGTCGTCGTCCTCTTCGGATTCCTCAGCAGTGTCCTCGTCGCTCTTGGGATAGTCGAGCTTGTGCGCCTTCCTCCTCTTTGACGCTGGGGGGCGTTGATTAGTTGGGGGTGGTGAGTGGGGGGGGTGGTAGAGAGGGCAACTTACGACGTTCTTCGGCGTCGGAATCATCTTCGTCTTCGTCGAAGTTTGAGCCTTCGGATTCGGCGTATCTAGGGTGTCGTGTCAGGGCTTATTGCAGAATTTGGCCTGAGCGCATTGAGAGAGATGGAGAGATATTGTAGTAGCACAATTAATCAACTCGTCAAGTTTCAAACATTGCGAGAATCAAAGGCAAGGGCTGGAAAACGTCGGTGCAGTTGGGCGGAGAGCGATGCGACCGAACATCGCCGCATAACTCAGCTTACGCTCAACCTTTCCCGAGCATGCGCCGCGACAAGCTGAACACATATCGCAATGGACAACATGGTTATCGCATGAGCGGCGCAACGCGATCCTGCAGCACACCAAGCGACACGAATGCGACAGAAAAGCGGGATAGCATGACGTCAAGAAAGCAAAACTTACTCCTCTTCACTCTCGCTCTCATCACTGGGAAGAGCCACAAGCTCCTCGTCCTCATTCTTCCTCTTCCTCGTCGTCATGATGATTCGTTTGTGACGTAAAAAAAAGCTACACGCCGCGAAAAGTTTGGTACAGATAGTAGTAGTAGTTGTAAACTAAGTTTCGCAAAGTCGGGAGGGAAAAGATGAGCTAGTGTTTGCGCTTCGAGGCAGGTTGGTAAGGTAAGGTGGGAAGCGCGAGAGAGAGAGAGCGAGCGGGGACAAGCAAAGCAAGCAAGAGAACACGGGACGACGAGGGGGGGGTCCTGGAAGAAATACGTAGCGGTAGCTGGGTACACACACACCACCACCTACGCAAGCTCGCTCTTACCAAGGAGGCTGGGAAGCCAGGGACCTCTTTGCGGACGACCCCGTCCCGGCTTTTTTGCTGTATGGCTTAGTTCGGCCTGTTCGGATGGGCCGTTGCTGGCCAATCAGACGTGCGGGTGCCATCACCTGCATCTCGAGGCCTGGCTGTGAAGGGCACACAAGCGTAGTTTGCGCTTGGGGAGATTTGATGCAGGTACCGCGTGTCAAGGGAGCGTGTGGTGTCTGCTGTCAGGCGTGTTTTTTCATGTGGTTGTACAGGTTTGATTGGGGTGGGATGAGTGGACACACTCGTTTGTGCTTGGTGAAGGTCGTCTTTTTCCCTGTTGGAAACTCGGCGTTGCGACTCAGTTCATCCGCGCACCGCGGGATCGAGATGCCTGCTGCATGACGGCATGGAGAACAGGTTTACAGATTACTTATGACTATACTCAGTATTACAGATTACTTATGACTATACTCAGTATTACAGATTACTTATGACTATACTCAGTATTACAGATTACTTATGACTATACTCAGTATGACGGTTCGGTTTGTTCATCAGTGAGATGTAGAAGTTGGATTGGACAACTTGAACCACTGTTCCACTAGATTTGGGGGCCGCTGAGCTGTGTATTTGGCAGTTAGATGGAAGATAGGACTTTTGCCCTCATTTCTTCTGATAGGCTATAGACATGTTCAGAGCCTGCCAAAGCACTACCAAAATACATACACGCCATCGCCGGCTTGTGTGGATGTTCGCAGCTCGAGGTGCAGAGCTCGGTACCTAAACAGGCAAGCGCAGCCCACTCCGCCCCGGTCGACCCCTCCCGCGGTACCGCGTCTTATTCGCGCCTCTTGACTGTCCCTCAATTATTTCTCGACTTGCTTGGACTTGACTTACTCAACACAACACTTCTTCGCAACACTGCAAATTCCAGTACACCTACCATGTCTACGTCACAGGTTGCCCGGCCGCCGAGGGGGCGCCTTATGTCGATAAATGATCGCGATAAGTACAATTACAAGCACAAGCGACGGGCGTTGCCTCCACCTCCTCCGGTGAAACAGGTTAAACGGACATACAACTGCTGCGAAAACCCGATTATAGACACCAGTGAAAACACGATATTATGCTACACTTGTGGTGCTGTTCATGAGAACGTCGACATCGTCTCCGAGGTTACCTTTGCTGAGGGTTCTAACGGAGCGGCTACAGTCCAGGGTGGCACCATCCATCAGGATCAACGCCACGCAAACTCCATGGGTGGAACCATGAGGGGTCTAGGTGGCATGGGGAGCAGGGAGCAGGCGGCTCTGAACGGCAAGAACGCCATCGAGGCTCTTGGTGCTTCTCTCAACCAGCGCGAAGCAGTGATAGAGCAGGCCGTTAGCTGGTATAAGCTTTCCATGAACTTCAACTTCGTTCAGGGACGTAGGATGAGGAATGTCGCTGCTATATCCATCTACATGGCAGCCCGGAGGCAACCAGAGAATACGCTCATGCTCATCGACTTGGCCGAGAAGATCCAGACCAATGTTTGGGTTTTGGGAGATACGTACAAGTCCTTCTTGAAGACGATGAAAGAGAAGGATCCGGCACAACTTATTGGCAACAAGGCCGTCCAGGAAATCGAACCGCTGATGTTGAAGTACTGTCGAAAACTCGAGTTTGGAGACGACTCCCACAGGGTTGCCGATGATGCCTGCAAGGTGTTGAAGCGCATGAACAGAGATTGGATGGTACAAGGTCGCCAACCTGCTGGACTGTGTGGTGCTTGCATCATCATAGCCGCTCGCATGAACAACTTCCGCCGAACTATCCGAGAAGTCGTCTACGTTGTCAAAGTCGCAGACTCCACAATCACCTCCCGTCTGTACGAGTACAAGAGGACACAAAGCGCTGCTTTGACCGTGAAGCAGTTTCGTGAGTTTGGACCGCGACTGAAGGTCAAGGCCCAGCCACCCGCTATCTGGAGACGCGCAGAGAGAGAAGAACGAGTTGAGAAGAGGAAGAGGAGACAAGAGGAAGGCGGTAATGCCGAAGCTGATGGCGAAAACGTGTCTGACAACGGCGGTGCCGAAGCTGCCACTGGTACTTCCCCTACAAGGACGAGCAAGAGGCGCAAGTCGAATGACGGTTCGTCTCAAGAAGTCTCAGGCCAACAACCTACTCCTGCTGCCACACAAGAAAACGGCATAGCTTCAGAACTAGAGGCCTTTGATGGTAACAACGAAACGGTCATTGAATCCGTCGCCAGCGCACTCGAAGAAGTTGAAGCTGGTGAAGCCACCGACCTAGACTTTGTCATGCCCAAGAAGCGCGGCCGCCGCCCCAAAATGCGCACCCCAATCGTCATCCCGCCTGAAGACCTAGAAATCGAGCAAGATCTCGAACAAGAAGTCACAAGCACAATCCGAGACTGGGAAGCCATCTTCAAAGAAATTGCCACAAACGAAAACCACGACCTCCTCCGCCGCTCCGGCTGGACCGCGGCAGAAATGGCGCGCGCCGCAACAGACACGCGCGATGCTGCCGGCGCCCCCGCGATAAACCTCGACCCAGAAATCGGCGAAGAAGAATTCGAATCAGACCCGGACGTCGCCTCTTGCATCCTCTCCCCCGACGAAGTCCGCCGCAAAGAAGCCATCTGGATCACGGAAAACGAGGAATGGCTCCGTACCCAGCAGGAGAAGATACTCAAAGCTGAACTCGAAGCCGCAGAGGATAAACCCAAGAAACCAAAGCAGAAACGCAAACATCATCAGATGGGTGATGGGAGCGTGCTGGGCGGTCAGCCGGCGGCTAGTGCGGCAGAGGCGGCGCATAAGATGTTGAAGAAGCGCGCCAAGGGGTTTAGCAATCATATCAATTATGACAAGTTGAAGCAGCTTTTTCCCGGTGGTACGACTGCTGCGAGTCCGTCGGCTGCGTCGGGTTCTCCCGCTGGTGCTGCACAGCAGCAGGTTGGTGGCGAGGAGGATGCCGAGGGTGAATATGAAGAAGAACAGGAAGAGGTTGAGGAGGAGGAGGTTGAGGAAGAAGAGGATTTGGAAGGGAATTACATGGAGGATGAGGATGAGGGGTTTGGCAACGAGAGTTATGATTATTAGACGCTGGTTGCTGGTGCTGCAAAAGTTGGGCATGGGGAGAGAGGAGTTTGATCTTGCATGGCGTTATCGTTGATGGACAATTTCCTATTGGGCGTCTGGGGTACAGCGAGCGGGGCTGTCTTGGGGTGGGCTTTTTTTTCATTTGTGGTATTGACCTTGGTGTCAGACTCATTCTACGGAGTTTATACCGGGGAGGGGTTGGGGGTTTCTTTCCATCACATTTGCATATATACCCCGGCTACAGCTACAGGTCAGCAACACAGCACAGCGTGACAGAATACGAAAATCACAGATTTCAGCTTTTCTCCCTCCTTCATCCGTGATACTAACACCATGCTTGATGCATGTCAAAAACAACCAACCTTTACTTCAACCACACATATTCACAAACACGTCAAACGGGCAGTAAGAAGTCATTTTATGTAATTAGGGGAGGAATTCCCAATAATAATATTATTGGTCCCTGCTTTCATAGCTCATTCACACATGCTCGCTCATGTGCTTACCCTAAAAAGAAACTCTTTTTGCTCCTGTCGCAAAAAATCTTGTCTTTCCAATCAGATTAAAACGCCGTTTTCCCCTTCCCCTTCCGCGCAAGCAAATGTCTATCGTGAAGAGACGGAGAGAGAGACAGTAGAGGAGGAACCCAAGCTTTCAGTCACACACTCGACTTTATTTACAAACCAATCAACACATCTTGTACTGTGCCTGGCCAGTAGCCTGCCTGTGCATGTCCTCGGTCTCGAGCTTGTACGAGATGGAAATGTCCAAATCACGGTGGTTCTTCTCGCTGGGCTTGTTCTCGAGGATACCGGTAATCTTCTCGCCCTCCTCGACGGTGAGCACGTCCCTGAGGTAGAAGACTGTCTGTTTCCAGTGTGTGTACTTTGTGTGGGGGCCTGTGGAGAAGCGGATGGGCTTGTGGCAGGCGGCAAACTCAATGTCGAACCAGGCGATGACGGCGTGGACGAAGTCGTTGCGGCGTACCTTGAGCTCGTACGGTAACCTGAAAGCTAGATCCGCAACGGTGCAGGTGTAGAGGTCGAGAGTGATGACTGGAGAGGGGTCGGTGACGACGGCCTTGATGTCGACGGTGTCAACGAGCGGCTCAGTCATGGCCGTGGCCTTGAGCGGCGAGTAGTCGAAGCCCCAGACGTTGTCCCAGACTAAGTAATTAGTATGTCGATCTGTGAAAATGTCGTGAATGGCACTTACACCCAATCTTCTCCTCCTTGTAGTCGCCGTCCTCGATACCGGCCATGAAGATGGTGGCCTTGTCGGGGAAGATCAAGCCATCCTTGACCAGGTACTTGTCACGCGCGTATAGAACGGTGTCCAACATGGACTCGTACAGCAGGAAGTAACCCATCCACTCGGATATTATGATGTCGACCTTGTCAAAGGGCAGGACAACCTCCTCCATCTTGCCTTGCAGCAGGGTGATCTTGTCCGACATGCCGTTGACCTCAACAATCTCCTTCGCCTTGTCGATGATGGTCGACATGTCAACGCCGATGACGTGCTTTGCGCCGGCCTTGACGGCGAACCTATAATGCACTCGTCAGTGCTTGTTCGTGTGCCGCATGGGAGGTGGGAGGGGCGCGCGTACATGCTGAGAATGGAAGTACCGCATCCGACATCGAGGACGACCTTGTCCTTGAACAGGTGAGGGTTCTGGTAGATGGCATCGCGGTAGCTCTTAGTCCGGACTTCGTCTTTCTACAGGCACCGGGTTAGCCGTTTGCTCCAGTGTGAGAACAAAGCCTCTGGGGCACCGAGGGGTCTGCATACCAACATCTCCTCGTGGATGCCTTCATACGCGGATTAGTGACATTCTCGTAAACAACAGCGGCTCGGTACGAACCATGGTGGTTATAGCTACACGACACCAGATTAGCAAATCTTCCAACAACTAGACCCTCGATAATCTGCCTACCTGTTGAAGTAATGCGCCTCAGAGTGCGCCATACCCGTAAGCGGGTCCTTCTTTCCGGCCTCCTGGTTGTTTGCCATGTTGATTATTGGATAGAAAAAGGTGAGAGGGAAGTGGAGGAAAAATGGGAGAAGAAAACAAAAACTGGCGCTTCACAAAGGCCGAGAGTTGGGAATTCGGAAATTTTGGTTTTGGTAGTACCAGACGCGCACAGACTTCACCAAGGGTTCCAAAGCGGGGCATCTAGCGCTTGCAAGCTAGACTGCAACCGGCTTGACACGACGATAATGGCCATATCTTGGTATTTTCGAAGCACTAACTAGATTTTCAACCTGACTAGTATTTTTTCCAAGGTTGCGCTTTCTGCTAGATGCCACCGACATGGGTACGCACATGTGGTCATGGCCACACACCTCACACCGACCCGAGAAAATGAACTAGGTGCTACAGAGACTACTACTACTGAGTCTATTTCCAGTCCGAACTGATCTCAAAGTGAGCATGCAGGCTATCCTGTTTCCCCTAAGGGAACTGTGTTGGGGCAATGCTACAGAGAGCATGATTCATCATGTTGTTACAAGTAGGAAGCTATTACTACAGATCCATATCAATGTATTTCCAAGATGAAACATGTACAGTTATAATCCACAGCAGAGCGTCGCGATCTTACTTCCCGATCATACCTCACATTTGTCTCCTTCGGTTCTCCAATGCTCCTCCACCCACTCTGTCATGATATCCGTAAAGCTCTTTCCATCATCAAAGGCTTGCGTATCCTCCAGCGTACGCTTCTCACCCAAGTACTCCAAAGCCAGTAGCACCCATTTCTGGATGAACTCGTTGTACATGAGATCCATCTTCTCAACCTCTTGCTCTTTTTCCTTCGACTTGCTGAAACCAACGTCCGCTTGGATGCAATTTGGAACGTTGTAAAATGTGATTGGTTCGTGTATCGTGTCATCCCCATCGGTACCAGCGTCGTCTTTGGTCGTGTAACCAGGGAACGTTTGAATATCACCATCACTGGAGCGGAGCGGTTTTTGGCCTTGTTGAGGGCTGGCGAAAGCGTTGGCTTGGGTTGTCAGCAAGTGCGGTCTGTATCGTGCTGCCGACACCTCTGGGGGTTGTAACAGCGCGTTACTCTCCATCATTTCAAGCATAATGGGTCCCTCGCTGTTGAGAAGCTTCAACACTTGGCTCGCCACTTTGTATGGAACGTCTTTGATATAGCGGATGGAGCTGGTGAATGGCGAAACGAGGAATTTCGTGTCCTTGGTGAACGTCCCTTTGAAGATATCGAAGCGGATCGCACCCGTGTTGGTGATGACGATTGCTTTTCCCCCAGAGCGGATGCGTTCGGAATTCTCGATAGTCTGGGGCAGCAGTTGTTCCCCGATCCAGGTGAAGATGCTCTCGTTGTGTGGATAAGGACGACGACTGACCCAAAGATCTTGTGGTGCGCAGCCGTATACTTTTCCTAGACCAAGAGATTGTCTAGCATCGCCGATTGCTTGTGAAACCTTCTTTCCATGTTCAGTCGCGAAATCCTTTGCGTCTTTCCCGCTGTGGTGCTTCATGGAGAATAAGTTGTTGTCAATATATCGGCGAGAGAATGTGAGCTTCGATTTCTGAGGAGCAGGTGCTACGTCCTTGGTTCCGCCAGTACTGAGTCCGTCAATGGACATGAAGCCGAGCGTTTCCATGTATCGTCCGCTCTCAAGGGCCACAGACTTGCTGTCAAAGATCTTGTAGTCGCGGATATGCGAATGACCACCGAAGAACTGAATGGGGGTGTCCCAGTGCAGAGACCGAATAGTTGAGAAGAGTAGGGCATACTCTTCTGATCGAATATCAACATGGCCATAGACAATAATCAAGTCAAGCTTCTTGTCTTTGAGTGCTTCAGTGAACCACTCCTCTTTCACTGTATCCTCTACCCTCTGGACCACAGTGTTGTTTGCATTCGCCGTAAAATCAAAGAGAAATCCAAAAGCCAAGATACGAATTCCTTGGTTCTTGGTAGTGAATTTCTTGAAGCGTGGAGCAAGTGGTTCTAATACACCAGTCTTCGGATTGTAAATATCTAGGTTAGAAGCTAGATAGTTGCCCTTGAAGTCAGGGACAGTGTGGAAGAACTCGCCCTCAGCAGTATTGGCTTTGTAGAGTTCATGGTTTCCAGAGCATATCAGGTCAATGTTCTGCTCCTTGGCAATCTCATAGGTGAATTTGCCGCGCGGCTTGGAAGAGTCGTAGATGGCGTTGCCTTCGACGCGATCTCCCGTATCGATGAGTAGTAGGTCTGAGCCATCCGCATCGGCTTTGTCGCGCATATGCTTGGCAAAGGAGACATAGTCACCCCAGTCAGACGAATACGAGGCTCTGGTGTACGTTAGTACGTAGACATGGCGAGACCTTCAAGACCTTGATTTTCCCGGTAGACGCGGCTCGACAGGACACCGTGAAGATATTCAAGGGTAGAAGACTTACTCTTGCAAATGGCCACCCCACCACCCGTGGATATCCGTAGTATGCAAGAAGTTGAGTTGCGCCCAGGGAAGGTCGCGCAAGGGGGCGGCTTTCGGAGCTGGCGCTTCTGGCTGAACGCAGGATACCCCTTTTAGAAGCGCAACAAAAATAACGGATCGAAACATGATGAAAGACGCGAGGCTGTGTTGTTCACTCCTTGCTAGAATGCAGTTGCACTTGTTGCTATGAAACCATCTAGGTAGCGTACGTGCGGTTGTCACCTGATGTGACTTCCAACAAATGACGTAAGCTGGCCTCACTGATGTGAATGGCCGGAAGTATTCCAGAGGAGTTGGGACTGATGGAACTGGTGAAACAAGACAACAGAGGTGCTGCGACTGTCGAACTGTAAACAGACGGTGGCCGACCAATCAGCCGTTGACGCATGCGGTGAAGGAAGACGGGCCGTGGCTGCAGCGAGCCTGGTCCATGTGAAGACTAGCGCCGACCTTACTAAATCCATACAGGTCAACATTTTTCGATACACGACTCCAGCCTCCCAACAACCACCCTCAACCCTCAATTTTCCTGTCGCGTCATCATCATCACAGTCGCGTACAATGGCTCGAGCTGCTGGATCCCGCGCTGCAAGCGCAAAACCTGTTGAGAAGAAGGAATCCAAAGAAGTGAAGACCAACGGTGCCGGTACGTCACGTTCATCACGAACATCGAAGCTCCCGCTAAGAAACGCAGCCTCCCGACGAGGCGCAAAAAAGACAGAAGAGGAAGCCGCTACCAATGGGATAGCTGAAGAGGATGAAGCCGTCGATGAAGACCCTATGGACGTTGATGAAGTCGAACCAGAGCCAAAGAAGCGTAAGGTCAACGCGTCAAAACCAGCGCCACAAGTCACTAAGAAGCCTGCAGTACCTGCACGCAGTCGCGTAAAGAAAACCGAGACGCCCGCGCCTGAGCCCAAAGCCGCGACCAAGAAAACCACAAAGCGCAAGAAGGACGAGGAAAGCGAACCAGAAGCAGAAGAGGTCGAGGCGCCGGCGCCTGTTGTGAAAAAGGCAAAGGTTGAATCTGCGAAGCCTGCGCCCAAACCAAAGGCCGCGCCGAAGCCAAAAGCTGCGCCAAAAGCCGCACCGGAGCCCAAGGCGAAAACGCCAACACCACAGCCCGAAGCCGCAAAAGTCAATCCCGCTCTGGTCCCGAACCCCAAGGGCCCCAGGCGTCCAAAGGGAAAGAAGACTGAGATCAATACGGTGCGCTACACTGAGCCTCTCAAGGTTTTTGTCTTTGGCGAGGGTGGCTCTGGTGAGCTGGGCTTTGGCGCGACGAAGGAATCCACCAATGTAAAGCGCCGCGTTACAATGAGGCTTCTCCACCAACCATGAACGTTGTCAAGGTTGCTACTGGTGGTATGCACGTCATTGCGCTCACAAAGGACAACAAAATCTTGACATGGGGTGTCAACGACAATGGCGCGCTAGGACGCGACACGTCCAACGCGAACGTCAAGATGCTTGACGTAGAGGCTGACGATTCAGACTCTGAGGATGAGACTGGTGGACTGAACGATGCCGAGGCCACACCCACACCTGTGCCATCCGAGTTTTTCCCCGAAGACACCATCTTTGTCGACATCGCGGCCGGCGACAGCTGCTCTTTTGCGCTGACAACTGAAGGTGCTGTTTACGGATGGGGTACATTCCGCAAAAACGAGGGTATCCTCGGGTTTGAACGCGGCAACCACACGGCGCCCCGTCCCGTATACCTTGACAGCGTTAAGAAGGTCATCCAGCTCGTCTGCGGCACAAACCACGTTTATGCATTGGACAAGGACCACCACGTATATGCTTGGGGTAACGGACAGCAAAACCAACTCGGTCGCCGTGTCACCGAGCGCAGCCTCATTCAAGCGCTGCAACCCAACAAGATCGGCTTCCACGATTCCTCCATCAAGAAGCACAGCCAAAAGATCGCTCACATCGCGTCTGGCGATTACCACGGTTTGGCCATTGCCGAAGATGGACACATCTGGGCTTGGGGCGCGAACAACTACTGCGAGACGGGCTACACTGCCAATGCTGGAGCAGACGATGCTAGTGTCCTCCAACCTAAGATCATACATAGCCTAGAGGGCAAGAATGTCACAGAACTCGCAGCTGGCTCGCATCACAACATTGCCATCACCAAGGACGGAGAGGTCCTTGTCTGGGGTCGTTGCGACGGCTCACAGACAGGTCTCCCTCCTTCTCAGCTTGAAGCTGAGACGGATGAGGACAAGGTTTTGAAGAACAACGGCAAGCCAAAGATTCTTGTTCAGCCCACACCCCTTCCAGGCCTTAAGGACATCGTCACCGGCGCATGCGGTCCCGATCACACTATTGTAATTGACAAGGCCGGCAAAGCCTACTCCTGGGGCTTCTCGGCCAACTACCAGACAGGCCAAGGTACCGACGATGATATAGAAGTGCCGACTATGATTGATAACACTGCTGTACGGGAGACGAAGCTCACATGGGCTGGCTGCGGTGGTCAATACAGCATGCTGGCCAGTAAGAAGGAGTAGACTGTCACGCCTGTCTGTAGTTGTACGTTTGATGTCTTCAACGCGCAGCTTTCAGTAAGATTGATACTTTTCAATTTCTCTTCATCTAGTCATTCCTTTTCACGTCATGGGCGGTTTACAAACGGGCATTCACGGCGTTTAAGTTTTACGGGCGGGTTCTTGCATAGCGGACACTTGACGTGATATGTGGGATTATTGGAATTATTGTCCTTCAATAACCGGCTGAATTCCTTGCTCTGAGCGATGGGGTATCGCTATGGATGGGTAGAATGTATCTTAGATGGCTCAGCCGCGCTTAATTCGATTCTTGTAACAGTACAATGCTATACATATTGTAGTTTCGAGGTGACCTTCTCGCGATCGTAGTCAATCATTGTGTTAGTAGTGGATGGTGTGCTTGATATAGAAAGAATCGATACCTTGCGACAAGGTCTCTTCACACGTACGTGACGTGTATACATGTATTCAGGCTCAACAGTGCTGGGATGAATGAGCTTTCCAAAGAGCTCTTATGTAAGCAGATCGCCATGACGCTCGACCCTGCCAAAAGTTTCGCGACCATCACCCGCAGCGCATCGACGTCAACCCCACCACTACACAGAACCGATTCCCCCTCCACCTTTAATCGCACTGTAAGACCTCACGATCCTGGATCAGACTGCGGTTGTAACTAACGAATCTTGTAGCTCTGTAATCGCAAAAATGGCACCCAAATCAATGATGACAGGCCGCGGCCGCACCGTTGCCGAGCCCAGTTTCGCATCCAGCGCTCTCCAGACATTCACAAACAAGGAGAACAGAACGATTGTCACTGCCGTGGGCATGTTTGCTGTAAGTCTGTTCTGGGTCTATCCCGAGAGTAGAGGAAATACACCATGGACAGCGATGGAAATATGATAGCCCGAATTGAGACTGACAATCCTACCTAGATCGGTGTCACATTTCTCCACAGCAGCTGGGCGGAAATCCTACTCCCCGCATAGATGCCAAACCACAAGTTCGACAGGAAAGAGAGAGAGAGATAGTATAGCGCTGGAATCGTTTACGCACCCACCTCGTCAGCCACGCCGATCGCATGCACGCCAGCCCACGAAACTCCACACCATAACACATATACACAAAACGAACCCTTTCAACGAAACAGCATGGGAAAGGCGTTTAGGTCACCCACATAAACACCAATTTAGTTGGCTTAGTTCTCGAGACGAAGTTTAGTCGCGAACCTAGTAAAAAATGGTCTTACCCACAATGTAACATATGTACAACAAACCACACACTACTACCACCACCACCCAACGAACTTTCTCACTCTCTCACTTTCTCCACGTGCAACCCTTTCATCAAACTTTCTCATTCTTCTGATTTGAATTTATTTTTTCAATCGTTTTGTAGTCCGCGCCACGCTCAATAAGCGTCCAACGTCTCGCATCCAGTCTCACTAAACACACAAGTCTGGTTTTATGTTCGTGTGATGGAGAAACGTTGTTTATCTCAAATCCTGTTCCTGCGGATGAGACAGGGTCCGCCGCGAACTTACATCGAGGGCTCAAATGGACACGTGTTATACCAGCAGCGCGGTTTGGTAAACGGCACGGATTGTGTGGAAAGCGTTCGTTGGGGGTGGGGATGGGAAGATTAAGCAATTGGTTTCCCGCTGTCATGGGCAGGGGAAGGCTTGGGAGGAACTGTGGGGCGTCTGTTTGTAAGTAGAGGGTGAGTATGTGAGGTTTTTGTATTAGGTATACGCATGTTGGGGATCTTGGTGGTTTATGTTATGAATTTTTGGTGTGGTAGGGTGATGATGGTGGTGGATTTAATTTATGTGCAACCCACTCACGTACCTACCGACTTGTACACTCTTTCTTGCACAAAACAGACGGGCGGATATAGTACCATAACCTACTCACCCATGCATCTGCATCCTTTAATAAAGATCTAATTCTACATATCTCCAATACGCACGTACTATTACACATATGCACCGTGCACAAGGCATACACGCTCATAACCATAACCACGAACACAACCATCCGTAATCCAGCGAATCAAACAACCTGTCCTTTATCCACAATGAACAGCCCCCGTTAGCGCCGAGCGACCCGGCACCTCTCCATCTACACAAAATACTCGCCTATAGATCAAACTCGATTATTGGAAAGATGCTACCGCCGTACAAGGTACAAAATAGGCGCTAGTTCGATCCAATCCAATCCAACTCATTCCATCCCACAGTCCCTTATCAAACATTCCCATTTGCTTTTGCTTGAATATCCACATCCACATACCTAGCGTTTACATGCCTCCCCTCCCCTCCCACCCTCACGTCCAACTCCAACAACTCATCATTCGCTCCCACCACCCCATCCATCCATCCCAGCCAACACACAGCACAGACATCCACCCCATCTCCAGCGTCTAAGCTCAACCGCAGCGTCGTCGGCGATTCCTCTCCAATCGGCAACAAAACGCAAAAAACGAAAAGGGGAGGGACGGACCCGGTAACCGGTTTAAACTACCAGATACCGGTTCCAGGCAAGAATGTAAGCGCTGGTGGCGTTTTTCTTGTGTGCACAGTGCACATGCACACACGCAATGAATGCACGTGCGGTATTCCCGGGGCTTTCTTTTGTGCCTGCGTGCGTGTGTGTAAGTGCTTACTTTCTAGTATGTACCGTATGTACCGTACGGTACTTCATAACCGGGGGTATGCCATCCACGGTATATGCTGGACTGGGCGTACTAACCGACTAACGCAGGTACACGCATCGCATGTTGCACATTGCACATTGCATCTTCACACCGCATGATGGACCTGTCACGCGACCACAATAGTACGGCCGACGTGGAAGAGTAGTAGAGATCCTTGCAAGAAAGGATAGTGATTTCATTATATTCCCGATTCGTACAAAATGCAAAAAGTAATGTTCGAATCGGATCCAACAGTCCGGCTGTGTTTTTTAGAGAAGAGAGAAAGAGTGTAATGTCTCTGTGTGTCTGTGGTGGTGGGAAGAAGATATTCGTCGAGGAAAATTATGCTCGCTACAATTACAGCAACAAGGACAATAACAACAACAACAACAGGAACAGCAACAGCAAAAGGGAAGCGGCGCAGCGCTGCGCTCAGGCGGCTGTATTTTCCCATTCCCCCCCAAACCAAAATATGCAAAAACTCGGAAAGAAGAGTTGTGAGCAAGGAAATGTAAATGGTGTCGTAAATATGCGATTCATGCTGGGGTATCTCTAGTCTATACTTCTCGAACCCAAACCTAGAAAATAGAGTTAGTATGTTTGTACGTGTTTTGTCATGTTCAGATCAAACTTACCTCCATCTTCGCCATGTCGCTGCCCTCTCTTTTAGCAATAGACTTGGCTGCCTGGATAGCCATGTCTAGATCGTCTTGGTCGGCCATGGTGATCATGTCGCCATCATCCTTGAATTCAACCTTGAATTTGTTCCTAACTCCAAACTTCTCGCGAATCTGTTGCCAGAATTCGGTAATCAGCTGGTCACCGCTAATGAAGACGTAGCGAGTATCATTAGAGTGGACCTTCACCCTGACCTTCATGCCGCCACCTCCGCCTCCACCACGGGTGCTGCCACCCGATCTAGTAGAGCGCGCAGGCGAACGTCTCCTAGACGACTTTGAGCGTGACATCATCTCAAACTCGGCGTCATCGAGATCACTACCGTCGTAGTCGTCTTCCTCCTCCTCTTCAATATACGCAGGCCGTCTCGCTTGTTTTGAGCGAGTGTTTGCGCCACGACTTCCGCGTGATGGCGGATATGGATCATTCTCGTAGTAGTCATCGAGAATGTCTTCGTCAGAGCCACGGCGACGCGATCGCTCACGTTCTCGCTGAGAGCCACGCTGAGAGCGATCAGAACGATCGCCACGATCACGCTGTGACTCGGAGCGAGTGGGTGGCGGTCGCTCAGACGCAGAGCGTTGTGTTGGCTGGCGACGAGGAGGCTCGTCTCTGGGTGGGTCGAAAGCAGCTCGTCCAAGGTTCAATGGCTGAGGCTTGGGACCTCCGCCTCGTACGGACTGGGCACGGCTCATTGGTGCGTTGGAAGGAGCAGCATCGGCGGCTCTACCTCCAGATCCCCTTTCGCCACCTCTGCGATCCGTCTCCGGGGGTGGTGTGGGAGGGAACATGTTACGGTTCATCGGGGGTTCCGACTGTTGGCGTGCTCGACTCTGGAGCTCCGGCTTGACCAGGTTGGTAGCGGCATACGAGATCTTATCTTCGGTTCGGTCATCCGTCGCGGCCTGGCCTCCCTTCTTCATCTCGGCACCAGCAAAGCCAGTGAAGGCGTTGGCTCGGTCAGATGCAGCCACGAGACGGGCCTTTCCAAGGTAGTCCTTTGTCTTCAAGTTCTTGACCTTTGCTTCGTTAGGACGGTAGACGATGCCGACGGGGATGGAGAAGACGGTATAGCCCTGGATACGGTTAGTTATGAACACAGGACTGTTTGTAATGGATGACATACGTCTGCTTCCTCGCGAATAGCCTCATCGATGACATCGTGATCTGGAACCACCTTCTCCTTGGCGGCAAAGGACAAATCCTGGAGACCGGCCTCTCTTTGCTGCAGGTAGATGTAGCAGAGACCACGGTTGAACAGCACCTCGCAAGAGTACAGCTTGAACTTCAGGCCCAGTTGTTCGTAGTCGATGTTGTTGTTTCCGCGCAGGTACAGCAGTGTGTCGTTGAAGTTGGCGAGGGCTTCCTCGAAGTCGCCCATAAGGAAGTTGGACACACCTTGCTGGAAGTATGCGACTGCGAGGTACTGGTCCAGCCGCACAGCGCGCTGGTAGCAGTCGACCTGTGTAATCATGAGCATTTGGCCTATTTGTGACAGCATTTGTGCAACTCACCGCCTTCTCATGTTCGCCGAGAGTCGCGTGGATGACGCCGCAATTGAACAAGATCTTGGAAGTGTCGGAGATCTGGTCGAAGACCTTCAATGCGACGTCGAATTCGTTGTTGTCGTAGCTGGCGAGGGCTGCCACCCAGGTTTCGATTTCCTAGCACGGTGTTAGCAGCTGGAAGCGGAAGGGACGGTTCCAGGGACGGTTCCAGGGAAGGAAGCCTCGAGTGACAGGCAAGAGCACTCGAGGACAGGAAGGCGCGCACCTGCTTCAGAGACATGACGAGTGATCTTCACTTGTTACCCGGCAGTATGGTGTCGTCAAGCCTCAACCCAGACTCTCTCCTACCTCTCCACGGTTGGAGGGTCGTCGTGTTTGCGTAGTTGATCAAGCGTAAAAGTGTTGCAGGGTCGTGGTCTCACTTTTGGACAGATTAAGAGAGTAAGCCGCCGGGGCTTCTACAAGATGCGCGAGGTTGGTGGATAGTGTCCGGTGAGGGTAGCGGGCAGTGGGCGCTATTATGCTAGGTAGGTACTCTAGGTACTCGTCGTGTTGGAGATGGCGGGGAAGTAAACGATTGTACAGGTGCTAGAATTAAGGCACAGTTGGGAAAGCCGGACGAGAGAGAGAGAGAGAGAGAGAGAGAAGGAAGGAGGTTTCGAGGGCGAAGAGCGACAGGCGGAAGGACCGGGAGTCGGGGACTTGGTGGGAATTTGGCGGGCGGTTGCAGATGGGCTGCGGGTGGGGAGAGCCAAATCTGAGGTCCAGCGCGTTTGAGCGACAAGGCTTGGCGGCCATCGGGCCCAGCAGCCTGATTGGCTCCCTGCACCATGCTGCCGATAGCCACAGCGCTACGGGGCTCTCCACGACGCCTACGACGCCTCAAACCCGCCGATGCCACCATGACACGACCGTCTGCCCACAGCGGTCATGGCCCAGCAGTCGTCTGCATCGTGGCCAGGGTCTTCGCAGCATCAATGCCTCGAACAATGAGGCGGGCTGACGACGGCGCTCGCTGCCAGTCTTCGGCCCTCTGTCCCCCTTTGGACCTTCCACTGGCGATGTTTGAGGTCTGTTACATGGCAAACTTCCGACTGAGACAGCCACGTGACGGTTTGGCCGCCTGGCCACCACTCACCCGCCCGCCTGGGGCTTTCAGGCATGAACGCATGACAATACCAGGCTCACCGAGTCCGTGTTCGCGCAATGCTAGTTTCGGCCCAGATTTGAATGGTGCATGCGTTATCAAGTTACCAATCGAAGCCGGCACTCGTTGAATCGAGCGGTACTTGCACGGCTTGCACTATCTGGGTATCTGTTAAACGCATTGAACACGCTGCCGTTAAACTTAGAGCATGCCACGGTCCCGCTGCTCGTCCCGCTCCTGCCATACCGTCTTCCCCGAGCACGAGCACACCGTCTTGTCATCTGCCAAAAGCCTCGTCAGTGTCTTGTGCAAAATGAAGCAGTATATGCAGAACACGTGGTCCGCCAAAAAGCACTTACTATCCCAAACACCAGCGCTACGTGCGATGACACCCACTAGCGTATCCGGATCATTCTTGTCAAACTGCGCCAAGTCAGATAATATCAAAGATCTGCGAGCGAGTTTCGCATACCTGGCCGTCCTGCTCTCTCGCAACCACGATGCTCCGTCCGATCATCTCCCAGATGTGAACTGGCCTATCCAAGAACACCGATCCAACCCCTCCTTTATCCACCTGCACAGTGCCAAAGACGCCACGACACGGCTTCTTTTCCTTTTCGGCTTTTAGAGATTCCCAGACCGCACCAGTGGATTCAGGGCCCTCCGAGATATCTCCACACACGCGGACAGTCGCATGGTAGGTTCCGGGGGATAGTCCCCGTATACTCAAATCGACAATTGTCATACCAGGCGCAACTTCAACCATTCGCACAAGTCCGCGGACTTTGTTCTCCACGTGAGGTGCGTGAGATTCGAGAATGCAGACTGCGGCGCCTAGTGGAGTATTAGAAATATTAGTAGTTGTAGTGTGACATGACTGAACATACTGTCGGACTTTCCTGATCCTCTCAGGATGGCATCACGTCCGGTGGATTGAATGGCCTCAACTATAGCCGACGGTGCTGCAGTGCCTTCAACAGATACTAGTTGGTCTTTGAGGTTGGCAGTAACTTTGTTGATACCTACATGTCGTCAGAAGCCGAATGACGTGCATTGGTGGCGCTCGTACCACTCAACTGCTGTAGAGAGCCTTCAATATCGTTGATACATGACTGACAGGTCATGGGCACCGCAAAGATAGTTTCGAACGGAGGAACAGTCATTGTGAATGCGTGTCAATCGTTTAGATCTGGTACAAATTGATGTCGAAAGTCAAAGTTGTGAACATGCGACCTCGCCTTCTGCCGCTTTGAAATCCACACCCGAATCCCCGCCGAACATGGATGTTGCACTGGGGCCGATCTCATCACCCACGTGACCGTGTTCTGGAAATTGTTCCACCAGCCTTGGCACCAACCTTACAACCCACCCACTATAGGACAACCACGCCATAACGCACGAAAAAGCGTCCGTCCCCCTTCCTACCTGTTGTCGTTCCCTAGTAGATCCCCGGGTCAACAGGTTAAGCATTCCCAAGACCCAGGACAGGAGCGGGAATCCCGCGGCACACCCCACACCATGTCGCAAGTCATAGGGAAGGTAACGTCTCCCTTAATCGGACCTCCGCGTCTTCATTACGCTTCAAACCGGGAAAAGCCAAGGGGGGTTTCCTTCTCTGACACGACTTGGCTTTTTGTAACCAAAAGGCTTCGATAGCTAACCATGCTATTACAGACGCGCCTGGCCTATGCCCGCGCATGGCATCACCTCGACATTGGCTCTGACCCGCGCGCCCTGGGCCGCGTAGCCTCCGCCATAGCCCTCGCCCTCATGGGCAAACACAAGCCTATTTTCGACCCTTCGACCGACTGCGGCGATTACGTCGTGGCGACCAATTGCTCGCAGCTGCACACGACGGGCAAGAAGCGCTTCCAGAAACTCTACCGCACACATAGCACGCGGCCGGGTTCGCTGAAGGAATTGTCAATGGATAGGATGATGGCGAAGTGGGGCGGAGGTGAGGTCCTGAGGAAGGCGGTTAGTGGTATGTTGCCGAAGAATAGACTGCGCAAGGAGAGATTGGCGCGGTTGAAGACGTTTGAGGGCCAGGCGCATCCGTATAAGGAGAATTTGATTAAAGTGGTGAATGGAGGCGGGCAGAGTATAACGGAACATGCGGATGTCAAGAGGGCGTTTTTGGAGGCGACTACACAGAATGCGGCGGCGCCGGTGTCATGACGGGGAAGGGGATTGATAGTATAAGACATGTAAACATGATGCCCTTAGTATCGTGTGCAGATTGGCTGCTGTTTATTGAACAACACCAGTAAGTCCTGGCTGGCACGCTGATGAGCCTTTCTATTCGTTCACATAGTGATGAGCTCACTGTACTTGCATCTGCTTTCATTAAAACGACAAACGACAAACGAGTGAGCTCAGTTAGTCGATACATCTACATCACATCACGTAACGCTGCAAGAATAGTATGTAGGTAGTTCATTCTATCCACATATCAATAATGTTTCTACTCCCCTTCACCCCCTGAGACGTCAAAGAAAATGGTATAATGTTCTACTCTCAACCGTCCCTTCAAAGCCACTAGTCGCTACAAAGACATGTACAAGAAACCAAAATGCTGCCAAGACGTTATGCTGTCTCTATAGCTTGGCCTTTGTACCCTTGCGAGTGACAGTGCAATGGATGAGACCGTTGGGGTCCGATTGGGGCGCAAATACCGTGGCGTCTTTGCCTGTGTTCTTGATGCCCTTGTGCCACGAGAGATCTGTCATAATGTTAGCAAATCGAGCTTCTGGAAGTTTGGAATTGTGCGACGTACCAATTTCGAAGTAATGCTTGTTGGGTAGCGCATAGTCAACAGCCTCGACTTGGGGAAGAGCAGCCAGGATCAGATCGCACATCTTGTACATGGTTGCCTGCACACTTGCGCTCTCGTCCTCGGCAAAGACCTTCATGGTAATGTCCCTGGCTGCCGTCCATGCAGCATTGAAGTCAACGGCCTTGGCTTCTTCCAGGGTCTTGAACAACTTCCATTGCCACCCTGCCTCGATCTCCGTGCTAAGAATACGGTCCCATGTCTCAGGCAACCTAGTGTATTCATCACGGTGGAAGCCATGGAATGCCGAACCCGTGCTCTTCAGTACGAGTAGCTTCTCAATCTTGGAGCGGATTGACACGCCATGGCCCTCTCGTGTAATAGACTCGACTACGCGGATCTCTTCGCCGTCGCGGTAGAAGGAGTGCGGGTGGTCTTTGCCATCGATGGTCATGCGCGTCCATCGGTGCTGGATAATCTTGACATGTGCCGCGTGAATATGCGGGTAGGTTCTGACAAAGTGATCGCCGATAATAGCGGCAAACTGCTCAGGCGGATCGATGGGGTGTTGCTTGGCGAGGATGTACGTTGTTTGCTTTTGCGTATCGGTTGCGACTATCACGGAGTTATCTGCTTTAGTGTAGCTAGCAAGTTGTAAGTATACATATAAAGCTCGTCCATGCTGGCATGCTTACGAGACGTCAATGTCTCCCTCGAGTAGGACGCAAACTGTTTGTTCGATGACTTTGTGAGTGCCGGTCTTGGGGTCTTTATCGACCTTGTACAAGCGGACATTGTCCTTGCCATAGCGGGCGTGGCTGAGGTGAGGCATTACGTTGAAGTTGTTCAGATGGCTTGGAGTGCAATGGAATTGGGATGATGTATGAGTAGTCAATGGAATAGGGGAGTTTGAGTGAAGGAAGCTATCATGCAGGGTAATCAGGATAGTTATACCTCTGAAACGGCAGCTTATCTGATTGTCGGCATGCGGAGGACACCGAACGGTTCGCAGGTGCTACACAGCGAGCGATGGACCACCGACAACGAGGCGGCGAGAACGCGTTTCGATTCGTCTAGATGTGCCATCGGCGAGCTCCGGTCGAGGGAACAAGCCCTGGCTCACGGCGCGAGGCGCGCACGTGACAGCTTCAGAACAGTTGCTCGGCGAAGCCCCTGTTGCAAATCACAAGAGCGTGCAGGATTGCAACATCGGCAAGCGGATATCGGCGCGGCATCAGGTCATGATGGCGAGGTAAGTTTCCAGGCCGTAGCCGTGTATGCTGTATGTAGAAAGAATGAAGACCGAACGCGAGTCCGTCTTGCAGGGGTGGGAACTTCAGTCCGTGCGCGTCCAACGGCTGCCCGCCGCCAACATGTCGAGATGGCCGTGATGTGCAACGCGAACCAAGCCCATCCTTCACCTTCACAGCCACTACACGGGCTCCACACTTCCTGCCCTTTTCCGGGGCCCCTCTTTCTCCAATCACTAGCCACACTTGCACTCTGGGTCTGGTACCGTAACGACGACGACTTCACTGCGCCCCGCGCATGCTCATGAGGCAAGACGAGGGCACCGCCGTGGGACAGATATGCGATGCGGTTGGCGAGAACACGGTTAAGGCGCGCTCATGACGCCATCAGCCCGCTCCCTCAATGCACAGGTCGACGACCAGAGCTCCCTCCTTGCGCCTACAACGAGTAGAGATGGCCGCTCAATGTCGTCGGCCGGCCTCGCTAGCTCGCGGAGCGGCCAGCCTTCATACGCCTCATACACGACGGCCACTACCGGCCCAGGTAGCTTCAACACGGCCGTGGTACGGCCGTCGACGGCACAGGAGGGTCGAATACGCCCCGATTTCGACATGCACGCTATAACAATCGCCGAGAACGACGGATTGACAACCGAGCAGCGGCAGGCAGAGCTGCAGGATCAGATTGAGAAAGAGACCAAGATCAAGATTGGGTCCGAGAACCTTTTGGAGGCGTTGAACGCAAAAAATGCAAAAGACAGCAAGAACCAGAGGCTGCAAGTCGAGGAGCAGCTCAACATATCAAACAGAAAACTCGCACAACTGCAGGCCGGGTTGGCTGCAGAGAAACAGAGAGCAAAGGAGGTCAAATCCCCGCCAGCGGATCCCCAGAGCAGACTATCCTACCTCTTTCGTCGAAACATATCCCGCTCGCCGTCACGGCATGTCGTACCGAAATCAGAAGGAGAGGAAGAGGAAACGGAATCACCGACTTTTGTGCTGGCTGAGATACTACAGGCTCTAGAAGTCCAGGGCATGCAACCGGAATACTATGTAGAGAGAGCAAACTCTTTGGTCCTCCTCTTCAAGCGACATCCTACGTTGAAGTACGACCTAGCTTGGTCTATATTCGGACTACGAATGCAAACCATGCTCTTAAGCGACAGCCGGGAAGTTGTCGCAGCGGCGTACCGTGTCATGCGCTATTCCTTCACCGACCGCAAATCTCTCCGAATTGTACGCGCCCTTCATACTGATCACCTGGTCATTCTTTCATTGATAAAGGAGTCCAAAGCTAGCGTGGAGCGCGAGCAGGCATTGAAGTTTGTCCGAGCATTTCTAGATGTAAAGGGAGGTGTCGAGGAAATCGCTCGTGCTGTGGTCCGCATCATTGTCGCTGTAGCCGAACATGCAGAGGACCGTCTCAGGAATATCGCGACTCTGACATTGGCCGAAATTCTCGTTAGGAAGCCATCTCTCCTAGTTGCAGCTGGTGGTATGGGTGCTTTGGCAGATGCTCTGGGAGAAGGAAGCTATCACGCCGCAGAGAGCGTTGGCACGTCTTTCCTCTACCTATTAGATACGCCTAGGCGGCGTCGTTTCTTGCGTTCTGGGCGAGAACTAGAAGCTCCATTTGCAATGTTCACTGACGCAGGGGTTATACATGGGCATCAGCACGAAGAAAAGCTCAAAGTCAACGCCAAGGTTATCGCGTCCTTGCTCAGAAGTTGGGCTGGATTACTAACCCTCTCGATGAACGATTTCCTCCCTCTCCGATCCTTGCTTTGGTCACTACAGATACCGACCCCACATGTTCGAAACATCATCTTGGAACTATTGTTCGATCTTCTCAGAATCAAACCTCCCTCATGGTCCTCGTCATTCCTGGCTGGTCGGCGATTGACTACCTATGGCCGTGTCACAAACCTAAAAAACCAGCAGATCAAAGAAGCGTCTGCTTCCAGCGCAACCGATGATGACACCACCAAGTGGAGTCTGTTAGACCATTACGTCTCAGTTGTCCTGGCCGCCTTTCTGCACGCTGGTCTGATGCCAGCATTGTTACAAGCTGAAGAGGAGCCTTTGACACTGCCCTTGAAGCGCAAAACGACTTTGCTTATTGGAGAGGTCCTAAAAATGGCAAACGAGCTTTTGCCACCAGCATGGAGCGCACAGCTTCAGGTGCTTCCACAACTCCTGCACTCGGCTGCAAGGTTCCAATCCGAAGACCGGTTTGTTGCCATCGGCACCATATACCAAGTCGACAGTATCAACAGGACTCTCTACCGTTCCGGACCCACTTCTCTCTACACTACCAAGAGTACTACAACTTCAGATGATACCTCAACAACCCGACAGACGGATCATGCGGCGAAGCTACAAGCTGCCATGCAGGTAGATGAAGCCCATTTCCGAAATCTGATGGTCGAGACACAAGTATTGAATACAGTTACATTCCAGAAATGGAGATGGGATCTGATTCTCAACATTATTGAAGGCCCTTTGCTGAACCCTAAACGCTTGGATGAAGCTATCAAAGTGACCAAGTTCGTCCATCGCGTTCTGGGCTTCTACCGTCCATTCAAGTATCGTTTCTCCGAGGTCAAAAACACGAAGCCCAATCAGCGTTATGTCCGAGCCGGCTGTGCGCTGATGCAGAGCCTTTTGCAAAACCCCGAAGGTGTCAAGTACTTGGCTGAAAGCAAATTCATCAGACAGCTGGCCGAGTGCTTGTCGCATTTCGACCGGATGAGCGGCTTGACCTCTGAATCGCCCATCTTCCAGACGGATCGGATGAATGAAACACTGACTGGTGGCTACTTTGCACTATTGGGTGCCCTAACCAAAGATTCACGCGGGATTCACATTCTGGAAAGATGGAGAGTCATCAATATGTTCTACCATATTATCGAGCTCAACGACCGCGACGATTTGATCCGGACCCTTCTAAGCAACATGGACTACACATTGGACGGCCATCTACGCATCATCATTTCCAAAGCCTTGACGTCATGCTCTAAGGAGATCCGTATATTCGCAACCAGACTGTTGCGCAAATATGCAACAAAGCCGATGGATTTGAACGAATCCGTTGGTGTTGCGGAATGGGCCATCAGGCTACTTGTGACACAGCTTTACGACCCAGATGTGGAGGTCTGCGAGGTTGCAATCAAGATTCTCGAAGAGGCTTGCAACCAAAAAGAGTCTTTGGAGTTTGTTGTGAAATGCCGTCCGGCGTTAGACCATTTGGGTGAAATTGGTGCTCCGCTGTTACTTCGATTCCTTTCAACTTCGGTAGGCTACCACTATCTGAATGGATTGGATTACATCACGAGAGAAATGGATGACTGGTTCTTGGGGAGGAACGACACTTACGTGGCTTTGATCGAGGCCTCCATGGCCCGCGCCCTTGCAGACATACCCGAGAAGCCGTCGACTCAACTGACCTTTGACGACACACCCGAACCCACAGATTACGGCCTTGTACCACCGCATTTCTACCGGGAGCTGACCCGGACCAAGGAAGGGTGCAAGCTACTCAAGCAAAAGGGGCATTTTGACGAGTTCGCAGCCACGATCCGCGACTTTGCATCTGAGAACGACGATCCAGAGATTATACTCAAAGTCAAGGGTTGCTTATGGGCCGTCGGCAATGTCGGCTCCATGGAACTGGGTGCGCCATTCCTTGAAAATTCGGATGTCGTCAAGTGGATTGTACAGATTGCGGAACAATCAGAAGTCATGTCGCTCAGAGGAACAGCCTTCTACGTCCTAGGCTTGATTTCTCGCAGTACTCATGGTCAAGAGATCTTGTTGGAGTATGGTTGGGACGGCGTTGTCAACGACTCCGGAGAGGCGCTAGGGTTTAGCCTGCCATTGGAGTTCAACAAGCTCTTTGCGGTCAGTATGCATAATTCCTTTTTTCCCGGAAGAAAACTAATGGTTGGTATAGATGGCGCCATGGACCGCTCCCGCAGAGGAGATGAGCTGGAACCCGAATGCAAAGATTACCGTTGCTGTCACGGATAATGACCCAGTCAATGCACGGATATTGAAGCTCGCAACCGACTTGGGTAACACGGTGCTTGCCAAGAAGGCGGCAACTGACTTGCAGGCGTAAGCTTTACCCTGATCGGTGAAGCAGATAATGAGCTAATGTAAGCAATCTAGAATCAAAGCTAGAAAGGCACCCGGATTCAGCAAACCAGCCATCTTCCACAAGGTGATGCAGATACTGGAAGCGCATCACTTCCGTCTCCCAGCGTGTCGGTTCATGCTGGATCTGTTCGACAAGCGGGTTCTTGAACAGATTGTGCTAGAAGAGGAAGACGACGAGGAGGAAGAGTCAAACAGCGCGTCCGAAGACAAGTCGGACGCTGAGCAACTGGGCAGCATGAATGGTGCATTTAAGCCAGTGTGAACTGGTGTTCATGGGAATACGAGACCGGAAAATCGGCAATGGGCGTTGAGGAGCGTTATGTACAGGGATGCCAATGTACGATAGGCGTGTCAGCGGAGTCGAGCCAAAAGGGTGGATGACTTTTGTTTTGCATATGGAGTTCCCCGGTACAGGTGGTAGAGCATGCCAAGGAGGGACATGTGCACTAGCGTAGCGCTTCTTCCGGTTTATTTCGGGCAAAGGCTGGCGGGACGATAGGGCAGACGGCGCTATATTCAGGGACGACGACACAAGTTAGTAGATGAATGCAAAAGTGGTGGCAGCGCAGAGGAGCATCTTCTGGACCCGCGGGTTGCGTTTGGGCGAATGGTGAGCGTCCAGGTGTCGTTGGTGGAAGACGGGTGTGACGGTTGACACACACTGCACATGTTGGCTGCCCCACCATTGATGATGGATACGAGTCGTCACGACCATCGGACCCTTTGGGTGATGTACAGGGTCTTCGGCAGCGGCTAGGCGTCTCCGAGCGAGCCCTAGGCGCGAGGGTGGCACATGGGAATCATGGGATTGACGTTTGGCAGTAGTAGCGGGTCTGGGCGCTGATTGGGTGGAATATGGTTTGAAGCGACTTCAATGACGCTTGCAAGCCCGTTTGTCGCTACCTGGAGGCATATAGGCATTCGGCCCATGGACTGCAGCTGTGTCCAGCCACACCGTCTGGTCTTGCATGTCTGGCAGGCTCATATGGGCCGATATGGATATGGAGCTGCGGGGCTCGCGCGGGTGCGAATAATAGTCGGACAAATGGTGAAGTTTGGCTTGGCGTGGTTTTCACATACTCTACACGACTATGGCCTTTGCGGTGCTGCTGGCCGGCTATGCGGTCGAGACAACGGGCCCGCAGCAGTCGTCCTATCCCAGGCGTCGGGATACCGGTTCGACATGCAGTGGGTGGGCAAACAAGCAAGTCGTCGGTGGTTTGTGAACGCGGTTTGCACCTGGCCCGTGCGGGTTTTATACCAGGCTGTGCCCAGATTGGCCTAGGTTGGCAACCGATGACGGGCTCCTCTCTCGATCCGAGTACCCCCAGAGCTGAGACAGAAATCGGCGGCAGCATTCCATGACTGATACGAGGCCGCAGAAGTAGCATCGCCGATCTTTGGTTATCCGTCCAACATGGATGACCACTGCAAGTTTGGCTCTTCTGAACATGGCCCTCCTGCGTTCCGCACTTCTCTACCACCTTCACAGTCGCTTTCTGCACCACGAGCCTCACCATCGCCACCCGGTGTGGCTCCTATAAGACGTGACCCTAGCAGTGTGTGGTGTACTCTTCGACATTTACTGCTCCCTTTGCCTCGGCCGCCGCCGCCATCTCTCGACCCTGCATCAGCACGCGCACTGCTGATCCCACCACCACGCCATCATCAACAAGTTGGTTTGTCGTGACAAGACGTGCCAGCCCACCCTTGCCCCATCTTGACGATTTAGCTATCCTCGAGACTGCCCACACCACACACCACACCTGCAGCCCTCGTCTGCTCCACTCCCGACCGTAGCGCGACCGGTCCCAATCCACGGACCTGCGACCTGTACATGGCTGTCGAGGCCATTGCACAACAGAGCGCATCTACATGAATCGCTCACGGACAAAAGGGTGCTCTATCGTCGACAGCGTTGGGCATTCCTTAGAGCCTCAGCTTGCTGCACAGGCCTTCATGTGCGACAATGAGCGCGAGCCAGAGGCTGAGGAGGCTGTCGCCCTCGACGCCCATCGCGACGCCCGCCAGCTGGTGCGCCTGCTGCAGTGTCCGCGATGTTCAAAACCTTTGAGCACGCCCGTTACACTGCCTTGCGGTCACACTGTCTGCCGCGGCTGCCTCCCTCCACCCCAGCCCAGGACCAATGTTTCCTATCCAAACACACCAGACCGCCTCACGGGCATTGCCTGTCCGCTCATGGGCTGCGGGGCCGAACACGCTGCCGCAGAGTGCTCTGTCGACGTGACATTGACCAAACTAATCGACCTGATTAAAGCTGAGATAGTTGAGCACGGGCCACGTGCGGGAAATACTCCGACGCGCATCATCGAGATACTTGCACATCACGATCCGCAAACGGACGAGACGGAGAAAGAGAAACCCGCCCGCCATGGCCACGAACTGGAACTGCCTGGAGGCCGTCTCTTTTCCACCTTTACCATGGCCGAAATGGGCCAACTCGGTTACACTTCCGAAGTCGATTACGCATTACCGTCGGCGAGTCGGCATGATTCCGAGCATCTTGACATCACTCTGCTCGAACGACTGCGGGACGTAACGCACAAGGAGCTAGACTGCCTTGTCTGTTACAACTTGATGTTGGACCCAACAACTACATCGTGCGGTCATACATTCTGCCGCCGATGTCTCGCCCGTGTCATGGACCACAGTAGCATTTGCCCTTTCTGCCGGAGAGGGCTGCATGTGCCCGCCTCGCTGCAGAATCAGCCCAGCAATGTCCTACTCAACTCGTTGTTGAACGGACTTTGCCCTGACTTAGTGACTGCTCGTGCCGACGCTCTCAAGGCAGAAGAACAGGCCGGCGACAATGTTCTGAACCTTCCCCTGTTCATCTGCACTCTGTCGCTTCCCGCCATGCCAACCTTCCTTCACGTTTTCGAGCCTCGGTATCGGCTGATGATGCGACGTGTCATCGAAGGAAACAGGCAATTCGGCATGGTAATGTACAACCGCACACACGCTCCGCAAGGGGACCTTGGTGTGATGCCATTTCTAGAGTACGGCACCCTGCTTGAGATTGTCAATTACGAGCTACTCCGCGATGGACGCAGCTTTATCGAAACACGTGGTATAGGCCGATTCAAGGTGAGAGCTCATGGTATGCTCGACGGATACAACGTCAGCCGTGTCGAACGCGTCGAGGACGTTTCCCTCGCTGAAGAAGCCGCCCTTGAGCAGCGCGAAACTACCATGGCGCGAGACTATGCGGAAGCATTTTTCCGCGACCACCCACAAACCCAGCTCCCTACCGCAGTCGCAATTGAGACACTGTCAACGCAACAACTGCTTGAAAGCTGCACTGCGTTCGTGCGAGAGATGAGGGAAGCTAGCGCACCGTGGCTTCGCGAGCGCATCATCCAGGTCTACGGTGAACCACCAGAAGACCCTGCAATATTCCCGTATTGGTTTGCTTCTGTAGTTCCCATTGTGGAAGAAGAGAAATACGTGCTATTGCAGACGGAGCGTGTGCGCGAGCGCCTCAAGATTGTGTATTCGTGGATTGGCCGAATCCGCGGACAACGATGGTATGTTCTACCCAAGCCCTCTTTTACCCGCGATGTCAATGCACATCTCTCGGATCTCGGCCCCCAGTAACATCACCTGTCGCGTGGCACCAGCTCAATGGTGATCGACCGGCTCTCCCCGCGGCGTGCATAGCCCGTGGTTGCAGATATGCGCAGCCTCCGCGGACACGGGTCATGATGACGGAAGAGATGTGCATTCGGGCGTTCACACTTGATAAAAGAACATCTTTGCTGACCATGCTATTGCAGGTCTTCGGGCAGCTCTTGCAGCATCCTATGACTCCTTGTTACTTTCGTCGCCGTCGGTATCGCGCTCTTATCTTCGCCTCCACCTCAGCCTCCAATGCGTGTTGAGGTGTGATAGCTGAAGCATACACCATCTCGAGCTCACCTCTACCTATGAGTGATCGATACCCTCTTTTCCGACCCTCAGTATGACGAACAACCCTTCCATCCTACCCGACCTCTCTGCTTTTCGGGGAACCCGAGACCTCTCTTCACAATTTCCCGTGTCCACTGCCATCTTTTTCTACCACGAAAAAAGACTCTTTCTTGCTGTCTTGTCGTCCTGTGTTTCTACCTTTTTTTCGCTTCTTCAATGATTACCCCCTTTCAGGAGGACCGGAGCTTGCCGTGTCCATGTTCAAATGACTTTTTAGACCCAGGTGCTAGCCTGGCCAAATTATGCGAGGGAAGAAGAAGATGAAAGAAAACAACACTGTTTATTTCCAGAGTTCCCCCTCTCTTTATTTTCTCAAACGTGTGTGTGTGTGTGATGGGGGGAACTGAATGAAAAAAGGTGGTGTTCTTTTTTTTTCTTTCTATTTACCTCTGGGGCATCTTTTTTTCTCTCTAACTAACTACCACTACTACTTACTACTATCTATATTATATGAAAAGGGAAGAGGGGGTTGGTTGGTTGAACGGTGGGAAATAGGACATTTCTTGCATTTGTTGGCGTTTCGTACATTTTTCATGTGTGTATGTGTGTTGTTTTAGCGAAGATTGGTCTTGTTCTTTCTTAGGGGGGGATACTGTGGAGTGTGATGGTGGTGGTTGTGGTGGTGGATGATGGATGATGGACGATGACGATGGATGCACGTGATCATGATTCGATGATATGGGAAGATTTTGGAAGAACTTTGGCCTTTTTGTAGATATTTAGAGTTGGACGATTAGCGTGAATAGTGGAAAGTGAGATACTTGATTGTGTTTTGACTGTCTCCAACCGTTTTCTTTTTCATTTGTCGTGTGTTTTTGCATGTTTGTCATTGCATGTTCTATTGTCCATGTGAGGGGAGGGAAGGAGTTGACTAGGTAAATGGGCTAGTGGGCGTGTCCCTTCCTTCGGCTGGGCTGGGTTAGGCTGTTTCTGTCTCGCCTTTGGCCCCCAAATCCTTTCCCGCCCCCAACCTGACCGGATTCCTGTCTCAACTTATCTCAGATTAAAGATGCCTATGCAGGCTATCTTTCTTCCGATGAAAGGACTGATGATACTAGATGCTCATCTTTACCTACCAAGTGCGGATGCGTGCACGGAAAGAACAACAATGAGGCTATGTGCAGCGTGTACGACACAAGAAAGGAGCGGCGTTTGATGTCGTAGTTACCGGTAACTAGACTGTCTCTCGCCTCTCTAAAGCTTTTTGTGGACTGGGGCTCTGTGCTGCGTAAACGCCGCACACAAGCATTATGGTAGGTGAGAGAAACGGTTGATATCGTACCCTACAGTTCTGAGTTTGACCAGAGAGCTGATTGCACGCACAGCCTCGTGACAGTGGCGGAGCATGCAGATGCTGAGGACCAATCTTAAGCGCGCACGTCAGATTTACAATTCGCACCCTGCAGGTGCTTCGACGAGGCGCAGACGTGAAGCGAACCTCGCTATATAGACATCCAGCTCCCCCGAGTTGTGTCGCTCTCCTTACCTCCGTCCCTTGATTTCAGTCATGGAGGCTCTCTCTGGCATCGCCAGCGGCATGGCCGTCGTGTCGCTAGCGATACAGCTCGTCGGCACTGTCTCAACGATCAAGACCTTCATTCGTAACGTTAAAGACTCTCGAAAAGAGTTAGAGAGGTTGATAGATTTACTAGAGCGCCTCGAGGGTTTACTAGAAGACATACGCGATCTACTGGAGCGACAGTCATCAATGGGACATTACCTTCCGATGCCCTCGATGACGATCTTCAGGAACCTGCAAAGTTGTGAAAAGACTCTGCAGACATTGAATGAACTGGTCGAGAAGCTTGGGACCTCAATGTCACTGGCTGGCACTGCCTCAACTAGGCTTAAGAGTGGACTGAAAATCGGTATGAAAACGAAGGGCATTGCGGACATGGAAGTGCGTATCGACCGCGAGATCAACTATCTCCATATTTGCCTCGGAGCCAATCTCAGTGCTATCTCGTAAGCATCCTGTGGCATACGTCTTTACCTAAGCACAACTGACTTGGTGGGACAACAAGACTACAGGCTTTTCCTGCGTTGATAGAAGGCCAGAATACTATCATGACATTGCAACAAAGTCTCGCGACATATTCGAATTCCAAAAAAGAATCAACAGTCATCACCAGGACGGAATCGATAATTACCTCGTGCCAGGGTGGAGCCATCTCCTGTGGGAATGACGACAATCTGTTAGACGTTGTATCCACGCATATCTCTGTGCGGACAACCATGATGCAATCATATCTCAATCGTTTCGGACTCTATCAGCGTAAAAAGACAGGCCGTATGCTGGTACCTTCAAAAAGCAGAAATAAGGGGCCATGCGAAGAAGTAGCCCTTTGGGAGGACGACGAGACCTCTCTTCTCTGGAGTATGTTGGGCTATGGATTTACGTGGACTCAACATCGATCATACGGCAAACTCCTTCCGAGCCTTAGTGTATTTCCGGTGGTCAGTAGTTACGCCAATGAACTAGATAGTGTACTCGAATTTGACGACTTGAGAAGTTTCCAGCAACTGATCAGTTCTGGGACTGTCCACCCGTTCCAGCGGGATGAACATGGGTGGTCCTTACTCCATGTAAGTCAGTCCTGCAGGTGTGACCGAAAAAAATCCTAATGATATACTTAGTATGCCGCTTGGCACAACAGAGTAGATATTTGTCAACTGTTAAAGGCTTATGGTGTGAAATCAGATACCACGTATAGTGGCACTACCGAACTATACCTTGCTATTCGTCCAATTCACACACTGGGATGTGAGGATCAAATTGCGACATTTCGTTGTTTTCTTAATGACGACGAACCCTTCATTGAAAATTTCGGCCATGATAGTTGGGTTTACCTGGCCTACCAGGTTGAAGACGATACTCTCGAGTGGCTTGTTCAACAAATCGGGAGACTGCTTCCCCTAGAGGAGTCGATCAATATCCGTCAATCTGTTACCCGAGGAAGATGGCGGCAACTAAGCTCCAAGTTTGAAAAAGACCCGTTAATGAAACATCCTAAACTACTCTTGACGAAAAACTTCCTCAGACACGTCAAACTGGACCAGTTCCCGATACTTGAAGATCTCTTCAGCGGATGTTGCAACGTCCCTGATAGTTACATCGTTGGGGCCGTATTCATAGAGTGGCTCAAAGCATCAGATGTGAACGTTGAAGAATACATGAAGCTATTTCTAAAAGATGCTGAGATTGGGACAGTCGAGGACAAAGATCGAGACATTGTATTTGAAACTTACGGCGAAGGAGACTGGCGTCTTGGTTTCAAATGGGTCTTCGATCCTGAAGCATCTGGTTATCATCTCGTCTCCGAGCATCAGGCATTGGGATGTTGCAGAAGAAGTCTTCGTCTCACATATCCAGGCGATGAAGTATACAAGTATAATTGGCCTTTTATCGGAGAACTATGTGACGAAGCGGAATTAGTTAATATGGAAGCCAGATTCGCTCGCCGCATCGCCAACAAAGCCCGCAAAAAACGCGCGAGAAGTGGGCAAAAAGTTACACGGAGCAAGATGCCAGGGACTTGGGTATGGTAGAAACCTCTACATACCTACTACCGTCCCCCAGTTCTGAGGAAGTGGAGCACTGGAAATGGAGGAAAGGGATTATCTACGCGTTCCACAAAGTTGTTTACCAGATATTTCATACAAGTTATGGGAGATGTAATAGTAGAACAATACATTTCTTTTCCTATTTGTTTATTGCTTGGAACGATTGGATGTAGAGCGTTGCGAGTACACGATGAGATGAAACTTAGAAGCGCGCAGTTACCATTTCAATCACAAATCTTCCTTCTGATGAGTTGTCCAAGACTATTGCATTGTGAATTTTGCTTTCTGCGTACCATCTATGCTCTGCTTGCAATCAGACGATCTTACTACAAGAAGCTGTGGAACTGCCGCACTGTGGTCGGGCTGAGGCTGAGGCTGAGGCGAAGAGGTTAGACTCTAAATAAGAAGGATAGAAGACTAGGTTTTGATACGGTGAGTAATTATGTGATTATGTGATTGTGTATGGATGGATCAGATTTCAGTACAGATAAGGTGGTGGATGATGCACTACATAGCCACTCTCGATCCAGTGCAATCGATGTATGATTTTTACCGGAGTTTTGCCTCTCATATGTTATGACTGAGATTGATGCACCTTGCTGTATCAGTCATGCTTTGCCGAACATAGTCGACACACACTGTCGGGCAGCTCGGATTTGTCAGCAAGTGTTGAACCGCCAGATTCAGGTACCTATTATGTCACTAGGAGCCCAAGACAAACATATCCTTTAATCCTATTCAACACACCTCCAAATACCATTGATAATGTCTAGTGTCAGCACAGAAAAGGTTGAAAAGCGTGGGTCAGCTTCCACGGTGCGGGTATGTATGCGGTGTCATCGGCTTAGTCCGCACACAACGTTCTTTCCCCCACTCCCCACTTTGAACTCCACATATATCCTACAGACAGCTAACATAATTTCGAGGCATGTGGTTCATGTCGCAAACGAAAACGAAGATGTGTTTGGAACAGTGGTCAACAAGGCTGTTCACCATGTACAAAGTTGGGAGAGACTTGCACAACCACGTACACACGCAAACCGAGAGCTGGACCACAAAAAGGATAACGCATCCGCCTACATAGTGCTCCATTCAATCAATTGTTAACTTGGATACAGAAATCGTATCGGCGAGTATGAGAGCCGGATCAAACTCCTAGAGTCACTGCTGAATGAGCGAAATGCGAAACAACCGGAGCTCCATAAACAACCAGTCTGGCATGAGACAGAACCCACCGTCCCACTTTCAAGTTGGGTGGATTCCTTACGGGATGAAGTAAATTTTGGGTCTCGGCCGGAGTTTCCGGATCTTAATCCCTTTGATCTGGATCCCGTCGTAGGCGGTAACGATGATGCTATCACGGAGGACATTGCTGAACTCTCTGTGATGGAAACGGGCCAAAACAACCTTACAACCGATTCTTCGTCCCAGATTTCCACAGAGGATATGCAGCCATCGGAAGAATTCCAGGAAGACGCTGCCTTCTTACAGAGTGCGGAATTTGAGCCAGGAATTGCTAGTCAGACGCCACCGCCAATGCCTGTGCAACCTCCGTGTGATGATACCTCCCACCACCGGAAGTTGAAACATCCTTGCTTGCAGAATTCCTTACAGATATGAACACAGCCTGTCCTTTGTACCAGCCACATGTCATCGCCGACCACCTTCGGGTTTGCTATGCGGGACTTTCCGACGGCTCGGTGGTTGCTTGGACAAACGCATATGTGGTCTTTGGTATAGCACATAATCTTCGCGCTATGAGCACGACTGGAACAATTCATGACATGGAAATGGCCCAGTATTACTTCGCACGGGTTTACACGGCGCTGAACCGGCTTCTCACAGCACCATCATCTCTGGGACAAGTACAGTGTCTGATTGGAGTCGAGCTGCTCATCATGGGTAGCCCGTGCAGCTACAATAAGTCTGAAGGGCACTTCATTTCTACCGCACTCCGCATTGCCCGGAGCCTTGTCTATCATCATGATACGACTGGACCTGCAGTTGTACCTGATGACACCGCGCAACTTCGTCGTGTTTTCTGGATTGCCTTCATCAACGACTCAAACTTGAGCATCATAAACAACACGCCCAGAACGTTCCGACTCGAGGATGTCGCTGAGTCTGCCGAACTCATAGCGAATGAACTCGGCACAGTCACTGCAGCTGAAGGTGACTGGCAAGTGCATATATTCTTTCTCTCCACAAGACTTGCTTTGCTACAGACAGAAGCCATCGACCAGGTTCTCTCACTAAGAACGCGCAATACGGACCCGTTGGAACTTGCTGCAGCCGCCACAATCGTTCTTGCGCGTTTACAAGCTTTTCACCAGCAACACCAAGTGTTTCAGCGTGATGCAAACGAGTTGTTCCAATTACTTTACCAATCGGATGTTGTACACTGCGTTGTGCTTGAGTCCAAGTACTTTGCAACAGTCTATCGACTACATGCTTTCATGGCACTGGATATGAACGCAAAGATCAATCCGTTTGAGCTGGAGGGCTTGAGCATGATGTCGAGATTAAAACATCAGAGTGTTGTCCGAGAGGCTAAGAGGTTGTTGAGTCTACTGTCAGTCGCTCCACGAGGTAATATCGCTTTATATTGGTAAGTCATCAGAATACACAGGGCTTCAAGCACCCTCTACTGCATGTTATTATCTAGTTTTGTGGCATCTGCTAACTTTACCACAGGATGATTCATCCCATACTCGCTGCAGCGCTCGTCACGGTTTTCGCACATCATATAAATAATCCGAAAAATGAGGCTCTTACATCTACGGAGATGCTTGTCTACAAACAGGTACTGATCAATTTTGATGTCATGCTCCAAGCTGGTGTCAATCCCGATTTGGAACAAAATAAGGGGCTATACTTGGGCATGTTTACCAGAGTGGAAGAGGAGATCCGTATGCGATGAATGTCTGCAGGGAGTGGGCGTCAATTAAATCCTCGTAGGTTACATAGTGAAGCAATCTACTCGGTTAAGTCTAGAATCTCGCACTCAAGTCTTCGATTTTGAAGCTCCTGGAGCAGACAACATAGCAGTACATATATTTGGGAGAATGATCTCACTACGTTAATCATGTACCTCTACAAATAGCAAACCGGGCTAATCACAACAGCATCTCGCATGCTCATGAAAGGGAAACAGGCACAATGATAAGAACATATTACGCATTACAAGCTGGTTTTCTCGAGTTTTTAGGCAATTTTGGAGGACCTTGTCACTCATCTCCTTTACAAGTACCACTGCCCATTTTTGACGTACCAAATTGACGGACCATCGACTGTGTTGTTTTGAGAGATCTGCTAAGTTTTTTTACACTTTTCTTTACTCCCCAGCAATCGGAAAAACAGCATCCAGTCCAGTCTCATGAAATGCAATGCCAGGATTTTTGCAAAACAAAAAGACAAAGACAGAGGCAACATCTCGTGTATAAATGATGTTTTCGATAATGCATTCCGATAATGCACAGTTTCTATGAGGTAATTAGAGGATAGATGGCTTGAGGGTGGGTGGATTGGGCCTTTTATATACACGCGCTTTGTGTACCGCGCGGCGCACATATCATTGTTTTTGGGAAAGTTCAGAACAACACATGATTACCAAGACGGCGCTGTTTTTTTTGGGGGACGCTGGGGTTTGGATTGAAAGCATAGAGTGTGTGGTAGTGTGTTTTTGGGTTGTAAGAGAAGCACTGGCCATTTACACAATTTACTAGTCTTTAGAGTGGACATAAAAGACACAAAGGAGGAGTAGGAACATGAGGTGAGGGATTTAAGATTTTAGTCGCTGTAAGGAGGAGAGAAAGCGGTGGCAGACATTTGTTCATCTGGAAGATATTTAGAAAGTAAAGATAGGGCGGCTCCGTACACTCTCTTTATATCTCAACACTGGAAAAAGAGGGAAACATGAATGGGTTTATGGTAGAGTTTAAGTTTTTGGAAAAGAGAGCATCTGAAAGCTCTGGAGATTTTATTTAGATCGAACTACAGGAGGAGAGAGAAAGCCGGAGCAGACATTTATTCATTGGGAAGATATTCAGAAAGTGAAGATAGAGCGGCTCCGTACACTCTTTTTTACATCTCCGCGGCGGAGGAACAGAGAAACATGTACTTGATTTTCGAAGCATTTTAGTTTTTTAGAAAAGAGAGCATATGGTAGCTTTTCCATATGTCCGTGGGAAGAAAAGAAAAACATGTGGTGTTATTAGTGGTATTTTAGATTTTAGAAAGTGAAGATAGAGCAGCTTCATACACTCTAATATACACCTCCGCGGCGGAGGAACAGAGAAACATAAGCGATGTTCTGGTAGATCTCAGTTTTCTATAAAAGAGAGGAAATGAAAACTCTGGAGAATCATTTTACATCTCTACACCCAATAAAGAGAGAGAAACATGAAAGGGTGCTCATAGAATTCTCATCTTTAGAAAGAGAGAATATGGCTGCTGTCTCGGCTATTCTCCATCTCTACACCCGAAGAAGAGAGAAACATCAGTAGTTTCTAGCAGCGTTTAAGTTTTTAGAAAAGAGAGAACATGTATGTCCTTGGCGAATGTTTTACACCTCCACGCTCGAAAAAAGAGAGAAACATGAGCCCTTTCCTAGTCTTATTTTAGTTTTCAGAAAAGAGAAGACACGAAAGCTGTGTGTGAGCTGTTTAAGTCACCACAAAAGGTAGGGAAGAAAGAGAGAGAGAGAGAGAGAAAGAGGGGGGAAGATACATACCACTCCTTCCAGAGTTTTTTTTCTTCAGAAAAGCGAGCAGATCAATGCCTCCCCTGGGTATTTTACATCTCCAGACACTCGAAAAAGAGAGAAACATGAAGTGCTTTATGGTACAATTTAGTTCGCGAAAAGAGAGGACATGTCGGCTTCATAAGTCTTTTTTAGCCTCCACAGAAAAGTGGACAGATATGGCTGCTTCCACTAGAGCTTTTAGAAAAGACAGGACATAGTGTATCTATCCTTGATTTTTGTCTCCATAGCAGAACAGCAGAGAACCATTCCTCCTCTCGCATGTGTTTTAATTTTAGTAAAAAAGGTAGAGCGATCCCCCCCCCCCCCACACACACACACTCCATTTTAAATACTACCGAGGAAGAGCAGAACCACATCAGCTTTAGGTCCGTATATTTTAGTTCGCAGAAAAGAGAGGATATGATCTCTGTTGTGTATGTATTTTCGTCGCCCCCCAGAAAGAAAAAACAGAGAAACATGCATTAGGATTGGGTAGTTTTTAGTTTTAGGAAAAGAGATGAAGACAGACCCGCTCTGCTTTATATATTTCGTTTCCAGCTCCACAGCAGAAGAGCATGTTGATTTCAACGGCTTTTTTTTAAAAAGAGGACACAGCAAGGGCAAGAAAACATGAACCGGTAAGCCTCGATTTTTTTTTCCAATCTGCCAAGGAAGAAGAGGCAGACATTGCACGTTTTCCTAGCCGTTTTGAATTTTGGAAAAGAGAGGGCAGAGGCGCTCCATAGAGTTGATATCAAAGTCTTTTTGAAAGAGGGAAATAGAAAGCTGGAGGATAAGAAAAGGAAGAAAGCAGAAGACAAAGAGGATAGGAGGTTTATATACCCCAACACCCCAGACCACGCTAAACCCATCGGGGGGTAAAGTAAATCTGATTCAAAAAGCTCGGGGGGCCAAGCCATCTGTGTCTGTCCTACATACATACAAACCCCCACACCCCGCTCAACCCACCACGCCGCCAAACCCGGTACCCAGAAAAACCCAAGCGCCCGCAATTATATGCAAAACAACAAAAAAGTAACCTCCCTCTTTACACAAACAACATCTCATCAACCGCCCAGCCTCTCGGCCGCCCAAGTCAATATATCAGCCGTCTTCTTGATACCTTTTGCAGCAGCATCCCAATCCTTCTTCTCAATAGCATCGCGGGCAAAGGGGAAAACGCTGGATTCCAGGCCATTGTTGATGTCGGGGGCGAAGATGACGTGTTTGAACTGTTGGCGATCGGGGAGCTGTGGATGAGTTTGTTAGTCAAAATGATTCCAAAAAGCCAGACCCCCCCTCCAGCGAAAAAGGCGAAAAAAAGAAGACTCACCCCATGAACCCCACCATCATCCTTGCCCCTCACCAAATCCAACAAATCACTCTCAAAACTCGCAATCTTGCCATTATGCATAATCCTCTGCATGGTCACTCCACTAGACTCAAACCCGCCCGTCGCATAAACTTGATTATACCAGCTCTGTTCCCAGCGGCCAAAGGCCTCGGCCTTCTTCTTGAACATGCTCAGACTATCGACTAGCGGCTGGAAGATTTCGATGTTGTATTCGCCGCCGCCGGACACCTTCTCCGTCCAGTCGAGCATCTGCTGGCCTTCTTCTTGCAGGGCTCGGGCGTAGTCGTCGAGTTTGAGGGGCATGATGGGTTCCTGGGCGAGTTCGAGGATGAGGAGGACCCAGAGTTGGGTTAGGAGCGTGTGATAGGAGAAGGAAGGGTCGATGTATTTTTTCATCCAGGAGAGCGTTTCGTAGCAGCTGTGGGAGAGAGGGTTGGACGAGGCGTGGCCGTCGGTTGAGCTGGTGAAGCCAAAGTCGATGGACGAGGTGCCGGCGATGGTTTGGAAGGCTACGTAGTCGCTGCCTGCGCCTAGGTTACCCAGTTTGGAGTCGGAGGTTTCCCAGAGCTCTTTGAGGGTTTTGTTTTGGCGTGGGTCGTTGAGTCGGTCTAGGACTCGTGTCCAGGCGTGCTGGAAGATGGGTGAGCCGTTCGCCCAGAGCTTGTCGCCTGTGACGCCTACGTCGACGTTTAGGTAAGCAATGGCGCTTTCGCGGAGGGCTTCAACGTTGGCTTCGACGTGCTCGGTAGAGCCTATCCTGTTGTACTCGCCGGCGTCCCATGATGCAAACTCAATGGTGCGGAGTGGTCGCCAACCTTGAGAACGTAGCTCGCCAAGTACACGCGCAACTTCGAGCATGACGGCGGTTCCCGAGCCGGGGTCTCCGGCACCAAAGCACCATGAGTCGCGGTGGTTGCCAACGATGATCTTCCTCCCTGGGTCTTCGCTTCCTTTGAGTGAACCAAAGACATTGGTGATGCGCTGCTGCTCGACTTCGTCCTGGTCGTTTTGCAAAAGTACTTTTGGTGAAGTATCTAGATGGCCAGAGTACCAGCCGTCGCCAACGTCCGGTACACCCCCGACCCATTCATCTGGAAGCTTTTCGCCGAATCCATGGAGAGAACTGAGGAGTTTCTGCGCGTCCTTCCAGGAGAGGGGTAAACTGGGGATCTTCGGTAACGCCGGGCTCTTGTCCCTAGCTAGCCGTTCCACCTTCTTCACACTTGGCTTTCCTGGCGTAAGCACATCTCCAATGATCAAGTTCGACTGCGCAACTGAGCCCCGCTGCACGCTGTCTCCCGGTCTCCATTTGCCATCAGGCCAGGGGTTGCCCTTTTTGAAGCCATCCTCTGCCGGGTCGGAGTAGACAAGCACTCCTGCAACACCGGCATTCTGTGCAGCTCTGACCTTCATGGCCAAATCCGGCTGTGTTCCGTAGTATCTGCAAAGCGCGATTGCACCCTTTACATCCACTTGGCTATCCCATAACCGCTTAAAGTCCGCTTTGTGACAGAAGTTGACATATATGAGGGGTCCAGTGACGTTTCCAGTCGCCGATAACCCGTGGTACGCAGGCGTCTGTGCTTTCGGGGGGTTGAAGACTGAGGGTTCCTCGAGTTTTGCTTCCCACGCCTTCTCAGGCGGGTCCACAATGGCAACTCGGCGTCCGCCTTTCTTCGCATAGTTCATGTAGACGTAGTACCTGCACGGGTCAGCATACCGCCTAGTAAGCGGTTAAAAATCAACATACTCATCATGTGTGTACGTGTCCATGTGTGCGTCCCTGAACTTGCCCTCAATCCACTGTCCCAGCACATAACTCCCCTCTGTCCCGCCAATATGATCGTAGCTTGTAATGTACTCGAGATTTTTCTCTATGCGCCAGCTCTCCACGCTCTGCATGGCCTGCTGCCGCACCCACTCGGGGTTAAAAGGAGTGCCAAAGCCGCCACCCATGGGCACCACCTCGCTGACAACCAAAAAGTATACGAGTATAATAATAGTGATGAGACCCATCAGACGGGCAATTATCGACCAGCCTGGCTTGTATTCTTCCGGTATCGTGGGGAAGTGGTCAGTCACAGCGCTGTAGTTCGGTCGCCATGACGGCCAACGTATCCGGGGCAAGTTCCAGCTCGCGAGTGAGTGTCGTATTCGATTCAGCCGTTTGGAAAAGCGTCCTCTTGAGCGATTCCTCCGCGCCCTGCCCTCCTCGGCTGCCTCTGGATCCAAGATATCCATCTCTTCCATGGTCTGCCGCAGGGCGTCATCCTGGCTCTCCCGCACCGGACTCCCAGGGTCAGACTCGTCATCCGACACGGATTGCACAGAAGGTGCCTGGTAGTACCCATTGCGCCTTCTTGAATCCGACTGTGTGAGAACTTCCGGGGTCAGCAGACCCTGCCGCTCGGCATCGTCGCTGATCTCATTTGGTCCTAGGCGCGGCGCGGCATTGCGCGAGGAGGTGGCCTCGTCGTAGGTGGGAATGGGAGGCGGCGAGGGCTCGCGGACATAGTCGTGTTTTTCGTCGCCCATGGCGAGCCAGTGAATTAGTGGCAGTTATAGTTGTTGTTGTACAAGTGTTGCGCCGTCGTGGTATGCGATGGTGGCTCGGGGCGAATGGTTGGTAACAAGGGCGCAGGTGGCTACCGTGTGCTCTCAATTGTGCATGCACATGTTGAAACGCTATTAAGAATGACGGTGTTTATATCAATACAGACAAGAAGAAAAACTGGAGCGACTACGTTTCGCGTCGTCCATGTTGGGGCAGAGAGGGAGTTATGGCGGATGCGTCTGGAGATAGCGGAGCGGAGCACCCGTCGCCGACCCTGACACCCTTTTCCAAGACTTTGATGCTTGAAACACTTATAGACCCCATTTCCCCACGGGAAACGTTTGAGCCTCACGATAATCATCTTTGGACGTCGTACAAGGTTTGGCCTGTTGCTTCACGATATCTGCAATTAGTACTTTGTCTACATATTCCTCCCGCCAGTAACCTTGATCGTCTCCCCATTCACATAGCTAAACAACGGACTCGCAACAGCCAACACTGCACTCGCTGCCTCCGTTGCGGAACCCGGCCTTCTCAAGGGAATGTCCAAGTGCTCCTGACCCGGCGGTGCCGCGCTCTGCTTCGATGGTATACCCAGCGCTACCTTTTCACCATCGGGTGTCGTGACAAAAGCGCCTTCCTCCTTTGCTGCCGTCAAGCGCGTCATAATGTGTCCGAAAGCCACCGTGTTTGCGCGGACGCCGAATTGAGGACCCCATCTGCATACCAGTTAGTAAGAGTAGGGTGCAATATAGGTGGAAGACGTACTCTTTGGCAATGGTCTTAGTCATACCCGTTACACCGGCCTTTGCCATTGCATAGTTGATCTGCCCAGCATTTCCATTGACGCCGCTCGTACTCGAGATGTTGATGATGTTCCTGGGCTCGCCGTCTTTGACCCTAAAGTATGGCGCCGCAGCTCTTACAATCTTGAATGGTGCGGTTGTGTGCAAGTCGACGATGGTCTGCCATTGCTTGTCCGTCATCTTGTGTATAACACCATCCCATGTGTATCCAGCATTGTTGACAATCATGTGAATCTTGCCACCGCCGAACTCTGCCGCTTTCTCAATGAGTGTCTTGATGTAGGCATCGTCGAGCACGTCGCCCACTACAGCAATTGCGCTGCCACCGGCTTCCTTGATTCCAGCGACTACGGCCTCTGCCTTTTCTACGCCACGTCAGCAGCGGATCATGAAACCTGAGAAATCTTAAGCTGACTTACTAGCATCTATATCCGCAACCACGACCTTTGCGCCCTCCTTTGCAAACAGCCTTGCAGCCTCTGCTCCAATTCCCTGGCCCGAACCAGTGATGATTGCAGTTTGGCCAGCCAACATACCCTTGGGGTAGTTGAGGTGGCCTGCAATCTGGTCAACACGCTTCGAGGCAGACATAATTTGAAACAATTGACTTTTTAATAATTTCCGGGGGCCGAACAATTCGCCCGGGGTAAATTTATACAAAATTGCGCGTTACAAATGACGCCTGAGACTTCAAGATGCGGAGTAGGTCAACCGTCACAGCCTGGAGATGCCGAGGTTCGTGCACTAGCGCGATCTCAGTTGGCTTCGGAGCATTCAGTCCACATCAACAGATGCGCCATTGCAGGAAAACATGACATTTTCAAGTTTCCATAGCCACGCCCTAGACGTTTTTGAGACATTCTACACATTTTTTCACACTCAATTCATCACCACAGCTCAACATGATCCTCTGTTTTGATATCTAGTACACGCCCTTCCAATTTCCATAACTACCTTAGTACAACACCGCGACAGCAACTTCCCCATCAAACTCGTCGACAATATTTTTTGGCCCAAAAGCCATCAAAGGATTATCCAGTGGCTTGCACACACAAGCACCAGCCCATCTACACGAACTCCCATTTTATTTAGGAAATGCACAAGGTTGCAGAGTGATAAGAAGAGAAGAACACACCAACCGCGTAGCCATTTAATACCCCAGAGTGACGCCACACATCATGCAGTTGCACGTAGTTTTCATATTGAAGCTGTGCAGAGGGGCCAAACTCCCACACATCCAGCTTGTCGTGCTGTGTTTTCTGTAGGACAGCAATTCATAATTTAGAGAACTCTGTCATTTTAATTTTTTTCCACAATCACAGCCACTCATGCCAAGATTTCATTTTGGCCTTTTGTTTCTTTCAACTCTGCAGATTTTGCACTCATCGTTTTTAGCGCCCAAGAAGAAGACACGAAAGAACATAGACACTTTATGATCACGTTTTATTGGAGAAACGACATAGCTCTTCTCCCTCGTATTTTAAGAAAGCAGAAGTCATCATTGTTAGATTTATGGCTTTTAGAAAATAGGAACGAGGAAAGTATATAGAAAAAGTCAGAAGAGTCTGTTGTGAAGATTTTTAAAGTACAGTGGAAATATTCTGGCGGTGATCGTAGTGTTTCGACAGGCGCTTCCGCACATTTTGTTAATGTCTTGTTATTTTAAAAGTCCACACATAACCTCGAATGTTCTAAAATTTTGTACCTCCCCACACGCAGCTCTCTTCTCCCATGGATCGTTTTTATACTCTTTTTTCGTATTTTAAGAAAGTAGTAAAGAGGGAGAGAGAGTTAGAAGAGTCTGTAGTAAAGATCTTATACAAGCACTCCCGAGACACCCACGTAGTAATCATGTTGTTTTAACAAGCGCTTCTCACATTCTTTTGTACTTTCTTGTTTTCAAATCCCACACATGGATTCTTAGTCTGGTAATTTTGTAGCTGCCCACACCCAGCTCCCTTCCCCCATCATAGGCTGCGTCAGTCATTTTAGTATTTTAAGAAGGCAGTAAATAGAAGAAGACAGAGGGGTTCATCGTAGGTTTTTTAAACAAGAATCGCGGGAACATCATTATAGTAACTGATAGTTTTAACAGGCGCTTGCCACATCGAAAAGAAGTCCTAACAATTTCAATCCACACATAGGCTTCATCGTTGTCTTATTTTATTGTATCCTACACACAGCTCTCTTCCCCCATGAATGTGTCCTCTGTTAGCTTTTTAGTGTTTTTAAGAATGTTGTGGGTAAAGGCACACACAGCTCTCTTCCCCCATGGAGAAATCTATGTGGATGTTCTTTTTTTAGTGTTTCAAGAATGTTGTAGGTAAAGGAAGACAGAGAAGTCTGGCATGAAGGTTTTACAAGAACCTGCGAACATCCTAGTGCTGATAGAGTGGTTACACAGGTTCTTCTCACATCAGTTGGGATATCGCATGACTCTAGTCCACACCTAATTTTGTTGTCCTCTTATTTTTTAGATCCCCCAGCTCTCTTCCCCCATATAATGCTATCGAGCGGATTTTTGGTATTTATAGAAAGTAGTAAATAAAGGAAGACAGAGAAGTCTGTCGTAGAGTTTCTATAAGAACCTGCGAACATCCAAGTGCTGATGGAGTGTTTACAGGTTCTTCTCACATGACTAGTGATTTGGAACGTTTTGAAATTTTAAATCCCCCAGCTCCCTTCCTCATGGCGACATGCGGAGAATTTTTTGTGTGTTTCTGGAAAGTAGTAGAGAGAGGAAGACAGAGGAGTATGTTGTAACGTTTTTATACGAGAACCCACGGACATGCGCAGGGTGACGATAAACTTTAGTAAGTGCTTCCCACATCAGGTGGGAAGCGGAAGAATTTTGGTCCACACATATCGTCGGGATCAGTTAATTTTGTAGACCCCCTAGCTCCCTCCCATCATCCAGTTTCCACACATGTTTTTGGTATGTTTCTAGAAAGTGGTACACAAAGAAAGTTGGAGGAGTCGGTGGCGAGGTAAAGATTTTATACAGGACCCACGGACATATTTTCAGACTTGCAATATTTTGGTAAGTGCTTACTACATTAGGTAGGAAACGGAAGAAGTTTAGTCCGCGCATGAAATGGGTAAGCTCCTGATTTTGTAGATCTCCAAGCTCCCTTCCCATGAAGAGTCTCTCCAGGCATTTTTGGTGTATTTTTAGAGAGTAGTGTAGACAAGAAAGTCTGAGGCGTTCATTTTGCAAATTTATATAGGTAGTCCGAGATATACAGGGCCTGCTTCTTTAATTTTAGACCGCGTGATGCCCACACATGGGGAGCTCTTGTTATTTATTGAAACCACATGAACCGGTAGTAGTGGGATTTAAATTGCACCCCAGGTCTCTCCTCCTCATGGAAGTCTAACATTTCTTGTTTTGGCATGTTTTTGGAAAGTGGTATATAGAAGAAAGTCGGGGGCGTTTATCGTACGAGTTTATATGGGTAGTCGGAAGCATGCGGCGATGACATCTCAAATCTAGAACGGGTAGTTCCCACACATAAAAGTTCCTTTCCTTTTTTTTAACACCACATGAAAGCGATTTTTGAGCGTTTAGATTGGATCTCAGCGCCTTCTCCATAGGATTCAAAAGGGGAAGTTTGATATTTGTGGAAGATTGTATACAAAGAAAGTCGGAGGCGTCTATTGTAAAATTTCGGGTAGTAGGGAACATGGGGGATTCAGCTTCCTGATTCCAGACTGGGTGGTTTCTACACATCACAAGCATCTTGTCCTTTTTTAACGCCACATAAAACCAATTTCTGTGGGTTTAGATTGGTCCCAACTCTGTTCCCCCCATGTAATCCGAGAATTCGGTTTTTTGCCCATAGAAAGTAGTATACAAAGGAGTCTGTAGGAGTCTATCGTAAGATTTTATACAAGTAGTCAGGAAAACATGCGACGTATATCTTTTTGTTTTTAGACGAGAGCTTCTCACACAAAAGAAACATTTGCTCTTCTTCACGTTATTTCAAACCACATAGATCATCAGAATTGCCATTTTAGATTAGCTCACAACTCTCTTCTCTCCATAGAAGTACACCCACTCTGTTTTCTTGGAATTTTGGGAAAACTGTAGAATAAGGAAGTCAGGGAAGTTCGTCGTGAGATTTTATATTAAAAGTCAGAAAATATGATGAAGTTCTTGTACATTTTCTCACACAGGGGAAGCATGTGACACTGTCAGGTGCCGTTCAACCACACATAACATGACGCCGACTGTCCTTTAAATTCGTTTTCACAGCTCTCTCCTCCACATAAGTCTCCAGCTTCTTTATTTTTTTTAGAATTTCCAGAAAACTGTAAAGTAAGGAAGTCGGAGCAGTCCGCCATAAGATGTAATATAGGTACTTGGGAAAGAAACGTTCATTTTGTAAAATTTTCTAACACAAGAGAAACACGTGAGTGTCCTCTATGTTGTTCAACCACACATGCCCCTTGCCTGGTTTCTTTTTAAAATTCGACCCCACATCTCTCTCCTCCCCCACATATATCCAGGGCGAATTTCTTTTATTTCTGGAAAACTATAAAATAAGGAAGCCAGAGTAGTCCGCCGTAAGATATTATATGTGTAGTTAGAAAACATATGGCGATTGTGGATACCTTTCTGCACAAGAGAGATATAACATAATCGGAACAGCTTTTTAAGCTACATGCGTTGACCCTCAGCGCACTTCTCCCCATATGACTGAGGCGGCTCATTTTTTGTACTTGGACACCCGGAAATAGAAGGAAGGCAGAGCGAGCAGTCTCTCGTACGGTTTTAAACAACCACTCCACGAACATGCCACTGGTCGACAGTTGTTTTAACCAGTGGCTCCACACAAGAGAAACATAGAGCGATCTCGAAAAACTTTTTAACCACACATGCCTCTACTGGCACTGCACTTCTCCCCACATCAATCGAGGTTCTCGATCTTTTTTGGACTTGGAAACTAGGAAGTAGAAGGAAGGCAGAGCGAGCATTCTCTCGTAAGAATTTAAACCACTCCCCTAGAAAACATGTCACGAGTTGCCGAAGAATTTTTAACCAATAGTTCTCACACAAGAGAAACATGAAACGCCCGGTATCAAGTTTCAACCCACATGTTCCTCTCGGTCTTTGTTTTAATCTGCCCCCCACTCTCCTCCCCATGGATTTCTGCCTTTCTTGCTTTTAGAATCTCTGGAAATCCGAACATGAAGAATCCAGAGCGGGCATTTTATCGTGACATTTTGAATAATCACTCTAGAAACATGTGCTCGTGTTGTGCTGATTCCGACAATTGCTTTCCACACAGGAGATTTAATCGAGAACCATAGGTTTTCAAAGCACCACATGTGTCTGATATCCGCTTTTTTTAAGTAGTCTCCCCAGCTCAGCTCACTTCTCTCCATTGAAAAATTTTACGATACCTTTTAGACTTTCTGAAAACCCGCACATGGAAGACGCCAGAGGGGGCATCTCATTATAAATTTCAATAAGTTTACTCCAGAAACATGTGATCTGGCGCGTAGAGCTTTCGACAAGTGATTCCCACACAGGGGACATTTTTGCCACTCCGACGTATTTTTGAAAAGATTACCACATCAGTCGAATGGCTGTACGATTTTATGGAGCATCCTCAGTTTCTCCTCCACATAAGATAGTCGTGCATCATTTTTAGTATTTTTGGAAAACTGTACAAGGAGGATGGGAAAGAAGGTAGAAAGAAAGAAAGAAAGGAGCAGGTAGGTTTTAATACAAGCCCCGCCGCTCGGGCCATTAGGTCATCCCACTCTTATTTTAGTAGAGAAAGGCGAGAAGGGAGAAATATTGAACAAGCCGACTTCTTTTTTAACACACCACAACGCTTCTGTCTTCTCGAATTTTGTAAATAGAGTGAACACCAGCTCTCATCTCCACATGAGATGATGTATGTAGTTTTTAGAATTCATGGAAATCTGTATAGGAAGGAAGGAAAGAAGAAGAAGGGAGTAGGTAGCTTTTATACGCGGTCTGCCGCTCGGGTCATATCCCGATATGATTTCCTCTTATAAGAGAAACAAAAGAAGGCAGAAACATTAGTCGTTAGCATTGGCTTTTTAGTTGCCTCACATGACCAGACGGCTGATGGTTTTTGAAAATGTGGTATCGTGTTTTTGTTTTTGAAAAAGCTGGAAATGTATACGAGGAGTTATTTTATGAGAACCATGGAGCTTAGGATTGTTTGGTTTTTGGAAAAAAGGAGAAACACAAACATGATTCGTTGTACATATGATTTTAAAGTAAAAGAGGAAAGACAGGTGTGTGTGGATAGAGAAGAGTTGAGGATGTGGACGCTTTATATGTTGTGTAGGTAGTAGACTAAGAGTTGTGCGCTAACTGATTACGGACTTGTGGGGTTGAGATATACAGAGTTTCAAAGAACAAGTTTCAAGTTCATGGAGAATTGGCAATACGAAAAATCCGGCACATGCGCCTTCTTGACGATGGTTCCTTGTACATGTCAACCAAATCACGACAGCGACTGTGGCATGCCAACTCATGTGTCTCTAGCATCTTGCGCGATGATGTGTCCACACATTAACGAGCCCAGCAATTCCAGACGCCCTAATCACGCAGGATGCTACTCTCAAATAAGCGCCCTCTTTCCCGACCAAGATAAGCTCAGAATCCAGAGCCTCGTCCAAGTCAAGCCCAGAACGTATCCGCCCGGTATCGTAATCATACGCTTATTTGCCTTCCCGAAAAGGAAAATGCATGGGCTTAGTAAACCTGAATCCTGAGTTGTAAAGCGGAGCACCCAGTTGTACCGCCTTGACCCCGCTTTTCTGCTAGCAGTTTGTCAGCCTTGTGCGATTTTACTGCTATGCAGTCTCGCTTATTTAATCCCCCCTTTGTAGCTTTGCAGGCTTTTGGTTTTCTTTCTCCCAATCACCCCTCTGTTCACTTGAAACTCGTCGTCTACTCACACTCTGGAAACCAAAATGCCTACTGTTGTGATTAAGCCAGGCGCCACGGTATTTGTGACTGGTGCCAATGGGCTCATTGGAAGCCATGTTATCGATCAGTTGCTTAAGAAAGGATACAACGTACGCGGTACGGTAAGAGATGTAGCCAAGGCAAAGTGGCTGAGTGAGTACTTTGACGCAAAGTACAAAGATGCCAAACTTGAGTTGGTCAGCGTACCGGATATGCGCGTTGAAGGGTGCTATGACAGCGTAGTTGATAGTGAGGCTTCCTTCATTGCTAAGTCTCAGTAAAAAGCTAAGATTGCCCGGATCACAGGTATCGAAGGCTTCGTTCACGTCGCATCCCCTCTTGATGGCATTTCCGATGTCGATGAGGCAATCAAGATTGCTGTGACAGGGGCTCTGAACGCCCTCAAGGCATGCGCAAAGACTCCTTCGTGCAAACGCTTCGTCTTCACTTCCTCGTCTATTGCCGCGACATTCCCACGCCCGAATGTCGAGTTCTCCATCGATGAGACATCGTTCAACGACGAGGCAATGGAAGTCCTGCGCAAAGAGCCGGGTAAGGAGGGGCTGTTTGTCTATGCCGCGTTGAAGACAGAGGCGGAAAAGGCAGTATGGAAGTGGACAAAGGAAAACAAGCCTGGGTTCGTAGTGAACACTGTTGTAAGCCCCCCGATCACTACTTGCGTTGTATGAAACTAAGACTATAAGCTACCCAACGCGAATTTCGGCCGAGTTCTCGTTCCCGAGCATCAGGGCTACCCGTCAACTATTGGCTGGACGCATGATGCTTGGATAGGCGTAGAGACTGACAGGTGGACCTCATGGGCAGGGCCACAATGGTTCATCTCGACTGAGGATGATGCACTACTGCACGTTTCTGCATTGATTCACAGCGACGTGGATTCCGAACGCCTGTTTGGCTTTGCTGAGCCTTGGAGTTACAATAAGATGATGGACATTTGGCGCAAGCAGTATCCCGAGAGGAAGTTTGCCGATAACATTGAGGGAATGGGTGAAGATCGCATGAAGGTGCCTAATGAGAGAGCGGAGGAAGTACTGAGGTGGGTGAAGGGAGCGGGCTGGGACAGCTTGGAGCAAAGCTTGAAGGAAATGACTGAGAACTGGAAATAAAGTGAACCGCTGCCGCTGAGAATGTAGTAAAAGAGCTTTAGTCGATGATTGACGTGTCTATCGATTGATTTATACAACGACTGCATCGTCTTCTCGTGTCAATGACTGGGTTAATCTTGTCGTGCCGCTCTAGAGATTCCTCAACGTCAAAACATGATGATATAATGAAATGAAAGACCAGCACCGGATTCTCTAGAATTTCTGTATAATTGTGCGGCCGTTGTGAAGAGATGGAGGCATGTCGAGTTGGCGGGCGTGAGACGAAGATGACATGGTCAGTGCGCGGACCCCTGCAGGTCTAACTTTCGCTTACGATTTTCGAAAGCCCACGATCGCTCTCAGCGCCTGCCAACGCCAGCGACAACTCCATCCCGACGCCCAACCCAGCTATTCCGCACACCGAACGACCGACTCCCGTCGAAATCTAAAATCGCACATAATGGATTCCGCTAAGGCTCCCGTCAAGCTCGTCAAGGTCACCCGTGTCCTTGGCCGAACCGGTACGCGAAATTTCCGAAACACCCTGCAGAGGCGGCGGCAGGAAGGATGGAGGCGGCAAAATGAGAGAACATAGGCTGACTTACAAACCAGGCTCCCGTGGTGGTGTCACTCAGTGCCGTGTCGAGTTCATGGACGACCAGACCCGTTCTATCATCCGCAACGTCAAGGGCCCAGGTACGCACCTACCTAATGAAGCTTGCGGTAGCTCTGACTAACTGATCTCCCAGTCCGCGAGAACGACATTCTCTGCCTGCTCGAGTCCGAACGTGAGGCCAGGCGTCTGCGATAAGCGCAACAACTCTCGGGGAAAGGGAAGCGGCATTTTCATTCGGTTACCGGAGTTCTTTGCGAAAGCTATGGGCATCTATACGGACTTCACGAGGATGGACAACTGATGGCGCGGTGCTCTTGGAGCGCTGCGTAGGAGGAGACAGATATGAGGGAGATGCGATCACGACGAATATCAAGAGTCTGGGTTCTCCCTGAATGAATTGAAAATCTACCAACTCCCACTCGTTGCGACTTGGACGTGTTGTAGTCTGTCGGCTTGGAACTTGAATTGGAGCATATGAAGTGGTGAAGCTGATGTAGTCCAGTTTACATGTTCATCCAGGTTCTCTCTCGGCGTTGTCTCCCCGATTTTACACACTGGCTAGCGAGTCATTTCTCCAACACGAAGACACAAATCTTCGAGACCAACATCTTGAACACTACCGCTCATGTAATGTTGATCAACAATAGCACTCGTACAGGAGATGGTAGCCTAGAGCAAGGATCATTCTGAGCATGCCTGTTGCACTACGGAGCCCTTGAACCGGACTCACCGTCACTCCGATCTATCCAGTATTCACCTACAATATGGTTTCAAGGTGACTGCCAAAGAGACAATAGCAGAGCCTGGCTATTGATGTCTCAGTTAACACCTCTATACTTAAATTCACTCGAACCATCTTTCTCTACAATCTCCAAGTTTCCCATCAGTATCATCTCCATTCTAAACACCTGAAGTCTTCAAGTACCACATTCTCCATCATATCCTATCCCACCCCCACAATGTCGGACAGTGAAGCAGCAGACAGCCTCCGCAAGATCCTCGCCAAGAGCACCCCGAAGGCGCCAAAGCCCAAGTCCTCCCAGCCCCTAGGTACTACTACCGCACCTCCGGCAGCTACAACACCAGCCACACCTCTACAAACTCGCCATGCAGCACCAACCTTCCACTTCCCCACTGTCAACGTACCAGGAAGCTCACCAAAATCAGCTACAGGAAGCGCCTCTTCAGGCCCCCGCAAGTCTGTCTTCAGCAGCAAAACCACATCGTCGGCTCCAAAGCCAAACCAGAGCAGCCGCAAGAAGGAGCAAGCTGCTGCGCCGGAGACTACTACTAGTAGTTCCACGGTTTCGCTTCATTCCATCATTGACACTGAGCAGGACGTCGCTCCGAAAGAAGAAAAGGCTGACAAGAAGACCAGCATGGCGGGCTCGAGGTGGTGGACCAGGGGTGGTGGATGAGATGGTGTGGTGGCGTGGAGGGTGTCAGTGTACGATTCGATTTCAGACACAAGGATGATGAGTCTGTGAAGGACTTCTGGATAGTTTGTAGAAAATGAGAATGCCACTATCCCATACCACTGTATACGCCAAACTGCATTGTTGAATGTAAAAATGTCACTGTCAAATATATTGGTATACGCCAAAGTTGTTCATAATATGAAAAAAACGTCGTTGAAAATCTATCTGCGAAGCAACACAAGCCCATAGGACTGCGTTGCTTGTAACAAAGGGGTCGTGGATCTATACATGCAAAGATACAAGGAAAAGCCTTTTCTATCCACCCCATACAAGACTTTGTAGGTACCGTAAAACGCCAGAGAAATGCAACAGGAAAAGAAGGCTTAACCCATCAAGCTACACAGAAGAGGTAGAGATAGCTCAAGCAATAGCCGAGCTACCACCCTCCTGCATAACCGGGTTGATCTTCTCATCAAACTTGAACTTGAACTCCTCGCCAAGCTCCTTCTTCATAGCCGTAGTAACAGCCTCGTAGACGTTCTTGAACACGCCGAAAGAAGCCGGGTTCTGCTCGTCGTTGTCACCGCCCTGGAACACACCAGTGCGAACAAGGCAAGTGTTCCAGCCATACATGTTACCACCGACGATGTCGGAAGCCGGGTTGTCACCAATCATGTAGATGTGAGCAGGCAGCTTCTCATCGTTGTGAATGGTTTCCATCCAGCTGGCAATAACTTCGTCGGCGTACTTGTACGTGGCCAGTTCAGGCTTGCCGTAGACGACACGCTCGAGCTCGACGCCCGTGAGCGACTTGTACATGGCCTCGAGGCCGATGCGGAAGGCTCCTTGCGACATACGCGGGAAGGGGTGTTCGGTGGGGCAGAGCATGTCGCCCTGGGAGAAGTAGATGGGGATGCGTTGGGAGACGGGGTCCTTGGCGCGGGTTCCGAAACGGCCGTTTTCAGACTGAAGCAGGTCCATGATGATTTGGATGTCGGTGGCGTAGTCGCGGCTGTCGGAGAAGACCATGATGGCTTCGATGTTTACTTTGCTGAAGTCGCGGGGGCGGGACGTCTTGCGCTCCTCGTCGGTGAAGACGCGGTAAGGGGCGATGGTTGGGTCCCATGCGATGATGTCGTTGGGGACGACAATGTCTTTGAATCCGTATTCTTCGGCTACCTCACGGCACTTGTAGCCTTCTCCACCGACAACGAGGACCGTCTTGTAGTACTCGGCCAGGGCACGCATGGGAGTGTGCGACTGGATGAATTGCTCGGTCGAGATGGGGTTGTGGAGGATCTTGGAGAGTTGCTCGACACGAGCTTGCTCGGGCTTTCCAGAGCCGTTGGTGAGGAAGATGTGGGGGATCTTGATGCCGAGCTCGTTGTCGCCGTTGAGGATCTCGAGCACGCGTTGACCCTCGGGGATGAGACGGTCACCGTGGACAAGGACACCGTCAATGTCAAAGACAAAGGCCATGTCCTTGGCAGCACGAACCTTCTCGCCAGCGAGATCTTGAAGCTGGGCTGCGATGATGTCGCGGGAAGGCTGGATGGCGGGCATGCCAGGGCGCTTGGCAGCTCCTGGGCCATCGGGGTAGTGTACAGATGACAGCCTTGACTGCCTCTTGGATCGGGGAATGGGCAGCGAGGTACCGAAAGAGTTGCGGCTTCCTCTCCTTTCCTTCATTGAAGGGGAAAGGGAGAGGTTGTGCATGTATTGTGAAGTATCAGCCATGGCACTGCGGGTTGCTGGGACCTCGACAGCGTTGACGGTGCCATCTTGAGCATCTCCAGGAATGGCAAGCTCACCTCCAACAGCAAAGTTGGAAGCAGAACGCTCGCCGTTGGCCTTGGTCTGGGTGGTGTTGGCCACCTCGGGGTCTTGAGTAGCAGCAGGAGGCATGATTGCGGTAATGAGAGTTGATGAAAATGGGGGTATCAAGAGTAGAACGTAGGGATAAGCTTCTCAGAAGCCAAGTGTGAGATTTGTAGTGATGAGATAGTGAGTGATGAGGATTCTCAGGGTCCTGGGGGAGGGGCTATATATCACGTCAACCATGGATAGGTACTCTTTGATGAACCCCAGATGCCATCATCATTCGTCAATTTTCTCTACAAACTTTGGAAGGGTCTTCTCTCGCTATCCCGACTTGGGCCGACACAGCTAGCACATTCTGGCAACCGGAATGTTCAACAAGTACCTCTGTACCCACAGTGCGACATCATCGCCATTCTCTCGAGCCCGTGCATGCAAACGCTAGTGGATGAGTTTGCCAGACCAGAGAAAGAAATCTGGATACCGTCACCGCCGTATTATCGCCGAAAACTGGAGACTGATAGCTGTGCTGTGATGTGAGTCGCCACCCGACCCGCGAGCGCGTTGTTTACCTGTGGCCGATGCTCCCACGGTCTAGCGTGGCGCGGAGAGTCGAATGACCGGCTCGCAGAGCGCGGCCGGAAGAAATTGTCGGGCAGCTCACCGCCTGTCAGAATGGCATGGCGTGCATGTGCTATCAAGATGGATATGGGAAACGGTTGTCGCAGAGGGGTGGATGATGCAGGGAGTCCGCAGACAGCTACCGGCGGTATTGGCAACCGTAAGGCGTAGTGACGAAAAACGGGTGGGGGCGATGCCTGGTAGTCCCTGGTAGTCCCTGGTAGTCCCTGGTTGGTAAGCGCGGGTCGCCGAATTAGGGCGAACGCTCGTGGGTGATGTGCTGGACTGCGGGTGCAGCGAGTGGCTGAAATCGCAGAGCCGCACCACCACATGCTTTCGATATGCTTCGACGCTGCGTCTGGTCGGCAAAACTGCCACTCGTAGCCCTAAAGTCCTCTCTCGGCCCGCTGTGTGGACCCTGAAATCCACATGACGACGTCATACTTGGCTGACGAAGTGACAAGTTGGTCAACAACCAGCGTCGGCAAGCTGAAACTGTTGGATGGCACGAGGTGGAGATTTTTCATAATGGGCCCGATGCCAGCGAGATGAGCCCGCCTCGGGTTGTCGCGGTTACGAGTCGAGTCGACCATGGGAAGCGGGCGCCGAGTGAGGTCACGGAACCACGCTGTGCTGCCAGCGATGATGACAGAGGGGAAGAAGAGATTTTAGGCCAACTAACGTATGCTTGCTGACCGACATATGTAGATGCAGCATCCCAAGACGCGTTGCTGCCGCTTGATAGATTAATTCACACACACTACTCTGCAAGGCGCTTCTCTTCATCTGCCATCTGAACAAGTCATCACATCACATCACATCACATTCACACACACACACACACACCACCACCACCACACATCATGGCCCCTCTCGCCAACCAAAAGACTTTCAAGCTCTCCAACGGCGTCACCATCCCCGCCGTGGGCTTTGGCACCTTTGCCAGCGAGGGCGCATCCGGCGAAACCTACGCAGCCGTCACCACGGCGCTCAAGACCGGCTACCGGCATCTCGACTGCGCCTGGTTCTACCAGAACGAGGGCGAAGTAGGCGACGCGGTGCGAGACTTCCTCAAGGAGAACCCCAACGTCACCCGCAAGGACCTCTTCATCTGCACAAAAGTATGGAACCATCTCCACGAGCCCAGCGAGGTCAAATGGAGCATCGACCAGAGTCTGCAGAAGCTGGGCATGGACTACATTGACGCCTTCCTCGTCCACTGGCCCATTGCCTCGGAGAGCGACGACAACCACATGCCCAAGATCGGCGCTGACGGCAAGTACGTCATCAAGAAGGACCTCACAGAGAACCCGGAGCCGACATGGCGCGCCATGGAGGAGATCTACGAGTCAGGCAAGGCAAAGGCCATTGGCGTGTCCAACTGGACCATCGAGGGCCTCAAGAAGCTGCTCGCCTTTGCAAAGGTCAAGCCCATGATCAACCAGATCGAAGTCCACCCCTTCCTGCCCAACACGGAGCTCGTCAAGTTTTGCCAGGACAACGACATCATGGTAGCCGCTTACTCGCCGCTCGGCTCTCAGAACCAAGTGCCCAGCACCGGCGAGAAGGTGCGCACAAACGCCAAGCTCAACGAGGTCGCTCAGCGCAGCGGATACGACCTCGCACAGGTGCTGTTGGCATGGGGACTGCAGCGCGGCTACGTCGTCTTGCCCAAGAGCTCCACGCCCAAGCGCATTGAGAGCAACTGGCTCATCCCCGAGCTGAGCAAGGAGGACTTTGAAGCCGTCGAGGAGGTTGCCAGGGGAAGGCACACGCGCTTCGTCAACATGAAGGACACGTTTGGCTACGACGTCTGGCCAGAGGAGACTGAGGGTGGTGAGCTCAAGGCATAGAGCGGGGTAAGCGAGCAAGGGAGCTTGCATGGCATTTACGAATTAAATTCATTTAGCGATACCAAAGGTCTACTGCAGACTTGTTTAGAGTAGCTCAAAGAGCAATTGAATCCTATTTGGTTCATCACATCCTGTTCCCATACTGTGATGTGGTTCTTACGACCACGACCAAGCGATTCCCTAGTGCCTACGCCCGGCCCACTGCGGTGCACTACCGGGGCCTGTATCAACATGTGCAGGCTGCTCGTTTAGAACTGACATGCGAACCAGTCGCGATTTGAATGTGTGGTTAGCCCAGTTTTACCATGTTTGCTTCATGTTGGGATCAGGCTGTCTAATAGTTGTAGGTTTTCCCGCTCTTTGCGCACCTTCCACGTTTCCGATGTTTGCTGATGCAACTGTTCCACGGCTACTTGCTTTGGAAGTACCACATCCGCAAAGTGCTCTTTGGTGAATGCCATCACAGCTTGTGCTTCTGCAAACTTTTGTTCTTGCAAGAGCTGCCGCGCGACTCCTAGACATAGCTGCACGAGGAAGTTTCTCCGACTTTGGGATTTTACGTGTGCAACTGCACCAGCAGGGTCTTGGATGAACCGAAGCCCGGGAGCTGCGCTACGTTGTGAAGGGTGGTGTAGCCAGAGCATGGCTTCGACTGCACGGCCCCAGCCTCCCAGCCAGCGTTGTGATGACAAAGAGAAGGATTGGTATAGTTCTGCGTCAACTTTGAGGGGTTGGTCTATGTTTGTGGTAATGCGGTTGACGAGATGGCCACCAGCAGACCTCAGCATATTGTAAGCTGATTCGTAACCCGCGTTCTCAACGATGCGGAACGCCTGCATGAAGAAAGCCAGGCCTCTGGTCAAGTCCGTGTTGGCTTCTACAGACACCATCTTTGCGAGTAATTGTTGTCTGAAGGTCACTACTTTTGCAGTGTCGAGCCCGGTCTCTTTTACACGTTGTTCATTCGATCGGATGAACCAGCGCCATGGTGCAGTAGTCTCGCCTTCAGCTAACAGCAAGACCACCAGCCTGTCCAGGAACCTGCTGCCATGCCCTGACTTGGCGACACACAAGTCGACGAATTGCTTCGAGGTGTCGAGACCGCTAGTCTTCAGCCAATCGGCAAGTGTGATAGCGAAACTCTTTTGGTCCCTGATCCGCGAGGGACTTTGGTTCGGGGTCTTTTCGAGCACCTCAAGACACATGGCGGCCTTGGACAGGTTGGCAGATCCTGCAGCTATCTCATTGACAAACCACGTAAGCGGGTCTCTCAGCACATCAAGCGCTGCTGACTCGGACCCTCTCCGACGAGGCTTCACGGCAAACAATGGGTTGCTCAAGATGGAATCGATGTGTTGGGTTGCAGAAGCATAGGACGAAGCTGTCGCGCCGATGGGCGAGGGCCCGCGCTGACCATTACTAAGCGATGCCCGCGGGATTCGCCTTTTCTGGCTGCTCTCAGTCGCTCCGAGGGGATGTTCGCGGTCGAGGTGGGCGCGGAAGGAGCTGGTGAGCAGAGAGAGCAACTGCTGACTCTCACGGGGCGAAAGCGGAAGCTGGGGATGGAGCTTGGAGGCGAGAGTGCTCAACATCCGTTTACTGGTAGCCGACTGCATCGTGTACTGGCGGCGTAGACAGTTTGCGTGTCTCGTGTCGTCGCGGTGAGAGGGCGGGTCGAGTGAGGCGATGACGAGAGGTGGGCCAAGCACTGGCACTGCGGGAAGCTGCCGCCTTGTAAGCACGTGACCGCCTAGACGCGCGCAATATGGTAAGGCTGGGAACAATATGCCCAAGCTATTCGTAGATCAATGACTACTCGCTCAGCTCTCCCCTCATCTGTGCATTGTCTGCAACCCAGCCCGCTCCCGCCCCGTCAACGCGACACAGCCGCGTCCTGTGCCATTGGAAGCTCTAGTGCCAAGTCGCTTGCCTTTAGCTGCGTTCCCCAACTTTACTCCCTCTCTACATCATCACCCTGCACGACGACTACAGCGCCCCAATTACACACCATCAAGTCCCCTGCGGCTTGCCTACACCACACATTATCTCATGTCTGAAACACAATCTCGGCCTGCGCGAGGCAGGAGCTCTGCCCGCGGCGGCAGGGCCTCATACGGCTCACGAGGGCCCAGGAAGACAAACGGCGACAGCGCATCGTCAAACATTGATACATCGGCAGACCAAGGCGAGCTGGGAGAGCTCAAGAAGCGCTATCAGTCACAGTTGTCGACACTGAAGGAACTATTCCCCGATTGGACCGACGCCGATCTCGTGCTCGCCATCGAAGAATCTGACGGCGACCTGCAGACGACCATCGAGAAGATTAGTGAGGGTGAGCGGCCATTGCCAATTGACAGCCCCGTGTACGTCATCTAACATCACATAGGTGCCGTCTCTCAATTCTCAGAAGTGCCCAAAAAGGTCAAAGACCGATCCCGCTCAAAGGCAAAAGAAAACATTCCTATTGATGGCGCGTCCAGTCTGCGTGGCCGCCCTGATGGAGCCCGTCGTGGTGTTGACAGCGGTCGCGGTGGCCGTGGTGGACGGGGCACTGACCGCGGTCGTGGTGGCATTCGTGGTGGCCGTGGAGGGGCTACCGGTGGACCTCGTACGACTGCTGGATCAGTCCCGACAACCGAGTCGTCTGCATGGGACACGCCCATAGTCGAAGAAGAAGCCAAGGAGGCCAAACAGGATGATACGGCCGTACACGCGCCCGACGCGACCCCAGAGGTCATAAAGCCTGTTGTAGAGGCGAGCATGGCAGCCGCGAAGAAGACATGGGCCAGCATGTTTGCAGCGCCCAAGCCCCCGCCAGCTGTACCCAAGGCTGCCCCGAAGCCTGCCCCCGCCGCTACCCCAGAAGTGCCCGCACAGAAACCCGACGAGACGCCCGCACAAGAAGTTGCACCAGAGCCAGCTGTGCAAGCCGAAGAACTTCCAGTACCCCCGATCGCAGACGAGGCGGTTCAAACACCCCCAATCACCGCCGAAGACACGTCCAAGATGACGCCCGACAAGAACGGAGATACTACTGCCGACATTACACTCACACCTTCCGGTGACCAGCTGACCCAGGAGAACGTCGAGCACCTCCCTGACGAGTCCCACCCGCCGCCCACAGAGACGGCTTTTAGCACTGTTGCAAGCTCAAAAGACATTGGAAGTGCCGTAGCGACCCCATTGAATGGTCCGACACAGGCACCAATCGGCCGCCCCGCCATTGGAGGTTTCCAGACAACAGCATTGAAGGCGACATCCGGAACCCCACACCGAAGCGCCAGTTACCAGAGGAGGTTGATGGAGCAGCAAGAGGCGGTAGTCATGCCTGGAAACCACGCTGTGGACAGGGCTGCAGTTCAGTTTGGTAGCATGGGCTTGGGCGATGCATCAGACCCCGACGTTGATGAAGACAGAGAAGAGGCCGAGACCAGGACTCAGCCGCCGCAACACTCACCTGTTGCCCAGCCTAGGGCTTCCCTACCTCCGGCTCCTCGCCAGGCTGCCCCGCAGGCGGAGACTCAGCAGCCACAGGAGTCTGTCCCTACCCCAAAGCAGGCTCCAGGTCTGCCTCCTGTTCCCCAGCACCAGCCTGTACAACAGTCGCCCTCAAATGCGCTTGCATCCCAAGCTATGCAAAACCAGGGCTCTCAATCAAACCAGCCCTACAACCAGTTCGGCAGGTATGGTCAGCCAGGTATTCAAACAGAAGCCTCCGCCCCTCCACAGAAGCCGTACGATCCGTTCGGCCAACAGATCCCCCAGTCGAACCACACGCAGTCACACAGCTACGACTATCCTGGTCAACAGAGTCAGTCCGCATCTCAGCCTGGTGCCTTCTCATCTGCCCCTGATAGCTATCCTCCCAACTATCTCACCTCGGAGCAACGTTCGCAGTACCAAAACTACTATGGAACTTACGGTCAGCCGATTGCCCAGACCCAACAAGAAGCTGGTACTGCACAGCAGCGCACTGGCAGCGCATTCGGTTCTGGACCTACCGACTCGGCTTATTCGCAGAGTCAAATCCCTCAGGTAAGCGGATCTCCTCAAACCTTGGACCAGTTGGTCAAATCTGTGGCGGATCATTATGCCGAGAAATCCGGACAACCTCATGTAAATGAGAAGCTCTGGGCGGAGATGGCAAATGAAACGGACAGAGTAAGAACGAAAGCAGAGCGACAATTCCTTACTCTTATACTGCAGTATGCTAACAAGAAACATAGTCTCAGGGCAGATACGGCGATGCTCAAAACAGCGGGCACAACACACCAAACCCAGCTGCCATGGCCGGTCAGCAAGGACACGCTGCTCAAGGCCAGCACGCGCAACATGGTGCTCATGGGGCAGGTTACCCATACAACCACCCATACTATGGTAGCCCATACTATGCCAACTACATGAACCAATTTGGCGGATATGGCCAAGGAGGAGCAGGTTACGGCTCCTTTGGTAAGAACGTATACGGACAGCCCCATCACTATGGCATGTCTCCTCAAGCTTCATTCGATCAGCACTCGTCTTCTCCAGCCAACGCAGGAGGTTTCGGTGCAGCATCTTTGCACGATCGCGGCAGCGGCATGGGCGCTGCTGGTTTCAGTGACTATGGCCGCTCCGCTTCAGGAGCCTCTCAGAATCCTAGCGCCACCACCAGCGCTGCAGCATTCGGCGCCATTCCTGACACCTTCACCAGGCCTGGTAACTTCCACCAGAGCTCCTACGGGCAGCAGGGCGGCCAACAAGGTCTCGGTGATGAGGCCTTGAAGCCTTCCAGTGACTACAAGAGCGGCGGACCCAGCCCGGCAGCTCTTGGAGCTCAGCCCGGTCGCCCAGGCTCTGCTAACCAGAGCACACCCGGCCAGGGCGGTCCTCAGCAGGGCTACGGGGGTTACCCGAGCCATCTTGGCAACAGCCAGTACGGCGGTCTCGGTGGTCTGGGCCACCAAAACTCCGCAAGCCATCAGCAGCAGAGCGGTTATGGCAACTACGGCGGGTTTGGAGGATACGGCGGCAGCTACAACAACCGCGGAGGCTGGGGTGGCAACTATGGCCAGCACTAGACTTCGTCTCTCATGAACACGGGTTTTTTTCTTTGGGAGAACTGGATGCGTGATGAAGGGGGATATGACCACATGTCATCATGAAGGGCTGGTACGGCAAGGGGTCATTTTTCTTATCTCACGTCTACTTTGACTTGACTGACGGCACGAAAAGCATGTTTCCTTGATACGCTTGATAGGCCTCAGATTTTGTATTATGACAATCTCCTTTCTTCTCTCTTGTTCCGCTTCCTTTGCTTGCGCTCTCTTCACAGGTCAATTGGTTAAACTTTACGTGCTCAGTCGCGGGGCGTTTCACATGCGCAAGGGAGGGATAAACTCAAAAATATTCTGGTTTGTCTGGTTTTGCGTGTACTAGGCTTTCTTCTCTGGCACTTCGAGGAGAGAATGTATTAGGGTATGGCCAAGGGCTGGGGACAAAGAGCAGAACAGGGTAGCTCAATGGAGTTTGGCAGGGGCTGCTTCAGCTGAGCAATGCAAATCGTTGAACATGAGCAAACACATGGTTCCATAATTGATTGACTGCCTTGCTGCAAGACACACATGGCGCTGTGGAGCATTCTTTCCGTGTCCACCAAGCATCGTTTCCACGCTCGGCACATACTCGGAGCCGCACTACGTCACATTGTATTCAACTGTTCTGGCCGAGTACTCGGCGGTCTCGCCTACTCATGCTTTCTCTCCTGATCTCAACAATTCGACACCCCAACGCAATACTCACGCAATTCTTGAATTTTGTGAGCAATGCGGGTTTGTACTTCCGGACTTCCTTGATTATGAACGCACTATGACATACACGAGCAATTGAGGCATGTCTCCCGAGCCCCATTGCAAAGGGCCGATAGAAAAAAGAGCATGCAAGCCATTGCGGCAGTTGCGGCGCGAGACCGGCTTGGAATTGACGTTGACTAGGGTGTTTGATTTTACAGTTTCCTTGTTTAGTAATGGGGCTAGGAAAATCTCGTCTCGAGGATTTCAGATCTATACTAGCAAGCCTGGTTTGACGATAAACATGGTCCCTGTGTTGTGAGCTTCAACATGTGGGATAACTACTGATTACGAAGAACCAAGGATAGGTAAGCACAAAATATGTCCGTCTGACACAAACGGGCAGCTCGTATAACCACATCACCACCGACATTTTGCTACACCGCCCGTTGCGCGACGACTAATCGCTATCAAAGCCGCAATCTGTGTCGGAAATCTGATCCGCACTCTAACCGTCCCATATCGGCTGAGCTACTGCACGCCATGATCTTCAACTACACCTCATACAGCCTAGCCATCTGAGAAATCTTTGGGATCCTTTACCTGGAGGGGGAAAGATTCCTGGGTAAGCGTGCCAAGGATTGTACATCATGGTGCTTGCCGGAAATATTATTTTTCTCTGGCTGCTGAGGTTTGATAAGCGACAGACAGCGAAAGAACGCGCGATACCGTGATGGCGCGTGCGTGGGCAAATAAAGACGGCGAGATCCCTTGCGTCGCGCCATCGCTTTTTTTGTGCTAATTGTACTGCTCTTTCTGTTTCTACTTTACATTCGATATTGACGTTGCTTCTTGGTTTGGATTGTGTTGTTGCTGGCGACTGTGGTGGATACGACGAGCGACCGTTTGTGCAAGATTGCATACGAAGGTCTTAAAAGGGCGCATACGCATTAAAACCACGTATAGTCAGCCTTCGCTAACCAGTGCTTGACTTTTGTGAACGATTCAGTGGAGGGAAGAAAAGCACAGACGACATATTCAGCTGGCCTTTGCTTTTTCTTACCATATAAGAGGAAAACCGTCCATACTACACAAAAGACGCGGATGCGCTGTACAAATCTCCGTCTTCGACATCCGCAAAAGCCCAAGGACGTTTTCACAGTCACTCTACAATCGAAATGATGTCTTCTCAACTCGATAATGGCCTTCCCGCCTCGCCGTTGCTACGCCTACCTTTTGAGGTCCGCCTCATAATATACGAGTACCTTCTCTTTCCATCCACGACTCCTTCGACTGGAAACGGAACGTCGGTTGCGAATTTACTTCCAGATTACCACACATATTACTCTGAGGACACAAATAGCGATGCATTTACGCTGAGTGTACGGACAATTGATCCCTGGTTTGGAGCACAAGGGCCCAAGACGTGGAGGCGGAGGAGCACATATCACATAAGAACTGGTGAGTCTTAAATATTTCCTCCAGACATGAGAGAAGGATAGAAAAGACATAAAGAGAAACAACATCAACCGACGAATTCACGAACAAACATCAAAACATATCCAAGCTGACCATCCACCCAGGCCCCTTCCTAACCACCACGACACCAACAACCTACCGCGTCCTCCTCTCCCCCTACACCGCGCACCTCCGCCAAACCATCCCCTCCCTGCTCCTCCTAAACCGCCAAATCCACGCCGAAGCCTCAAAAGTCCTCTACTCAACATACACATTCAGCTTCCACATGAGCATCGAAGCAATCGTCCCCTTCCTCTCAGACCTAACCCCCCACAGCCGCGCCGCAATCCGGCACCTCAGCCTCACCAAAAAAGCCCTGCCCTACACCAAAGAATTCGACCGCGCAGAATGGAAAAGCATGTGTGATTTCCTCGCCGGCATCAACGATGACGAATCCTCCACAGCGGAAGTAACAGCACGCCCAATGCACCTCCACACCCTCGCCCTCCAGATCATCGCTGGAAAACCTGATGTGGGCTGGGATGCTATTACTCCCATGCGACCCCTCGACTTCGACACCATGCTGCGCATGAGGAAGGAGTGGCTGGGCGGCGTGCCTGAGGCGGGTGGCGGCGTGGATTTGGAGTGGGTGGAGCAGTTTATGCAGGTTAGAGCGAGGAGGGGGATTAAAGTTAAGGCGTTAGTGGAGAGGTGTGCGAGGCCGGTTAGTGAGAAGCAGGCGTTTTGGGTGGCGTTTAGTAAGAGCGTTGCTGAGGGCGGGTTTGGGGAGTGGGTTAGGGGGAGGATGGTTTTGTGATTGTTTTTTTTTTTTTGGGGGGGGGGGGTTGGGGTTGGGGTTGGGGTTTATAGAATCAGACAAGATGTTATTATAGCAAAGATTGAGATTGAGGAACGATATACAGGTTATATATTCATGTCACTCAAGACGAAAAGCTGTATTACCCGTCCTGTACAAATGTTTAAATGATAAATGATTCAACCCAACTGTTTTGAGCACGCCATACAGGACTCTGTATGTGCCTGGAATTGCCGCAACCGAGTGTTAGATGCTTAAGTCCGTTACAATCATATATACTCACCGTCTTAATAAACCGGTTTAAGACTTGAACGTGTATATAATGGTGGATTTATTCATACTACGTAGGTAGTCCTCAACTACGAGATTACAGGCTCGCAATCTCGGAAGACGGCTCGGCTCTACTAGGCCGTAGAGTGACTTTGCGCCTATCCACCGTTGATAAGCACTGCCCAAGAGTAATTGAGCAAATGTCCTCATGTCTAGCAAGCAGTCGCTTCCATTACGCACCTACACATTGGCGCCAAGATGGTTCCCAGTGAGTCACTGCCCAACTGTGATTGGCTCAAACTAACACTATCTCGCGCTCGAACCTTGTGGTAAACAATCTTACTACAAAGCATTTGGGATATAAAAGTTGAAGCTCTTGTTCGACATGTGTGCAATACCTACTCCAGTATTGTATAATTTCAGGAGCCGTCTGAACATAGATTTGCTGCGTTGCCATCCGTCACTTAGCAGTAACTGCCACGCTGTCTCGCAGAGTGACATACACCACTCCCTAGCTACGTATCTTGTTCAAACGCATCAAACTCCCACATTAACGCATATCTCCAACCGCCATGGCCACACCACCGAGCCCAGAAACGCAAGCTACACCTACCTTACCTTCAACACCAAACAAAGATGTTGACCTCGAGCGCCTCCAACTCAAAGAACAGGTAGCAGTCAACACAGGCTCAGTGATCAAAGGCCTAGGCTGGCTCGACCGTTTCCTCGCCCTCTGGATCCTCCTCGCCATGATCATCGGCGTTCTGCTCGGCAATTTCGTCGAACAAACCGGGCCTGCGCTGCAAAAAGGGAAATTCGTCGGCGTATCTGTACCCATTGCTCTTGGCCTGCTCGTCATGATGTATCCCATCCTGTGCAAGGTGAGGTACGAGACGTTGCATCGGCTTTTCCGGACTCGTGCCCTGTGGATTCAGATTGGGTTTAGTGTTGTTGTGAATTGGATTGTTGCGCCGTTGTTGATGGTACGTTTGCACTGATTGCCAGCCGGCCTTTCATATTTACTAAATGTGGTATAGCTTGGTCTCGCGTGGGCGTTCTTGCCGGATAGGAGTGACCTCAGGACGGGATTGATTCTAGTAGGACTGGCGAGGTGTATAGCTATGGTATGTTGGTTCCAATCTTCTCTTCACACACACACATACACACACACACTATGCTTTACAACAACTGATTTACCATACAGGTGCTCATCTGGACTGGGCTCGCCGGTGGAGATGAAGAATATTGCGCTATCCTAGTAGCAGTGAACTCGATTCTGCAAATGGTACTCTACGCCCCTCTCGCCATTCTGTTTATCAAGGTCATCAGCCACGAGACGGGCACGGTAGCCGTTTCCTACGAAACAGTCGCCACAAGCGTTGCCGTCTTCCTCGGCATACCTCTAGCCGCGGCAATTGTGACGCGTCTCGTTTTGCGGAAGCTGGTCAGCCCAGAGTGGTACGATGCCGTGTTTCTGAAGTGGCTGGCTCCGTGGTCACTCATTGGCCTCCTCTACACTATCCTCGTCCTGTTTGCTTCTCAAGGGCGCCAGGTCATCCACCAAATCGTGTCGGTCGTCCGGGTTGCAGCACCGCTTATTGTCTACTTTGTGATAATCTTCTTCTTCACTTTGTGGGTGTGTAATAAGCTTGGGTATGGATACAAGCTCGGGGCTACCCAGAGTTTTACCGCTGCGAGCAACAATTTTGAGCTTGCTATTGCTGTGGCTGTGGCTACTTATGGTCCGGATAGCGATCAGGCACTTGCTGCTACTGTTGGCCCTCTTATCGAGGTTCCTGTTTTGCTTGCTTTGGTATATCTGGTGCGATGGATGGGAAATAGGTGGGCGTGGAGAAAGCCATAGTCTGCGGTAAGACAAGAGGTGATACGATGGAGTTCGGATGTTGTTCTTCCAGTGTATATCTCAGTAGCAACGGCTTCACATTGTCTAGTTTCTTTGCGAACAGATATCCAGTCATAGTTGACGATTTTGCAAAACAAAAATACCCCTCGTTCGTATATTACTTTACATGGTTTACTCGAGCTCATGGCGGTTGTGGTATGCTTCTGGTAGACCCTGTAGCTCAGGCAGATTGTGATATGCTCCTGGTAGCTCATGCAGTTGCTCGGCTCCGTGCTCATGTATCTCCTCCGCTCCATGCTCATGCAGCTCTCTAGCCCCGGGTGTTGTTTCTTTGCATTCCGCATTTCTTCCTTTTTCATGTAAGACGCCGCTGTGGTAATTACTGATATCTGGGTTTTTGCGTCTCCGTCGCATCTTCCAGAGGAAGACGCCGATGGCGAGACTGGTAATCGCCACTAGGAATATACCAACGCCTATACCGATTTTGGCAACAATTGGCATCCCTTCTGAGGGCGAGGAGATGGATGTTGTGGGGTTTGTTGGGTTGAGGGTACGTCCTATTGGTGCGGTGGAAGTCGCTCAAATAGCCGGCGTCATAACAGGAACTTTGGCAAGTACTTCTGCATCTGAACTCTGCCACCAGATGGGCACACCATCACCCCAGACCGGTATATTCGTCGACGCCTTGGTGTAGACCGTGGATCCGGGCAGGAAGTTTAGACCATTGGTTGTGTATTGGACGAAGTGGAAGGCCTGGCCATGCGTTATCATTGAGCTACATACTTGGCCGTCGTTTCCGTACTTGTAGCCGCTGAATCAGGCGGTTAGTATGCGGCATGCTTTTTTCTCTGGGAAAGGGGGGTAGAGGATATGTACGGAGGACAGCATAGCGCGGCTGTGGTCTCGGGTCTGAGCGTGAAGAATAAAAGGCCGTATTGTGGAGCCCAGGACGTGAATTCTTTTACTGTGGTCCAAGCATAGGGACATACAGCTGGGCTGTCTATCATACGTCAGCGTCATAACATTTCCAACCCCCCCTCCCCCTTCCCCCACTTTTGGATTGGGGAAAACATACAGTAATACGAGCGCCAGTTTGCCCAAGGCAATGATGCAGCAGGCATGGTACCGGTGGGAAAACAAGGTATATCGTAATGAGAGTTCTAATTTCCAAAGTGAGACGGACTTTCGAGCATGTCTTGTTCATTCCGAAGTGTATCTGTACATGAGGGCGGATGTATGAATGCTGTTGTGATGGGCCCGCGGTTACAGGAGGCGATGAAACTCTGGTCGTCGATAAATGTAGTATCACCAGAATATACCGAAGAAAATAGCTCAAAGCTAATAGAAGATATGGTAGCCTGAGTGGCCTCTCCAATCAATCCAGAAGCTGTTACCATACTGGATACGAAGTTGTAAGGTACACTTCCAACCTGTGAGATGACTTGGGCCGCGTCTGGGACGTTCGAAGTCATAATGCGGCCCATAAAGTAGTTGGGGAAAAGAAGATGAGCGATTACAGAACAAGATTACGGGTGGAGATAGCTATATACGGCGGCCCAGAGCAGGATGCGCAGGTCCAATTCATGGGTTCTAGAGAAAGGCGAAGGCCATGTTTACTGGTAGCGCTCAGTTCAGAGGAAGTGTTACGGCATAGCTACGAACCGTTCACGTGGGAGGAGTGAATGTTACTGGCGGCTGGTCACCAGGTGACTGCTGCTTTGCACTCATAACAGAAAGCCGCATGAGTATCTACGTATACAGAGATTACGACTTGTCAGCCAATCTCATCGTAAAGATAAAAATACCGACTAATTCATATGCAGCTATCCGTAAGCCTATTCTGAAGTCTATTTCAATATGCCCTGTTCCATCTTTTTCTCGTTGACTTGATGTTGTTTGATTTCTGTCAGGTGTTCCACAACGTTGTACTTTGTGTTTTGAGAACCATGTCACATCAGGAAAACCGGAACGATCAACCTAAAATGGATTGTCTCCATCATTCAGCTTTATGGTAGTTTCACCTAGTTGCACAGCCACCGAATGCGCTGGATTGTCGTACAGTGGCAGTTCAGCGAATGGGAGGATGATAAGAGCTTCCAGTCCTTGTTCCCGGAAACGCTTACATCCTTCTGCACATAGTAGAAGAACCATCTCGGAGATCTCTCCAGACTGAGCATTGAAGATGTCCCTCTCACAATATCAGTGCCTCCCAAGTTGTTCACCTGCAACCTCGACTCCGGATGTTCTATGCTCACAAATACCTAGCAATTATTGCGATATCGCCATATGACCCTTGAAATCTTCACCTACATGATGCGGCTTGTGGAGTTTGTCCGGCATGAGAAGGTAAGTAAATGGATAGTAGTATGTGTTATAATAAAATCTGTTAGTCATCTCGGGGATGGACGGTCGGAGAAAGGAGCTCTGGGGCTAGTACGGTTACTCAGGCTACATAGAGATACTTCGTACAATGCCGTTGTGCGCCAAGGTAGCGACTATCATATCTGACATACCCACTTACTCGCTAAGTCAAGTTGCACCATAAAGTCCTGAGAAAACACTAAATACTAGCAAAGACATCCCACACATTCAAACAGGAGCACCTTGACATTCGATCACATGATCATTTCAGCTTCAACTAAACTTAGTACTACAACCCAATCACAACCACACCCTCAACCAATCTACAAGCACTTGCCCGGAATGCTATCCGCATTCTTGACAAATCCCTTCAAGAACCCGCCACCACCACACACCACGCCCTTGAAAAACGACTGCGCAACTACTTCCGCACCCTTGGCATTCGTATGCGTATGATCTACAGGGAACCGCTCATTCGTGCCAGCCTTACCCAGACTAGACCAAGCACTCGCCGCATACGCGCCATGATCCACATACATGGCATTTGAGCCCAGCGCCTGTGCCACAGCTTTCGCATACGTGACGAATCGACCGCCGTCCGTGTACACGAAATTGCCGCTTTCCCATGGGTTGTTTGGCGTCTGGCTGCTAATGACAACCTTTGCGCCCTTGGCGATGAGTGCTTTGCCGGCTTGCGTCAGGTACCAAGGGAACGTGTGCACGACGACTTGTTTGCCGTTGTAGGTCGAGGTGCAGGTTTCGTCGCCATCTCCACCGCATACGGCGCGTCCGTTGTCGGTGGTTCCTGGTCTTAGGCCGCCGCCGTCGTTGTGGCCGAATTCAATGACTACAATGTCGTTCGGCTGGACCACAGAGATGATGTCTGCGAAGCGGCCTTCGTCGGTGTAGGAGCGCGAGGAGCGGCCGCCGATGGCTTTGTTGACGACAGGAAGGCTGAGGAACTGTTGGGCATAGACACCCCAACCTGAGAGTTGTTAATACTTTTGATGTTTTGTTACTGGAGTGGAAGTATGGACGGGATTTTACCTTCAATAGGAGCGTTCGGCGACTTGGCCATAGTAGAATCACCAGCCAGATAAACCGTCTGCGCGCGCTTGGTCATTTGTCCAGGCGCAGCGACAACAGAACCAGCCAACGCCAGCACCGACGCGAAAGTCAAAGAGTACTGCATCGTGAAGTTTGAGTGCGTGAAATCCGGTCAAATCCAATTACAAGTCGAGTAACTCAGAGAACCAACAACCTAGGAGAGAACGAACGAAGAAACCAAAAAGACCAGGTCATACCCTCTTTCTATAAAGCACCACAGACCCCATCCGTCAATCTAATCCGTCCACCCATCCATGCGCTCATCTACCGCCACCGCTATCATTTCCCCTCAAAGACAGCCAGCCCCATCCGCACGCGCCACAACCCGCCAATCCAATAATTTTCCGCAAGAACAACGCTCGAGCCTGAATTGGGCTTTTTATATCTCCCCGTCGGATCCTCCTCTACTTTCCACAAACGGTGCCAACCAATAGGCCGGGCAATATACACCGCACACACCAAGTGTACAATGTAACGTGGGCTAGATCGAGGTGGGGAGGTAGAAGTTTGTGGGGAGGAGGAATGGAAGAAAAGGAAAAGCGCACGGAAGGATGGAACCCACCAAACGTCCGCCACAATAACACCTTCCAGTCTAGCCCCATCTAGGAAGCCAGGAAGGTTACGCCGGTAAACAATCCTCACATCTCCAGCTCGAAAAACATCAACCACCACCTACCTTTCTCATCTCTCACCCACCCCAGCACGCGAAATGAGCCCCCCTTATAAAAACGCCATCCCATCCCATCCCATCCATCTAACCTAAGAAACAAAAAACCGCCGTCAAGCCACCTCAACCACTCATTCGCCGCCCGTTTCGGGTAAACTACCCGCACTAAATCCTATCCGCCATGCATGCAGGGTCCAATCTCACCACAACACACCACACCAGATGACAAGTCTACCTGACACGCGTCCTATGCGCGCCACCACAAGTCTTACATACATATACCAGCCCCCGTACGCGATATACGCCGGGAGAACTCAACCGAGGGAAGTAAAGTACTGTACAGCAAGGTATGCAGATACGACACGCACGTCATACATACGGCAGATTGCGGGGAACGATACGTGTACAGTAAGATTGCATTAAGATAGGGGAGTGGGTGCGGTGCGGATGATCAGGGTCCATAGCTTCGCGTTTATGGTGTGGCGTCTTGGATACGAGATAGGTCAGGTACGGTACATACGAGGGGGGTTGTGCGGCGGCGCTAGAGGTGTGTGGGCGGGCGGGGTATCTTTGACCGAACAGAAGGATGGCGGGTGGGTAGGTGGGTAGGTTAGGTACAGGTAAGGAGGTATGTACCCCACTTACATGTTCTTTGCTGCATGTATAGTAGGTGTGTTATGGATTGGATTGGAATGGTGGGTTAAGTGGGTCGGGGATGTGTACTGTATATAGAGGCGCGCATGTCTGGTAAGATAGGTTTTGATAACAACAATTTTTAAGATAATGAAGGGTATTTGGGAGGCAGCATATCGACGCTTTCGTACGCACACACGCACACTCTTGAAATTCCTCTCAAACTCTCTTCCCGCACATACCACCATTGAATCTCACCATCAATCTCACCACCAATCTCACCACCAATCTCACCACATCGTCATCGTCCGTATCGGCGTTCGTATCGGCGTTCGTATCAACATTCGTATCAAAACCGGCAGTTCAAGCCGAGTTACTTTGCTTTTAGAGCCGTTCAAACCTGCAATCGCGACATTGAACTAGCTTTTTCAAGATCCAAGCACAAAAAAGGTCGCCGTCGACAATCCTGGAATCACCAAAGCACGCGTCACACTCAACGAATGATAACAATGACAAGAATTTCATAAATCTATAGTCCGGGCCCGACCAGGTACTAAGAAGAAGACTAACATAGGAAGGCCGGAAAGTTGCCATTATGCAAACATCCTCCCGTCCCGTCCCGTCTTCAATCCCCTGCGGCAACATATGTATATCGAATAATGCCATTACACCCCATCTCTCTCTCTCTCTCTCTCTCTCTCTCTCTCTCTCTCTTCCCTCCCTACCTCCCACAGGCGTCCAAGAAAAAACGTCACAACCCACACATTCAAAAATCCGAAAAAGAACCAAGCAAGCAATGCAAAAAGCGCGCTGCCATGCATGCCATGCCATGCCCTATGCTACAAACTACAAGCCCTAACTAACCAACTAAGCCATCCATCCCATTCCGTTGCATACCAAGATACAGCCAGCCAGCGAGTCAGCCAACCTAACCTCGCATCAACAACCAAAAGCCACAACAGAGAGAGAGTGTGTGAGAGGGAAAGTAACAACAACAACAATGCCACAGAAGCGCCCAAAAAAACCACATGTTTTGCATATATGTAAACAAACTAAATAATGAATAGAGAAAATGAACAAAAGAGTAGTTAGTTTAAACTGACATGATGGGAACAAACGCCGCCAGAGGAGTAGCTCGTCATTCGAAGAGCTTTTTTCCGTATGCAAATCGTCAAGGTGTGGGTGCAAGAATGAATGTTTGATCGGTTACGTGGAGATAATGATGATGGTGATGGTGGTGGAGTTTATCGAGCCTGCCGACGAACAGAAAACCATGAGGGATGATTATATACGGCGATGTGTGTGTTTGCGAAAAAAGCGACTGTGCCTACCCAGGCCGTCTAAAAGCCTCAACATTCAATGTAGGCGTCTCAACCTGCCGATTCGTAGGCACGCCTTCATTCTTTCTCCTATCAAAAAAGTTCTGGCATTCGTGACTGACAAACGTCCATTCGGCGAGGGCGCGCCCCGCATATGTGCTTGATGTTACGGCTGCGCCGACGGGTGGGGTGCTGAGGACGGGCTCGAGGTTGATGTTTTTGGATTGTAGTAGGTTTTGTGCTGGGGCGGGGAGACGGGGAGGTTGAAGACGCATGTGCTGGTATGAACCGAAGCGCTTGTCGACCCATTCGAGGGAGAAACGGAAGTTGTATGATCGGTGGCTGATCGGTGCGGGCCCTGGCGCTGGAGTAGCGGGAACCGCGGGTGTGTTAGTGGGCGGGCTTTCGGTTGAAGCTTTGGCTCCGTTCGCATTCGATGACTTGCTAGCATTCTCCTTGTCCTTGCCAGATGGCCCAGGGCTCTTGGATTTTGCAGTCTGCTTCGATCCTCCCATGAAGCTGCGCAGAATGTTCCATTTGCCTTTGCTTTGATCTTCGTCGGGAAAGTCTTGCGAGTCTGTAGACATGGCCGAGGCTGGACGGACATCTGGCTCCGGGATCACGTTACTTGTAGGAGTTGGTTTCCGTTGGTGAGGATTTTGGACCACGCCGTCGAAGGAAAGAAATGGCCCGCTGTTAGCCACAATGGGATTGTCATTACGTATAATGAGAAAGCGTCGGCCTGGTGCAGGGTTGCAAGCCTGTGTCGATGGGTATACCATTTGCTTGCGCTCAGCCTCTTCTTGAAGCCAGAGGTAGTGAGACCAGACAGATCGAAGGCGATCACTTAAAGCTTTTTTGATCGATCTATACTACTGTTAGCATGCACCTTACTTTGATTACTCGAAATACGTACACTTCAGCCTCGGTTTCTTGTCCATCATAACGTGCAACTCGCCAGCAGATCAGTCGCATGAAGTAGGATCGCACCATAGGACACCAATGATTGAACCGGCTTTCGAAGAATTCTGGCTCCAACAGGAAATCGTTACATAACGACAACTTTCGCTTCTCATCCATGACCAGAGTACACCAGCTGCTGTAGAGAAAAGCGTATAGCTTGATCTCTGTCGCTGTGTTGTGGCTGGCAGCCATTGCTCTGAACACTTGAAGCCAAAATGGCCAGTCCATGACTGTGTGATGATCACTCTCGTGTTGCTCATAACGGACCATGATGATGAAGGCCTCTTCGAGGAAATCACATAGCGTATAGCAGGCACTGTTATCGTAGATGGATATCTTCCGTGCTTGCGCCTGCAAGAGCCGCGCAAAACTATCGGCAAACATCCGCCTAGCAATGTGAAGATGTGCGTTCCGCTCGGAAAGAAAGTCTCGTATCAGCATTATGAGCCGGTTCTCCTGCATCATGCGGGTGGCATTTGCCGGTGGGATGGCAATGGTGGAGGCCGAAGCATCGGGTTCCAGAACATCGTCGAATGTGATTGAGGATGCAGTCGATGTTGTATCTTCGATTTGTGATTGTGGTTGCTGCGGAGTAGCATTTCTGTTGATAGTGGCGTCGAGGTTGACTAAGACTTGAGCATGAACCATGATGAGTCCGGGCACGCATATGCGCTCGGCGTTACTCGGCTCAGCGGGCAGGAAATCGCTCACAAGAATGTGGAAATGCTTGACAAAGACATAGAAAAGATCACTCTCGGCGCCCGACCAGCGCTTGGTCCAGGGGCCGTACCAGTCAATGTTGGCCATGGCTAATGGTGGTAACGCAGGCTTGTGTAGCTGGCGGAGGAGTCGGTGGAGAGAAAGCAACTTCAGTGAATGAAGCATGGGCGGAAAGGAAGCCACAACTCGTTCCGACACATTATCCAGTCGGTCAAGTTTCGATACGCCTGACTCCTCCATGACCCGTTTCATCATGTCAAGAGAGGGGCTCCATAGGCGCACCAAAACATCGGCGATTCCCGGAGAGAAGCAAAAGGCGTACGCGCAAGTCTTTCCACAAAAGGTAACCAAGCTAGCTGCGGCATTTCTCAAAGACATCTTCTCTACAACAAAAGACATCTGAGACTGGAGGTTTTGAGTAAAGATGTTTCGGACGTTGTGGTAGACGGATTCGGCAAGAAAATCGGAATTGGAAGAGGCGGCGCTAGAGGCGATGGTGGCAGTGGATGCTGACAATGTCTCTCCACGATCGACAAGGGGGCAGAACGGGGACGGATACAATCGCCATTCCGGTCGTTCCATGATGGCAGCGATGCCCTCGAGGATGACGGGACGATCTGTGCCAGAAATGGATTGGTTGTTGCGACCGGCCACAAGTTCCAAGAGGCCGGTCCACCATCCGTTGAGGATGTTAACACGTCGATCGAGATCTTCTGGCCGGAGCTTGTGATTTGAAGGATGTGTAGTGTACTGGCGGAGGAAGGGCAGGAGGGCGGTGCGGACAACATTGGCTTTGAGTGAACTGGATTTGGATTGGAATCTGTCTTTTGTTAGTTCGAGGTAGAGGGTTCAGGAAAATGGGAGTCATGCTTGCGCAAATCCCCATCGAGTGTCCTGAAGGCAGTCCATAATTCGTCTTTCTTGCGGGGCTCCGTCTTGATGCCTTTGAGTTTTTCAGCAGACACGTTGCGCGGTAGAGGCGGGACAAGGTGGGTGGGGCTGGCTGGGTTGTGTGTTTGCGGATATAGCGGTAGTTGTTCGGTAGAAAATGACTTGGGTACGGCGGGCAGATTGGAGGCACTGGCGGTGGCAGTGAAGAGGCCGCTGAGACGCTTGTTCTTCTTGCTGAGTGACGGAGGGTGTTGAATGGCTTCGTCGACCGTGTCCCTTGCTTCCGACTCTTCGGGAATAGTTGCGGTCGTTGTCAACGTTTTCCGTTTGTTCGACTCGGCCGTTTTCTCACTGTGCTTGTTCTTCTTGTCTTTGGGTGGTGAGGACGACTCGCGCGGCTGCTGCGAAGATACAACCCATGACTTCCTCCGCAGCTTGGTTAGAGAGCGCACCGGCGAGCCTCCCGGAGACTCTCTCTGTTTCACCGTGTCGGTTCGGCCACGCTCAGTTTTCCGCTCCTGCTTTGGGTCTGGCTTGGGCTCGGCGGAAGAATCTCTGCTCTTACTACTGGTAAAGGAGAGAAATCGCGAAGAGCGGCGCGTAAGTGTAGGGGGCCTCAATGTCTGCATCTGCAGGCCAGGCGCCTCTGGGGCTTCTTCAGACGAAGGACTCGACCCACCCGACTGGCTCCCGGACGTCCTCTCTTCACTCCTGCGAATTTCGCCATCATCGTCGCCGCTTCTCCTTGATTCAGCGCCAGGAGCCTCGGGGTCCAATTCCTTGACATGGGGAAAGTACGTGTAGGAAGCGGCTTTTGGCAACTGTGCGCGTTCGGGCTCGCGCGACTGCGGAGGGCCAACTTCCGACGCGGCTCTGCTCCTGCCTCGAATGGCGTTTGCGAGGAAGGAGTGGCTGCGAGGAGCCGGGGCGACAGCGACAGGCATGGCGGCGAGGCGGGTTTGGGGGGGGTGAGGGACAGGGGCAGTCTTTTGCCAGCTGTGAAGTAGGTCTCAGCGCGCGTTGGTCGACTATTTGCTCATGGCGGTGAAATGGATCGGGGGGGTTCGTGGCGGTGTTGGACGGGCCGCTGTGCAGGCTGTGGATCGCTCAATCTCAGACGTTCGCAGGACTAAAGACGTCACAGCCAGAAACGAGGCTGCAGTGGCGGAAGCGAAGGGAAGACCAGCAACAGTGGATGCGGTGGAGTCGGTGCTGCAAAAGCGAGTGTTTGTTGATACAGCGACAGGCAACAAGTCCAGTAGCGACTGACGGGCCTTGCGGTTTGAGATGCAGCACAACCTGACGCCGCTTGGGGGCAGGTTAGAGGTATTACTTGGACAGTCTGCAGGCGGATGAGCTGGGGCTAGCAACTAGCAGGGATCAAGGGCAGATCGCGTCGGAGCGATAATTCTATATTAAAAACGGGCGTAGTCTTGGTATCATTCGCCATTCGCTCTTGTACACCCGCCCACGCACTTCTCTCGAGCATGACGAGTATTTAGCCTGGGCAGACTATCGTCTTGTATCGTCTGTACCCAAGGCTCCGACGGTGAGCATGACGCCTCCCGGATCGTCGCAGCACACCGTCTGTTGTGCGGCCGTGTTGCATCAAGCATGGCATTGGCATAGGGGCCACGGTCGGTGCAACAGCCTGCCCATGCGTAGGCGGCGGTGGGCCCGCGCGAACCACCTTGTTTTTTTCGACAGTGGCGGGAACAGCGAGTGAACATTGCAATCTCTCGGCTGCAATCTTGCTGTCGGTATCTGAGCTATGGGAAATTCACCCGGCTTCTGCAGCCCGTTTCATATGTTGACGTCTTCGGCGCACGGTTCCGCAGCCCGCTTCATCGTGTGCCCGACCTGCGACGACACACATGTGCGTAGCAGTCGGGACACTCAGGGTAATACTCGCTCAACCAATTTTTTACTATCACTACCGACCAGACCTAAAAAGCCCATGGATACGCCAGCCCGCACTAGGCAGAGGTGCGCATGCAAGCAGACGGCGGGCGCCGACATTGGCCTGCAGCTACTGTGTCGAAGAAATAGTTTCAGTCCATGTCTGTTCCTAACTTCGTCCGAACATTCCGAACAAGGCCAGCAGCGTCGGAACGGAAGATGCCCTCTGCCTTCAGCCCTCGTCGAGTCAAGGCCAAAACCCCTACGGCCCCCCGCAGATAAGCCAAGTCAATGACCACTACCGGCGACCGGCGGTGGAATATACGCAATCCAAATCTACATAAATCGCCCTACACCTGCAGCGTCGCGTATGCATATGCAATGGGGCTGATGCGTCCGCGTATGCTTTTCGGAACGACGTGCATGTCATCGCTTGTCAGCCTTGGCCACTGTATGAGAAAGGTGTCGACTTGTGTAGATCAGAATAATTAATACGTGTACCCAAGTAGTAGCTCGTTGCATCTATCCCGGGCCTTGCATGCTACCCAAAAGTAATCGTCTCTCTAGCAGAAGCCTAAGCCGTGGGGTCTATGTACTTGCTTCTCGACTTATCTGCAACGAGTCTGCACAAAAAGCATCTCTTCAACAACTTCACTTTCGATAGGCCCCGTGTTTGGTGCGGGTATCGGACACTCCCATCCGGCCTAGTTCCGAGGCTTTTTGGTCGGTGCATCAGTCGGGGCTCATGATTCAAACGCAATGGTTGCGGACTTGTCACCGACGCTTCAGTTGCCTGACGTAACTGACCTGTTGACACCCTGTGCACGTGTTTCAAAGCAGTGCTACACCATTACATCTGTTGGTCTTTCCCATGAGCGCAATGTTTTGGATTCAGAGTCTGGCCACACAAACGTCACGTGATGTGCACATGCACTAACATACATCCAAGCCTCGGTTTCTATTGCCCCGTGGTATTGGCACAATTGCTAGTGTTGCGATACAGGCAGGCCCTCGCCCAGGAACCTTCCTCTAGTGGGTGGCACCGGCAGTGGTAATGCTCTCATCCTCCTCCTCGAACCAATCCTCTTGCGGGAGCACAGCGTCGTCCTCGCCTGCAGCGCCCTCAACGTCAACCGTCTGTGTCTCGTACGCCTTCAACTCATTTGCAATGTCCATCTCCTCTGGGGAAGCGGGCGTCTTGGGGACGGTGAACTTCTGGACGTGGCCCTCGGCGTCTGTGGGCTTGACTTGCGGGACCTTGTAGTTCTTGAGTTCGCGGAGGTAGAGGTCCTGTACCAGATCGGCTGCAACCAATTGCGTCAGTACTGTCGCATACTCGAGCCATTAGGATGAATCACCTGATCGGACGGCCGAGGGAGTGATGAAGGTGCGGCGGGCGACGTAGGCAGGTTGCTGCCGGGCGACGCGGACGAGCGCCTGGCGCTGTGGCGGGTCAGTGAATGTCCAGAATTGACCAAAAACAACAGCGTACCGAGGCCCTGATGGTTTGCGCGATCATTGTGTTGGTGAGTGGGGTGGGGAGCTGGCAATTGGAGCTACAAGGTGAAGGTCGTTGGGGAAAAACCGTGGACCGCAGCTTGAGCCGCGGCCAAACTGGGACTAGCCCGGCTTTCGGCGCCAAGCCTAGCAATCGGCTGCCTGCGCCTGGTACAATGGGTTTCATCGCCATCGCAAGTCCCTTTCTTTCTTCTTGTCTCGCAGCCGGTCTCAGACAACCACACTCGCTCCACCAGGACTCAACTACAAACTTGTCTGCAAGCATCGGCCGCGCTCCCGCAATAGCTAGAAACAAAAATACAAGCCGTGAATCCCTTGTCCAAGTCTCCATCATGTCCTACGCTCCAGACGGCCGCCTTCTCTCACCAGGCGAGGTCTACGAAGCAGCGCCTGCGCCCGTCAAAGACGACGAGTGGCAGGAAGACTTGAACGTCGCCCTAATCTGCCCTGACTGCAAAGAGAATCCCCCGAACCTGGTCGAGGAGTTCAGCGCTGGTGACACCATCTGTGGCTCATGCGGTCGCGTTCTCGCTGAGAGGACCATCGACACCCGTTCAGAGTGGCGAACCTTTTCCAACGACGGCAAGTCATTTTCTGTGCCTACGTAACCGTGACGCATGCTAATCCTGCTTTCATGTAGACCAAGGTAACGATGACCCTTCACGTATTGGAGATGCCGCAAACCCTCTCCTTCACGGTTCTCAGCTGCAGACGGAAATCGGCTTTGGCGATGGCGGCATGCGTGTGCGCGATCTCTCGAGGGCACACAACAAGTCCAACCACGACAAGGTCAACAAGGCGCTCCAGGCAGCCTATGGTCAGATCACTGCGCTATGTGACTCGCAAAACATCAGCAGGCCAACAGCAGAGACGGCCAAGATGCTGTTCAAGATGACCGACGACGCCAAGTTGTTCAAGGGAAAGTCGCAGGACGCCATCATCGCTGGTTGCATCTTCATAGCATGTCGCAAACACGACCAGCAACGAAGTTTCCGCGAGATCTTCAAGATGACCAATGTTTCCAAAAAGGAGGTTGGCCGCACCTTCAAGGTCCTTGAGGCCTTTATTCAAAAGTCACAAAACAACGGCGGACCTTCCATTGCAGGCAATGGTGCCGTCATCGACACCGTCAATTTGCTCAATCAAAAGGGCGGCACCACAGCTACGAGCGCATCAAGTCTCATGCCTCGTGCCTGCGCCAAGCTTGCTCTGGGTACTCAGGTCCAGATGGTTGCTGAAGAGTGTGCCGACCAGGTCGCCCATTACGGCGTTGCAGCTGGACGTTCGCCTCTCTCCATTGCCGGCGCATGTCTCTACCTCGTTTCCCACCTCATGGGTCAACCCAAGTCGCCCAAGGAAATTGGTCTGGCGGTTGAAGTTAGTGACGGAACCATTCGTACTGCATACAAACTCATGCACATGGAGCAGGACAAGATTATCAAGCCCGAATGGATCGCCAAGGGTGGTGACCGCTCCAGGATCCCTGCGGCTTAGTTTGTCTAGCCGCCATGTTCTGTTAACCATCAGAGGTGTTTCGTCTCAGACTAGTTTTTGACTGCGTTCCTTTTCCCCTTTTTTTCCGACACGAGAACAGCAGGTTTATTATCGCATCAGCCTTGGAGTTTTTGCACTTTTCGGGTCTTTTTTCATTCTTCATGGTAGCAAAGGATGAGTTTTACTACTATTTTTCTTTTCATCAAATGTTTAGATTGAGAGAGATTGTATAAGGAGGACGTGATACCCAAATAGGCAGGCAAATTAATAAAAATTGGAATTTGGAGTTCTCCACATACTCGTACTTGTGACTGAATGAAACCTAGAACGAGTGTGAACACACGTTCGCACCAAAACGCACAGCCTCAGGCTCAGTAGTTCGTCACTCTCGTTTAGCACGATACCAATTTCAAATCTTACCCCTTTCTTTGATATGGCTGGTTTGTTGAGGACGTGAGGCTCATAGCGCAGAACCAATCCATCGGGCCCTGGGTTCCTCTGTTTTGCCTTTGTTGTTGCGGTTTGGTTGCTGGCCCCCCCCCCTTTTTTTTGCGTTGAGCTTCTGTACCTACGTACTCACTAACTTAGGGCGTGCCCCTGGCCCGGTTTTCAACCTTTTGTCAGATAAACGGATTTTGTCTGTGCCTTGGACATGTAAAGTATATGTGGATGCGTTATTAGGGTTTTTGTTAGCTTTGAATAGGATGGTATGAGAGGCAGGGAGGCGGGAATGAAGGTAGGGAGTTAGGGAGGAGACGTATGTGTTTTCGTACTTGATGTAATCGGTACCATGGTATGCATTTTTTTGGGTGATGGAAAAGGGGTCTTTGGGGTTTCTGCGGCAGGTGGACTAGATAAGACCGGGATGGTGATGATGAGGTGTTGTTCGTATACAAGTGTAAGAATAGGGGTGTTATCAGTATATAAGCGTAAGAATAGGGGTGATAAGAAAGGTTGAAGAGGCTATAATAACGATTTTACTGGATTTCAAAGACTTGGTTGGGGTGCGAGAAAAGTCCATTATGCAGGTCTCCCCGACTTCTTTGTAGGTGCTTACAGCTTACAACGCCGTGTCAAGTCCATGAGCGCCCTGTAAGTGGACCGCCATATTGGAATTCGGGACTACATTACCATTCCCACGGTATCGACGGTACGTACTTGAAGTGCCTGCATGGCACTGGACACATGGCTACCCTAAGACCCAACTCCAAGCCTCGGTGTCGAGGACCCTAGAGACCCCAAAACGTGATCGCCGTGTTTATCCAGCAACTACACTGGAGAGATTCCACCCTGAAGCCCAACATCAAGTCCCCTAGTTGAACAATCCAGGGACGTAAAGACATCATCATGCTGATTGTTCAGCAAAGCGTCGTCATCTCTACTCTAATATACCGGAAAAGTAGTAAAGAAGAGGAGTTGACCGCGTACGCCTTCTCTCTCCATAAATTCAGGCCACATCCGCATATCTGTCCTACAAACTGTCTCTCGATAACTCACACACACTGCTGTGAAAAGGGATTTCCTCCACACCTCACATACTCTCCTGTAAAAAGAGACTCCTTCACCCACAACCACAACCATGCCATCCACCTACTCCCTCCTATCCCTCTCCCTCCTCCTCGCCCCCACCGCCCTCGCAGCCAACACCATCAAATTCGTCAACCACTGCCCCTACCCCCTCTACTACTGGCTCGTCGGACCCGCCAACTACTCCGAGCAACACCTCAGCGGCGACGGATACGGCAACCTCGTGCCCTCCCATGGCGGCTCCGTCATCCACGAGATGCTCGACACGTCGCAGCTGGGCGGCGGCATGACGCTCAAGATACGGGATCTGGAGTACTATAACGTCCAGCCCGCTGGTATCATGCAGGTTGAGTATAATCTGGAACTGCAAAAGGGCGCGTTGTGGTATGATCTTAGTGCTATTGATTGTGTGCATGGGGCTGGGGCTGAGGTTGGGGGGTATTGTCGTGAGTTTGTCTCCTTTCTTGGGTCTCAGTTTGTTTGTTTTGCTGACGAGATATGTGTGTGAACAGCTTTCATGGCTGGTGGGATTAGCCTCAATGTTGCTAATGTACCCGCTGGTACCTGCAACAGCGCACGCTGCTCAAACTCAAAGTGCGAGGGCACGTATATGACTCATGAGAGTTTCCTCGATGAGCCGAGTTTCTGGTGCGGTGCCGGTGCTGATTTGATGGTTGAGACGTGTAAGTTTGTTCTTCACTAAAAAGGGGGGAATGATTACTGACGAGTTGTCACACTTTAGGTATCGAAGGACCTGGCATCCAGACGTTCTACGGTAAAGGTCCTAATGGTCCTTTCCCTGAGCCTATGTCTGCTCCTGAACTCACCAACACTCCCGAACCCGTCTCTTCCCCCGCTCCTTCGACTACTTCCACCATGTCTCCTCACGCCACATCTGAGCAGACTTCCGGACCAGCTTCTTATCTCACTTCGTCTACTACTTCGACCAATGCTCCCCACGCTACTCCTGAGCACACCCACGTACCCGCTCCATTCCCATCATCCAACCTAACCATCTCCACACTCGGCGAATGTAAGTCCCTTCACTTTCCCTCCCCATCCCCAAATACCAAACTAACCACCCACACACAGGCGGCCACCGATCAAACGAAACCTGCGCCGGCTCCGCCCACGGCATCTGCTGCAGCAACTACGGCTACTGCGGCAGCACATGGGCCCACTGCAGCGGCAACTGCCAACAAACCCACGGCTTCTGCCTCCGCGGCGGCGAAAACGGAACTCAGATGGCTAGAGTGAGTCCCAAAGCCGGGTTTGGCGATCTGCCCAAGCCGAGCTATACGGCAGCGCCGGGTATGATGAGGATGAGGAGGCCGAGGGTGTAGATTTGAGGACAAACATCTACTGTGTTGCTTTGTGGTTCCTTCCCGGATTCTGTTTCTGGTCTGGGGAGGTTTCTGCTTTGAGCCTTGGTTTGCTCCGCCCCTTCTGACGACTGCGGGTGCGCGTGTTAGCGTTTGAGCGCTAGATACCGATACCCTGGGGGCGTTAGTTTGATATTTGGCGTTTTTGATGATTTGGAGCGGAGAAAATGTGGGCGTAGTTGGGATCTGCATGGTATAAACTTGGTACTGTTCAATACAACTCCCACGGACACACTCTTTCAGACAGAATTATTGCAATTGTCTTGCATCTTCGACTCTACATCGTTAACAACGTGAGCGAGATCAGTCTTTGGCTGTTCCGAATAAGCCCGCGATGACACACTCGGTAACGTGTTTTCCAGCAAGGTGGAAGGTATCTTCTTAATCTCTTCGCCGTCAAACATCAATCTTGAACTATACAAAAGTAAGGTACACAGGTGGTAAAGTCTTCCTCCCAACATTTGGGAACTTTCTCACTTCTGTGTTAAGTGTGAACATGAACCTTTTCTTCTTGGGTGCGAAGAGCTGGTGGTTGGATTTGAGATGGAAGATTTGGAAAGTGTCGTTGCGTGCCCTAACAGGGACCTGGATGTGGAAATCAGCATGGAGCAACTCAATGAACGCTCGACTGTAACAATTGCCTGTACATTTCTCTAGGGTGAGTTGATAGAGTTTGACGAGGTTTTGTACATGGTTGAAGAGTGAATTATGCGTGAGCACGTGCGGAAGCACCGACATGGCGCCATATTACCATGTGCATTCTCCAAATGTCAGCAACTAATTGCGTCATCATCGGCATGTATGCTCGGATCAATACGATACCGTATCAAACGAGAGTTTGATAAGAGTCTTTACGTTTCTCGCGTTGTGTTATTAGTATAAATTTCATCTGACATTCCATCATTGGGTCTGTACATAAACATTTGAGCGGAAAAAAGAATATGGGTTGAGGTGATGTCATTGTATCGAACAAGTGTCTCCAATCCAGCTATGTCGTTCATCGTCATTCATGTATATATCCATAAGCAACCCCACGAGGGATGCAGTCCATCACTCCCCGTCCACCCAATGCTACGCAGATATTTCCCTCCGCTACAAATAGCCTCGAATGGCAAAAGGCATTTTAGTATCCTGCGTTCTTGAGGTAAACGCCGAGTTCGACGACAGTGTTGTAGGCGTTGGTGGTCTGGACATCTTCTGGGTGGTGGGCGATGATGAGGGCTTGGGCGGTCTTGTAGGCGACGACACCTTCTTTACCCTGGAGATGGTGTCAGGACTTGGACGTTTCTGTTTTGATGCGGAAAAGCTTGGTATATTACCTTCTTTGCCTTGAGAGAGTCTTCGCTTGACTCAATGGTCATGTACTTATCGCCGCATATCTTGGTACCGTTGGCGATGACGGACTTGGGGTCGGACTTGTCGTCGAATGAGTCGGCGATGGCCTTCATCTCAGCAGCGCTAAGCTACAGTCTGTTAGTATCTTGATTTCTGACGCGCGTGTAGCGGGACAAAGTACATCGAAGCCTGCGGAGGCAGCCCATGGGCCTGAGCCTGCTACATCACAGATGACGGCCTTGTCGATGTTGCCGCTGCCGACGAGGCTGAGCGAGATGGTCAGTTATGGACATGGTCATGGATTCGCAAGTAACTCATACCTAGTGTCAACGTATGCTGAGCGTGGGGTTAGCTCTCGTCATCATAACAGTCGGCCGTCTGCTTACCTTGCCAGGACATTGTTACGGAGGATTGATGTGCGTGCTTTGGAAGCGTGTAGTGATGAGAAAATTTACAGAGGAGCGACGAAGAGGACGCAGGTACGTTTGACTAAGCAAGCAAGAGCGGGAATGCGGTGTGAAGGTCTCAGGCAGCGTCGGATTTGTTGGTGATGGTGGGGTTACTTCTGCCCCGCCAAAGTGGAGTCCAACGGACGCGCTCTGCTGGTTTCGACAAGCAAAACCCTACCAAGACTTATCACGCGTTGCACTGGCGCTGTTGTGCTGCACTTGTCGTATGTACACGAGCCCAGTGACTGTGTCGACCGCGATATCCGCTTTCCATCGATTTGCATCCGTCACCCTTGAACATCAAAGACAGCGAGAGTCAGGGTACTGTCAAACCAGACTTTCCAAGCCAGCAGGACGTGACAACACAAGCTGTCTGGGCATTCGGACTTGTCTTGTTGTACATGCGACTGGCCTGCTTGAAGAGGAAAAGCTATTACTCAGACGATTGCATATCCGTTGGGCTCTGCGCTGGCAAGGAGCTATGGTCACTGCACCCATAAGCTGTCCAGATACCGCACATCTAGGCAACTTCACCCGGCCTAGCCTCCGTTTCTTTGTCTCATTTCCCGATGACGGTGTTTTCTTTGTGGTGCCGTTTGCGGAGGTCCTCTGCTGATCACGTGCCGCGCTACGACCAACCCCGGAAGCTCAAACCTTACTACCCAAAATGTTACGCGTTATGGAAACGTCCAACCAACAATACCGTCCCAAAACGTACCTGGGTGTACATTGGCTATAAGACACATTGATTACCGTCACATATCGCAGATAACCCAAACCATGCCTTCTCCGTCTCCGTCTCCCCGACGCTCCGCTTCGCGTACACGCAGCCCTTCTCGCGATCGGTCGCATACGAGATCTCCCAGCCGTCCGCGTTCAGCACAGTCGGGATCACCACGCCGGTCGCTCACTCCGCGATCGCCTACACGCTCCCGGTCAATCTCTCGGTCGCGCTCACCTAGGTCTCCTTCATCGAGGCGCAATGGTCGACCGAGTTACACACCTGACAGCAGATCGCGCTCAAGAGGGAGGAGCTATACGCGCAGTCCGACCCCGAGGGACGGATCGCCAGCTCCCAGGAGTGCCAAGGTAAGCAACCCCTCAAGTTTGCCTGTAGTCCAGCTTTGCTGGAATACAACCGCTAATGCTCCAACAGGTTGTAGTAGAAGCCTTGACCAGAAATGTCAAAGAAGATCATGTGCGCGAGATATTCGGAAAATATGGTGTCATCAAAGACCTTAGGATGCCCATGAATCCTACTTGTATGTTGTCTTTGGCTGTTTTCAACCTACCAGGCTGACCCAGGAATAGTCAACATAAACCGCGGCGTAGCATACATTCTCTACGAAGAAGTCGACGAAGCAGAGCGTGCAATTGCAAAAATGCATGACGCACAACTAGACGGAGCGAGAATCCAAGTCTCAATCGTCCTCCCTCGACGTCGCTTTTCGCAATCCCCTCCTCCGGCGCGCCGGGGCCCACCGCCACGCGAACGATTCCAAGACGACTTTGATGGTGGCTACGGACGTGGCCGACCACTTAGAGGAGGCGGTCCTCCTGGCGCATACAGACCACCACCCATGGACGGACCGGGGCGTTATCGCTCCCCACCCCGCCGCATGTCGCCGGATCGAGGAAATTGGGGACGGGGCAGGGGCGGTCGTGGAGGACGAGGAGGCTATGGCGGTCGGCCGCGCTCGTATACAAGATCTCGAAGTCGATCGCCGCGCCGAAGCATATCACGCTCTTACAGTCGATCACCAACAAGAACGCCACCAAGACACAGAGGCGGAGGAGGGGGACGGGGAGGGGGGTATCGCAGGCGTGATAGTCCACCACGGGGAGGTGGTCGTGGCGGCAGCGGGAGTGGTGGAGGAGGAGCAAGGAGGAGTCCAAGCTACAGTTCTTATGGCAGCGAGCGTGATCGCAGCCGGAGCAGGGACCGCAGATGAAAAGATTGTGTCAGCCCGAGGAATTCCCCACGGGAAATTCGGAGCTGATGTGCGCATAATATTTGTTAGGCTATAGTGCAGGGATATATCCGTCTACAATATTATCCAACATCGCAGACCATGCGTCAAAATGTTCCTCTAGTTTCAAATCTAGAGCAATTCCTTCCATATCCTTTTCCACTATCAAGTCATCTTCAACTGAAACCCCCCACCCTTCTCCTCCTCCTCCCTCCCCTTGAAAATACTACTAAAATCCACACTCCCCTGCATCCCCGGCGCCTCACCCCTCTTGGGCGCAGTCGGACTCTTCTTCCTCCTCTTCTCCTGTCCAGCTTTACTCGGAAACGTGGGAAACATTTCCGCCGGCTTCGGCTTTGGCTGCTCCTTGAAGTACGGATGTGCCAGCACCTCAGCAGCCGTAGGTCTCATGTCTGGATTCAGCGCCAGCAGCGACGACAACAGCTCAACACCAGAAGCCGTCAGAAAAGGGAATTTAGCACGATTGAAACCCGGCGTGGCGCCGCCGCGATGGTCCCGCGGTAACTTTAGACTCTTCGCATTAGGCAAGCGGTAAAACTGCGGCCACGACTTCTCAGACGGTAATCCGCACAACGAGAAGATCTGGCTTAGCTCGTCGACTTCGTTTTTGCCCTGCAGCAGTGGTTCCTTGACTAGCAGCTCCCCGAATATACAGCCTATACTCCACATGTCGACTTCGGTGCTGTAGTCGCGAGTGCCAAGCAGCAGTTCTGGCGCACGATACCATAGCGTGACGACGAGTTGGGTGAGTGGTGCGTTGGCAGGAGGGATATACCGCGCCATACCGAAATCCGCGAGTTTAAGCTGCCCGCGGTTGTTGAGTAGGATGTTTGATGTTTTCAGGTCGCGGTGCATGATGTAGTTTTGATGCAAGTACTCGACGCCAGAGACGAGTTGGCGAAGTAGTGTTTTTACTTCACTGGCTAAGAACGGTTCACTCATGTCTTCCTGGAGTGTTTTGAGGTCGTGCTCAAGGAACTCCATGACGAGCACGCATTCCTGTGGGTCGTCGCCAGACAGGATTTCCTGCAAGTGAACGATGTTGGGGTGGCGGCAGCGTTGCAAGATTGAGATTTCTCGTAAAGCGGTGATGGGGAAGCCGTCTTGGTTGTAGTCCATTTTTACTTTTTTGAGCGCGACGACGCTGCTGGTGGTTATGTCGCGGGCTCGCGATACCCAGCCGTAGGACCCTTCTTCGATGTGATTGAGGGTTTCGAAGTTGGATGTGTGGCGGCATTGATTCCAGGTGCCGCCTTCAAAGCGTAGGAGTTCACGCTCTTCTGGTTGAGGTTTTGCTGATGGGGCTTCTTCGTCTGCCGAGCCTGCTGATAATCTTCGGCGCTTGGAGGGTCGCGAATCTGCCTGTTGGGTTGCTCGTGATGCTGCTTCGGCTTCTTGCTGTTTTTGCAACTTTAGCCGCTTCTTCTCTTCTTTTTCCTTCTTTCTACGCTGCTCTTCGGCCTTGTCTGCTTCGTCATTTGCCCAGCGTGATGCCATTGTCCTTCTCTTTCTCTCAATCACCTGTAACCGTCTACAGAGAACCTTTGCAATGTATAGAACGAGTCGCAATTTTGATGTTTTGAAATCGAGTAAAGTCAATTCGGATGTGTCGCGTCTCTAGTTGCTGATGACGGATATGTAGGGACGGTTTAAGCAGTGGTCATAGCTTCGTTCACCTCGGCGTTCCGATCTAAACTTTCTTAGTTCCGAACGCGCAGACGTCATGGACCGTCGCATCCACATACCACCATGAGGAACAGATCTCTAAATCTGCTCAGGGCGGCAGCTCAGTGTAGCCGATTAGAACTACGGTCAATTGGATGTCGAGATGCAAGATATGGCTCTCGGTGGTCTTCAACTTCAACATCTGCGACTTCGGAACGCCAATGGTCGACACCACTTGCGAAGACATTGGCTGAAGCTATAACAGTATGGATCTCACTTTGTGTGTTGCAACGCAGTATTGACATGGGATCAGACGACAGGACCAATTTCCGTAGCGGCGTATATGCGACAATGTCTCACTCATCCCGAAGGCGGCTATTACACGCGGCAGACTTCGAGCGGACAGGATCAATTCGGCACGAAAGGAGATTTCGTAACTTCACCCGAAATCAGTCAAGTGTTTGGTGAGCTCGTTGGTATATGGCTGTACGCGGAATGGCTTGCACAGGGGAGGAGGGAGAAGGTGCAGATCATAGAGGTTGGACCAGGCCGAGGCACGCTGATGGATGATGTTCTAAGGGTAAATTGGAATTATGTGGTAATTTGAAGGATAATGTTGACTGGAAAGTAGACAATATCGAGCTTCAAGGGCTTTACTAAGAGCATCGAAGCCATATATCTCATTGAAGCATCACCTTACTTGCAGAAACAGCAGGCGAAATTACTCTCCGGTACCGAAGACTTGAAGAAGAACGATATTGGTTTCGCTGCGCCGTGTAAATATATACCGGGCTGCCAAATTCAGTGGTGCGAAGACATACGGCTTGTGCTGAAAGGTATGACACAGATAAAACACTCTTTCTCGATGACTAACACTATTCAAGAGAACACTGCATCACCTTTCATACTCGCACACGAATTTTTTGACGCCCTTCCAATTCACGTCTTCCAAAACATTGCAAACTCCTCTCTTCCAGCCTCCTCGACCATCATCACACCAACAGGTCCCATAAAACCCAAGCACGGCGTCACCACACCTAAGAATACCTGGCACGAACTCGTAGTATCACCAACATCTCCCTACAAACAACCAGAGAAGCCAGGGCAAGAGAAACTCGACTTCGAACTGACCGTCTCCAAGACGCCAACGCCGCATTCCCTCTACCTACCAAATCTTTCGGATCGCTACAAAAAGCTTGAGAACACACCAGATGCCGTCATTGAAATATCCCCCGAATCACTTGCTTACATCGCCGACTTCGCTGTGCGGATAGGAGGCAGCAATGCTAAACTCAGCAGCAGCGCCGCATCACTACCACCCTCTGTCTCTATGATCCCAGAGCCATTCACAAAATCCCAACCCTCCGGCGCGGCTCTCATCCTCGACTACGGCCCCTCCTCCACCATCCCCGCAAACACCCTCCGCGGTATCCGCTCCCACACCACCGTCTCCCCCTTCGCCTTGCCGGGCCTCGTCGACCTCTCCGCCGACGTGGATTTCCTCGCCCTAGCAGATACAGCACTATCCGCGTCCCCCGGCGTCGAAGTTCACGGCCCCGTCGAGCAATCCTTTTTCTTATCTACCATGGGTATCAAGGAGCGTGCGGACCGCTTACTCAGCGCTGCCAAGGATGAGGAGACGAAGAGGAGGCTGGAAACGGGGTGGAAGCGCTTGGTTGATCGGGGGCCGAATGGAATGGGCAAGACGTACAAGGCGTTGGCTATTGTGCCGTATAAGGAAAAAGGGCCGGTGAGACGGCCGATCGGGTTTGGGGGCGATCTTGTGGGATGAGTTGGTGGGGAGGGAGATGAGGGTTACTTTCACGTGCTTTCGTGTGGGAATCATGTATAGCAGACCTCAAGACATCTTTTTGACACTTTAATGCAGATGAATCACTTTGTACGCCCTGATGAAGCTTAATTTGGTCAGACTGCACCATCTCATCTTGAAATTTCCAGAAGTAATGTTGATCTGTGAAATCAGCTTATCTTTCCTTCACCCCAAATTCACGTTCTGGATTAAGGGGTAATAGCTGACATAAGCCGCATCGTCCATAACTATCTTGGATGTTCCCGAATTGAATAATCATGATGTCAAATAGCACATGCATTTCAAACAGCACGTACCAAAAAAAGAAATCTGGCGAGAATAATGCATGTTTGAAACGCCTGAGTACAAAACGCATAACGCCCAACTCTCGACACAAGGTATTTGGAAGAAATGCCATAAAAACACAAATTGTCAGCATTCCAGAACTTTGCCCCTTGACTACACTCGTAAAACACAAAGAATCAAAGGAAGAAAAAAGAGGATACTCTACAATGCCCTAAGGGTATCATCCACAACCACACATCCACAAACCCCTGCTCCCTAGCAATGCTTCCCTCCATTCCCTACCCCCCACCAACCTCAATCTCCCTACTCTCCCCAATATCCACAACCCCAAACCCACCTTCCCCACTCTCCACCCCCTTCCACTTACACGCCTCTTCCAGCTCCGTCTTCGGCGCCAACACCTCCTCCTCCGTAAGCACCCAAGTGCCCCAATGCATACCCAACGCTCGTCTACACTTCGTATCTTTGAAGATGTTGACGGCATCCTTTGGGTTGGCGTGCACGTTGCTGAACAGGGCGCGGGGTTCGTAGGCGCCAATGGGGATGAGGCCAAGGTCGAAGGGGCCGCGGTGGAGGCCGATTTGGGAGAAGGCGGGGCAGATGGGGAGGTGGGCGTAGGTGGGGGAGTAGTCGTCTACGTCGGAGGGGATCGAGGGGGGGACGGTGCGGTAGCCTGTGTCGCTGTTTTGGGGTGTTAGTTTAGGTTGCAAGTATTTCATGTCACCTAGGTGGGTGGATTGGAATGGGGAGACGTACCCAGCGAAAAACACTTTAGCACCACCGGATTCGACGCTCCAGCTCGCCCAGAGGGTTTTGCACTTGTCAAACGGCGTTCTGGCGCTGACGTGCTGACACGGAAGTGCGTGTATCGTTGCCGTAATGCCTTCTTCTTTCCTCCCACCATTACTTGCCACAGACACCTCGTCATCAGCCGCCCCCTTCTTCTCTCCTAAACTGACATGCCTACTCTCCCACCAATCCAACTCCGTCACGTTCTTCACCCCGCTCTTCTCAAACCACACCTTATTCCCTAGCGGCGCGAAAAAGTGCGCTTCGGGGAACTTCTTCTGTAAGCGCTGGATGGTCGGGTAGCTGAGGTGGTCGTAGTGGTTGTGGCTTATTACCACGGCATCGACAATGGGTAGGTCTTCTATCTCACAGGGGGGTGGCGTGTATCGTTTTAGCGACTTTATGGTGATTGGGGCGCAGCAGTCTTCGAAGACGGGGTCGAAGAGGACGCGGAAGCCGCTAGGGAACTCGATGTAGTAGCATGCGTGGCCGAGCCAAGTGGCGCGTAGTTTGGGTGTGGTGCGTGTGGGGAGGAAAGTTGGGGTGCGGACGGGAACGGTGGGTGGTGTGGTATCTGGGTCGTTCCATTGACCTGTTATTTTGCGCCTGGAATTTTGTAAGACGAGTTTGTTAAGATCATACCAACCTCGTCGTCTCCAGACTCCCTCCTAAATTAATCGAGTAGTAGGTAGTTATACACTACATCTTCCCCCATAAGAATAGAAAGCAAAACTCACCACCAAATCCCCTTGACAACCAACTCCCAAAACCCAAACTCCATATAACTATCCCACGGATTCGTAAACCCCTTCCCATTCTTCAAATGATGCCGCTTCTCCGCCGCCTCTTCAGGCTGACTAGCAATCTGCGCTGGATTGCTAACTGCCGCATAAAGTCCCATGCCTATACCCGTCCCGCCAATCGAACTCATCTTGACTCTGCCTGTTCTGACGCTGCTGCTACTGCTGCTGCTTGACCCAAACAGTTGCGGCGTGGGTTTCCTCAACAAAACCCCTTGCTTGCTTGATGATATGAACCGCTGGAACAGCATACGAGTTGGGAACCGACTCGACATGTGGTCCTATATGTATTGCACGAATGGGACACACACTCACGCGCGCACAATGGACCAATTCCAGCGGATCAAGTTATGTGCGCTGATACGTTCTAGCTCTTGGGAACCAGCCACCACCACCGCAGGTGAGATCAGATAACGCCCTGCCTGCTGCAAGGGCAGGTCACAAAGCCACGGTTCGTCGTCGGGGGGCGGAATAATTTCACAACAACCAACAAGTAGATATTCACAGTAACCACAGGGCGGCGGCACGCGGAGATGACAAAAAAACCCCCATCACATCTACCTACTTCGTCGCTGTTCCCTAACTAATTCCAATTTTCCCCACTTGCACTCTCCAAAATGCCAATTTGGGAAAGCAGAAAAACACGCAGTAATGACACCATAGACTTGCACCACACCACCCTGGCGCTTGCCCGCATATGGGGTACCTGAAGAAACTCCGCGAAATCCCGGTACATCGGCATATCTCATCATCCGACCATCGCTGCCTACCGTACCCGTCTTCTTCTACCTAGTGTCATACATACGCACCCTCCCCTCCCCGCTCCTCTTCCAATATCCCCCTCTCCATCCGTCGATTCAGGCGCGCAACCGTCTTACCCTCGCATCGCCGGGTAGGTGCCTAAATGAATGCGTCACCTTGTGGCGTCAAGTCAGGTTCACTGGTTTTCGGGCCTCCACACGGAGTTGTCCACACGGAGTTGGCCGTCGTAAACTCCGATACGGGCGGGTCTTCGGTTGCCGGGGGGAATTGCAAGAGAGGGAAGAGAATTCGGAATGTTAAACGAGCCGGCGTGGAATCTTGAAGTGTGTGTATTCAGCACGACGACTAGGTAAAAGTCGTGTGTCTGTATATTACAAAAGTCTATAAGAATATGCTTTGGTAAAGTAGGCCAAGTAATGCTGCCCTGCTGGGCCGCTCTATAATACAGTATTAGACCACCACCATTACCACCACCGCAGAATCAAAAAGCTCGTCCCCGTCTCTCTCACACGTAGCGCACAATTTTCAGTCTCTAGACCGTCGTAAAGACCCGAGCCGCCCAGACCACCACTAACGCACATCTGGCGATGAATACTCCAAAGCCCACACAAACAAAATTAAAATTCCATCACTGCGCTGGAGGGGAGGCCAAGATTGGTGTTTCCTGTGCGACGTTCGGTCGCTTTTCTAGGATGTTTTTTTCGCATTCTGTTGGTGATCCCGAGTTTCTCGAGATCTTTCGTTGTAATACACTAAACAAATCTTTCCGTCCCGAATCCCAAGAATAATGCCGGTGCCGAACCATGAAAAAAAAAGCAAAGTGGTATTTTTCCCAGCTCCGAAAAGAAATAAAGCGAAAATCCCATCGCTGTTCTTGTGTGTCATTGATTACAACCCCGACTACAGCGAAGGTGAAGGCGGGAATCGAAAAGGAAAAGAAGTCGTAAACATAACAAGCGACCATCCGGTGGTGGCGGAACCTTTCGTACCCGCCGGTGGATTGGACGCATGGAGCGACCTATTGGCAGCCAACTCCATAGAAAAAAAAAACACCCATGAACCAATAGATGAAACAGCACTCCGTAAACATTCTTGGGGGAGCGCTGAGAAAATGAACAGTCGTAAAAGGTGCTAGATGGCACCTGAGCAAAAGAGCTAAACGCCGGAACCCACAGTGGCGCTGACATGCTCCTATTAGACCATGGACAAACCAAAGTCTAAAACGTAATACCGATGATGACAAAAGAAGGAAAGGAAAGGTATCAGGTAGTGAAATCTATCATGCAAGATGATCGCAAGCCTTATGCGTTTTCATGAGATCCGGAGTGGCGCCAATATGCGTGCAGATAGCGTAAGGAATAAGCGGTTGCGCCTTGGGAGGATCCGGTTGTTTAGGCTGAAGAGAATCGAACGGCCAATATGCCAGTGGCCGAGACTGGGAGGCTTCGGTAAGCCGTGGTGCTTGCTAAAGGAAAAGAACAGGGACTTTTTAACATAGGAAGCGCGAAGGGGACATGGGATATATATCCGTGAGAAGTCCCGAAGATGTTGTCAATGTGACAACTAGCAGTGATTAGACAGCAACAGCCTGCGGTCCATAGCCAGGGGCCATGAAGTAGGGCGGATGGCGCTGAACGCAGTAGGCACATCCACAGCTGAGACCATGCTGGTTCCATGCCGACGGTGTGTACTGGGTAGAATAGGCAGACGGGCCATAATTGGATGACTGCTGAGGCGCTTGCGCAGGGGCAGGCTGAGACAAGGGTGGGAAACCGAACATGGTGCGACGCGAGTATCCTTCAACCGGACCCCAAGTTCCCGTCATACCATAGTACTCCGGAGTCGTAGGTCCCGTAGTAGGTGCAGACGCAGGGGAATGCTCGTTTGAGGACCGCCATGGGTCATATTGGGAGTAGCTCGACTGGTTGTACTGAGCCGACTTGGGCGTGTAGTCGTACGATGGAGTGTAGACTTGGTGCATCGGCAGAGGAGGGAGCGGCTTGTTGTTCAGCGAGCGGCGGTGCACTGATGTGTCAATGGGGCTAAGCTTGCTGTTACGGCCTGCGCGCAAGACAGCAGTGCTCTGGTAGTCTTTCCAGTGGTCAGACCATGACGTCCAGCCGTGTTGCTCGGAAGGATCGCGATGAAGTCTGAACTTGATGGCGACTAGCCACTCAAGCTCGAGCTCATTGAGCTCATGCACCTGGATACCGCTGACTTCGGACCATGAACGGTTGATGAAGGTGTTGTCGTCGAGGAACTTGCTGCCAAGGACCAGGGCGATGGTGAGCAGGCGGAACAGGTGAGTGTCGGTCTTTGGCTCGTGGGTCAACATGGGCATCCTGTTGGACAGGTAGTACATGCTAAGCAGGATGGTGGCCGAAGGCAGCCTTGTGGCGCAAAGGACCTGATGCACCCATTTCCGGAACGAGGCGGGCATCATCCGACCGGGGGTAATAAGCCGCAGGGCCGTATCGCATACGAAGTCGGTCATGACGTCCATGTCGTAGTCGAGCTTTGCGGAAACACCGCCAACGGGCTTCTCCTCCTTTGCGGGCTGGTTTGCTCGCTGGTTGTACTCGTGCACGCGCTGCTGCTGCATGGCTGCCTCAGCCAAAGCGTGGCCTGAATGACCGCGCATAGGAGGCAGCGTGGCTGCGCCCATGGGGTCGTAGAAGGAGCTCGCCGGTGGCAGGCTGGGAGGCGCATTGCTCAGGTAAGTGCCGGCCTGCGGGTACATGGGTGGCATGGCGATGGCCAACTGGCCGTAGCGGTCTGCGAAGTCGTAACCATCATCATGTTGCCGGATCGTGGGACCAGCATAGGCAGCCTGTTGCTGTGCGTATGATGCACCGCAGGAAGAGTGATAGCTGGGCACAAACTCCGGTGGAGATAGCCGTGGCATGTTATGCCTGGGGTAGAAGGAAGGCATGATGATGTCGGACCGTCGCAGAGAGAAGACTGGCAGGGCTCCTGAAATTTTGTTAGCGGTGGGGAAAAAAAGTGAGGCCCGTAGTGACGTGCGCCCCTGTGAAGTGGATCGTGACGTACAGTCTTCTCGTTCGCGCCGCCTCTAGAGTTGCCTACGGACCCTCTAGCAAGATGTGCTCATTCAAGGGTATTTGTCGCCTGCGAAAAGTTTTGGAGGTGCGTGTTTGGTGGTGGACTAGAAATGTCTGGCGCTTGTTGTTGCGCAAGTGGACGTATGCAGGCCAAGTCTGTGGAATGGATGAGAAGTTTGTCCAAGAGTCGAATCTGGAAGCGCAAGTCGTGGGATGGAATATCAAAAAGGGCAGGCCGGGGCTAAGTCAATAGATCCGGCGATGCAGGCAGTCGAGGAAGTGATGTCGCAGAGGGTCGAGGGTGGCCGTCTTTGTCGGGAAAAGGAAGCAGAGTGTTGAAACGGCGTCCAATGAGACAAGGCAAAGCCAAAACGGGAGCCAGTGGGTGCTTTGGGCGGCGTGGGAAGAAGGATGCCGGTGACGAGGCGTTTGATGTCAGAGACCAGATCCGGGACGTCGTGGGCTGCGGCGGACGAGTCAATCCGAGGGATGCAGGACTGCTTGTTTGCAGAGTGCAGAAGCAGCGAGACAGATGAAGCGTCGGGTGCTGGTGGTGAGCGGCTTGGGTGTGCCGTACAACCGAGATTTGATGCGCACGTCCGTTTGGCTGGAGACACAGTGTTGCAACGAGCAACGCCTGCGACCGAGACACGAGGGGGGGAGATGGGGGAGATGGAGGAGGGAGCGAGGATGGGGGAAGGGGAGGGAAAGCGGCCGTGGTCGGTGGGTGAAGACGAAGACGTTAGCGAGCTTCTAGCATGGGCTATGGGAGCATGGAGCAAGCGCAGTGGAAGTGGCAGCAAGCCAGCCGCCCACGGGCGCCAAGGCGTCTTCCAAAGGCCGCTGGCCGCCTCCATCCGCCAGTGCGGCTGCAATTATGGTTCATTACAGGTCATTGCAGGTCATTACAGTGGTGGCTACCCACTCATGTGTTGTGAAAACTCTGCCGCTTCCAGCCTAGTGGGTCGTAAATGTCGACTCCGCCCGCGCTTTGCGGTGACGGTCGTGGTTGCTCATGACTCTTGACGCAGCCGCTGCAGGCTGCTTCAAGTGCTTGCATGCTTGCACAAATGGAGCCATGTCCCCAGCGAGAAGATGCCCAAACCAATGAACGCCCCCAGGGACCACCCTCTGCACCGTCAACCACGATACGTGGCTCGTCTGTATGCAACCCGGCTCAAGTCCTCTTTCGGTGCGCCTGCAGTAGTGCCAGTGAGTGTCCAGTCTCGAGCAGCTGTCATCTGCCATCCAAATTCACTCCTCAACTAGGCCGTCCTAGTTGTGCAAGTCCAACTGCTTGCACTTGCACAAGTTGGAATCACCGTTGCCGTGACCTTGTTTGCGCCGCCCCGGCAAATCTGTGTGTTTTTTTTTGTTTTGTTTTCACCTTGATTCTTTGGTCTATACAGTACACCGGACCCAAGAATAGCCCGCCGACAGCTTCGGACCCGTTCGCTGTGCAGATCACGTGGCGGTGACTCCAAGCCTGCGCATGCGCACAATTGTGCCGCGGCCGTTGAGTGCTCCTAGTGTACAACTCCTTGGACGTCTGGCCACATCCTGTCCACCGAGCGGGGCCATGCCTACCGCTGCCATGAGGGGGTGGGTTACCTGCGATCAGCGTGACCAAGGCCGCCATCTGAAAACTCAACACCATCGCGGCACTGACAGCAGCGCATCGGCGGCGAAACCGGGCTGCCGCTGCTGGCTTGCGCCAGTGCCGTGGGCGGTGGGCGTCATGACGACCTCGCATCACCGCCTGCTCGTGCGAATCGTCACCCGTCGCCCAAAAGGCTCGGCGCCTCGCTCTGGTCTCGGTGCAATTCCGTAAGCAAGTGCCCACCCATCGCACTTGGGATGCATGTGAGGTTGTTCGAGGCCGCCCAGCTCCACCCACACCCTCCATCACATTTGCTGACCAGCCCCCCAACCCGCCGTTTATTGGCCTCGAGGGTCCTATCAACACATGGAAGTGACGCTCCCAGCTCCTAGATTCGCTCCGTACCGCTCCTTACCGCGCCTTCAGGCACCATTCTTCAAGCGCGAGAAATCTCCAACAAGTCACACTTTCTCGCTCCGTGATGCCACCAGCAAGGCCGTTGCCTGCCGTGGCGTGTCCCGTGTCTCCCAGAGCCCAAAAGTTCAAAGCTTCTTTTGAAACGGGGACTCACGGCACACGCAATCTACCCTGCAACAAGAATCCGGTGAGAGGTGGCATCCGCCCAGCCAGATGAACTGGTTGCAATCCACTTTGTCGGGCCCACGCTGATTGGCCGCCAACTTTCTTATATAATCCTCGACTGTCTTGGCTTAGCGCGCACAACAGACCCGAACACGTGAGAAACGCCATCACTCGTACTGCGCAACTACGAACCCGGACACCCGACGTGGCAAATGCATGCTTCTGGCAGAGTTTTCATCGCGCATGTCATTAAGAAAACCCATCGTCAGCCTCACATGTCTTGAGTGTCCATCATGACGCGTTCCGAGTCCTCACTCTACCGCACACGCCGCCTTACCATGCGTGACCCCCAAACCAACAACACTCGCCCCCAGCCTTTTCCTAGAACCTAAAATAGCTCATCTCACACTCAATATCTGTCAAATAATCACAACAACGTACGATTAGTGAGATGAATGTTTCGGACTAAGCCATCGATATTACCTCGGCACAGCTTGCTTCAGCTTTTGATGAGGCGTGGCGCACAAAGGTTGCGTCATGAATTTCGATATTGCATGCATCGTGCACGTGGTCTCGTTAAGATGACCGTCCCAAACGCCCGTGTAAATGCTCAGTTCCCATGGTATATCCGACCAGCTTTTTGCGCGCCCAAACCGTGAACAAAACCAAAATCTTCACTACTCAAACTAGTTCATCTGTCGGATCAACTCGTTGATCTTGTCTTCCCGGTTGCCCAGGTCGCCGCCTTCAATGAAATGCTTAAACTTCCTCTTACGGAAGCCGCCGGTAGGGCTGTTAAGCTTAAACGGCCAAAGGAAGTTTGACGCCGCCTTGAAGTTCGGGCCGACAGTGTAGATTTCATGTATCAGGTCTTCCAAACAGATCATGCCGAACTTTCCAAGGTTCTGCTCGATAATTTCGTTGTCAGTCAAAGGCAGGCGTTGCTTGTCCACTTTGCCATAACCGCGCTCTATTATAGGGTTAGTATGCGTTGGTGCGTGGCAGAGACACGGTTGAACTTACTGTAGATGAGCTCACGAACAGACTTCTGGTTTGGGTAACCATAAGCCACGAACGGTTCGACGATCTTCAACATCTCCATGGTAGCTTTGGTAAGTTTGATGAAGACACCATTGTTGATCTGGAGCAGACGCAGAAGCTGCAATGTCTTGCGCTTCTTAGGGTCGATCTTATTGATACCCTTGATGCGGACGACAAAGGCTAGCTTTGGCTCTGGGGGCACATAGAGGCTGTCGCTCTTCTTGGCCTCGCGCGACAATCGTACACGCTCCCTCTCAGCATCGCGGTACTCCTTCACATACTTTTCAGCTCGTGTGAAGATGACCTCGCGCTTCTTCTTGTTCTTGTCTGCCTTGTGTCAGCGCTGCCCGCAAACAGTATAGCATGCCATGAGCTCCGAAGAGGGCGATTGTATCATTCCCGAAAGATGGTTAACAATTCGACAACATTGACCGTAGTCTAGCCGATAGTGTGGTTGTTATAATCATCACAATCGCCCTCCCGAATCGACAAAAGCATGGGGGATTGCCGTACCTCGCTTTTCGCGGGTCGCGATCGCGCGCTCCTCGCGAGCCTTCTCTTGAGACTTCCTCTTCTTGAGGAGGTTCTCAGAGACGGTGATGTCGTTTTGCGTTGGGACGCTTCTGTGAGATGCATTAGTAGCTGCTAGGATGAGTGCGTAGGGAATACGTACGACTTCGACGACATGTTGAAGTGGTGTTCGAGAAATTCGGCGGAAGCTCAATTTTTGCCAGACTCTTAGCGTTGCGCTAAGCCCCACTCGCTCAAGTTTGGAAGCTAGGACCTACCAGGGTCCAGCGACCAGCCATCGACCAGCCGACTTGCGTCTTTGTCTTGCATACGACAAGTTTTCTTGATTATTCAATTTCACAAATTTATGATAGTATAGTGTGTCTGTGGCTTAAGCGCCTAGCAGAATGGGGCGCTCGTCTTCAACATTGACAATAGTCACAAAGAGATGATCAATTTCACTAGTCCAACTGACACAGGCTCACGGCTATGTGTGGAAACTTTCAGAAGAAATATACACATCGTCATTGCACGCATTGAGGGATGTGGTCAAATACGCATCATTCGCAACTTCCAACTTCTATAGACCGTGTATCGTGGTACCTGAAATTCGAGATGCCGCATCGGGCGGAACAGTTGCTAGTTTCTCAAGTACACTCCGGTGAACAAAGAATCAACAGACTTGCAGTCGCTCACAATATGATGGGCTTACCATTTGCTTTGTGCTATCATAGCTCAAGCCGCCATACCCATTATCACACCTGTGCATTCTTACTTTACGAAGTTCAGTATCCATGGACTCTATCAACCAGATTACATGCTTTGACCTGACAGCCACAGAATAAAACGACCTGGACAAAGATCCTTCAATCCAGAAAACGGCTACTCGAAGCAAAATCTTGCAATATCTCACAACTACCCTTCCTTTGATGCAGATAGCACTTTCTTTGTTCCCCCCCTCCCCTCAACCCCCCAAACTCCGAAACTCACTCCCTCCTTTTCCCCCAGCAAACCCTCCAAACCCATATACAAACCACAAACCCATAAAACATGACCCCCAACCTCCCACCCCTCGACAAAGACCCCTACGCCCTAGCCTATCGCTACAACGAATACATGGAACAGTACCCTCTACACTTCCTACAGCACAGAAACCCCTACTACAAGAAACTGCTTGCGAATCTCCCTGACCCGCGTCCAGATGCTATGGCCGATCGGTCGAGGGCGATACGGTATGCAAAGGATCATTATGAGGGTCTTTATGAGCTTAAGGATATTAGGCGGATAGTGGGTTGGTTGGATGATGGGGTGGTGAGTGAGAGTAGGAGGGCAAGGGAGAATGGAAGGGTGGAAGGGGAAAAGGAAGAAGATGATTAAACATTATGAATTAGAAACATGTCAAACTACTCCTACTCTAAACTTCAGTTTCAATTTGAGCAAACCCCCTTTCTAACCCTAATCTTCAAAACACTAAACTCAAAGCCCAGCAAACACCACACCAAACACCCCCCTCTTAACAACTGCCGCACCACCTGTGTAAACCGGTGGTTCGGGCAAAACTGTCGAAGGACCAGGAGCGCTGGTATCACTCGGTACACTCGGCACCAACGCGGTATTCGTATACATAGTCGTCGTCGTCGCATTACCCACCAGAGCAGGTGTAGAAACCACCGGCGCAGGTGTCGTCGATGTAACAACAACAACAACAACAACACTGCTTCTGCTAGACTGCATCATCGAAGACGAGGACACCGGCGCAGACGAAGAAGAAGCAGCGGGCGTTGAGGAAACAGGCACGGAAGATGACGCCAAAATCGGACCACAAACATTGTCCTGAAAGCCCGTATACTGCGTCGTAGCATCCGTGGTACAAGTTGCCGCAATCGTGTTTGTCAAACCGGCGTTGCGGAGTTGGATGCAGATGCAGGATGAGTCTGCGGGGTTGCAGGGGGAGTTTGCGAGGTTGGTGAAGAGGATGGTTTGCTGTTGTTTTGCTTGTCAGTGATGCTAAGTCATACATAAATGGGCATTTGGATATGTAGAGAAAAGGTGACGAGGAAGTAGAAGGGGAACACTCACAGTACAATCATCCAGCCCCTCAATCGCACTAACCAGCTTAGGAGGCAAGTTAGGATAAGGATTCACCGAAGGCGACGGCGTAGGCGTCGACACCGACGACGGCACCACCGAGGAAATCGAGGCGGGCACCGAAGACGCCATACCAGTGCTTGAAGAAAGCTGGCCCGTAGTAACAGTAACGAAACTCGTAAGCGTAACCGCAGACGTCAACACCGACGTCGTAGTCAACGTAGGCATATTGGGCACTGGAGTAACTGGATTGTAGCCGTCGCCGCCGAGGAGGGTAGATGTGAGTGCAGGTGGGATGGAGAGGTATTGGCGGATTTGCATTATTGTGAAAGTGCTTCGGGAGGAGCGAGGGACAAAGTGGTAGAGGGGGTGTTTATATCATAAACTGTCTGACTCTGTAACGTGTCTTGCAGACGGATGTACCGATAGAGGAGACAGAGAGTCAAGATACAGGCAAGGTCTCAACAACGGCCGCACGCGGTAAAGCAGAGCTTCTTATACCCACACTGCGCATTTTCGCTGCTTGCAGGTCGCTTTCATGGCCGCTTTTGAATGAATTGCTAGCAATCTGCTCGTATGATAGTGGGCAGAGTGAAGAATTTTCGGTAGTGAGACGTTTTCGGGAGAACAGGTCTTTGTTCTAGTTGCGTAGGTGGGATGGATTCTGGGTGTGGTTACACGAGGGGCCTGTTTTCGGTCTTTGTTTGTGGATGGAATGTGGAATGTGGTGACGAGCTCGGGAGGTGAGGTGGTAGCTAGCTTACTTAGCCAGACTATTGGAATGTGAAAAAGTTTCTTTCCAGTTTGAGTGGCGTTTTATTGGGTTCGGGCTGTTAGTAGGTTCACTCGCTGTTGTTCGTGAGAAGAGTATAATAACAGCGGCATATGAATAACGAGAACTGTCGATATCTTCCACGTTGGATACGAAGTGTGGTAGAGAGAGAGGATCTATACTTACTTAGTATTATTATACTGTTCAACAATGTCCTAAACTAACACAGCTTGATGCAAACCTGGGCATTCAAGGCCAATCTTACTTACTACTTCGACTGCATGATATTGGGGGTTGTCAACGCTCCCAACATGACGTCTCAATGCACTCTTTCTTTAAGCACTCTTTCGTCTCTCCAAAGCTAAACAATACAGTTAGACACCCACGTTTGTCACACAATCTACATCGCAGTCCAAGAACACAAGTAAACCCCATTTATAGGGACCATTGAAAGCTAACCTACTTCTTTAAGCAAATGAAAACGCCTATTCAGCCTAATAGAATACTAATACTACAATCCCTGATCAATAATGAGTCAAACCTTCAATATCCATACAAACCACCCCTCCCTAGTATGTAGCATTACCCAAATCGTGCTCCTTGATATACTCAGCCCCCTTCTCCAAGAACTCCTGCCTCGTCACAAAGTCCCTCTTCGCTTCCTTCCTGTTCGCCCACTGCGCTGCGCCCTTCCAAGCATCCAGCACGCAGTCCTTTGCCCTCCTAACCTGGATCGTTTGTTCGGCAGGCAGCACAGCGCGTAGCTCTGCTCTCAGTCGGTCTTCAAAACCCTCGAACATTGTGTTGCCACCGGTAAGGAATATGTCTTTGAGTATATCGTCACGGTGGGGTGATTCAGCCAGGCGTTCGGTGAGAATGTTTGATGCAATTTCCACGATTCCTGCCTGGTCGAGACCGGCAATGGTGGGTTGGAAGACGACTTCTGGAACGCGGATACGTTCGACGTTGAGGTGGATTTGGTTGATTTCCCTTTGGGATTCAGAGTCGAAGGGGTAGGGGCCGTGGAGGAAGGCGTGGAGAATGCTCTTGGTCCAGTCTGTTTGGGCTTCGCGCGTTGATTCTTCGGTGAAGTTGGGGTCGTGCTTGAGAAGTTGGGACTCAATCTCTTTGAGGTTCTTGGAGAGATCTTCTTCTTCTTCGTCATCAGAACCTTCGCCCGTGGCGATGGTGCGGTAGACGCCCCAGTCGGCATCGTCAGCACCAAAGGTATCATCGTCTCCACCTCCTCGCCGCCTTTTCTTGGTAGGCGCATCTGATGCAAGGTTTGCGATTGACTTCATGCGCATTTGGTTGGCGAGAGATTTGCGGTTTCCTAGTTCGGCTTTGAGTCGCTCGCGGTCCTTCATCTTCTGGATGATGGCTTGGCGGGCTATGCGGCGCTCGTCTATCCAGCCTTGAGGGTCTGTTTCTCTCCGCTCATCATCGAGCCGCTGTTCTTCTGCGAGCCGTGCCTTTTCTTTTTCCTTCTCGACCTTTGCGCGCTGCCGGGCATCGTAGTTGGATTTCATCAGACGCTGCTGTCGCTTCTGCTTGATGCCTTCTTCGTCAAGCTGGTCGTCTGGAGTGTCGAGGAGCGGGAAAGTGGGCACTTCAACTTGCTCCTCTTCTACCTCGCCTAGATCCTTATTTCGAGCTTTCTTAATGGCAAATTCGAGTTCCTTGACGCGCTTGTTGAGTTGGTTCTCATCGTCAAAGTCATTCGATTCGAGTACCCGCGCCTTCTCCTTCTTTGTAGTAATCTCTTCAAGCTGGCCCTGCAATTGTATGCACCACTCCAATTCCTCTTCCTTCTTCTTCAGCTTCTCCAAACGCATCTTTGCAGCCTGAGCTTGTAGTCTTCGACCGCTCTCTTTACGCTTCTCTGCTGCTGCAGCGAGCTCCTCCTCCGTCTTTTGCACTACAATCTGCTCCGTATAGGGAAACTGAACTGTGTGGTCTCGGTCCTCAAGCCCCGTCCAGTCCAGGTAGTGGCTGAGATCGGTCTCGTAGTCTTGCGATACATAGCAGTGTTCGCGAACGAGATCCTCGGCCTGGTTGTCGCTTATCTTACCAGGGAATGTCGGGTACTTGAGCCTCAAGAGCTTTAGCAGGTATTGTGCAGACTGGAAGCGACCCCAGTTGAGACGAGTGGTTTGTGATAATAGCGGCTTCGAGTTTACAACGGGAATGACGTGGGTAGAGGTATACGATGAATCCATGACTAGACCGCTGCGACCGCCGTTGTAGGAGTAGGAGAAGAGCGAGTCGATGCCGTATGCGACGGATGGTGCGCCGTAGCACTCGAACAGAATTTCCGACATGGCTAAAGCATATACGTTAGCGGAACCAAGTTATATGCGCATACTGCTACGCACTCTTTCTTGAATAGCCCAAGTTTGCAATGGGCTCTGTCATGACAATGGGCCGGTCTATGCGCCCTGATTGACCATCCACACCCATTTTGACAAAGCAGTAGTCTAGCACACCCTCCATGACGTCCCAGTTGTTGACAATGTTGCTGCCCGGCTCATAAACGGGCTTGGATTGTCCTCGTGCGGTACCGTCGGCATAGACATCTGATCCGATAAAGGTAAAGGTGCGGTTGAGCTTGCGGTCGCGATACCTGGCCATGTTGGGCAACACGGATAATCGAGGCTTCGAGTCGAAAGACCATCCTGCGCGAACTGCTGAAGAGCCTACAATGTGTTAGTTGGTATAGGAGATTGATAGCAACATATTTCGAGCAGTACCATTATCGATGACTATTGCGGTTTCGCTGTTACTTTGCGCCCAACCGTCCTTGTCGACGGCCCTGAAGCCTTCGAACGGCGGTTCCGACACGCTCCATAGCTTGGGCGGAGGTTTGGGAGGGTTGCGCCCTGGGGTTTGTGGCACCTCGTCGATGGCAGAGGGAGCCATAGTTGTGAGGTGGATAAAGGAAGAAGTCTATAGCCGGGGTTTATTTCATTTCGTGGCCTGAAGACGTGGCGTATGTGCTTGGCTAGCGCGATTGGTGTTGAAGTTGCGCGACATGCATAGTGGTTGTAATGTCGTGAGCTCGGTGGTCCGAGTCCTCGCCCGCCTGCGCGTTGAGCTCTGTACTTGGTAACGAATAACTAGAGCATGTCCCTGGCCCAATCTTCACCGTTTTTCAGCTGAACACGTATCATCAGCTACTTTACATATTGTGTTTGTTCAATTGCAAAATCCAGAGGATTAACGGACTTTACCCATACTGTCAAGTGTTTCATGTTACCCAGGTGCTGGCAAAAACATAGGAATATCACATCTCATTATTCAGGTAGTTATCCAAATTGTAATTTTTCGCCATAATAGTTTTTGAATGTTGAATACTCGTTAATTTGTATTCTTCTATTCCATGTACGGAAGGAACTTAAGCCTGCACATCTAGAGCCCATGAATATGCTCACGCAGGATCCTTGAGACCATTTGTTGCTATGGATCATTAGTCATGCTCATGCAATGTACAAGAATGACTTTGTATGTACCTTCTAGGTGGAACAGAACATTGGACTGGTAGTTCTTGAACATCTGAGCCACAAGCTCTGTATCCATGTTCTGGATGTTGATTTCTTGGAGATTCTTGTTCAGCATGACAATGGCTTCGTTCAGTTTTTCCTGTACAAGAGTTAGTAGTCCGTATCTCATGTTTGTATGTTTGATATGACTGACAACGTTGACGATGATGCGCGAGAGCAATTGGCTCTGTTGATGCTCGTGTGGGCTTTCCTGGGTATACAATTAGGGATATAATCCAAGAGATACATGAATATCATGCTGTCTTACCATGTTTGCCACTTTGGGGTGTCACTTTGGCTGTACGCGTTCGAGTTGTCTGGTGGGGAAGATCAAAGCAGTTAGTGTAAGCATCGATGCAGCATGCAGGTCGCGCGGGAGAGCTCCACCTCTGGCCAAGCTCCGTCTCTACACCAACATCGACATTAACACTCTTGAGCGTTTACACCACACTCCCATCCACAAGAGATATCCGAGATTCGCGACTTGCGATTTTACGTCTAAACGCAAATACCAACACCACACGTGAATTAAACCGAGAGACTACAGAGACACGCGACGAAACGGCACTACGATCAAACCTCGGCCCATCTCCACAACTTCCTCATCTTGAAATCAGTCCACGATGGCGCCCTTGACAACTGCCTCGGACGAAAAGACACACCAAGCGCTGTTGGACAAGCTCGACATCTATGCAGTCCCCAAGCCCTTCCGAAACCCAAACTGGAAGCCACCGCAGCGCCGCAACAAGAACCTCAAGCAAATCCTGGGAGAAGCATCGCGTAAAGAAGCTTCAGTTATGGCTACACAGAACAACAGCGGTATATCGACACCCGCTGTAGTGGCAGAAGGCACTACACCAGCTGGACGCACACCCAACATCGCGCAAGCAGCCCAGAGCCTGAGCACTCTAGTACTTGAGAAGAACGGCAGAACTACAGGAGGAAACGTGACGGGTCCTGCGCCTACATACACAAATATCGAATCTGCGCCGAGCTTCCACCCTAGCAGTCAGAAGAAGTACTGCGACATCACCGGCCTTCCCGCGCCATACACGGACCCCAAGACGCGCCTGAGATATCACAACAAGGAGGTGTTTGGAGGTATTCGAACAATGCCACAGAATGTCTCCGAGGGCTACCTGGCTGCGCGAGGCGCACATACAGTCCTTAAATGAGGCTGGTTTTACATTGGCAACTATCACAGCTCCTTCATGGATGTGGCAAGTTGTACTATTAGCACAAGACATATCGTGAATCTACACAAGCAACGCTGGCATGGAATCATTCGTTGGCACGTATCTGCGCAGACATGGTTCACGGCGTTGGACCGAACAGGTCAGCACACTACTCTGCAGATGGACTTATATGTATGATCACCAAAGTCAAGCTTCACTCCACCCACCACACGTCTTTCAACACATGGCTCAAGGAGGCGCTCCGGCTTAATCGTGGTCAAGACTTCTTCTGCGCCCATGAGACGGTATACCAGGACCTCGAGGGAGGATTCCTAGTTACAGCAGCTTGAAGCATACTGTCGTCAAGGCGGTGCCTACATGATTATTGATATATGCGTCATCTTAGCTAAGCAGAGAACAATACATTAATTGCTCAATTAGTCGGCGTCTGCTTTGCGATGATATCGAGAGATGACAAGGTAGGTAAAAGGAAGGCTGCAGCAGCCAGAAATTTATGCCACTACCCGCAGGAACACGTACGCTAGCAGGGGTAAGCTTCGGCCCGACCGTTCATTGAGCGCGCGCGTCTCAACTCTCACCAAAGGGACACGAGACAAGAAAGGAAGGGTAACACGTTGATGCCAGATTTGCATTGAAACTAGGCACCACTTTTGCCATAGTAACCTGCATCTTGCCTTTTCGATTCTTCATCCCTTTACTACCTTGCACGCTGCGTTACTACACACATCCACAACCCTCAAAATGCCGACAATGTGGCTTTCAGATACCCAGAGTGAGTTGCACAGACATGCAGGATTCGGAACGCTTCTGCAGGATATCTGCTAACATGTGAATAGAGATTGGGGTCGCCTTCTGCTCAGGGGGTAGGTACGCACCCTCTACCACTCATGCGCCGGTTATGCGACGGAAGATTGACAGTACGGATAGGCGGACTCTTTCTCATGGGCGGTGTCATGATGTTTTTTGATCGTGCAATGTATGTTTCTCTGCTACTTTCTACACCCCATCTCTCACTAACACGATCCAGGCTCGCAATGGGAAATGTACGCCGACCCTCCCTCGAACCCCCTCCCCCACCTCGACCATGAACTTTCTTTAACACTCCCCGCAGATACTCTTCCTAATCGGCCTCACGCTCATCATCGGCACCACAAAGACTGTCGCCTTCTTCGCCCGCAAACAGAAATGGAAGGGCACGCTTGCCTTTGTCGCGGGTATATCGCTTATCCTCATGCGCTGGGCTTTCATCGGCTTCGTAATCGAGCTGTACGGTATACTGGTGCTGTTTGGAGACTTTTTGGCGACGATTGCGGGCTTCGTTAGTAATGTGCCCGTGGTTGGGCCGTATATTGCAAAGGCGTTGGAGACGATAAGTGGGGCGAGGCGGAATGCGGATATGCCTGTATAGAGAAAGGGCAGAAGCGTGAGGGCTCTGCAGTTGAGGACGTAAGGGTATGTGGAATGATGCGATGATGTATTATATGTAGGCGTTGTTGGACGGCACTGGCCTGCAATGAGAGGATGATGCGAAGCTTTTGCGGGCGTTTGAGTTATGTTCATACAGGCTACTGATGGCGTTATTATTGAGTACATTTCACGCTCATACCTTGTGGCGTATGTCATGGCTTGTATGCTCCAAGTAATATGGGGGATATCCTCTGCCAGCAGTGAAATCATCCAATTGGCTCTAAACTGCTGGACTAATTGCGTACTCTATTATTGTCATCTAATCGACATTGAAATGTACATCTCTCTTGAAATACAGTCGTCTACGTTGTGTTGGCCTATCGAAGACGATTGTAACACATGCACCCAAGCACTCACGTGCTTTCGCGTTCTCGCGTTCTACAATTTCCCCGCGCCCTCTGTACCCTCCCACACCACATCAACACCACAAACACACAGACACACCCCAAAACATGTCACGCAGAGAATCTTCATTCGTGCGCCAACCTGAAGATGAATCCTACACATGGATCCACCGCGCATTCCTCCAAGCCTTCCAAACCCACGGCATCCTCACCCTAGACGAAATAAAGCCAATCCTCGCAAACATAGTAACAGCCTCCAGTGCGCCTCCACCTCCCCCTCCCCTCCCCTCCCAACCCCCACTAACACAAAACCCCAAACAGACCCCAACCGCCCCTGGACAGCAGCCGACATAACCCTCCCCTTCCTAACCTCGACCCTCCAAACAATAAACGCCAAGCTCCTCCCCCTCGACTACGAAATCCGGTGGGCCAAAGACCAAACCCCCAAACCAATCCTGCACTACGCCCTCGTCAACAACGCCAGCGACCCCCTAACCCAACAAGCCACGCGCTTCTCCCCCACGGAAATAGCATACATACGCCGTCTTTTGGATTTCATGTTCGACACGAATAACACGCCTATCCGTGAAGTCATGGCTGTATCGCAAGTTCAAGCTGCGAACCTCGCGCGTCCACCGCGGAGGCCCCGGCAGAGCGCCGCTACAGTCGCAGAAGAAGGGGGAGAAGACCAAATAACCCCCGATGCAGGTCTTTCGATGCAAGAGGCAGAAGATATTCTCCACCGTCTTGTCACGAGCTCTTTCTTTTCGAAGTCGCAAAAAGGGTATTATACACTGGCCCCCCGCTCCCTGATCGAACTACGCTCCTACCTCAAGGAAACGTACAACGATGAAGATACGCAGCGTATACGCGATTGTCATGGTTGCAAGGAGATTGTGACGGTGGGGATAAGGTGTAATGAGAAGGAGTGTGGGGTTAGGTGGCATGATGCGTGTGCGAATGCGTTTTATAGGGGGAGAGGGGGCAGGGAGAGGCTGTGTCCGAAGTGTAAGACGGAGTGTGGGGGGAATGTTTTTGTGGGAGAGAGGGCAGATGCGGTGAGAGGGGGAGGGAGGGGGAGGGGGAGTTTGATGGCGCAGGAGGAGGAGGACGGAGAGAAGGAGTAGGGGTTGGGTTTGGTTGGTTAAGGATATACCCGGTATGCTGAAAAGTCTCAATCAATGTAGAAAGATGTCACTGTACAAAGTAGAGAGAAAACGTTTGATTTTAGAGGGTTGAGTCCCATTCATGTATTTCCTTGATACATGACCCAACATCAAGACTCATCAACCCCATCTCTTTTTTCATTCTGTAAACTTTTATGTTTTCGTCAACGAAGCAAAACGCCTAGCCAAATACCCTCATCATCATAATCTATACACACACATACAAGTCGTTGCCCTACGCACCATTAGACGCCTTGTTCGCCCTCCTCTCTGCTACAGCCGCGGAAAGGTTCTCAAGCGTGTCAACAGTCGTCTCCCAGTCGATGCAAGCATCGGTGATGGAGACGCCCTTCTTGAGGCCGCTGGGGCCCTCTGGTGGCACCTTTTGGTTTCCCTCGTTGATGTTTGACTCGATCATGACGCCGACGATGCCGGTTTCGCCGTTGCGGATCTGGTCGGCAATGTCTTTTGCGACGAGAGGTTGGTTGCGGTGGTTTTTGTTGGAGTTGCCTGTTGTAGTGTTAGTTTATACTCGTTGCTAGGGTATGGTTTCTGGAAATGGGGACATACCGTGCGAGCAATCCACCATCATAACCTCCGGAAGACCCTTCTTCTTCAACGCCTCGCGTGCCGCCTTGATACTGTCCTTGTCGTAGTTTGTGCCCTTTGTTCCTCCGCGCAGAATGACAAAGCAGTGCTCGTTACCTGCTGTTCGGGTGATGGCGGCGAGGCCCTGCTTGGTGACACCGAGAAAATGGTGCTTTGCAGCCGCAGCGCCAATCGCATCGACGGCGACTGTCAGACCACCGTCGGTCCCGTTCTTGAAACCAATGGGGAAAGAGAGACCGGACGCAAGTTCACGATGCAGTTGCGACTCTGTTGTGCGTGCGCCAATAGCGCCGAGCGAGATGAGGTCCGCGAGGAATTGCGGGGAGATTGTATCGAGCATCTCAGAGGCAATAGGCATACCAGCCGATGTAAGGTCTACAAACAACTTGCGGGATACCCTTAGACCCTTGTTGATCTTGAAGCTCTCGTCAATGTCCGGGTCGTTGATGAGACCCTTCCAGCCGACGGTTGTGCGCGGCTTCTCTAGGTAGGCACGCATAATGATGCAGAGGTTGTCTTGCAGCTTGTCGGCGAGGGCCTTGAGGCGCTGGCAGTACTCGAGCGCTTGCTCTGGGTCGTGCAGCGAGCAAGGGCCGACCATGACGAGGAGACGGTCATCTTTTTGCGTGATGATGCTGGCCGCGTCCTTGCGGCCTTGCAGAACCGTCTTTTCGGCGTGTGCGGGAATGGGAATCTCGGATGCGAGGAGTTGCGGTGGGATCAAAGGGTCGTAGCCCAGGACTACATGGTGGGATTAGTTTGGTCGTGGTTAGAATGGTCGGCGGAGGGGTGGAATGTACCGCGCACGTCGTCACTGGGGGAGTCGTTGGCAGACATTTGAGCCGGAGGGTCTGCTGAGGGGGCCATGTTACGAGCGTGTGTGTGTGTATTTGAAGTTTTCTTTGTGTATGTTAGGATGCTTTGTTTTGCACGTACAAACTATTTGACTCACTTTTGACTCACTCTTACAGTCTTAGCACACCAGATGCGGGATATTCCAGTGGCACAGACTAGGTCCGGTGTCGGCGGCGCAAGTAAAGTGCGGTACGACAGTCAAAGCGCGTTGGCTAATACAGTCATATGTTCGAAATATTTCGTGACTTGTGAATGGTGGGGCACTGGTTCCTCCTGGCTCGTCATTTAAACTTACTTAGTTGGTTATCGATACTGCAGATGCACCTGCGCCGCCAAGCTTGGATGCATCAAATTGCTAAATGCCCTCGCCCTGTTGGCTGCGTACTGGAGACGGTGACGCCGGGCGAGGACGACCCTGCGTGTAAGAGACCAAAGAATGCGCTCTCATTGACCAAAATGACCCAAATGACCCGTGCCGCCTTTCTCCATGCTTGACGATAAACCAACAGCAACCCCTCGGGGCGACCAGACATCTCACGCTCCCTTTGCCCAGCTCGCCATGTAGCTACACAAAGACGCCTCTGTGGCTCCCCGCGACCACAGCAGACAGGTCAAAAGCACCTCCGTCCTCCTTGGACATGCATATACGTGGCCCACGTGATGATCAGGCAGGGTTCCAGGGAATCCTCGAGCTGGCCTCTCCTTCCTATTCACTTACTCCGCCACGCCCGTGTAAACAACAACATCGCGACTGCCATCACGCCCACCCGGCCGCTGAATCCCAGCTACGGGCCTCGCACTTCCCGACGCTCAAAGGGTCTCCCCCCCACACGATCGCTCGACAAGTAGAGGCGCGCGACTCCACTCTACCGACCGGGGTTCTTTTCATGCGACCTGAAACCGCGCAGCCGCCCCTAATAGTCATATCTACCCCTCGCCCGCGTGCTTCAAAACATATGTGCTAGGCACTTTGATCGCAGTCTCGATCCTTCAACGCTATCGCCTCCAATCTCTCTGTTCGCTACAAGAACCGCCGCTCCCCCACTTCGCATCCCGTCTGGACCCCGTTAGGACTGCAAGCCGGACCACCTATTTCTCGACCCCAACCATGTTTCAGATGACGGTCAGGAAGCGCGGCCGCGACGACGACTCGGATTCTGAGATTGATGAAGACAGGTATATCAAGGTACGTTGTATGGGTATATATCGAAACATCTGGCTAACGGTAGTGTAGAAAGCCCGCCCAGTATGTAGCGAACAAGCAAACTACGGACAATTCCGCTTCCAATCACCTGCGACGTTTCCTCACCGGCCTTCGCCCTCTCCGCCTAGGCTGTTTACCGACATTCGATCCATGACACCAGCCAAATCAGACTACGGCGGAGCACAATCACCAGATTCAGTTTCGGGCGGGCCAGTCTGCTTATCAAGAGAGTCAAGTAATATGGACTACGACATGGACATGGATGAAGACGACTTTGACGTCCGGAGCCAGCCGCCAGAGTCACCCGCATTATATTCATCCACCAACAGCTTCATGCGACCAGCCATGCTGCAATCGTCTCTCTTCAACTCGGAACCCTCTCCCAGCAACGGCCGTCTCCCAACCCCAATACACGCCACCTTTAAGCGCGGAGGCATGAATGGCTTGGGTTACCCCATGAGCGGCTCAGCAGGCGGACTTCGCACATCCGACCCCTCGATGCAAGCACCGCCTCCAACCTGGAAATCATCACGGCAAGAAAAGGAGGAAGACCGAAGCAGACGCATGCCCTCGCCTATTAGTGAAGATGACGACATTCCAGATACCCCTACGGCTCTCACTCAATCCCAACTCTCGCGACTTAGTGTTTCGCACGACTACATGGAGACGGAGGAGTCGTCCAACCTCGTACCGCCCATTACGCCTCGCACACGCAAACGAAGCGGCGCGTTGACGGGAATGGGGAGGTTTAGCATGGGATATCGTGATGATTGTGAAAAGTGTAGACAGAGGGTTCCAGGGCATTATTCGCACTATCTTCCGTAGGCCGGGGTTTCTTTTAACTAGGGTTGTTATTGGTCATGAACGAACGAACGCACGGAATGGGACGGGGTGGCACAGGAAACAGTCTATGACGAGGACTGGGGGGGTTTATGATTACTGAATGTGTTTTTGTTACTGGAGTTTGAGCATGTCCATGGGTATCAGTTATCATGCGGTTTCCTAATATATTGGCGATTCAACAGGTTTTTACCTTGAACGCAAGCATAGCGGCGTTATTTGGGCTAGGTTTCCAGGCGTCGAATGCGGGTATTTCTTTGGTGGTATCTGATATCCCGGGATATTCAACGGGGGTTACTTGAGGTGTACATGGACTTGTTCCTGGACGGACGCAGCAACGCTATTCCTGCATCGTTATCCAATGTTTTAGTTTATATTATAACTACAACTACAAAGGCTATTTATCCATCTAATCATCGTAATCCCACATGCAGTTTGTGAGCGAACCAACCACCCGAGGCAGTCAGATCACGCATCTTCCCAGCCACCCATCTTCACCGGTGAACCATGCAGGTATCGCTAGATTCCTTCAACCCAAGCGAACCACCACAAACAAGAATTTGTTCAACACTCACCACTCCGGCGCTTTTCAAAGCTCCCAAGCTTCCTTCCTACTTAGCCCCTAACCACCGCCCAGCACGCCGTCTCCAACGCGGCGAAGTCCCAAGCTCCAGTCCCCCCTAGTTAGTACCTACACTACACACCAAGCCCAACCCTGCCACCCACCTCACCGCTAACCACCACCACCACCACCACCCCAATCCCAAAAAAGCAAACGCTCGCCATCCAAATCCCAATCCCAGATCCCAAATCTAGACTTCCCCCATGTACCTCCGCGCCACATTACCATGACGTCTTGCTTTTTCAGCATGCCATTTACCTTACCTTACCATGTCATCTCATCTCATGCAGGAGTGCGACGATGCGGGAAAAGCAAAGCAGAAAAAGGTCAGAAGAAAGCAAGGGTAAAGTGAGTAAGTGCGGTAAGTAAGTAAGCAAGTGCTGAAACTGCCGCATCCTCCCTCTCCTTGCCTTGGTATTTACCCCGTGAAACGAAACAGGGTGCTTTTAGGCTTTTGCGAGTTTCCAGTTTCTGCTTTCCCAGGGGGGAGGGGGGTAAGGGTGAAACGTGGGCCGGGCATCTTGACTAGGCAAGGCGGGTAGAAAAGGCGGGAAATGGAAATGGAAGTGGAGGATGGAAATAGAAATAGAAGTGGGCGGGTAGGTGGTATGGGTAGGTAGGTAGGGACTGTAAGCTAGAAGATTGCGGGAGGGTGCGAGGGTGCGAGGAAACAAGCGTAAGGGCAAAAGGGAGGGAGGGAGCGGGAACCGACAACGAGAACGGGGTCGGATGAAGTGAACGTTTATAGGGTTATAAACTCATTAGCCTTGGTTACCTAAGTACCCTGCGCTCAACACACTACTAATCTTTCACCCCACACACACATTTTCCCAATCAACATAACATAACATGCAAGAGACGAATCAAGTGAAGAGAGAACACAAGGATAAAATTACCCATATATCTACCCTATACTCTTTTCGACCCGCCATAGGCCCAACCCCGTTATGCTAGACCCATACCCATTTGCCCATTACGGAAAAACCATACGCCACTCCATACACACGCTACGCCTACCCAATGCAAGATATAAAACAAGCCGTGTACTTCTCTAATCCAACGAAGAAGAAGGGTTACAAATAAAGGAAGAAGAAGAAGAAGAAACTATTGCATGAATGAAAAGATGATGCAGCAAAGCATCCATATGAACAAGATGCTTTCAACGCCATCCCAATGAAGCATCTTTGTGTGAAAAAAACACCCCTTCCGCGCTTCAAGAATGCGTATAGTAGTAGTAAAAGTAGTAGTAGTAGAAGAAGAAGAAGTAGCGCCGTCCCTGTGCACCCAGTCCCAGTTCCAGTTCCGATTCCAGACCCATTGATGCAGTTGAACGATTCCAGTTCAGTCCAGTCCAAACCAGCAAGTCCGTTTAACCATTAAACAAATTTTCGTAGTTCTCATTTCCATATCATGATTGCGGGAACAGAAGAGTTCCCGTCGCAGGAGTAAATGACACGAGGCGATTCTGCCTTCTAGGCAGACTTGGGGTGCTGCTCAACCAACCACTCCATGACACTCTCGTAGCAAAGAACAAATTGACGCAGACTTTGCACCATGCTTAAACGCTGGAGACGGAAGTCTTCAACCGTCTTGGCAATTAGGTCAATGTCTTCATTGTTCACCCAGCTGTTTTCGTCTCGTTCGTTCTTGGATAGCTGGTCGTTGGAATCCGTGTCCATTGGAGTCGTCTGCCGAGCATGGCGAGCTTGGCGTTGTCGCTTGAGCATGTCCAAAACAGAGTCTACTGTACAGAATGTACCGGTACGTCCACATCCAGCAGAGCAGTGCACTATGATCGGGCGGCTGTTGGGTGGGTCAGGCTGCGAGGGTGAGCCGCCGTTGACAGAACGAACAACGGCATCAGTCTGCTCGATCAAACCGAGCAGGTGGGTGGGATGCGCTGGCGCACCAAAATCAGGCCAGTGCGAGTATTGGAGTTGGGTGATTTCGCGCATCCTTGCAAAAGGTTCCTCGTCGTTGGAGAGCGTAAACTTGCGCACAACAACGTAGGGCTGCTCCTGGTTCGGGGGGCCGGTAGATGCCTCCTTTGTGAAATTGGCAAGTCTTGGTGGGTTAGTGGACCTGCGCTGGCCCATGGTAGGCCTTGACTGCTCCCTGTGGCGGTAAATCTTCGACGGTTCCAGAGAGGCGCGGCGCTCGCCAAGCTTGTTAAGGTGCAGGTGCCCATATTGCTTCTCCGACCAGTAGTTGTGCGCCTTGACCTGTCCACCTTCTTGCTCAGCGGTGAGCATGACGATGACGCGGACATCTTGTTGCCAAACAACGTTCCAGAAGTCCTGCTAAAGTTAGTAATGCCTATGCATTTGATGTGAGTAACCCACCTTGAAGGTAGCCGGTATTGGTCCCTGCGTTGCAATGTAACGCTTGTTTGAATAAGCGGCCTGGACGTGGTTGGCATTGACATAGTCACAGCTGCCCTCGGCAACTCCCTCAAGCTTGACACGTGTGTGCTCGTAGGGCCAGATGTTGTTGTAGCGGTTCTTTGAACCCTTTTCGATACCTGCAATCTGGATGTGTTGGGCGGTGCCCCCAGAAGTCACTGGAGCGTCGTAGACGACTTCACCAGACAAGGCTTTTTGCATGCGCTTTTGTTCGCGTTTTTCAATCTGCAAAAAGCGTTCGGCGACAGTCTTGCCCTTGTCCTGCTCCTCGGATGCTGTCTGAAGCCATCGGGGGAGATCGTCTTCGACCGATTGGGTCATACCTGCTGGTAGCTTGACGGGCATTTGACCAACACCACCAATGAGATCCATGTTTTGACGGATATTACCGAAGAAGGGATTGGCGGCGTTTTGCGTTGCGGGCATAGGGCAACCGCCAATGACTGGGGCAACAGAAGGCAGGTCGGAGTTGAGGCTCAGAGCAGCAGTACCGGACGTTGGGCTTGCCGAGCTTGGGTGTGTGACCCAGGCAGGGAACTTTTCAGCAAACTCTTGGAAGCCTCCGCGGATTATAAAGGTACCACCTGACCAACCCTCGTTTGTGAACTTTTTCAAAGTGTTGATGCAAGTTGTAGCGTCCTTCATCTGCGACGAGTTGGCGTCATATACTATGATGTGTTTGCTGCTCCTCCATCGTTCAAACTTGTCCCTTTGTTCGTCCTCTTTGAACGTTTCGGCCAGTTTCTGGACATTGAAAGACGGTCTTTTGAGCAGCGTCGTGGGGATGCAGAGACTCAATGCGCCTGTTATGCGGGCTTTGGCATACTGTGTTGAGACGCGGAGATCGAGGAGAAGGACCTCTTCGATTGAAGACTGTAATATATTGACAATGTGCTGGGCAGTAACCATGGTGGGGCCGCTTGTGTTGGTCTGTTCCTCAAAGTGTGCGGGAAGTGTCTCAGCACGTTGATTTGAAATGGACAAGTGATGTAGATGAGACTTTTTCGAGGGCAATGATGGGCGTGGAACGCGAGGCTCAGCGAACTGTGCAAGCGCATCTGAGCGTCCGGTTCCTTCAAAACTTGCTGGTGAATTGCGTCGTGGTCGGTCAGGAAAGACGCCGTTTTCGGTCGACAGCATGCGTTTAGGCGAACGTGGCTTGCATGCCAGTCCTTGTTCATCGCTCGAGTCACTCTTGTCGCTGCATCTGTCCGGCGGTGGCATTGATTGTGAGGAGGGCGATAATCTGGGCTCCATGTTGGCGAAGAAAGGGCTTTTGGAGGAAGCCTTGAGACCCGGCGAGGCAAAGTCGAAACTGCCCAGGGCGAAAGCCCGGTTGTTTTCCGATTGTTTCCTAAATTGCTCAAATTCAGGGTTTTGCTCCACAGGTATTATCCTAGGCGATGCGGCGGCTGTAGAGCGCACATTGGACGTAGGCGGGCTCCAGTTGCCACGAATGTGCTGGGCAGCACTGGAGGAGAAGTGGTCGGTATTGCTGACGGCCAGGCCAAAGTAGTTGGGCGATGGTGTCGAGGGCTCCTTTGGCTTCTGCGAGACGACATGGCTAGGTGTCTTTGCGACGCCGTTCATGCGGGGCGTGAGTGGAGGCAGGGCAGACGTCGGATGCAGGCTCGGTCGAGTCATGGGCGTTGATCCAGTACCGCGCGGACGAGACGACGTGTGGGAGCTGCCTCTGGGCCTTGGGGACAGGGTGGGTGTTGACATGTTGAGGAAGAGGAAGTCTCGGACCAAGGAATTAGGAAAGAGAGAGGGAGGTCTGGGGAGAAGTCGAGATGTGGCGTGCGCACGCGTCGTGAGGAAGCGTGGACTCGACGGACGGGGTTCTGGTCAAGATGTAGGAAGTAGGTGCATGGATTGGATATGAGGCCGGCGGTACTTTTGTCGAAGCGGACGCAGGAGTGGTTGGTGCGTGAAGCAAAAGGGACTGGGTTTGGTTTGGTTTGGTGGGGATTGCCGTTGAGCTGAGCGATGACGTATGGCTGGAGGCAACCGACTTTCCCTAAAAGGCGCAACAGGCGATGCGCAGGCACAGCCGTGGATCTAGCCGAAGCACAGTGTGTTGCAAGACGTGCGTCTTCTGTAAGGCTGCGGCGCAATTGGCAAAGATCGTCTCGGCGAGCGTGTTCGCTCAGCGACTATGTCCAACCTTCAGGGCAGGTGCAAATACGTTGGCTGCTATAGACGCAGGGTCTGGCTCCTGAGCAGTTTGGGAGAGGACAGCTCTTGTCAGGTCCCGTGACTACAAGGTACTAGGGTACGGTAGGGCTGAAAAAAAAGGGACCAGGAACGGCGGAACAAGCGCAGCGGAAGGCGACAGCTTCTGGGGAGGAAGACGGGGCGGCGGAGGGCGGAAGATCGAGGACGGTTGTGAGGTTTGTGTATCGGCGATCGAGCGACTTAAGAGAGATCGAGAAAGTGTACAATTCAAGGCACGGGCGACGGGGCTATGTGGCAACGCTGGCGCTGGCGCTGGGGGCCGACAATCTCATGCAAAGGCCGCCTTGTCAGCTGTAAAGGGCTATCGCTGGACGGCGCCCCTGTCTATGGCGACATTCACCCTCTAGTGTCGACGCTTCTGGCCAACGGCTGCGGGACACCGCCAAAAGATAATCAAAGTCGAGGCATCACGCTGGCCTGGGGTCCAGCCTGGTACCCGCGCGCTGCGCCCAGATGACCCAGCGCGACACCGCAGCGGCCTTTCTTCGACGACACCAAAAACCTGCTGCCATGCCGGCGAGGCGTCATGGACCAGACGCTGCTCATCTGATTCTGAAACTACGCGACAGGCCCCACGCCCAGCCTAAGCCGCCAGTGCTGTTTGGGGACCCTTACGTTGATCGGCGCCCCGGCCGCTGTCCAGGCCAGACTCTGCCATGCGCATCCTATCCAGAAACGCGCCGTCTCTGGCCTCTTCGCTGCGAGTGCGAGGGAAAAAAACACGTCTGAGCGGGTGGGGTTCGGTCGGTCCACGAAAGCCGTACTTGTACTTTGCCATGATGCGTGCTTTTGCGCCTCCAAAGCCAGACCGCCAGTTTGTCACGCCGGAATGGTCAGGTCAGCCGCCGTTGGAAAACCAGCCAGCTTCCCACCGCTTGATCCCTGTGGCGGATATTGTTCGGCCTGTATTCGTAGCAAGCTGAGCTCATGTCTCCCCCACCGGTTTTGGAGAGGTGCAGCTCCATGCCCAACTGGGAATTGCGCGAGAAAACGAACAACAACGGTACTTGAGAAGCATCAAACGTCAGGGCGAATCTGCGCCCAGGTGGGGTCAATAGTCCCGTCAACCACGACAGTATGACGCCCTACGTCTCGGACCAAAGCACCGAGCCCGTGTGACCGATTGACGCCCTGACAGCGCGACGAACCACTACCTCGACACCTGCACCATGCAAACCATGGATGCGTCGCCTCACTTCGTCGCCATAGCGCCCCCTGGGTTGATGACTCGTCCACTTCACCATCAACATGTTGCTGTCAACCGCTGGGGGATCGGCAAGGTAAGCCGAGGGGAATCCTTGACACCATGAGAACATGGCCATACCGGCATCTTGGTAAACCGTTCGGCTGTGGATCCACTGCATGCATGGCTAGAGTTAATGAACTGTACACACCACCGGTTCGAGAAGTTATGCACATGCTATTGCTAATCAACATGGCCATATCCGCGAATGCCCATCTAAACCCTGAATTGGCCAAACTGCTAAAAACCTGGATATAATGCGTGTCTTTGCGCCTGATTATGTGAATATACGAAGAAATCAATCGCACCAAAACCTCCTAATAATCCCATCCACTACATCTCCATCCGTTCCGTTACCGGAGGCTGGGACCTGGTCTGCCCATGCTTCTTCGACTTGTCATAGCACACGCCGAAGAACCCCTCCGATGTGCAACTGGTAGAAGTAGCGGTGGGTGTCGACTTGGGTGTGTGATGAGTTTTTGCAGGTGGGTCATCGCCATCAAGACAGCCGCCAAACCAACCCGGGTATTTGCAGGACGATGTCGAGGTCGGAGATGCTGAAGTTGTAGTCACAGTGGGAGCCGGGGCTGCCGTTGTGGTGTACTTCCTCGTCGTGGTGATTATCACTTCATCCTTGCACCCAAACCAGCCAGGTGTTTTGCAGCTCGTGGTAGTCTCGGTCGTCGTAACAGTCGTTTTGGGGTGGGATGTGGTCGTCGATTCGTCGAGACATCCCCACCAACCAGGCGTCTTGCATGTTTCCGTCCTGGTACGAGTTGACCGCATTGTCGTCGATGTGGCAGCAGGCTTGGAGCTCGTTGTCGTCTCAGTGCCGTTGCTCTCAAAGTAGTCCCACATGAAGCAGTCGGTGCAGTTTGCATAAGGCTCGCATTTGGGAGGCTCATCGTACTTCATTATGACATCTCGGATGACTTCAAGAATCTTGTGGGTGCCGATACCAAGACGCCAGCCAAAGTCCTTGACTGTGTCATAGACGCACTTTTGCCCAGTATGGCAGACGCTCTGCATAGCATAGCCGCCAATGGTGCAGGCGCTGGTAGCTGAGTTGCACGCACCCATGTATATGGGGTCTGCTGTGTGTCCAAAGTGGAAGCCGCCCGTGAATTTACGCTGCTGGAGCGAGCCAATCTGATGACCAGGAGGCACTGGCAGACCAAGGCGCGCGGCCGGCATGGCTTCAGGGACCGCCTCAAAGGTGACTGCTGGATGCCCGAAAGTGAGGGCGAGGAAAGAAGCGACAGCACCGCCGAGCGAATGACCCGCCATCCATACTTCAGCATTTGGGTACAGTGCAGTTACGTTATGGTATAGATCCTGGGCGGCGTAGTAGTAGTGATTCTTGGCGCGAAGGGCAGTCACAAGACACGTCGAGTTGCACGTGTAGGCTGAGGTTTGACAGTCGCAAACTTGTCGCCAGAGGAATTGACCGCCCTGACCGCAGCAGCAGCTGAAGAAGAGGTTGTCATTGATCTTATCATTGGTAGTCGTCTCGGAGCCGTCGAACATGGCGGGTGAGGTACCCTTGAGGCCGATGACAATGGTTTGGTTCTTGGTGTCGGCGAAGATGTGACCTCGCAGTCCATCTGATTCCCATCCAAAGTCCTCGGTGTAATTGAAACCACCACCAACGTCTTCCCATTGACCAGTGTTCGGTTCTAGGATGTAGGCGTCCGAGGCCATGCGCGCGAAGCTGAGGACGGTTTCCCTATCAGTCACGTTGGGGCCGGTGATGTCGTCGAGCGTCCAGTCTTCTTCGGGAAGCTGCACAGCGCGTCCCTTCATTCTGCCCCATTCCAGTATGCCGTTGACGGTTTCCTTGCTCCTGTCTCTCATTCGCTGAATGGTCATGGCCTCTGACCTAGCTCGCAGGCGCGGCATAGGCTGGCGGTTGGCCGAGTCGTCCCCTTGGGCCATCCATACTGCTGCCTGTTCTGGAATATCCAGACGTCTGTGCAGCTCCGGGTACTTGTAGGTGCCATGGTGGAAAACATGACGCAGAGTAAAGTCCTTTTCGCTACTGTCGTCGTTGGACGGCAGAGGCAGAGGCGGCAACACGGGGATATCGGCTATAACGCTGGCGGCGAGGAACGACAGGACCAGGGAAGCTGTGACGCGCGATGCCGAGGAACAAAGCAGTCGTCGACGCATCATGTACTGTTTACTATATGCAACGAGAGTCTCAGGAAATGGCAGCGAAACGCGTGTGCAAGTGCTTGGAGAGCGATGGGTGGTTCGATGCATCGATGACGATCAGTGCTACACTGACCCCAGACGCTGGTGGCGTCGGCTTGCACGTGCGGAGAATGCGCGGGGAGCTACCATGGCTCCTGATGGCCTGCGAGCTGTGGAGCTTCAACAAACTATATGTGCGCCCCCGGCTCCATAGTCGCTCGCTGCCTTTTGCTCTTAGTCAGCCGATTCCGACGGCTGGCTCTTCGAATGTTGGATACATCGGCCCAGTCTGACCAAATCGACTTCCGGTCCATTCGGAACCGCGCTGCATGACGTGAACGCGCGTGAAGCTCATCCAGTTTCACAGCTGCTCTACCTAGGTGCTTTCCATGCAGGCACCCGACCATCTATAAAATCCAAATAGACGTCTTATTAGCACATCACCATGGCCGAACGACCCAAAAACCTGCATCCCTCACGCTCCTTCACTCGCCTTGAATCCGTGTCCCAGAGCCCGTTGTCGATAAGTCGGGCCAGCACCATGCCGGTGCCCGAAATACCGGAAATGCTAGATCCACTCAAGGCCGTTCCGGTGCCAGAAGACGATGAGGGCGATGTGTTTGCCAAAAGGGGTGAAGAGGATGTGCATGGTGCCGAAGAGCCACAGGTTCCGGACACGTTCGAAGAACTGCCCATAGAGATTCGCAGCCTCACCGAAAGGTCCCACGCCTGAATTCAAGTCCACCAAGGAGTCGCTAATGCTCTGATAGGTTTCTGGAGTCCCTCACGGCCAAAGTCCATCCCACTCCGCTGTCCGCCGATGCCCTATCAGACATGTTCCAAGACTTTTACGGCCGCGCCTCTGGCAAAATCAATACACACATAGCCACCCTCTCCGCTAGACTCACTAGCGATGCATTCGTTGCCAATGCCAAGAGAGGAACCTCTCCTTCGAGTAGGCCAGGATCGATACGCAAGGGGAGCGACCCGTCAGGGGAACAACAGATGCTTAGCGCGACTGAGATGGCTGACCGCAAGAAGGCTAGAAGGTCTCTGGAGACAAAGCGATATGCACTCGAAGAGGCTGTGGAGCGGGCAGTATGCGAGAAAGTATACCAGCGGATATGGCGGCACAGGAGTACCGACGACGAGGAGAGAGACCATAAGCTGAGATCGCGTACGGCATCTCTCGCCCTTGTCGGTATCGGTCTGAACGAGCTTCTGATGACTGGTGAGGAGCTTACCGAGGAAGAACGTGAGAAGGCAAAGGAGAAGGAACCCGAGATTCGGGAGTACCTGTCGGCTGCCAGGCAGGATTTGCTCAAGATGAACGACGAGAAATACCCTCTCGGAAAGGTTCAACATCTGACTGCGGCACACAAATCCATCGTCGAAGCCCTCTCCAAGATATTCCCTGCAACTTCGTCTGCTGACGAGATTCTCCCTACTCTCATCTACGCACTCATCACTATGCCACCTGTTTACTTGAACGTTATTAGCGATTTGAACTTTATCCAGCGCTTTAGGGGCTCTAGCCGGATGGATGGCGAGACGGCATATTGTTTGGTAAATCTTGAAGCCGCCATCGCGTTTCTAGAAACCGTTGACCTCTCTTCGTTACGGGCAGAGGAGGCCGCCCACAAGAAGCAGGATTCGCGGCCATCAACCCCAAAACAAGAGATTACACCCATGTCCTTGGGTCTATCTGAAGCACCAGACCTGATACAGACTCCTGCTACCCCCATAGCAAGGTCCGTTCCGAAGGAGCCCTCAAGTCCAACTACAAACAAAGCTCAGCGGCGATTGAGCAACCTTATTCAGTCACAGACCAACAAGATCGAAGCTGCCTCTGATGCAGTTCGAGACTCTATCCTTGATTCAGCCGATCAAGCATTAGGGAGAATAAATACTACATTAGACACAAGCTTCAAGTTCTTCTTCGGTGGTCTTAGAGACAAACACCCAGGTAGTCCTATTCTAGAACAGCCGGTACTGCCCAAGACGCTAGAAGACGCAATGAAACTTGTGAGCTCTCCTACTCGCGAGCATAGGGATGAAGACAATTTGAGCGTCAGCGCTTCCAGCTCAATTCAGGGTGAGGAGCATCACGAGACTTCAAGCAATAGGGGATTAGGGCTGGATGCGAAGATGGCGGATATATTTGCTGGCAAGAGACAGATCAGAGATCGTAGTGTCGATTCTACAAAGTCGGGTGGCAGCACGAGCGGACGACGAGTCGCTTTTGCATCTACACCAGCAGCCGAAGAGAAGGCAGCGTCGCCAGCGGCGGTCAAGACTGAACCCCCAGCGGCAAACACGTCCGCTGTTGACTCTCTTCGCAACATGGGCAATACTTTCAACCCCCTCAACCGCTTTTCTGGTATAAACGTACTACCTCGCTTCGCGCGTGCTGTGAGTAGCAGTACGACGCCTGTTCTGGCATCACCAGTCCAGGAACAGGCCAAGGCGTCACCCTCTCCTGAGCCTCTGAGCAGATCAAACACAAATGACATGTTGCAAGCAGATGAAAAGGGTGTGAGGGCAGTCGCTGCGTTGGAGCAACTAAAGAAAACACCACCGCCTATGAAGCGGTTTGTAGAAGCTAAAGATGCGCAAGACTTGAAGTTGAAGGAGGTAGAGGAGCTGCTAAAGGAGTATCAAAGGTTGGCCGGCGCATTAAGAGGGGCTATCAATTATTAGAGTTATTGGCGTCATTGTATTCGCGTTAGAAACAACATAGACAAAATCCAGTACGGGTGAGGCGGCGTTGGTTGCGCTTCTCAATATTTACCAGGGTGCGTTGCTGTGAACAGGCCTAGCGTTTTGTTCGGCCAAACCGGGGGTTACCACATCGGGAAGAGCAACAATGTGCACGGACGTGTAAACAACCACCACAACACAGTGGCCAGACCGTGATGCGCTATGCACCATTACTCTAACCCTCAACAGAATTAACATTTCGCCAATCGCACACATGGCGGATTCCATGTCGCACCTGTCGCCAGAGAAGATGAACGCCAACGCCGACGCCATCATAATGGACGAGGATATGGACATGGCGTCCCACGACCTTCCTTCGTCGCCATTCCTGGATCACATCGAAATTGTGGCGGATGATCAGGAAAATATTGCGCCAAATGCTGTGCGGACACCGGTGAAGTCGCTGGTCGACTTGGACGATAATGTTCCCCAATCCGCCTTCAGGGTATCGCCTGAGAAGAGATTTGGGCTGAAAGAGCGCAATAGCCCGATGAAGACGTCGCCGGTGAAGAACCTCATGGATGACTACGAGGATGCTGAGCCCAAGTCTAGCGCTTCAACTCCAAGGAAAAGCAACACTCCAGTGAGGTCAACTGTTAGAGAGCGGTCCGAGTCTTTAATGAGCAGCCGCTCCCACAGAGGGGAAACTCCATCGAGATCTTCATATACCCCGTCGGCCTCGGTTCAACGCAAGGCTTCGATCGCAGAGCACTCCCCATCCAATTCGATAACCCCATCGAAACGGCCGGCCTCATCCCCTCTTAAACAGAGGCCCCTTCGCGATAACGAAGGCTTGACCGCCGCTATGAAATTCATGGACGAGACACCCATGGAAAGCTACGGAAGCTCTGCTAGGCCAAGTTCGCGGGATTACAATGACGAGGTGGATTTCGGCATGGACAACACAGACTTCAACCCGGACGGCCCCGAGCCCACGTCGTTGGATTTTGACGATACCTGCTTTACCTCCTTCTCCGAGATGCCTGGAATAGACATGACCAAGTTTGCATCTCTAAAGCAGAGCCCTGCCAAGAGCGAAGCGCCAGACGTGAGTAACTTCCCAGAAGACAGCAAGATTCGAAACTAACAACTCTACAGGCTACACCTCGCGCCCGCGCTCAGATGACACCCTCCACAGTCCGCCGCGCAGAGCGCACGCCTAGCCCTACACCCCGTCGATCTTACAAGGACAATGACACCACAAATCTCCTTCTGGACTTTACTGCACAGATTGAGTCATTCTCTTCATCCCGCCACGGCTCTTCGTCGCGCGTACGTCCCACGCCGAACAAGTCCACAACAGAGCCCAACCTCCGCTCCTATTACCAGAGCCAACGATCGCCGGCAAAGGGTGGTTCACAAGTACCAAGCACCCCAAGCCAGAGCCGGCAAATGCTGAATTTACTGGACTTTGAACTACCTCCTCCACCAACACCGCGGTCTCTACCGACTGTCACCATTCGAGAGCTGGAGTCTGTCAAATCTCAGTTCCAATCCCAAGTCTCTTCGCTCACTGCTAGCTTGTCAGGGAAGGAAGCTGAGATTGGTGCCCTCTCCAAAGCAATCGCCGATGCTGAGCGCCGTGTTGGCGAGGCACAAGAGACAGTTCGTGAAGAGCGCTCCGCGCGCGAATATGCAGAGACTCAGATGGTAGACTGGAAATCAAAGGGAGAAGAGGTTCAGAGGCTACTACAAGACGTTCAGTCAGAAATGGCTCGCAACGATGCTGAGCGTGAAGACCTCCTCGCGAGATTGGCTGAGGCTGAGAGACGTGCAGAGGACGCCGAGAACCGTTCGTCTGAGCTCGAGACCAAGGTCATTGAAGCTGAAAGCAAGAACGTGGATATGACCACATTCATCCAGAACGATGAGGGAGATGAAAACAAGAAGATCTACTCAGAGATGGAGTGTCAGTCTGCTATTGCTGAAAAGGTCAATGAAGTTGCGCGCGACTTACACACAGCCTATAAAGCCAAGCACGAGAAGAAGATCAAGGCACTCAAGGACAACTACCAGAAGAAGGCCGACGAAAAGTGCAAGGAGCTCCGGGTGCAAATCACTCGCCTCGAACGACAAGTCGAGGAGGCAGAGAAGAAACGCGACAACACCTTTAGCAAGATCAGCCCTGGTGAAAACGACGACGATAGTCTAATTTCGCCATCCAAACCGACGCGGAATGCTGAAGATGCTCAGATGCTGGAGGCACAACGAGCAGAGATTGAGAATCTCAAGGCTAAACTTGCCGGCCTACAGTCGGAACTCCAATCACTCCGCAAATCCCACGACTCTCTCGTCGAAGACCTTGAAGCCGAGCGCATCGAAAAGGGCGAATTGGTCGCTGCCGCAGAACAAATGCTTTCCATGTGCGGCGAAAAGATGGAAGAGCTACAACAAGAAGACCTCCGTCGTTCGCAAATGGCGCCTGCACCACCTACTGCGCCTCAGCAACAAGCTGCTGCTGCTGCTGCTGCTGCTCCTCCTCCTCAGCAAGCAATGCGCAGCACCGGCTTCCTCGCTGGAGGCCCCGCCCCCGCCCGTCCCGGATCCTCTCTCGGAGGCGGCCGTCCAGGCAGTTCAATGAGCGGCCCTACGCACGAGCGTGGTAACAGCACCAGCAGCAGTAGCGGCATCGCCAAACCATCCGGTCTTCGCGGTCCAGGAGGCATCAAATTCCAAGGCAACAACTCCGCACTCAACAGGAGTCAGAGCAACGCCGGTAAGAGCCGGTTACTCTCCAACATTGAGCGCATGGGCGGTGGAAGGTCACAGGAGTAGAATATCTGGCCTCCAGTTGTGCGCGCTCTCGGTGGTGCTGGTGGGTTTGGGTATGCCATTCCGGTGAAGGTTGGGAGGCTGGGTTTGGGATCTCGGGTTGGGCCTGAGAGGGAGTCTGCTGGTTCTTCTGGGGCATTGAATGAATGAATGGATGGATGGGACGGGTTGGATAGGTTGGATGGATGTACGTATGGTATGATATGATATGGCTTTACGTTTTTCTCCACCGTTCTCTTGGATGTGGGATGCAAGAGGGGTGGAGTGGGTGGGTTATATCCAAGTCAGTGGGTCAGGCGTGACGCTTTATTGTGGTGCATAGTCTTTGAGCACCAATGTTCCGTTATTGGATGTTGTTGTTCTTGTTTGGTTTTTCTTCTTCTAGGGAGTCTTGTACATGATAATGATGGGTGGGAGTGATAGAGACTGTATATGTCTGTCTGTCTATCCGTTGGAAGATTATCCTCGTTTTACCAAGGTCGTCGTCTATGTTTATGACTATGTCTTCACGCTATGGACTATATGTCTTCTATGATCCAGCAATCGTACCAACAGATATAGAAAGAAACTCGTACCTACATAACTCCAAGTGTAAAGAAACACTTCTTCCTGCATCCCTAACGGGCCTAGCCAGCACCACTTAAACTCATCTAAACTCTCAACCTCATATTCACGCACATTCCCGTAAAAGCTCAGCTTTCTACGCAACAAGCCTATGATGGCAGTGGTACCATACTCTGGTCCAGAAGCTCACTGGGTTGTTTGTCTGGTGCCTGCGTTCTGCGTGACGTGTGCTAGTGGGTAGTTGCGTGCCGCTAGAAGGGGTTTAAGGTTTGGATGGAGGGGAAAAGAAAGAAGAATGGTGGAAGAAGAGGGGGAGAATTGGTGGAGGTGGCTGTGGGGATGAGGCATGGAGAAGGAGGAACCGGGGAGGGAGCGTTAGGTGGCGAGGAGTGCGTATTTACGAAGGAAAGCCGACTAAAGCACTCAAAGGCTTCTGGACTGACATCAGACATCTTAGCTTCTCAGCCCTAACAGCCGACGGCGTTGGGCTGGATCGCTAGGTGGTCCCGTCGTCTCGATAGCGTATAACGGTGACCTTCCACTTAGATCCCATTTGGACTGGCATTGGGAAGTGAGTGAAGGAAACCGATTCTCTAAGTACAGCTCTGGAAGTCGAAGGTTTCAATGCAAGATAGGGCAAAAGTCAGGAGTTCATGTTCATGACTGAAAGTTGACATCAGCAGATGTTAGACATGTCGGCTTCTCAGCCCTGGCAGACAACGAGCTAAGTCGCTAGTTGGTTGCTAGCGTCTTGGTTATGAGGACGGACTTCAACGACTCGGTCTGATTTTAGAACTGAAAGGCTTGGAACTAAACAAGCCGACGTCCAAGCACGGCGCCCTAGTCCTAGCCACTGCAAATCGTCCGTATTCCTGCAGCGACTTGACGACATTGACATCGATATCGAAGAAATGCCATTTGCGTATGCCCGGATTGGGATTTTTCTCCTTTTCTCAAACTGACGGAGTACATACAGTGCAGTGCGCATACCCTGCCGAAAACGGATGCTGATAGCAAGCCATGGGGCGGGAAAAATTCCCCCATCTGCAGAATGACTGTACAACAGCGTAGAGGCTGTGAAGAAGCACACAAGTTGGGGCTCAGCAGAGCTCAGCTGTTATAAAAGCCCCCGCCGAGAGCAATCTGTCTTACGATGACTTGTTTGCTGTAACCCATCGCTGTCGTGCAATTGGATACACGCGCGCACGCACAGAAGGGTGATGCAAGGGTGGGCCTTTGTAGTTTTCTGGCCTGAGAAACAAAGTTTGGTACGCGGGCATGGTGTGTACACCCTGTCTGACGGCTGACCTAGGCCTGGCCCTGCAGCGTTCACGGTCGTCGCGCGGCGTATCTCCAGATAGGTATTACGATCGCCCGCACGGGTGCATATGCAGGTTTATTGGGCTTACGATGTGGGCATCCCCTTTCCGTGTTGGACTCGTATTCAAAAGATCTGCGTCTGTCGTTTGGTTCTTTCGAATTTCTTTGTTCTTCTTTCTTTCTTTCCCATGACTTGAGTGAAATTGGAACTGTCGAAAATGGAACACCGGGATGGTACGAGCTATCGCGAGGATAGAATGAGGAGTCCTTCTTCGCCTCCTCTTCCGCAGTTTCCGTCTCCTCCTCCTCTTCCGTCGCCGCCGGTGTCGCCACCGCTGCAGAATGGGCAAATGTATCCACCGGGAGAATTGGGAAGATCGTATTCTGGGATAAGCAGAAGTTCTGTTCCGACTGTTTTGTCGGCTCCATTGTCCGAGGAACGGGATTATGGCAGGCAGTTTCCACAGGAACTACCGGCGAATGAGACAGCTTCGTATAGAAAAATGTGGGTGAAAATCCGTGTCTTGCAGAGTGTGCTACGAAAACTTTGAGAGGTGGCTGTGCTGTGGAAGAGGAGTAAATTGTGTACGGCGCAAAAGATTCAGTGAATGGGATTCTAATGACAAACAGATATTCGAATGAGAAAGAGACACCACACATGCCAGTCGGAACACCAATGTACACGCCGGTCAGCGCGTCTACACACATGTCAATGGGAAGTCCTGCAAGCGCAATAGTCACGCCAGACTTTTCCGCCCCACAAGTTGTGCCTGGACAGTTCGGTCGACCGACATCATATGCACCCACTGAAGATACGAGTACAGCGCCGCCATATGCAAGACCATATGGGTTCAAGGAACACGTTGATCCGTATGATGCCCCTGAAGCCGCGGAACCTCTACCTAGTATACCCACTGGACCCAAGGATAAGAGAACATGTGGTATGAAGAGGCGGAATTTAGCTATTCTTCTCGGATTTATCGTCATTGCTATCTTGGCCCTAGCATTGGGACTCGGTTTAGGACTCGGTTTGCAAAAAGATAGGTAAGTCCACCCATTTCATGTCCGCCGCGAAAGACGCTGACATATTGCGTGGAAGTGATGAAATAAAAAACCCCGTTTGTCGAAAAAACCCGGAGTTCTGTGTTGGCGGCGCTCTCAACGAAAAGTATTTTTCCAAAAGGGGTGTCTTCAACGGCACGGGAATTGCTCTCGCGGGCGAATCGTGGAATAAAGGCCAACGCAGGATCTTTACCCTCTACTTCCAGCACCACACGGGCGACATTCGATTCATGCAGTATACGACGGACCGGAAATGGGTAGGCGGCACCAAAGCGCAGACTGTGGCTTACGATGCGAAACCCGCAACACCTATATCCGCCGTCTCCTTTGCCATTAACCAAACACAATATGTAAGGCCCCAGAACCCCTATATATGTACTCGCTCACAGTGAATCAAAGTTCCACATATTCTACATCACCAAATCCAATACAGTCGCCCAAACCGTTCAGTCGAACATCTCCTCCATCTGGGCCCCCGGCCCCCTAAACACCCTCAACCTAACCGCCTACGATGCCCCTACCGTCGGCCTACAAGCCTGCTGGAAAGGAAACTTCTACGGTGACAACGACTTCACCAAATTCCCCACATTCTCTGGCGCGCCAAACACGCAGCCCTTTGCCGGTTCCAAAGGAATGAACATTTGGTTCCCCGTCGACGAAACTAGCTTTGAGCAATACGCATGGTACTCTGGCCAAGAAAACGACAGCTGGGTGCACATCCAGCGCTGGAATGGTTTCAACGCCCACGCCGGCGTGGGCTGTTATAGCTGGGGCCAGGGCAACACCACATACGCCATGTTCAGCAACAAAGCCAAAACCGTGGAAATGTGGTGGAAAGACACAAACATTACCGCCGAATCAACGGACACTCACCCGATCAACTCGTGGCAAAATGCGACCAAAGCTGCTATACAGAATGTCCACCCCATCACGTCGCTGGGGTATACAACGTATTTCTACGCGCAGATGGCGGATCGCACAATTCGCGGGTACAATGTTACGTTTGCGGCGGAGAATACAGAGTCTATTGGGGATGAGAGTAGTTTTGCGATTACGGATCCGGCGGGGCCTGTGCAGGCGTTGGGGGGTACGCATTTGACAGTTACGGCGTTTGCGGAGAAGGAGGGGGGTAGGACGCTGTGGGATAGTTTGTATGTGTTTTTCCAGTCGGAGGGGGATGATATTACGGCGTTTACGAGGGGGTTGAATGGTGGGGAGTGGACGAGAGGGACGTTGGGGATTCCAGATGACTAGGAGATATTAAAATGGTTTCTGCTTTTTTCACCTGTTGATGAATAATGATATGATATGAAAGCTGTATGTATTGTAGCCTTGTGTAATTTTACTATAAGAATATACCATTCTATAGTGTCTTGTACAGAGCGAGTAGTGCATATGCGTAAGACTGGTAGGGGGGCAACAAAGCGTGGGCTTTCAATCTTTTCGATCGCCAGTGCCAGTGTATCCGGCAAGAGGCAATTTTCCTGGGACGAACATGTGTAAGCGACGGTACTTGGTATACATTCGGATGGTAAAGTTCTCAGAGAGTCTCTCTCATCCGTCCTTGCGCGTACCTGCTATATCTTCTTGGGCATCTCTAACGAGGAAGCTGGATCATCTGTTAGTTCATGAACCACAAGTAATGGCATGTAGCAACTCACTTGTACCATAAAACCGTTGGCACCACAGTGCCCAGATGCCACAAACTGTGCGCATCAATCATGCCCATCCACGGTGGGAAATCCAATAACTCGAGACTCATTGCCATGATGATCCAGGCTACGCAAAGACCAGGCCACACAGCCCACGTCCGTCCAATCTTCTGGTACTGCACGTAGCTAAACCCGCTCCAGAGCAAGTTTGCCACTACGCCGACGGCAACATTGGCGGCCATGTTGTAGGTGTAATCCCAGGACCACAGCGAAAGGTACAACACATGCAGTGTGTACAACAAGATGCAAAGGCCCGTCCACAGCCTCAACAAGCTCTGTTTCCTGGGCTCCTTGCGGTCCAACCTAAACACACGAATAGGCGCATAATAAAGCCCATACAGCACATTCGCGCCCGCGGCAAAATAATCCAACTTCTCCGTCAACCCAAAGTCGCGTGTGTGGAATATCATGCTGAAAGTCCAGCTAGCCAGGCCCACATAGCCAAACCAGAGATAATATTTCCGCAGTGGATACGATGCCGGTATCTTGTCGCGCAGCTGCGACATGCCCCAGTCGTGCGCGAGGAAGTTGAACAGAGAGAAGAGGACACTAAACGGTTCCTGCATACCCATGAGGCGGTAAAAAGGCCATTTTCCGTGGAATTGCGTGACGGGTTGCATGTAGGGCGGATCGCGCGCGAGCCGTTGCTCAGTTATAATATGCTGGCATGTATAATCGCATTCAGAGGGACAGTCCCAAAGGAGGAGCCGACGGTGTAAAGCTACATATCATAATCATCAGCCCTCGATTCTTCCAAACGCCCACCACACGTCCGTCGTTCTTTTTTGGAAGATGCAAAAAACGTACGTATCGGAGTAGCATTGTCGCCGCAATTGGAACTCTCGCAGACTTTCACGCAGGCCTTGAATTCAGGGAGTCGGTCACCCAGACTGGCTTGGGCGGCGCCGCTGAGGAGGAAGAAGATGGCTGTGGTTTGCCATGCCGAGGCGATTCCTAACTTCATGGTCGGTCAAGACGTTGGAGGTACAGTGACGCTGCCATGCGCGTGGGTTGGGTGGAGGGTGTTGCCGGCTTCAGGCGCGTGTCGGGATGGCATGGGCGGAGCGGATCGACAGGGTCTTGGCAGTCCGGTGAACTGTCGTGTTTCCCATGGCAATTCAAGATTAGACAAGGATTACATGTGTATCCTTGGTGTTTGTGTTGGCGACAGAGATATGATTAAGACTTTGGGATTTGGACGTGGAAGTGTGGCTTTGTTTACGCGTGGACTGTTCAAGACATTTTGGTATCGACCCGTGGTTTGGGCAGTGGTCGGCGTTCTTTCGGCAACGCGCCGTTCCAGGGCCCCACTCGCAGTTCCAGTTTGCAGGATACGGCCCGCTACCATTTATCGACACACGTAGCTGCTTTGTTATGCTGTTGACAGTCATATATTGCATAAGGAATTAAAATCCCAATATCAACAGGGCGTATAGCTCAGTGGTAGAGCGCCCGCTTTGCATCACGCAAAATTGCGGGAGG